ATCTATCTATCTATCATCTATCTATTTCTATATTTCAGATTCATTCATATATCTATTTCAGATTCTGCTCCATCCATTAGAGCAAACTTTGGATTAACAAGATGAACTGAATGTTCCTGGAAGCCACCCTGCTCTTTTGCATACACTTAATTATGGCCACTCAAGAAATTATATGTGCTTTAATTAATTTATTCTGAAAAAAAATGCTTATGATTAAAACAACAGTTTTAAAAGAAAAAAAAATAACACATGGGCTTCATTTTTTATTGAGCTAGTGTGTGCATATGTCACAGCAGGCCCCCTCTGGTGCTTCCATCTGTGTGAGAGTGGAGAGGGGAGGAATGTCTCGCCTAAGAAGCTACCTACCAGTTTTAGAAGTACCACAGGGTTATAGCTAAGCGGCAGAGTGCATGCTTTTGCATACAGAACAACCAAGGTTCATTCCCTGACAAGTCCAGATAGGCCTGGGAGAGACCCCTGCCTGCATTCCTGGAGAGCGATTGCCAATCAGTGCAGAAAATACTGAGCTGGCTGAACCAATGATCTGACTCAGTGCAAGGCAGATTTCTCTGTTCATAGGTACTTATATAAAAGTAATTAAAAGTGTCTTGCTAGATTAATTGAGAATGTCTTTTTAGTTGCTCAAATTGTGGTGGTTTTTTTTTAAAATTAAAAAATCAATTCATCTAATCGATCAGTTGATTTACAGATGGAACATGACTTATCAGAGGCAGACGGATCGAATGGGAGACCGTATACACCCTGTGAAGGTCTCACAGGTTTCAAGGTCAGGGAGATGCTATTGTGCCTATGTGGAGAAGTGGCCAATGTTTCTGATGCCATCCAACCTGCCTGGATACACCATGCACGTGCAGTAGTCCAGTGGCAAATTAAGAAGTGAAGGGTAATGAGAAATGCATTCCCTTTGGGGCAACCTTCGGAGGACCATGTGCCAGGGGCAGGTGGTGCTGTGCAAAAGTGGGCACAGCGATGAATGCAAATGTTACCTTTGTAAAGAAGGCCCATTTCTGCGCATGCTCACACACAGGCAGTCTTCCACCCAAACAGGCAAGAGACTATCAGAGTTCAAGGACAAACCTCAGCCAAGCAAAAACTGAAGGGTGTGAAGTAGAGCAATTGGGAGGTGTCATGAGACAAAGGTTCTTGAGAGCAGAAGCAGTAAGGCCTACAAGACCTACACAATCATTCAAGCCTGCTAACTGTTAACAGCAAACTGCTAAGTCACTGTGACTCGTGACTCATCTTGAGTGATGACTCATTGCGTGGCCAGATGGAGCCACCACCACCCCGACCCCAGGCGACCCCGGGAGGAATAATGACTCATGACAATGTGTTATGGGATTAAAATTGACCACAACTTTATTAAACTTTCAGATGTAGGGAGACCTTGGCTTAGGCATTGGGCGTTTATCCCTCTCAGTCGCCGGCTGGGGATTTGAGGAACATCAGGGTTATCCAAACTGTGTGGGGATTGGGCTTCCTCTGGAAAACGTATGTTTAAGCAGAGAGCCTGCAGCCCCATTTTGCCGCAACGCAGGGGAGCGCACTGACAACCTAACGGCGTATGTGACTCCCCTCAGCACAACTCAGTGACTCCCCTCAGTGACTCCCCTCAGCACAACCCCTTTAATGGGGAACCCTGGGATTGCCGCCGTGGGGGAGGGGGGGCTGAGTCACCGTTTCATGCCCCCCCCCTCAATTTAGGGAAGGTAGACTAAAGGATTCCGCCCTAGGCGTGAAACAGCCAAAGTTGTGATGTTTGGCTACGGGGAAGGCAAAACCTGCTAATGCAGGGAAATTCCTTCCTGGTCCTTCAACAGCAACCATCAATGACTGTTCCAGTGCCCGCATACCTGTAAAGAAGAGCTCCACGTGAAATTACTGCATTCATTACTCTTACATGAGAGATATGAATAAAGGCCAGTTGTGTCTTTTAGTACCACAGCAGCTTTCTACAAGTGAAGCAGGGTTGGGAGAGGTGTTGATTGTCTCTCAAATCTGGAAGTGAGCCAACAGAAATGACTTTTTTCCCCTCCCCCAGTCGTTACCAACACTTGTGGGCACATGACTTCTCAATGAGTGGGAGAACAGCAACACCCTTCTCTGCCAGTACTCACAGGCAGAAAGGACAACCGCCATAATTACATTCCACTATAAACAGAGCTCTCGAGTTTAATTTACATTATTCTCTTTTTATTATTTATTGGCAACATTTAATTACCACATCCTTCACCATCCGTAATTAAAGATTCAAAACAGGCTTGACGACTCAATTAGGGTCTTTTAAAAGTTTTATTTTGGTGTGCGCCTCCATTAAATTAAGGTTCAACTTTTACTGGAAGTCTTTAATATCGCAACGCATTAAACTGACGGCTTGCTTTGTTATGTATAAATCACCCCAGACAAAAGCTGGCAAGCTCTTACTCAGAAATCTCTGGTCACAATGTAATTTTATTTTGCAGTTAGGCATGGCATAAAGGAGTTCCTTCCTCTTCCTTTTTGCTGTAAAGCCAACCATGGTTAATTTTACCCAGCAAGCCCCCATTAATTCCTAAGGGGTCTGCTATATCATGATATATTTTTCTTGCTAGCATTTGGGAATTTGGGGGTGTTCCTTAACGACAAAGTTTAGTCATTTTGACATGGTCCCTTAGGGATCATGAAGGAACTTTCACACCATGCATTTAAAGCACCATTATACTATTTTAAGCAACCACAATTCCCAGAGTGGCTTTGGGGAATAACCAGTCTCATATAACCAACATGCTTAAGTCTAATGAATGCATGAAGGGGTTAATAACATAGAGAAAGATGCCCTGACAGTCTTAACCTAGGTCACACCCCCTTACCTTGGGAGGAAATGGGTAATCAAGTCTTTGTTCCCTCCCCAGTCTACATGAGAAGATCAGTATGTGAAGAAGGTTGAGCTGGTTGTTCCAGCTCAGCTGCATGACTCTCACAAGCCATTCCATATCAATAACTTAGGAACTTTCACCATTTTATAGCTAAGCTGAATTTTACTGCCTGTGCGACTTTACATGAATCTGACCTTCAGAGAATTTGTAAGTAAACCATTTTTTAATGTTAAACATGTGGTTTTTCCTATGCTGGGGGAAGAAGGAAACTTGGAAATAAACTTGTTAAGAGGACATTTTGGAACTCACCTGGGGGCATATTTTAAAGATCTAACAGCTTATATTTCCATGCTTTACTTTGTTGCATGATTTGTGACTTTAAATCTCTGCTGAGTTTCTCTCACCAAAGAGAACTTGTCCCAAACTTGGATCTTGGCATCCAGGAATTCTCTCTCTCATTATATCGCCAACAGGTTTAACAATCAAGGAAACTCTGAGAACTGTAAGTCTGGAGGGAAATAGGGACCATTCTTTCTTTCTTGCATTTATATTATAACTTTTTCTCCAAGGAGCTCAGGGTGGCATACTTTTTCATTCCTCATTTAACACGTACAACAACCCTGGGTTAGGCTGAGAGACAGTGACTTGTGCAAGGTAAGTTTCATAGCCAAGTGAGGATTTGAACCCTAGTCTCCCAGGTCCTGAGGACTTCTGGTTTATGCGGGTAGTGAATGGATGCTTAGGACTTGGGTTCTGGGACAGATTTATTGCTTTATAACCTGTTAACAGGTTAGTCTCACCCTTCCAGGTGCGCTTCTTGAATATTTGAAGCCAGGGTAACCAATCCAGACTATTGGATACAGGCACATCATCTGAAACATGGTGATGTTTTGTATCCTACCATCTTACTTTTGTGAAAGCATTCTTCTCCCTCCTAATTAGGCCATATGGCTCAATGTTTTGTATTTACTTCTTGCTATTAATTATTCTTCGTCCATTTTTAAAAAATTGCTCACTACTTTGGGTGCCATTTTGTGGAGAAGTGGCATACAAATAAACAGGTGTTGTTGATGATGATATGAGCAAACTCCAAGACTTGCTGAATTACTATCTGTCATGCAGATGCTGAAGGGCTATGGAAAACAGAAAGGCAAAATGGTCTAGCCCAGGGGTCAACAAACTTTTCCAGCAGGGGGGCAGCCCGCTGTCCCTCAGACTTTGTGGGGGCCGGACTATAAGCCATCCCTCCCCTACAACTCTCCCCTCCCTTCTCCACAGCACTGGCTGCTTACCTGTGTCTTGTGAGCGGCAGGGGCTGGCAGAGGCGGTGGAGGCAGAGGGACAATGAGCGGTGCACGAAAGGGCTCTGGAGAGGGGCTGCTTAAAATGGCGGCCGCTTGAGCGCTGCTGCTGATGGCACCAACAAAGCCCAGCCCCCTTCCTCCTCTAGGCAGGGCAGAGAGAAACCAGGAGGAGGGAGCGGAAAGGAGGAGGCGGTGCCATGGGAGGGAGGGGGGAGAGGGAAAGAGCGAGCATGCTGGTGATCCATGTGGCAATTCCCGGACCGTCCGTGGGCCGGATCCAGAAGGCAATTGGGCCTGATCCGGCCCATGGGCCTTAGTTTGCCAACCCATGGTCTAGCCATACCTGAATAGGTGTGCTGTTTAACGGCCAACATCTTTCCATCCCTAGAACAGAAGTTTCACCGACTGGGTTATGTAAGTCAAGGGGGGGGGGGGAATCTCCAGCCTATGGGTCAAATGTGGCCCCTCAGCTTATCTAGCCCTCTCAAAGTCACACCCTGCCTCTCCTTAAGCCACACCCCTCACTGGTTCTTCTTCCTACCATCCCTGAATGTTACAGCCTGGCTGAAATGTCCCACTGAACTCTGAGAATTCATCTGGCTTCACTGGATGGAGGGGGTAGATTTGTGATGATGTTGCCTTCCGCAGAGATCGAAAATGTCAGTCGGCATGATTCCCGTAACAGAGTTGCAAGGGAACCAGTGCAAATTTCTATTATTATTATTATTAAGCCAAGAACCATCCCCCCTCCCCCGAGCACATGAATAAAATTTTGGAACTTCCTTTTTGCCATTTGAAAATGTTTTATTTCATTGGCTTCGTTTTTTTGTTTTGAATTTTATTAAAAAGGAAGGGAGAAAGAGCACCACTGATTTTGTAATACCGATAAACATTATCCATATGAACAACAGTGTCTATATATATTTACACATATGCCTCTATATACATAGGTCTCTATGTACATATGCCCATAAACAAGATTTTTGTGTTACCTTGGATGAAAATCTCAAAGAGAGTTGGAAAGTTGTTACCCTTTATAGCACTTGGATTTATTTATTTTTTTAAATGCTTGCCCTTGTCGAGAGATAAGAGTGAAAATATTAAATATCTGGCCATATGAAGTTCTTCTCAAACTCTGAATTTTCCCAAGAGACTGAAAGAATCATTGTGTGAGTTGCCTTTTTCCCTTTCCTTCCCTTTGCACATCATTTGGATGGGGAATCAGCTCTGAGCTCCCGCATGGATCTGTAGAAAATAACTCTGAGGTCTCTGGTTCACCTATGCTCTGGTCAGAATCATTTGGCAGCTGGCTGATACACCAACAAGACATAGCGCATGGACCAAGTGGTACCCTTTAGCAAATGCAGCTCATCTCAGAAATGAGATGTGACATTGGGCTCATTGAGAATGCAGACATTTGATGTTAATTTCCACAAATGAAACCAGGTCTACATTTCATTAACCTCAGCATCCCCTGCAAATCCTTAGTATCTATTCTGTTAGGTCACACCAGCCTATCAGAATCAATTAACCACCCAATCTCCCACCTATCAGCAGATCCATACTACATACATCCATTTTATTTGATTGCTGCCTTACAGGAAATAAACAGAGGAATAAGACTGTAGAATTACTCCTCCTCCAGCCTGCTATTTTTGCAGCAAAAGCTACTGACAAGACTGGAATGGATGAATGTATCTATTTCTCTTCTTTCTTACTTTGTGGGTTTTAAAATCCACAATCCCCTTCTATTTTCTTCGGTAACGTTTCATTCTGGATTGTTTGGTCTTTTAATATATTGTAAACTGCTCTGAGAATTTTTCCTAAAAATGTAAAGCTGTATAGAAATGAAATGAATAATAATATTTTTTCTACAGTAAAAATAATTTTAAAAATCCTTCCAAACATGTTTTTAAATACATATTTCCTCTCCAAAATATTTTTTAGATATTTAATTGCATATTTTGATAATATAAACTGCTGGCAGCTGCAATAATTGGAGGAGTGCTAAAGCCAGTGAACAGCTAAATTCCCATGCACATATGAGTCTGAAAGGTGCGGATCAAAGCATTCAATGTAGAAATTCAGAAAGGACGAATTCCTAAGCTGCAAGAGAATGGAGCATTTTAAGCATATCTTAGAGTGGAACAATAATGAAGCTGGATGGGGATGAAGATGATGATTTGGCACTTCCTCGAGTGGGGGGAGATACGTGACAATATAGGGTTGGAAAGATTTTTTTCCAAACTTAAATTCAGTTCTCCATATTTTGCAATTTTGAAAAAAAAAAACCTCCTAAAAATTAATCAACAATTTAGTGCTATTTTTTCCTAATAAGTACATTTTTGTATGTGTACAGTTTTGACTAACGTAGACATTTTTGTATGTTATTTTTCTCTAATGTATTGCTTTTATTGGCATTTTTGGTAAATATTGTCTGGCTGAGGTACTACATCACAAAATTCAGTTATGCATGAATTTGAAGGAGGACTCTGTTTTGGTTTGCATATTTTTTTGGAAAATGCAAGTCTCATTGATTTGTCCTTAAATGCAAACTGTCTCAAATTTCTCTCTAATGTCACTGCTGGGTTTTAAGAGAACTCTGAAAATGTCTTTCTTTCAGCCTGCTTTGGGGTAACATTTGGGGAAATAGCTGCACATGTGGATGGCTTTAACGAATGGTTAAATTGCCATGTTTTGGGCATTTGTTTTTTAATATATAGTTTGTTATGGCATCGAAAAGTGAAAATGCTGCGAAAACTTAAATATCAAAATACATTTTTTAAAAAATCCTGTGTTTTTCTGCATTTTTCAGTGTGCCCTGAAAGTCCTTTCAATAAATAAATGTGCATCACCTCTCAATCTACTCCAGGCTAAACATACCCAACTCCTTCAACCATTCCTCATAAGTCTTGATTTCCAGATCCTTTATCATCTTAGTCACCCTTCTGCTGCAGCTTGTCAATATCCTACTTGAACTGTGGTGCCTGGAACTAGACACAGTATTCCAGGTGGGGTCTGACTAAGGTGGAATAGAGTGGTACAGTCACTTCCTCTCTGGACACTATACCTCTGTTGAAGCAGCGTTACTAGGGTTGTATTACTTTTCTGTTGGTGCTGCATGTTTTCTGGAACATTGACCTGAGCTATGCACTTGAATGACATGATTCTCCCCACGCCTACCCCACTGTGGAAATCTAGAATATTTTATCGCCTCTCAACATCTGCTCTTTTCTATTTCCACTACCAAAACAAGACTCCACTCCAGTACGGGTCCTATTTACCATTCTTTAGGGCAGGAGGGTTTCCTGGCACAGCTGGGTGGATCAACTTTTATACCCAGCCCACTAAATCCTGAGATGACCTTTGGCACCAGCTGGAATTAGCTGAGGAGAGGCCATCTCGAGCTTGTTTTATCTGACATGAGCTCTCCCTGTGCTTGGTTGCAACTTGGCAAGCACTCTTCTACCCAACCTTGGTTAGTATAGGACTTGTTCTGTTTGTCGTTTACTTGGAGCCATATAGAGAGTCCCCCACGCAAGAGATTCCACTTGGCTTTGAATTTCTTGTGGGGATTGTTTGCCCATACTGGCCTTGGTCATCTGGTGGTTCTCCACTGCAAGGGGAAGTTACAGTGTCAGGTTCAGTAAACTGGGACAGAAGGAGAAATAATTGGTGAGCACCTTGAAGCAAGTTCTAGGAGATGAAGGGCTGCTTCATCAGACCTGTCCATCAATGGTTCATGGCTGGAGGGTAGGGACAGGAACCCTGCTCAACCAATCAAAGCCTCATGGCTAGAGGGGTGTGGGAAGAGTTCAGAATTCCCTCAATGTGCTAACAAGGAGTGGGGAATTAACTGCTCCAAGGCCTTGAACCACGGGAGCCCGTCCAACAAATCTGAGACTGAGGGATCACGTTCCTATCACTCAGATTTCTAGAGATTAATAAATTCAGACCATTCTGATAGCCTAACTGTTTCGCATAGCAGTCTTACCCATTTGAAGATCCAGTTAAAATAATTCAATACATTTGTTGCCATTCAAAACCCCAACTTTTGTTTAGCGTCTCTCTTTTACAGGTGTGTGGATGCCACGTGACACGTGAGTTTACTACACAATCTGCCTCTACCGAGGTTATTTGTGTGTATATATATATATATAAATTCCTTGGAAGGATAGCTTTTGTACGAACTGTCTTGTCTTTATTGAAGGCATTAGCATTTTTCATACAAATTTGCGTTTCTCCAATGGGATGAATGAAGCAGCCCGTTACGTCTACTCGGGCAACCAGGAGTCCACGCAGAGTTAAAGCTTCAGAGCATCAGCAAAACAGCCTGGTGTCGACGGACAGAGCAGGTGGGACTGCAGAATGTCATTTCCCACAAAGTATCAAACAAACATACGGTGGAAAGTAAGGAACGAGAATATCAAAAGAGCCCCCAAAGTCCCATCGTGTCGTTGCAACTTCAGAGCAAAGAGATCTGGATGCTTCATTTATTAACCACTGCTGCTTTTTTCATCATACAGGTTGGGAAATCTTCCTCCCATCCAGACCTGAACATCTAGCATCCCTTTAAAAACAAAACAAAAACTGAATTGCAATTCTGTGCACATTTGCATGACACCAGAGCTTGAATGCAGTGGGAGTGACTTCAGAGTAAATGTGCATAGGATTGCATTGGCGCAGTCTCCTTGACCCAAAATATCTGAGGGATGGATGCCCCAGTTCGGCTTTAGACATGCATAGTTAGCCATCAGGGCTGCAATGCTTTGCCATTAATAGATTCAGACCATTCTGGTAGCCTAAAAAATGTTGCCCCATTATTTGGGCAGATTTAAACTTTTTGCAAAATTGCTTTTTTAATTAAAAAAATTACAGTTATGTATCAAAATTGGCATCCCCACTGTGTGTGTGAGAGGGGAATTATGCTTCTATGATGATGCTTGCTGCAATATGTGTACACATCTTGATAAACAAAATATGCTCATTTGCTTTTTATTTATTTATTTGCCATGTAAACAGACTTTTCTATTTGGATGGGCGTTAACTGTTGGGGTGTCTGATCCAAAGGAGATGCACATGGCAGTAGTTGTTTATTTCTCCATAAATAGGGCCGCACAGCTCAGTAACGAAAACAATGGATATTAGCAAGCATCCTCAAAATAATTGCTTGACTTATGTCTTGCTTGCTAGATGTATAAAGTGAAGGTTTCTGAGCACTACTTCCATAAAACTTGTTTTCCCCAAGGAAGGACACTTTTCTGGTATTTGGGACACATCCCGTGTTACTTTTAATCAAGGAGACTTGCCGTATCACACTATCTGTACTTTGAAATAGAATCCTGCACTAAGAAAGGCTGGATTTGGAAACCAATATAAAGAATGCAAATAAACCCAATCTGCACAATGCCTCTTAATTTTGCAGGATTCCAAAATCTTTACCATTTTGTATAATCTGTTCCGATTTTTGTAGTCATAGGAGGTGGCCAGGAGCTGTCCAGAGCACTGAGAAGCCATCGCCAATCCCTGAAAATCCAACTCAGCAAAACCTCTGTCTTTAGAGAGTTCAGCAAGCATTTCAAGAATGCATCCGTGGTCTTGAAGACTGGAACTCAATCATGTGTTGTTGTTCTTTTTTTACAAAAAACAACAAAACACAACTAAGATGAAAGATCTCAGCAAGCTGAATTCAGTGCCACATTCTACACCCTTGTGAAACAGTGCCATTGGCACAGCCTTTTAAAAACTCTTGTAAAAAGTTTGTAGAAAAATGAAGGGTGGTTGCCTTTGCTTTGAACACAGGAAGCCACATGTTGCTATTCACAAAAGTAGCATTTCTCAGTATGAATGTTCAGTATGTTCAGAAAGGTGTAGAAGAGCCCTTTAATTTCAGCTTATGGTTTCCATCAGTTCCACCCTCAAATAATCCCCCCCCCCACTGCTCTGGCATTGATATCCAGCATAAGTGCCATAATATACCCTAGGCCTTGTTTGCCTTCCTCTTGGCTAGGAGTAACAATTTTGGTTTTTCATTTTTGCACAGTGACCTATTGAACTGCCTTTAACCCCTGCAGGAAAGTGGTGCCCTAAATCTTCTTGGAGGCACCATTGGTCATCTGAATGCAAAAGCCAGTGGCTGAATACAAAAGGGGGCTGGTTTCTATCGCATGTCTAGAAATCTGTACTCATTAGGGGTCTGCGAGGCTTGTCCCCACCCCAATTTCAGAATACCTTTTCCTTTGCTACTCTTTGCTTCATATTTCTTAGCATTTCATCCATCTTGGTATTCGCATTTGTTGATGTTGGGGGTTTCCCCCCAGTTTTAAACAGCACTACTTTGTTCCCCCAGCTTTGGTGCTGCTGCAGCTGTGCAAAGATTCATTCCTCCTGGCAGCAACCAGGCTATCCCCCCCCCCTTGCCCTGAACATTGTGTCATTTCAGGGCATTGTGGAACAAATAGTGATCCCCACGGAATCTGGTGGCTCCCATTTTGGCCAACATCACCACTCTGGAATGATGCAGATATTTGGGGAATGAATGGGGACTGCCAGGAATGGCTGCCAGATAAGGCAACCCTCCTAAATGTGCACAAAAGGGTGTTCTGGATAGGTCTCCCATCTGTCCCCCTTTGCATTGGGTGATGAATGCATACCCCTAGCCACCAAGAGTTCTCTCCTTTCTTTGCTAGTTCAGTCAGTGTCTTGGCCAATCGGGATTTTATGAGAGCAACTGAGACTGCAACTAGGGTCCTTCAGTGGTGAGATGAAGAGCGTCTTTGCAGGAAGACACTCTTCTGTTAATTATCTATGAAAAGTCTGTTACCCAGAGTGGGAGGTGGCTGATGGAGGAAAGGGAAGGAAAGTGGCCCCACAGATTCTGACACACACACGCACACACCAGCTGCAGGCCCAACTTCACAGCTAAGGGCACAGAATGAAGAAATGCTACCCACCCAACTCTCTTATTCTTCTGCTGGTAACCACCGCAATTTATGCTTTTAAAGTTCTGATTCACTGAACCAAGCTACAGAAAATAAATGTGGAAGTGTCTGTCCCTGTGTGCCGGGAGAGCAGGCTTACCTTTCCAGGTAAAATGAATTTGAACCACATTAGTCCTATGTGCTGAAATAATTTACAAGTGACCTCCTTCCATCTCAAAGCCACAGCCAGCCCACAACCTGAAGCTCACGCCTGACCCTTAAAAAAAGAATGGATCTGCATTGCCATTGACATCTGTCTCATCCCCATTTGTCGGCCAGTCCTCAGAAATATGGTCAAACCCCTTTGGAGGATAGACTTTTCTGCTGAATCACTTGCTGGCGGTGTCCGAAACCACTGTATGTATGTGTCTGAGATAGAGACAGAGTTAGTTCTAGTGGCTGACATTCTGAAGAATGGTGTGATATCTGGAGTGATTCAGTGTTGGGGTAGCCCTCTTGAAAATGCCTTGAAAGGGCTGGAGGATTGATGCTCTAAAAGGGAAGCCCCTTCTAAAGCTTCTGCTGTTTGGAGTGGAGTATCCAGGCACAAAGACATAGTGGTTGTTACAAAATCTGGTCTGGCTACCTTAGTCTTGGAGCAAGTAGCCTGTGTGCTTTCTTTCTCTTAGATAATCCCCAGAATTCATTCACTGTGTTTTCCTACAGGTAAGGTTAGACCAGGGATAAATTCAGAAACACTCTTTGGAGGCAGGCATTAGTCTGGAAACAATAAACGTAGGGTTATAAACAAAGAGCGAAAAACTGTACACGTCCCAATTTCCACTGTCAGTCCAAGATGGCGCACACTTTCCCACAGAAGGATGGTTGCCAAGATTTTGCACGGTCGCCTTCAAAGAGCTTCTTATAAGCTTTCAGAACACCACTGTTTCTTCAAATCTCCTGTGGTCGTTGTGAAAGATGCTGGACTTCAGCTCTCCTCCCAGTCTCGGTGGCATGGATCCCTTTCTAGGCTGTGATTGGTGCAGTCACAAGGAGATTAAGCCTGATGCTCTTCCAGCACACCGGTGTCCATACATGCACAAACAACACACAGGTGCCAAACTCCAGGCTGGCACATACACAATCGTTTTGTAGATGGGATGAGTTTGTGTAGGCTCTGCTCTGCCAGCAACTGGAGAAGTGGGAGCAGAAGCTTAGGAGGAAAGATGAAGGTAGGGGATGGACAACATGGCCCCATAGCTTGCCTTTTTAGTTTTCATTCTTTTCCTTGTATTCTCTTCTCTCCTCCTCCTCCTTGCTCTTACTCAAAAGTCTGGATGCAAAATGCATGTTTGGCACAAACCCAAAACAAACACTTGCCTGCGTGCTTCTGGCAAGGTGCTATCTGGTCTCCAGTGACTCCAGGTATTCCAGGGCTATGTCATAGCAGAAGTGGTACTGTTCCTTTAAGGGGGAGGGAGAGGAGAAAAGAAGGATTGTTAAGAACGGGCAAAGTGCACATTCACCAATGCTTTGCAGTGCATTTCCCCATAAAATAAGCATTTGGTACATAAGGTACACGTTCTTATAGGCACATTTTGTTCACCAAAACGGCATCACAAAAGTGCACAACTTGACTGGGAGTGAAGGCAAGTTCAGCTCAGTCCACTGCAAAAAGCATACCAAGCAAATTTCTCCTCTGTCTCTGACCCAGCCTTGCGAAAAATGCTGGAAAACACCCAGTGCAGGATTTACATATAAGCTAAACAAGTTATAGCTTAGGGCCCCACTCTCTTGGGGGCCCCCAAAAAAATTAAAGGAAAAAAACCCTGGATGTACATTTCCAAAATATAAGATAAAAAATAAATAAAATAAAACCTACATAAAGCAACAGTGTTTGTGTTGTGTAGGCTCCTATGATGTACATATTTTGTTATGTGCAAATGGCTTTAGATACCTATTAGGTCCATAAATTACCATATCATATATTCAACACAAAAAAGCGACAATTTGTTGTTGACAAAGGACGGCTAGACATGTAAAGGGCCCCATGACCTTCAGTAGCTTAGGGCCTCATCAAACCTAAACCCGGCCCTGAAAACACCTCCTGCTGGAGAAATTCACAACAATTTAATTTAATTCTTTATCAGTTTATTTATTTTTATATTGGTATCTCACCTTTCCTTCAAGAGATCAAGATGGTGTACATATTTCTGCTTCTCCCCATTTTATGTACCCCCAACAACTCAGTGAGAGAAGTTAGGCTAAGAGATGGTGACTGGCGCCAGGTCAGGATTAGTGATGAGCTATATATTAGTTCCAGGGTCACAGACAACATGGGTTGTATGTAACCAATGCTAGGCCTTCTCAGAGCAGACCCGCTATTTTTTCTTGTTGTTGTTCATTTCAGTGGGTTTACTGTGATGAAAATACAACACTGCATCTCTGAGAAACACTATTCAGTGAGGAACACTATTCACTAAAAACATGGGGTGTGGGTTATGACCCTCTTGTGCTGCTTGCGGGCCCCATGGCTGGCTGCTGAGGGAAACAGGATCCTCAAAGAGATGAGCATTTGCTCTGGTCTGGAACACAGCAAGGTGACTTGATACTGAATCAGACCACTGGTCCATGTAGCTCCTTATTGTCAGTGACCAGGCAATGTAGCATCCTCCACATAAGGTAAGGTAAAGGACCCTGGACGGTTAAGTCCAGTCAAAGTCGACTATGGGGTTACGGCACTCATCTTGCTTTCAGGCCGAGGGAGCCGGCGTTTGTCCACAGACAGTTTTTCCGGGTCATGTGGCCAGCATGACTAAACTGCTTCTGGTGCAACGGAACACTGTGATGGAAACCAGAGCACACGGAAATGCTATTTACCTTCCCGCCGCAGCGATACCTATTTATCCACTTGCACCGGCATGCTTTCGAACTGCTAGGTTGGAGGGCTGGGACAGAGCAACTGGAGCTCACCCCATCGCAGGGATTCAAACTGCCAACCTTCTGATCAGCAAGCCCAAGAGGCTCAGTGGTTTAGACCACAGTGTCCCCCATGTTCCCCATCCTCCACATGCTGTAATGAGGTGTGACAGGAGCTGTAGTGTCAAGAACATCTGAATCTCTCACCAACACAAACATTAAAATCAAGAATAAAACAACCTCAAATACATGAGGGATATATTAATTGCTTTGTCCATTAATATTTAATTTTATAATAAACACATAATTTTTTAAAAATGTCATCCAAATAAGAAGTAACCCTCTTCAGATCTTCCTGTACTGAGATCTCTTATGTAGAGTTTGAGTGTAGGGCTTGCAATGGTAATCTGACAGCTCTTTATCTGCACACATAGCTGAATATGGTTATCTCTTAACGTAACCTACCACACAGGGTTGTTAAGACAAGATGGGCATAAGGAAAAGATCCATACATGCCACTTCAACCAGGCCTTTGGCTGATTGACACCCAATGCCCTTTGAAAATGCATTGTGGAAGGCGGAGGTAATTAAGTTGTCTTTATTATTGTTTTTATTGTGTACTTTGTAGGCTTTTTAAATATATTGTGATTTTATGTTGTGAACGGCCCTGAGATCTGCGGGTACATGGCAGTCTACAAATTTAACAATTAATAAAAATAACAATAACTTTTCTAAGCAATGGTAGGCTATTGATCTCTTCCCCCTTTGGTGGCTGCGAACAGGGCCACAAAAGCCTTTGTGAAATGGGGTGGCATTTTTCGCTCTGCAGTAGCTGCAATCCTATGCTCACTTGCTTGGAAGTAAGCGCTATTGAATCCAGCTGGGAAATTCAGGTCCACTGGGGAAGATGGGCTAAGATTTCTCTGCGTACCTTCGTTGTCCAAAAGCAAATTTCAAAATGGAAAGGAACGTTGCTGTATAAAGGAAGAGACAACAAACTCTCATGAAAGCCAGAGTGCAAAAGAGTGATCTGCTATTAGGATGTCAGGAGAGTAGGAAGGAAGGGGGAGGATTTAGGCATCAGCGGAGTCCGCAACAGCCTGGGAAAGAGATGAAAGAGGAGCCAAGACCACATTTTGAAAGGGTTTCTCTGAAGTAGAAAAACGACAGCTCCTTTTAAGAGGTCGTCTATGCAGCAGAGTGCTTTTCTTTTATCTATATCCTGCAGCTGATATGATGGATAATTCTTTTGTATTATATGAGTTTCCTACTGGGATGGTCTGAGACTATCATACATTTATGCCACAGTCGGGGGGCTGTGTGAACTGTGGGCACCTTAAAAGCGAAAAGAAAAAGGATCGTGATTGATATTCTGGAGAAAATGATCTGGTGTCAGTGTTAGGTCTGAAGGCAACGGACCGGACATAGCAATGCCAATCATTTTGCAACCAATTGGTCAGAAATAAACACTCCTTGAAGCACCTGCTCTGCATTTTGTACCACGTGGCGTACTGCAGCCCAGCAATAGCTATGGCATGAAATTAGCTACATCTTGAGCCACCCAAAGCACAGGGCGGAACTACCCCAAACCCTGATTTGCCATGCTGGAGGGGGGGGTCTGAATCGGGCAGAGGCATCCCTCTGCTAGACGGTGGAAAAACTGCACCACAAAATTCAGAGAAGTGCAAATTTCAAAGGATATCTGTTTTGGTTTGTGTGTTAGTTTGAAAAATGCAAACTAGGTAGTTTCCCATTAAATGCAAAAAAAGAAAAAAGAAATTCTCTCTCATCCCAGCTCAGCTGGAAGAGGGGCTAAGGATGTGTCTGTGGTTGCCCTGCCCCCCGGGGAGAGGCGATTGAATTGCTCTGAAAATTCTTGATTTCAGTCTGCAAGATTAAGCCAATGGCCCATCTAGTCCAGCACCCTGTTCTCACAGTGGCCAACAAGATGCCTATGGGAAACCTGCAAGCAAAACCCAAGCACATTAGAACTCTCCCCACCCCACCTCCATGGTTTCCAGGAATTGATATTCAGAAGCTTTACTGTAGAGGCAGAGCATAGTCACCATGACTAGTAGCCATCGATAGCAATATCATCCGTGAATTTATCCAGCCCTCTTTTAAAGCCAACCAAACTGGTGGCCATCACATATTTTAACTAGGCACTGCTTTGAAGAACACTTTCATCTTTCCTGAATCTTCCAACATTCAGCTTCATTGGAGGTCCATGAACATTATAAGAGAGGGAGAAAAACATCACCTATCACATCACCTCTTCCTTGTCTTTTCTCTAAACTAAAATCTGTACACCAAGAAGTCCCAAACACAGCAATCTTTTCTCATATGATAGTTGCTCCATCTGCCATCTGCTTCATCATTTTGGTTGCCCCTTTTACTTTTTCACTGAGATGGTCGATCTGTGTCTGGGTTGCACTACAGGTGACAACCATTTTGCATGGGGGTTCTGTTCCTGGCCCCCTGTTATGCCCCATTCCACACCACCACCACCCTGTTCTGCCCTCTTCCAGGTCCAAAAGGACCCACACGTAGGCAGCCGCATGTCAATTGGACGCGAGCAAAAATGTTGCCGCCTGTACTTCAGACTGCAGACAGGGGTTCATGCAATGGACTATGCCCTCCCAATCATTCTGACTTGGCCTTTAACATGTGGAGGGAGCAATTAAGATATAGGCAACAACAGAAGTTTGGCTGGCTGCTAGAGAAGGCATTCCATCCAAACTCTTAAGTACAATTCCTTCAATGGAAGCAGCAGCCAACTTTTTAAGAAACCAATTAGTTTCTTGTGGGTTGGGGAAACCTGAGCCCAGAGCCTCAGGTGCCAGTGGTCTCCAGAAGGGAAGAGAATCAAAGAGTGAAGGCAACTATACAAGAGATTAAACAACTATCTAATGCTTTTGGATTAAGAAAAAGAAGAAGAAGAAGGTTGCTTTCCTTGATGGCAGCATTGAAACATCAAAGTTCTGTAGCAGAAAGGATGTACACAGGGGCCAGATCCTCTGCGGGTGCAAATCAGTGAAACTCTACTAATAGCAAAACAGACAAGATCTCATTTACTCCTGTGGTGGATCATTAAATTAAGTCTTCAGGAAACAGCCTTTGCAGGTTCAGCTGAGGTTGGGGAAAGATTGTGTTCCGGATGAAAACACTAGTTTGCATCTGCTAATACCTTGCAATTTAGCCCAATAGGCTGTCCGACTCTGTGCCAGTTCTTGCATTTTTTTTTATTGCTTTCACTTAATTCCTATCCTCCCCCCCCCCGCATCCCCCTGCTCCAATTGTGGTTTTAATTCCTAATGCAATCACATCCACCCCAAAAGACATTTCATTTTGCAAGGTAGAAATTTGATAATCCAGACTTCACAAATGTCATATTCCACCCCCACCCCCCGCCGTCGCCATTCCAGTTCTGTTCCTGGCATGACTCGCTACTTAAAGCAAGAAAATAAGATTCCGGCATTGCAGATGTGTGTGCTTAGAAAAGCAAAATGTTCATCCGTAGGGTTTGGCTCTAGAACTGCACCAAAATGCACCCCTCCCAAATCCACTACCCTGTTTGCAAGCATTTATCAAGTTTTTGAGTGCATGGACTGTGAATGGGGTAGAAACATACTGGATTTTTCGCCCCATAAGACGCACCAGACCATAAGAGGCACCTAGTTTTTGGAGGAGTAAAACAAGAAAAAAAGTATTCTGAATCCCAGAAGCCAGAACAGCAAGAGGGATCTGGCTTCTGGGATAGCTGCGCGAAGCCTCTCCCGGGCAGCGGGATGAAGGCTCCCGCTGCCCGGAAGAGGCTGCGCACAGCTAAGCCAGAAGCCAGGACAGCAAGCGGGATCTGGCTTAGCCGCACGAAGCCTCCGCAGGGCGGCGCAGCGCTCCCTCTCGCTGTTCTGGCTTCTGGGATAGCCGTGCAGCCTGCATTTGCTCCATAAGATGCACACACACCCCCCCTTACTTTTTAGGATGGAAAAGTGCGTCTTATAGAGCAAAAAATACGGTACCTTTCAATTACGACACCAACAGTCCCACTCCCATCTACAGCTGGGTGCTATATTTGCACTATTTTTTATTTTACTTTTACTCACACAAGACAGGCTGTATCCTAGGTTCCACTCAGAGTAGAACCATTGAAACGAATTGGCCTAAGTTAGTCATGCCCATTCATTGCAGTGGGCCAACTCTGAGTAGGATTAACACTGTGTACAATCCATTGCCCTCATCCTCATTTTGATTTGGCTTGATCTCAATAGCTCAGTTAGCAGAGCAAAAGACTCTTAATCTCAGGGTTGTGGGTTCAAGCCCCATGTTGGGCAAAACTTTCCTGCACTGCAACAGGTGGAACTAGATGATACTTGTGGTTCCTTCCATTATGGAAGTCATAGCCGCATACAGGAGGCGTCCAATGCAGGCACGGACCCAACTTAGATTTGTTTAGCTTTAGCAGGCTAGCTCCATTGTGTGCCCTCAGGCAATTCCTTGCAGCCAAGAAGGCCTTCTAGACATCTCTATGTGACCTTCAGAACTCTCCCCAGGCCACACCCATCTCCCTAGGCCATGCCTCTCACTGGCCCTGCTCCATACCCTCCTCAAGTGCCTTGAACTGTGATCTTGCCTTTTCTTCTCTTGCTTGCCTGCTTGGATCTTTGACTTTTGTCTGGCTGGAATGTAGCCTGCTGATCAAAGTCCTATCCCATGTTCCATCCACATTTTGCCCCTGGTCCCACCCACCAGTGACATGTGTCCCTTAGGTTTCTCTTGATGGAATGCAGCTCTCAGGTTGACAACAGATCCCACCTCAGATCTACAGCATGACTTAGCATCATGTTGAATTGCCCTCCACAACCTGATCTTCCCAATATATAATGTGCCAAATTAGGGACAGTAAACAGCAGCAGTCCTGGTGGCTCATCACGCAGGGCCATCCCACAGAGATATAAAGGTCCTGGATTCTATCCCCCATGACTCCTGGCAAGCATGTATTAAGCTAGAGAGAGAGGAAGGTTTGGAAGGTGAGCTTAGAAACTCTTTGGAAGAGAACTGGTCAACCCTCAGCCACCAACCCTATCTGCTATCTTTATGCTTGGGGAACCTTGAATGTCCACCTAGGGCCTTCCATGCCCAGCTGAAGCTCCCTTCAAATGGAAGCCTCATCTAGCATCTATGGTCACACTAACCTTCTGCCAGTTAAAGAAAACAGCAAGGCTTTCTTTCATTCCTGGTCAAGACTATGATATCAACCACTAGTAAAAAATGACCCTGCAAGATCAGAACAGAAGTTCAGCATCCTGTTTATCACAGTGGCCAGCTAGGGATGCCCAGCCACAGGGCATGAAGTCAACAGCCCTCTGCAGCAACTAGTATTCAATGACATCGTGCTGCTGAGTCTGGATAGCTCAGTTGGTTGGAGCCTGCTGCTAATTACTACCAAGGATGCAGGTTCAATCCCCATATTGGACAGCTGCATATTCCTGCATTGCAGCAAGTTGGACTAGATGATCGTCAGGGGTCCCTTCCAAATCTATAATTCTATGAATATTGAAGTTCTCTTGAGCTACCATGGTTGATAGCCATTTACCAACATATCTTACAAAAGGGGTGCAAGCTAAAGGTCATGATCTCAGTTTGAGGTATACTAAAGGCCCAGTATACCTGAAGGAGCATCTCCACCCCCATCGTTCTGCCCAGACGCTGAGGTCCAGTGCCGAGGGCCTTCTGGCAGTTCCCTCACTGCAAGAAGCAAAGCTACAGGGAACCAGGCAGAGGGCCTTCTCAGTAGCGGCACCCGCCGTGTGGAATGCCCTCCCATCAGATTTCAAAGAGACATTTAGAAGACATCTGAGGGCAGCCCTGTTCAGGCAAGTTTTTAATGTGTGACATTTTAATGTATTTTTAATCTTTATTGGAAGCTGCCCAGAGTGGCTGGAGAAACCCAGCCAGATGGGTGGGGTACAAATAATAAATTATTACTGTTATTATTATTATTAAGGCAGAAAATTCTGTCATTTCCTGCCAATTCCACAGAGCTGCAAAATTTTCAAAAGGCACAGGCAAAGGAAACTGTGCTTTTGTTACTTACAAAGGTCTCAACCATATTTGGCTTGTAGTTGCGGAGGGTCTTTGCAGCGAAGAAAACATCCACCAGCTTGTGACACTTGATCATCTCCAAGATCATGGTGCAGGCACAGTAAGTGCCGCTTCGGCCTCCCCCGTTTCTGCAGGAGAAATTAAATGCAAGGGAACAGTCAGCATATTAAAGCAGCCCAGTGGTTACAGTATTGGGAGTAGGACCTTGGATTCTAGAGCTCAAATCCCTACCCAGCCATGAAGCTCACTGGGTGGCAGTGGGTCTGTCACTAACCCTCAGCCTAGCCTACCTCACAAGGTTGTTGTAAAGAAAAAATCGGAGGAGGAGAGCCATGTATACCACCTTAAGCAACTTAAAGGGAAGATACGATATAAATGTAACAACAGCAACAGAATGGTGAACTGCTTTTTATCCAGCAGTGGAGAGAGAGAGAAAGAAAGAAACAAGCCAAAGTAATGTATAGGTATCCAGTGCTTTTTTTTCCCTTAAAAAATGTTTAGGGGTACTCTCATTTTGACTCAAGAAAATCACCATTTTATAGTTCAAATCGGGGAAAATAAATACAGTAAATGGACAAAAGCACAAAGATTCACAAAATGTTTAGGGGTATGCGTACCCCCTCGTTCTCCAAGGGAAAAAAAAGCACTGCATGTACCCAACCCAAAGGATAACTTTAGAGAGCTGAAATTAGGCACACTTCCTACATTCAATAAGTAAGGCTCCACAAATCATAAGGGATTTGGACTTGAAATTGTTTTTTATCTATGTTTTTCATTGTTCTTTTTTTATTGTTAATCACTTCAGGATATTGTATGGGAAGCAATGATAAATAAATAAAGAAATGGACTTGATGGTCACCTTGAGCCCAATCTTTAAGGCTTTTGCGTTGGGGAGGAAAAGGATGCAGGAACAGTGGCTTCTCTAGATTCTAGCCAAACCTTGCATAAGGCACGTGAATAGACGGCAGCCAGATGGCAGAAGTGGGGACTAAACTGGGGCTGTTTGTTGAACTCCATACCCATTGAAAGCAATGGTACTTAAGACATGACTCGATTGCCCCATTGATTGCAATAAGACCTAAGTTCAGCTGAATCCAAAGCTGAAAGCCGAAGCTCAGTACCATTTTGTGCTTTTGGAAGTCTTGAACGGAGGACTCTTAAAAATCTGTAAGTTCTCAAAGTCTGGTTTAATAATTCCAACCAGGTCAAGAAATGCAGAGCAGAAGCCATCACAGTAAGTTATGCCACGTTTTAGGCTTCATCACTGTTTCTCCCCCCCCCCCCCCTGTAAAAACTGTTGAAATGATTCATTTGAGTTTTGTCTAAAGGATTTCAAAGTTTGCAGCCATGGTTTATGCAAGAGGCTGCCGAAGATTTGCTTGCTTCCTTAGAAAAGGGTCTTAAGCTCAGAATGCGCTCACCTCCCCATGTTGCATAATTACCCTGGGCTTTCCAGAGTAGCCACTTTTAAGGCTCTGGATCAAGGGGTTTGCTGTCTCTTGGGTGTAATTAAATATAGGCTGGTGGCAATGATTGAGAAATAATCCTTGCTAAGAGGTTAAATTGTTGAGCAGACTCAGAAGGGCTGTTTTGCTCCTATGCAAATACAGATGGGAGTCCAAAGAAAATGGAGAGGGCGGGGAAAACCCTCATCCCACCAAAAGTCGGAGCACTTTGCTAATGGGGATAATACCAGCATTATTATATGATGGTGGTAATGCAGCATTTCAAACTCTTAAGCAAAGTATTATATAAATACTAAGCATTACATTATTTGTATTAGTGCAGGGATCCGGTATTTGGGCAAGTCAGTTTCAGGACTGCTTGGGAAAATAACTCACAGACATAAGAAATGCTGGGACAAAAATAACATACAGAAATAGGAATCATCTCCCAGCATGATCTGAAATCTATAAAAATTTTGAATGGGCTCTGCATCTTACCGTTATTTAAAATGAGGCGCCGGAGGGTGTTGTGTTTCTGTATAACAAAAATAATCAAAGACCCTTTTTGCCTCTGCTTCAATATTTTTATTCTGTCTTCTCTTCTGTTATTATTTTATTTTTCATTAAAAAAACACCAAAGCTTTGCCATCGTTCAAGTGGTAGTGGTACCGCCTTCTGAACAGCCCGGCTGCATTTGCTGCAACATTGCCTGGTGGGAATGGCACATTGCATTTTCTGGGAGAAAAAATTGGCTACCCCATTGACCAACAGAGGCAGCCCTCATTTCTTCTTGCTCCCCAGAATGTTCCCACCCAGGAATGACACTACATTGCGACTCCAGAAGAGACCAACGAATGCCGACACAATTTTTGCAGAGAATCTCCTTAATCTCATCTTGTCCACTCAGAACACAGCAGTGCCTGTGGAGCGTTGTCTTTCTTCCTACTGTGGAGAAATCTGAAATGCTAATAGCCTGCAACAAGGAGGTGAAGAGCCAGATTTCCTGCACTGTGGCAATTTTCAAGAATGGCAGCAAAATCAGGCCATGGCTCAGTGGGAGAAAATATGATTTCATGCAGGAAGTATAGTGTACATGCACACGAAAGCTCATACTATTAACAAACTTAGTTGGTCTCTAAGGTGCTACTGGAAGGAAATTTCTTTAGGAAGTATAGGGTTCAAGCCTCAGTATCTGCAGGAAAGGCTTAGTAAAGGTAAAGGGACCCCTGACCATTAGGTCCAGTCGTGGACGACTCTGGGATTGTGGCACTCATCTCGCTTTATTGGCCGAGGGAGCCGGCATACAGCTTCCGGGTCATGTGGCCAGCATGACTAAGCCGCTTCTGGCAAACCAGAACAGCACACAGAAATGCCGTCTACCTTCCCGCTGGAGCAGTACCTATTTATCTAATTGCACTTTGACGTGCTTTTGAACTGCTAGGTTGGCAGGAGCAGGGACTGAGCAATGGGAGCTCACCCCGTGACGGGGATTTGAACCGCCAATCTTCTGATCGGCAAGTCCTAGGCTCTGTGGTTTAACCCACAGAGCCACCCGCGTCCCTATAGGTAAGGCTTGGGGTGGGCCAAATAAAAATGCACTCGTCCCCTGGGGCTGAGGTTCCCCATCCCTCCTTTAAAGTTACAGTATAGGTTTTAATAGCTCCACGTTAGCCAAACCAAACAGCTGCAAATGACATCAATACTATCTCAAGCTCCCAGAGCAAATCTGAGCAACTTTATTTATTCCTTCTTCAGCAGCAGTTTTGTTTTGTGTAAAGTGATGAGACCCAGTGAAGCTCAGACTTTCCTTTTCCCCCTCCTCGCCCACACTCCCCTATTATTTCAGGCATGTTGCCAGTTTACACTGTAAAATCTGCAGGGCATGGATTCCCATCAGAGCTAATAAATCCTTTACACCTGATATAATCAAATTAGCCAGACACATGCAAGATTGCTGTTTGTAAGCCAGAGGTTGCTTCTTCTTCTTCTTTTCTCTCTCTCTCCTGTCTCTCTGTTGTCTCAACTTTGCCCTCTGGAAAGCTCTGGATGTTGCAAATACACTGCCAAATTATCCTTCGGCTAACGAAGACAGACAAGATGGTAATTCATTTTTGATTAAAAGCTTTCTGGGTGCCCCAATCAATTTGGAAATGTAAAAGTTGCCTCATATGTATACCTTTTTTTAGGAGGGGCAGGTTTGAAACCATCAACATATGAGGATCAATAGACTTTTCCACCACTTCCTCAGAACCTACATAGAGCTAAATCTTGTTAATGATAAACAGTTGGCCATTCTGAACACCCTTTCAAAAGCCTGGAGAGCACCAGGTTGGCAAAGGCTATACTACAAAAAGAACGATTTTGTTGTAACACAACACTGCACCAGCATTGCAAATCCTTCTTAACAATTAAACCAAGAGGTAATAGAACTGGAGGTGGCTTGCTAAAGTGAACACCACCTCCTTCCAACGGAGAAGGACGGAAGAGTAATGAAATCCTCTCTATACAAGATTGGATTCAAAAGCTGACAGAATATGCAGAATTAGATGGCCTATCAGAAAAAATAAAGAATAAATCAAAACAGGAATTTGTTTCAAAATGGGAGGTTTTCAAGGAATATTTGAAATATAAATATAGTAGTTTAAACTCGGTTGCAGCATTCAAGGAACTTCAGTAATAGTTGCAAGGCAGATATAAGAATTAAGATCTATTAAGAAAAGGTTTAATTATGATAAAAGTGTGTATTGGCAATAAGTTATATGAAATCGAAATATGGAATAGACGGGAGGTTGGGTCTTTAGTGTTAAGACCAATTTATGTCTTATTGTTTGTTAAGAAAATTCTGTGTCTATTGCTATTTCTGTGTGTAATTTGGTATTTCTGTTTTCTCTTTTTTTCTTTTCTTGCTGTATCAATAAAAAAAATAAAAAAGAGAAGGACGGACCCTTGTCCCCCTCCCCACCCCGCAAGGTGACACTTACAAACAATGGACGATTGTCCTTCCATCGCCGCTCTCCCCCTGCCACTTATCCACTTGGGCTAATAAATGCAGGAAGGACTTCTTTGAATCAGGGGTGTCTCGGTAGGCTGACCACCGCAGGTACTGGAAGTGTCGAACCATCAGGTGCCCTTCCTGTAACTAGAGAAAGCACATCATTCCCCCACTTTAGGGTAGCATGCTTAGGTGAGATGTTTTCAGGCTTTTTTGACACACGACCCTTCTTGAACTACAACCTAAAATTTGTGTGTGCACACAGACAGACCTTTTCTCTCCAAAGCAGCCTTCCTTACCCTGGTGCCATCCATATGTTTTGGACAGGGGGCTGGTCCACTTGGGCAAATGGGGCACCACCCCACCAACCACAGCCTGCCACCAACCAGTCCTCATTTGCCTGCCTTCTTACTTACAATCAGTCCAGGGGGTAGCACCGGCTGTTAGCTTCCTCCTCCTTGTAGAACTTAGCAGGGAGAAGGATGGGGAAATTTCTAGATTAGTTGGCGCTGCCTGTTGTTGGCTCTAGTGCCATCCACTGTTGGTCTCCCTGCCTTCTGCCCTACCAGTCGCAAAGGGCATCAGCCACCACTGGTTTTGGACTACAACTCTCATGCCCACTGGTCATGCTGGAAGGGTTGGTAGTCCAAAACAATGGGGGAAGGGGCACCAGCATGAGGAAATATGCTCTATTGTCACCAGATATATGATCAGCAAGGTATTATATCCCATTGTGTAGAATAGGGCATTTTAGCTATCACTATTGCTTATCATGGTGCCTGCTGAAATTCTCTATTTCTATGCAACTAGTGAATGAAAGGAGACTATACTTCTGGTCTTCTTCCAAAAAATAATAAAAAATGAGGGTAAACGAGGGGTCCCATTGTCGCAAGTCCTATCACAGGTCACAATATCACTCATGTGTGGGCCCTGATCCAGCAGTTGAAGATTTTTTACTTTTATTACCTTGCATTGCAGTTAATTTTTCAGGAAAGGAGATATTCTACTCTGACAAAGGCGATCTCCAGCAAGGTACAGTCAAGGGCTTCTGGACTGGGTTGTAATAAACTTCAGACTTCAATATTGTAAATCACTTTAAGTTTACTTTTCATTTTATTTTACTTTTAAAGAAAGTGACTAATAAGCATGATCAATTACTACCATCATCTCTGTAACTAGAAAACTCCTACATGGGATATGAGACAATCAGATGCTCATATGAGTGCATCAACATTCTTTGTGTATGCTGTACTTGCGCAAACTGTTAAGGTAGAGGGAGAAAATGGCCAAAACAAAGAGAAGGAAATCAAACCCATGTTAAGCTGATGGGGATGCTGGAGAATTCTGACAAAAATGGAAATGGGAGTGGAAATCACCAGCGCTTTTCATCCCATGATGGGAATGGCAATCAATCCACTGAATATAACCAGCATTCACTGTTGTTATTGTTGTTGCTTTCAATCAACAGATGATATGTAATTGATTATGTTCCCTTTTTCTCATTTGCATTGTGTTTCTTTTGCATTGAAATGAATGGGATGGAGAAAATAACATAATGACACCATAATGAATGATGTAAACTATTAAGGTGTGTAACTTCAGCACAGTGAACTGTGAGGTGATTAATATGGTTTTTGGCAGAAGCTGAAGTGCAGTGGAATGGAGACACTGCCGCATGCGACAAATACAGGACGGAATGGAAAATGCTCCCATACAATGTGCTAGTTGCAGAATTAATTTTAGAAATTAAATATAAAAGAAGGGCAGGATGCAACACGGGGCCATGTGGAATGGAAGCAATGGTATCTTCTCTTTTCTTTTTTTCTTCTTTTTTGAAGGGTGAGGGGTGGTGATGGCAATGGTATCCTCTCACCCACAGTTCAGATTTGTCATAATAATGAGCTTATTCTTAGGTATTGCCCCCCCCACTCATTCTCTCACAAACACACAACACCAAAAGTGACAATGTCAGTCCTGGCAACGATGGCTGTCAGCAGCACCTGTTTTTATACATTTGGTATTCTCTGCAAACAAAAAAAAATCTCGAAAGGGAAGGGAGGCTGTGAGAGGAAAAGGATGCTCTTTAATACTCTAGTAATCTGGTTAGCTTTGCAATCTAATGTGGTTAGGGGGCTCTGGAAGGAGAGGGATTATGTGCACACAGCTAAGTGAGCCCAGGGTTTAAGCAGGTGGATGCAGAGCCCAGTACCAAATCAGAGGCTTGGGAGGGAAGAATGAAAATACTATGAGAATCAAGAGTGGCTTATGAGATGAATCTCTGGGACTGGCACTAAAGCTGTCATTAATGCTTTATTAATGGGCTGGGGCAGGAGAGGCACAGAACTGGAGAGAAGGCAATCAGTGACAGATTTCTGAGCCATCAGCAAAGAAGACTCGATGTATTTACCCATACATTAGGACTTATGCACTTGGATGAGTTTAGCCAAATTTTCAAGGTGAAATGGGGATAAAAGACCCCATAAACCCTCCAGAAATTTGAAGCTCCTGTTTTGTGTGTTCAGATTGTCACTCTGGCACCACTGTTTGCTTGCAGAGGCATGTCTAGGATTCCTTGCACCCCTGGCAAGGAGCTGTTTCAGTGGCCCCACCCCCCAAAAAAAATCACTTTACCACACTGTGGGAAGGACAGAAAACTTCTTTCACATGTTGTCACACACATATACATTGTACCCTCCATAGTCCAATAGGTGATTTTTGACCCCCCCCCCCCGGCCTGTGCCCCTAGCAGACACTGGTTTCTCCAACCCCTAAGTATGCTTCTGTTAGTTTGTGAGGGGTTTTGTCTAGGCTCCTTCCCAGAAAGATTCCAGCTAATCAGGGATTACATGGGCAATGTAATGATATCCTGGCACTGGGTAGCCAATCAGATGTGGATACAGGATGATGATTGATAATGATATAATTGACATGTTTTGCTCCAGTTTAAACTAGGGCTAGAGCTAAAATGGCCACATTCCATTCACCATCTCTACAATTTGAGGTTGGCTGTTTTCATGCTCAGTTTGGAGGGGCTGTGATATGGCCCCCAGATAAGATATAAGGAGGGCTCTGTGAGTACAGAGAAAAAAAGTGGGTTGGAAAAGACTGTGGTTGGGTGAGAGATGGTGGGACAATGGAGTGGCAGAAGATGCTTGAAGAAAAAAATATAATTGCCTAGATGACGCTCCCCTCGCCCACCCTATATAAAATGTACCATAATGGAAAGCTCTCACAAATTCCTTTGGACTCTGTCTTATAATGCATTACTGAATAAAGTCTAATTGGCTTGCATTTCCGTACTGAATCCACAAAGGGGAATTTTCTCCCACAAAACAGAATGCATGGGGGGGGGTGGAGAGGCAGTCTTCAGTGACAGATTGTTACATATTCTCTGGGTTGATATGGGACAAATAAGAGAATGCAAACATTTTCTCCTTCAGTTTCCATTTTTATCAGAATTCTCTGGCATTCCTAGCTACAGCGAATTTTAATTTACCTCAGAGCAGCTGAGGAAGGCAGAAGCCAAAACAATTCTTTTCTTTTCTTTTTTCTTTTGCTTAAAGACTTTAATATCTTTGTTTTGTTAATCACTGCAAGAAATATATGGTTTTAGTGATTAACTGCATCCTTCTGGGATCCAGAGCAAATTTGTCTAAAGTGCTGATCGATGCTTTAAAAATTGTCCGTGTGTTTGTGTGTACACATTCCCAGGTGCTGACACACCTCAGAGTTGTCTCAGCAATGGAAAGGTTCCCTTTCCTCCTCAGTCATCAAAAGTCAAAATGTTTTGCTTTAAGACTTTAATATCATTCTCCCCCCCCCCCGTATTGCTTCCCCCCCTTTCCTTTATTTTCAGAAAGTAGAAAAATGCTGAAGCAGATAAAATATTAATCAAAGATATTAGAGGTACAAAAACATAAGAGGGAAGGAAAGGCAAAAGAAAACAATGAGCCAGAAGCCTGAAGTCTTTGCACACAATAATAAAACAAATATTTGGCCCCTCATAAAGAGAGAAGAAAAGATTTCACCTTATTCCATTCAAAACTTGGATAGTTTAAATATGAAATATTAAAACTGTAAGAGAAATGGTTAAAAACAGATATCGGTTGGTTCTGTTGGTCTTTAGCTGGTAGGATGGGACTAACAACAGGGTCACAGCCTGATCTAAGTTGGGTTGAAACAGCAGCACTACCACCTTAAAAATGTATGGGGGTTTTTTTTTGGGGGGGGGGAGTAAGTTATGGGTTCCAAGTGGACTAAAGGTGGGTCCCAGGTCTGAAAAGTTTGAAGGCTACTTAAAAATGCAAGAGTCAATCAAGCATCAGCTTCTCCTTTCTGGGTTGGGAAACATGTGGTCCTTCATAGAAGAATGGAATTTTAGAGTTGGAAGAGAGCACCAACCATTGGGAAGTACTGGATTTCTTGCAACCTCATAAGCACCCCTTATGGCAGAATGAGGCAGCTGCCACAGGAAGCAGGCATTGTGGGGACTGGCAATGGGGGTGAGGTGTTGCAGAGCAGAACTGTGTCTGTGGCCTGCTCTGTGCTCCCAAAGCTAGGCTGCTGCCCTCAGATGTACTGGTGGGCACCAAGTTGAAGTAAGAGTCAGCTGCTAGTCCAGTCAACTTTGGTACATGGAATGGGTGGGGAGTGCCATTTTGGCTTGGGCCAGCCCTGCCATGGAATGTGTTGTTACAAAGCTATTGAACCTTATTGAGTATATATTCTGTTCTCCATTCTCACCTCCAGTCTAGAAACATTGGCGGCTCCTTTGTCCCAAGCAACCTTTCCTCCTGACTGTAGCAATGGGAGAGAAAGGAAGCAGGGCTCACAGCAAGGGCTGCACCAAGAGTCCAGCTGCCTTTGTCCCCTCCTCTTCCTGAACTGTCTTCATCTCAGCAGGTTGTTATATGAAATAAATGGTGCCCGACGGCTTGTTTCCCCCCCTCTCCTCTTTTCCTTTCATGTTGTGTCTTTTAGATTGTAAGTTGGAAATAGGGACTGTGGTTTGCTTGTAACTCATGTAAGCCACTGGGAGATTAATTTTAGTTTTGTTGAAGATTAGGTTAGTATTAGTATTAGTATTAGTATTAGTATTAGTATTAGTAGTATTTTAGTATTAGTATTAGTATTAGTATTATTAGTATTAGTATTAGTATTAGTATTAGTACAGTGGTACCTCGGGTTACATACGCTTCAGGTTACAGACTCCGCTAACCCAGAAATTTTACCTCAGGTTAAGAACTTTGCTTCAGGATGAGAACAGAAATCGTGCTCCGGTGGCACAGCGGCAGCAGGAGGCCCCATTAGCTAAAGTAGTGCTTCAGGGTAAGAACAGTTTCAGGTTAAGAACAGACCTCCGGAATGAATTAAGTACTTAACCCGAGGTACCACTGTATTTGTATTAGTATTAGTATACATACATACATACATACATACATACATACATACATACATACCCCAGCCACTCTGTGTAGCTAACAGTAAATATGCTAACAATAAATAATATAAATAGCATCTTTAGGGATACTCAGCCAGATTTTACTGAAGGACTGATTCTGGCAACAGAATGCTGGGCTCGATGAGACCTTAGTCTGATCAAGTAGGGCAATTTTTAAGGCCGAAGCATCTGTATGTCAGGCAGAAATCCAGCTGCTTAAGCTTCTCTCCATTGGGCCTCCAGAAGTCAAGGGCTCCTAATCCACTTCCTCCCTTTTAGCGATCCCAGTAAGGTTCTGCTCAGATTCAGTTTGGGGAGTGGCACAAAATACAGTATTTGCGGCACAGTACGAGCACAAAACTTTGGCAACAGTTTGGAGGGGATCCGAAATTTCCGCATTACACGTTAATGAAGCTGTTGCAAGTCACACTTTTGGGAAACTCTAACCCTTGACTAAATGACTAAACAACAACAAACCCTTGACTGTAAACTTGGCAACTTTCACTGGTACTCCTGCCTGAGAAGGAACACAATTGGGGAGAGAGGGAAAGAGGAAGCTCCTTTCACTGGGTCATGTGATTTGTCTTTCCAGTTCATTCCTATCTAGTCTGACTGGCTGGGCCTTCCAGAATTTTAGGAATACATCTTTCCTATCACCTGTTAACAAGAAATGTCAATATCCTTTTAATGGGACATGCAAGGATTGAACCTGGGACCGTCTATGCAAAGCATGTACCCCTGCCATTGAGTTATTATCTGTGCCCATGTTATCTTCTCTTTTTCTTGGCAAGCCAAGATGATTCTGCTGGCTGCCGAGTTTCTTGGGAGACAGAGAGAGGATCTGCTGTTGTTGACATTTAGTTCCCTGAGCATCCCATTACCATAGTGGCTGCCTGCAAATTATTCACATAGTTACCTGCAAGATAAGTGTTGGCAGGAGCTGGAGAATGTGGTGGCATCTGATACTTATTAAAAACAGCCCCTGCAGCTTCAGCATGGGAATGAGACAAGAAAGACCTGTGTCATCTCCATGCCAAACCAATTATGCAAGACAAGGAGAAGAGGACTCAAAAGCAATAGAGAATGCTTTAAAGGACTGGGCTCTCTGAACAGACTTGGGGAAAGGCGGAGGAAGAGAGATTTTGTATCATTCTGCCAAACTTGGGATGGAGAGCACTCCATCACTTGCAAACCTGAAAATGAAGTTTTCTCAAAATCTAGAGATTTCTGAAAAGGAGGTGTTTTAAGAGCTCTGCTGGGTCAGGCCAGTAGCACGTCTAGTCCAGCATCTTATTCTCACAATGGCCAATTGGATGTTCATAAAAGGTCCACAAGCAGGACCTAAGCGCAAGAACATTCTCTCCACCTGCTAGTCCTAGCAGCTGGGAGCAAACTGCCTCCAATCGTGGGGGTAGAACATAGCTGTCATGCCCCCCTATTATTGTACCATAGCTTTGACCATTCCTGGAATGGGAGAACTTGACCACAGTAGTTCAGGCATTGGTCACTTCAAGGCTGGGTTACTGCAATGCACACTATGTGGGGCTTCATTTGTGCTTGATCCAGAAGCTGCAGTTAGCTGAGAATGCTGCAGCATGGTTTCTAACAGGAGTGAGAACCTGTCAGTAAATATAACACCTCTGCTCAGATATCTGCACATATTGCTGTTTTCTTACCGGGCCAAGTTCAATGTGTTACTATTGGTATATAAAGCCTGTAAGAACTTGGGGCCAGTTTACTTGCAGAACTGGGAGACACTCCTGCTGGAAACTTGTAGAGCTGCTCTCAGTCAGGTAGATAATACTGAGTTAGATGGACCAATAGTTTGAGATGATATAAGGCAACTTAGGCATGTTCAGTCTAAGAAAAAAGAATTATACGCCCAAGACCAACATAATCTCAAAACAGCATGGTATTGTTGAGCTTCTCACCCGTGTTACATTCTGAACCCGGAAAAGACGAGCGATAACATCCTCATCAGCTGACCTAGAAACGTATTCCACTTCCATTGGTCCATACTGCTGGAGTCCTGGCTCAGGCCAATATTGTAAACAAGGCTAGAGAGAAATAAAGAAAACAAAGTCATGAAAGTGTGGCTTTGGAATACAGCCAACTGCTGATGCTACCGGCCTTGCCCTGCAGTTCTACACATGTTTACTCAATAGAAAGCCCTGCTGAGTTCAGATGGACTTAATACTAGGCAATTATGTACTGGACTGCATCCATTCAGGCCCCAATGCATTGCTAAGACATACTCACAAGACAAAGGCAAAACATTCCACAGGTTACACCTGTGATGAATCTGCATCTGATAGCCCACAAGGGGTCTCTAACACACACACCCCTTTAGCTGTATTATTTTTTTCCTAAACTAAGAAAACCCATATTCTTTAGCAGGGAAGCAATTCAAAGTTATCTGATTCCCCATCAAGCAGAGACATCCCCTGACTGAGCCGCGCCCCCAGCCAATTCCCGCTTGGAAATATCAACAGGAGGTTTATATCAACAAGAGCTTTAATATTCCCAAGCATTAGACTTGCCAGAGAAAGATCACTGATAGGAAGGGATCCTGCTCTTGCTATCTCCCACCCAGCAGCGCAGCTGATGTATTGTTCCATTCAGGGGTCACCGATGTGATTGTTTTTGTGCGCGACAGCCAGGAAGGCAGCGTCAATACAAAATATATGATGTTTGTCATTGCACTTTAACAGAACATTTAGCATTTGGGGCCATCCGGCATCCCAGGCCTTACCGCATGGCAAATGTGTTTGAGAAATAATTGGTTATTAATAGGGGCTATAAATCTCTATGATCTCGATGCCTTCCAGACTCAGAGCTATAATTTGGATATTAAAACTTCCTCCGGCAAGGCATGGTTCAAGCAAGGGATATACCCTCTAAGTCACCTTTTTTTTTGAAGCTGTTTCACTGTAAAGGTTGATTTATTAGCTGTTGGTGTTAAGCTGGTAAACATTTAAGATCTGGCTAAACAGCACTATGCAGACATCCCCAAAGAATAAGATGCCCAGTGGGGTTGGCAGAACAAGGTAGTGGTGAAAGAGAGTTGCATATTGATAGAGTGGAAGGGGTTAGGGGTAAACAGCTCACAAAAAGTGTATATTAGTTTTTTTAAAAGAATGCATTAAAAATGTTCCTATTAGGAATGTGCACTAAAATGATGAATATTATTTAAAATTAATAAATCACAAAGTGAGGTGGAAATGTAGTGAACTGAATTTAAGACTGGAAAAATGATAAACTGAGAGAAACTTCAATCGGCAGATTCCTTCTTCCAGTGGAGGCTTGTCCATTACAAGCTTACTGGGTTGCCCCACTCACTCTGGCCAGCTTCCCACATATATAAAAACATAATAAAACATTAAACATTTTTTTTAAAAAAAACTTCCTTATACAGAATTGCCTTCAGACAGCTCATGGGTTGGATAACTCCATGCCCTCCAACATTTCTCCAATGGAAACAGGGACATCCTAAGGAAAAGTGGGACACTCTGGGGTCAAATCAGAAACCGGGATGGCTTCTCTAAATCAGGGATGTCCCTGGAAAATAAGGACACTTGGAGGGTCTGCGCTCAGTCTCAGTGCTGACCTTGGAGGGAAAATGATTGACAGGGGGAGGGATTAGAATTAGTTGGATCTTCCTCTCATTGGCTTTGGTTCTGCCTGTCGTTAGCCTCCCCTCTTTATGTCCTACCATTCCCAGTGGGCCTCCATCCCTTGGATGAAGAGAATTCAGGAAGCTGCTCTAAGAGCATGAAAAGAAGCTGGGAAAGGCAGAGCACCTCATCCAGCTTCCCAAACTCTGGTGTAGCAGAGTTACCGGCTCGGATTTCCCTCTGTGTCAATTGATTCCAGCCTTAATTTCACTCCTGAATAAACTCCCTCTGGCCTTGCAGAATTGCTAGGATTCCTAGGTACGGGAGCACCAGGGATAATGTTCATTTCCTTGTTCTGTTATTTAAGGACGCAGCAGTCCTCTTCAGCTCAGCAAGTGCAGCTGACGGAGGAAGGCGCCTCTTCACCCGAGGTGGGCCTTTAATTCATTCCTCTGCTTACTTTCCCTGTCGGCATTGCAACTGTAGGTTTGGGTCATTTGCACTAAAGTGCCTGATCTTGACTCATAAAATAATCCAGTTAATGAAGTCTTCTCCAGACATCCATTAAGACTCTGTAATACCAATTTTATGCTAAGAAGAAGAAACCAATGCATTTTTCAGGCAAATTAGCATTACGGACTTGTAATGGGCTCTTAAAACTGCCATGAACTTGACAAGAAGGCTTTAAGAATCCAGGGAGGGGAGATTCAAAGTCCCATGCCCTTCCTGGCATCCAATCCTGACTATCCATCATAGAGTTCCCTTCCATACAGAGGATTTTTAATGGCCAGAGTGTGGTGTTGCTAAACTGTGTTGGTTGGCAACCATCTGGCAATGGAGGAGTGTGCCTTGGTAGGTAAAGTCAAACCGTTGGAAGGTTACAGTGCCTGCTGTGGCTGTAGACACTGATATGGGTGAGACATGTTTTGTTGCAGCAGAGATTCTGTAGATGGAGGCATCCGGTTCTGCTCATGCAGGTGTACCATGATGTTTCTTCTCTCTGCACTACTCCCAATGGTTATTCCTCCTCTGGTCACTGCTGTGGATACACAACTGACTGGTTGTCTCCAGGCACTGTGGTCATCTGCAAGGGATTCCCACACAGTCAGGTTGATGTAGCCAGCCTTCATGACACATTTGCAGACATCTTTGTAATGCAGAGTTAGTCCTGTCCCTGATGCCAGCTCCCCATGGAGCACGTTCCTGGGGATCCTGCCACCTTCCATTCTGTGAACATGACCGAGCCAGTGTAGACATCTCTGAGGCAAGTGTGTGAACATGCTGGGGATGTGGGCTTGGGAGAGCACATCTTTGTTTGAGACTCTGTCCTGCCTGTTAGGATTCTTTTCCTGTGCTGCAGTCATGGGATTGTTTTTATCACATGACGGTGTATGTTTTCATTCCACATTGTGGGAAGTCATGGAGACAGGATGTTTGTATTACTGTGTTTCAATGATGTAGGACATTTGTCCTTTGTCCTTTGTCTTTGCTGTCTGGTGCTGAACAGGAAGGAGCTGAGTTACGATGCTCCAAGTGTGTATATGTAAATAAACGTAGTTTAGCCAAATGCTGCACTGCTGAGTCTGTACACTGACTGTCTATACTCTGCTGATCCTGAAGTGTGCTGATGCCTCTAAGGCATCAGCCGCTGTGATGTTCGGGCTGGAGAAAGATTTTGAATCTCCCGAACGAATGATCAGGAGGGACAGAACATACCAGTTGGGAATATGTCTCTGCCAACCTCCTACTCGTGTGTAGGATCTCCTGACACTGCCATGTGATGCCCAAAATCTTCCTGGTGTGGAAGGCATTGAGGTGTTACTTCTGGTGGTTGTAAGCTGCTTACGACTCACTTCTATACAGCAGAGTGCTCAACGCACAAGCCTGGTAGACCTTCATCTTGGTATTGGACATTAGCATCACATTCTCCCATACTGTTTGAAGAGATGAGCCATTGCCATACCTGCCTGGTACCCCAGGTTAAGTACTTAATTCGTTCCAGAGGTCCATTCTTAACCTGAAACTGCTCTTAACCTGAAGCACCACTTTAGCTAATGGGGCCTCCTGCTGCCACCGCGCCGCCAGAGCATGATTTCTGTTCTCATCCTGAAGCAAAGTTCTTAAGCTGAAGCACTATTTCTGGGTTAGCGGAGTCTGTAACCTGAAGCGTATGTAACCTGAAGCGTATGTAACCTGAAGCGTATGTAACCTGAAGCGTATATACCCTGAGGTACCACTGTATTACAGCTCAGGGTCAATGGAGAGGTTGCTGGGTATGGTGGAACCCAGGTAGACAAAATTGTCTACCACTTCAAGCATGTGGTCACCAATGCTGATTCTAACCCAGGATATTTGTCAGGAGGTAGGGCCAAACTCCCTACAGGCTTGGGCAAAATGGCTTATGAGTCTCTGAAGAGTGTCCTTGGATTGTGCTGTCAAGGCTGTGTCCTTCCAGCAGCTCCGGCAGCCAAGCTGGTGCCAAATGTATTGCTTTCCTTTCCTTTGGACCACATCACTGAGGCCAAGGGGGTGTCTTGCCATCTGGACAGCCCAGGACCTCCATATACACTGCCCAGGCTTGCACCCCAGAGAGCTCTCTTTGGTGCTGCAAATGCAGCAAAAACAACACGGGAGGCAGCAGTTTTGAGTTTAATTGTGTGGCTCTCTTGTTAATTCATTTAAGCAAGCAAGATGTTATTGGCATGTATTGCTTCTTCCTAATTCATCCAGAATAAGCAAAGGACTATTTGCGTTTCCAAAGTAATTGTTATCTATTGCAATAATCGCTGGGCTGCACAGAGATCATTTCCAGTCAAAATCCCCCAAGTAGTAGCTCCATGAATGTGAATGTAAGCTATGGGCTCAGTTGTTTCACACTTTAAAAGAACAGCCAAAAAACCTGTTTAAAACAGTAAGGTAAGCCAAACACACACACAACTTTGTAATATTGCTCCTGCTCCTCTGTAATGAGATGAATCCCCCTGACTTTTGCAGGGGAAGAATTTTGACTCAGCTCTCTTTTCATCATCATCTCCTTCCAAAGCTACAGCTTCCAGAGTTCCCTGGGAAGAGCTATTGATTGTTAAACCACTCTTAAGAATTGTAGCTCTGTGAGGGGTATAGGTGTCTCTTAACAACTCTTAGCACCCTTAACAAAGAACAGCTCCCAGAAATCTTGGGGGGAAGTAATGCCTGTTTAAGGTGGTATCATAGCGCTTTAAATGTTTGTTGTGCATGTGGCTCTGGTGATGATTCTGTGGAAACAGAATTAGTGGCTGGCTGCCCATTCCGTCAGTCCAGCCTTTAGCAAATCCAGATCAAACTGGCCTCTGCTTCAGATCGCTTTGGCCTTCAACAGACTTGCAGACTATGTCATTATTTTGTTGAAATTAAATTAACCAGAATCATTTTAACATGGTTATTTTGTGCTTCAGAATCAGCTTGTGCATTAGACTATGTAACTGTGATTTGACTGTTCAAGTTTCATATATTACTTACATTCTTAATTCCACTGATCCACACATACACAAACCCTGGAGATATTAGTTGAATGCAAGTAGATCTGGCTGTCTTTTCGAAGACCACATCATACATCAATGCAAAGTGGAGCAAACAGACTGCTCAAAGAAGCAACAGCAATGAGTGACAGGTGTTTCTCTGTTACTCACCCAGGCAGAGTTGGACTGATTGAGCTGGTTCAGCATGATGATGGAGGTGCAGCCATAGTCATACACCAGCCTCCAGAAGTCTGTGGTTGTGTTCTGTAGTGGGTGCAAGGTCACAATGAAGGCAGCACTCTTTGTGTAGCTCTAAAGGAGAGAGAAAGAGTCGTGGGATAAAAGCAGAGCAACATATCAGAGGGAAGAGATGGAGCAAATCACAGCTCTAATCTCCAAGGTTGACTGGGAGGAAGATGGAAATCTGGGTTTTGAGATTCTAAAGCAAAGGATTGTGTGCAGGATTAATCCAATTCCATTTGGATTGGTTATCTTGAAAAACACAAGGGAAACTTAAAGGTGGCAGAAGGATCGTCACTTCCTTAACATCATCCACCTTCTGTCTACTAAAGCACATATCTCAGTAAAACAGGCAATATGTTTGATCACTAGTCATTTGAAACTTCAAGTGATGGTGACCATGTGTAAAATAGCCATTTTTGATTGATCAAATGCCATACAACTTTCAGATCCCCGTGCATTATTTAAGGAACTCCATTGATCAACACTAAATGTGAGCTTTTAAAAGATGGAAGCTGAACTGCCTAAATGTGCTTCTAGTAGGTGATATCCAATGTAAGTCATACCCAGAGTAGATCCCATTAATCAAGGGGTCTGCTCTGGGTATGACTTTACACTGAATATCACCCACTGTTCCCAGAGAAATCCTGGCTGAGTGCTGGTACCCTCAGTCCTGCTACTCTGCCGTTTGAATCCTCTGGGTTTGGCTCAGAGGTGAGACAAATGTTTGTCTTTATTTTATCACATTTATTTTATCACATTTATATCTTCTCTAACCTCCAAGGAGCTCAAGGCAATGTACATGCTTCTCCACCCCCTTTTATACATACAAAAACCTTGTGAGGCAGGTGTGCCGAGTTGTGCCCAACATTGGGGGTCAGAAGATGCTCTGGTGATCCTCAAAGGGCTAAGTATCTTCATCCTGGCACGTCCTTTTGAGGATCACTGCAGATTTTTGGGGGGGGGTTGCCCCCTTCTTGAAAATATTGGGGTGGCTCTGTCCCCTGCCCACCCCCAGATGACACCCATATTGTGAGGTAATTTAGACTGAGAGATACTGACTGACCCAAGGCCACCCTGTGTATTTCTTGGTTAAGTGGAATTGCAACCTGGGCCTTCCTAGTCCTAGCTCAACGCTTCCTGATGTTTAGTCAGAATCTCCTTTTGTGCAATTTGGATCCATTGGTTCAGGTCCTACCCTCTGGAGCAGCAGAAGACAAGATTGCTCCATCTTCCATGTGATGGACCTTCAAATATTTGACGGGCTACCCTAAACACACCCTACTCCCTCAACTGTTTCTCATAAGGTCTGATCCTCAGCCCCCACCCTCTTGATCTTAGGGGGTGAGGAATCCCTGAAGGAAGGCCTCAAAGAGACTCATAAAGGAGCAGGTGGATCTAGAGAGACTTTGGTTCCAAGCCATGCAGGACTTCAGAAGTCAATGCCCTCATGTAAAATCAAGCCTGGAAATTTATGAGCATACTTTTCTCCCACACACTCTGTGCCATATTTATAAGTAATTCTACTGGGGATCTTGGAGCATGCTGGATCCTCTTTCAAACTCAGGAGTCAGAATCTCTAATCTGATACCATTTGTCTGCCTTATAATTTGAGGCCTGTAACAAATAATCATCTGGTGAAGAAAAATCACACATATACATATCAATGCAAGTCAGCGCAGAGGCCCATTTTGGATCAAACTAAATTGAAGGCTGAAGGACAGAGATATGATAAAGCCTCATTCCCGCTTAGGACCTCATTCCCAGCAAACACAAAGTTTTAAAAAGAATGAGCCTCTGTCCATTGATATTGCTCGATGGGGAAAAAGCACTCAGGTCTCTTTTTAAAAAAACAGAATTCTGTCTCGTTTGATCTAAGAACCAGTGTGAAAAATGTCTGCCCAGTGGATCATCTCTTCACCCCCCCCCCCTGGAAGTTATACCTTTTGGATAATAAGAGCACAGAAAGCAGCTCTTGGATCTAAACTATAACACAGCCAACATTGCCTGGTAATATTTATTGGGGTTTTGAAATGGGTAGAGGGAGGGAAATGGTAAGACACAGAAAAGCCAGGCAGGCTCCTCTAAGCTTTGCTTCTAACAAACATTTTCTTGGGAGGAGGGAAGGAGGGGAAGGAAAGAAAAGACCCTTAACCTCAAGGTAATGACTTTGCAAGGCTTCTTAGCACTTCAAAAGAAGCAAGGGCTTTTAGGGGCACCTGCAGAGATGGAGCAGACAATCCAGGGTTGCAGAGCTTTTCTTCTTCAGCTCTTTGCCTTCCTAAAAAGCCCTTGAAACAACACTTATGAGCTCAAGTGACAAGTTCCCTGCACTTAGAAAACATCTCCCAGCTTTCTCAGTTTCTTTCAAACTCTGTTACAGACTGCATAATCTCAGTCTTGAGTTCTTTTCTCCCATCAGCCGGGTGATTTGAATCAGCTTCTCTCCAAAAAGGTGAAGTTGGACAAAGGGAATCTCAGGACGAATTTGTTATTTTACAGAGCCTCCCCCCTCCACCACAAAAAAACACCAATTGCTTAAAAAGGCAGCAAAGTGGGGCACAAATGATGAAAGAGTACCATGAGTTCCATGGGCTGCTACTTAATGGAGAGATAAGCACCAGTTTTTTTCATTCTTCAGCTCTGGTGCTTGCATAAAAATAATTACAGCAATTTGCTACCTGATCAGAACAGAAAGGAGAACTGGGAATGCAGGAAATCAAGAGAGGTGGGATCTGTGCAGGAAAGCTGATGGTGTTAAGTGATTAATTGGTGCAAGTCAGATTCAGCTATTAGGGCTCTCTCCTTCAACAGGCAACCCCAGGAGAAGGGCCACAGCTCAGAAATAGAGCATCTGCTTTGCATGCACAAAGAACTAGGTTCAGTCCCTGGAATCTCCTTGTAGGGCTGGGAAAGAACTCTGTCTGGAATCCTGGTGAGCCACTGCCAAGCAGTGTAGGCAATACTAAGCTAGATGGACCAATGGTCAGACTCAACACAAGACAGCTACCTGTGCCCCCAGGATCAAATTAGCCCATCTCATCTTCCCTCCAGTTGGAAGGGAAGGTGTTGCTCTCACACCTGACTTTTCAGTGATGCCCTGGTTTCTTCCTTTGGGCACAGTTCAAATTTCACAGCAAAATCAAATTTGGTCCATTTGGTCTTGAGCCAATGCCCTCCCCCAATGTACCCCATGTCCCACCATCACTTATTGGTTTGCAATAATCACAGTTTACTGTTGCACCTGAACTGAAGAAACTATGGTTTATCCCAAACCAGTTTCCCTCCTATTCAGAAAAGGCAAACTCAGTTCAAAGCATGGTTTCTAGCAGGGCCACTCAATATGTTTTGCTGCCTGATGAAAAGATGGCACTTCCACTCCATTCCTTATAGCGAAGATGACTGCCTTGGCTACTGAATCTTACTTCAACTCTGGTAATGAAATTCTGTCCTCCACCACATTTCAGGCCCCAAGCTAGTTTAAAGGGTGCAGGTCAGAGCATATTCTACTTTGTCCTCCAAACAAGGGCAATGGCCTGAGGGGTTAGGATGAACAGCCAGAGTAATCCTACTTCTGCTCCACAAGACTCTTTTGGAAGCAAATGCATATTTGCAGGGATCTTAGCTTACCAGAATACACTATAGTTATCACAATCCAGGAAGCGAGGAAACTGAAGTGTGTGAAAGAAGGAAGAGAAGCCTGGCACTAGCACCTATGATCCTCAGCAATTGCTGACTCTGAGCCCATCTATCCACCTGCCCTCTATATTCCTGACTTCCTAAGTAGCAGTTGCTGTTGGCAAGCCGCCATTTTAATCTGCCAACAATACCATTGGGCAATGGCAAAGACTGCAGCACTGGCACTGTGGGTGCCCTTCTGAGGATGGAGCAAATGAGCCTGAGGTACAGACCTAAGAACCCTGAAGCCACAGTTTGACTGGAACTTTTGTTCCAGGCCTAGGCCTAGATTTACGACGGTGCCCAGTTAAAAGTGGCCATGAATCAAATGGTCAACTCCCTGTTGTGCCCAAGTTATTTACAAAAATGCCATAGGGCACACAAGTAAAAGAAAGGGTTGATTTGAAAGGCGGCCCCTGATGATTCTGGAAAGTGAATAAGGATATAGCACATCATGATCTAATCAAATCCTTTCGTGCTTTGATGGCAAGAGACAAACCTACAGAGGAAGCCCTTTACCCTTGATTATTCCATTTCCTTGGAAGTTTTACGTCACTGTCAGCTTTCAGAACGCTCTCCCCACCACCACCAAACTGACCTCTCTGGCTAATTGAAGCAGGTCACTGATTAATTTGCCCATCTACTTTTATTTTCCCTTTTACCTGAAAACCGGCATTGTGAATTTTACTCGTTTGCATAAAGTGCTGCAGCTGGCCATATCATATGGATAAAAGGATTTTGAAAAAATGTGCTCATTCTAGATGGGCTCCATTGTATGGGAAGATGTGATCTGAAAGCCTGAACAGGCATGTTTTTATCTCATGAGCAGGCCTGCCAAAAGCACAGGTTCAAACAAAGTCGGCCCTACCATTAGGCAGAGTGAGGCAGTCGCCTCAGGCGGTAGATACTGATGGGCTGGATATGGTGATGAGACATTCCAAGGACAGAGCTGTGGGTGCCGTGCAGTCTGTCTAGCACTCCACAGCCTGCTTCCTTGAGTCATGGTGGAAGAAAATATCCCATCGCTAATGTCAAAGAAAGAATCGTTACAGTATTCCACTTAATGTCTGGAATGGGGTGGGTCACTATTGCCTCAGACAGCAAGATGTCTTGGGCCAGCCCTGAGTCCACAAGTGGCTTTTAGTGTTTCGGAGTCTTGGCTTAGCTATGCTATTATAAGCCTGAAGGAAATCTGGGGGAACCCAGCAGCTTAGAGGGGAAATAGGAGCTGGGGCAATGACAGGGAGGTGATTGACAGCAGAAAACTGGGGAAAGGCTTCAATCCATAATGCATGGATTGTTTCTTTTAAAAAAAAAAATATTTATTGAGGATTTTAAGATTACAAAGAAACAAAGAAAAAAAGTAGACAAAAAGAGAAATTAAACAATACAAATCAATAAAAACAAAAGTCAAAGAAAAAACAAATCACACAAATACATCAAAATCAAAAAGCAAAAATAAACAAAAAATTTAAAAACAAATCCAATATTCCCAAATCTTTATCTTTCATTAATTTGTTTCATGGACCTCCTCACACCTCCCTTTTTTGCATTCTAGTTATTAATTATCTCAGCAAATCCTTTCCATCTTTCATAATATTCTGTCATTAAATTACCTTAATCTATTTTAACTTTTTCTTACCATAAAAAACCCTAAAACTTAAAGCTTAAATCTTATTTATACCAATTTCTCATAACCATAACATATTCTTTCATAATTCTTTTTAACATTTCTGCTACAGCCAAATAATTTCGTTCCAACATTTTTCTAATACTCATTAATTTTACAAAACTTTCCTAGATAAATTTTTTAAAACTTTCTTCCAATCTTCATCCAGCGTCTCTTCCTCCTGGTCTCGGATTTTGTCAGTCCTTTCTATCCCATCCATCTAGTTCATCAACCTGGTAACCTTATATCCGAGGCTCTTAAATCTCTTCCATGTCCCTTCCGCAGGTTTTCTTCATATTTATATCTGTACTTTACTTTGTCTTCTGCTCCTTTCACTCGTGGAGACTCCAGCTTGACAATATTTTTGTCCCTTCTCGACAGATCAGCCCCTTTTCCATCATCAACACTGAACTCCATGTGGTATTTAAAAGCATGTTTCAAGGTCCCTCTAAAGTTAAGGACCCCCACAACTGCGAACTCCTCCCGGCCCAAAGCCAGACTTGAAAGGTCAAAACATCCCTGCATAGGGGGGTCTATCCAGCCCCCCATCTCCAAGCCAAACAAGACTCTATCTCTCCAAATCTGGCTTTTTCCAGGTTCATTCATCAAATCCAACAACTCATGTTCCTGCTGGGCCACAGTTCCCTCCATCTCTGCCTCCTGGGGTCCAGCAACAACCTCCTCCCTCATCTGATCTGTCAGAGCACACTCCTGGATTAATTCCTGAGTGGGTTCTAGATAGGTACCCACTGCCTGTCCAAAATTTCCGATCGCAACAGTCATCAAGTCCGTCTTCTCATGTAACTGTTCCAATAAGGCACTTGTCTTGCAGAAGGCAAGCACCAGAGCCTCCGAGTACATTCTTGTTCAAGGTCAGAGTCTAATCCCACGATCTTAATCTATTGCAGCTGCACAGCTCCCAGTTCGGATTTAATAACAGTTTCACAAGCTCCCTCTAGGGGAAAAAGCTTCTATTTGTATCTTTTAAAAGCAGATCTAACAACAAAGTTTCCTTTTTCAGATATTTTGTCAATATTTTGTTCCTTTTAGATGCGAAGGGGAACAATGGAATCAATATGTTTCTCTTTTAACTATCCGTCAAAAACGTTTGACTATAGTCAATGAACTTCCTGAGGACGTCTGTCCTGACACCCCGCTCCCAGGTTCAAGACGGTGGAAAATTGCTTTTCTTTACTCTCTCTTCTGCAGGTTTAAACAGTCCAGAAAAAATTCCCCCCTCTTCTCCTGCTTCCAAGGGGGGTTCAGTAATTTTAAATGATGAAAATTGATCCTTTACAGACGACTTTCTAAACTCTAGCTTACCGTGTCTTTGCTTTAATCTATCTACAAAAGCGGAAGGCGGACTTCCTGTTTAGACCTTCCCGCTTCAGTGCCAAATTGAAAGAAATTTCTTAATCCAATTTTCCGTTCTATTTTTTTTTAAATGATATTTATTGAAAGTTTTAAGATTACAAAGACAAACAAAGAAAAAAAGAAGAAAAAAGAGAAAAAAGAGAACAGATAACAATTAAACAATACAAATCGATAAAAGCAAAACACATAATACATCAAAATCCAAAAGCAGAATTAAACAAAAAAAATTTAAAAACAAATCCAGTATTCTCAAATCCTTAACTGTCATTACCTTATTTCATCGACCTCCTCACACCTCCCTTTTTGTGTTCTAGTTGTTAATTGTCTCAGCAAATCCTTTCCATTTTTCATAATATTCTGTCATTAAATTACCTTAATCTATTTTAACCTTATCTTACCATAAAAAACCCTAGAACTTAAAACTTAAATCTTATTTATACCAATTTCTCATAGCCATAGCATATTCTTACATAGTTCTTTTTAACATTTCTGCTAAAGACAAATAATTTCGTTCCAACATTTTTCTAATACTCATTAATTTTACAAGACATTCCTAAATAAAATTTTTAAAACTTTCTTCCAATCTTCATCCAGCGTCTCTTCCTCCTGGTCTCGGGTTTTGTCAGTCCTTTCTATCCCATCCATCTAGTTCATTAACCTGGTAACCTTATGTCCGAAGAGACCCTTAAGTCTCTTCCATGTCCCTTCCGCAGATCTTCTTCATATTTATACCTATACTTTACTTTGTCTTCTGCTCCTTTCACTCGTGGAGACTCCAGCTTGACAATATTTTTGTCCCTTCTCGACAGATCAGCCCCTTTTCTATAGTCCACACTGAGCTCCATGTGGTATTTAAAAGCATGTTTCAAAGTCCCTCCAAGGTTGAGGACCCCCTCAAGTCCAAGCTCCTTCCGGCCCAACGCCAGATTTGAAAATTCAAAACATCCCTGCATAGGGGGGTCTATCCAGCCCCCCATCTCCAAACCAAACAAGACTCTCTCTCTCCAAATCTGGCTTTTCCCAGGTTCATTCATCAGATCCAACAACTCATGTTCCTGCTGGGTCACAGTTCCCTCCATCTCTGCCTCCCGAGGTCCAGCCACAACCTCCTCCCTCATCTGATCTGTCAGAGCACACTCCTGAATTAATTCCTGAGTGGGTTCTATATAGATACCCACTACCTGTCCAAAATTTCTGATCGCATCAGTCATCAAATCCGTCTTCTCATGTAACTGTTCCAATAAAGCACTTGTTTTGCAGAAAGCGCGCACCAGAGCCTCCGAGTACATTGTTGTGCAAGGTCAAAGTCTAATCCCACGATCTTAATCTATTGCAGCTGCAAAACTCCCCAGTTCAAATTAATAACAGTTTTCACAAGCTCCCTCTAGGGGAAGAACTTCTATTTGTATCCATCTCTCTCTCTTTTTTTTTTTTTGCAGATCTAACAACAAAGTTTCCTTTTTCAGATATTTTGTCAATATTTTGTTCCTTTTAACTGCGAAGGAGAACAATGGAATCACTATGTTTCTCTTCTTTTAACTATCTGTCAAAGACGTTTGTCTATAGTCAATGAACTTCCCAAAAGCTTCTGTCCTGACACCCCGCTTCCAGGTTCAAGACGGTGGAAAATTACTTTTCTCTAAACTCTCTTCTGCAGGTTTAAACGGTCCAAAAAATATCCCCCCTCTCCTCCTGCTTCCAAAGGGGGTTCAGTAATTTTAAATGATGAAAGTTGATCCTTTACAAACGATTTTCTAAACTCTAGCTTGCCATGTCTTTGCTTTGATCTTTCTACAAAAAGAAGAGGGCTGACTTCCTGTTTAGACCTTCCCGCTTCAGCGCCAAATTAAAAGGAATTTCTTAGTCCAATTTTCCGTTCTACTCACGGGTCGTTGTTTAGAGTCCAATTGTCCAAATTTAACCTACTCACGGGTAGTTGCTTTTGCCAGATTGTCACAGGAAAAAGGTAGTGCGGCTGTGCGGCTTTGCTCCACGGAAGAAGCAGTTGACTCTCAGCACCGCGCCGCTTGCCCCGCTTCGCTCCGGAGCCCGTAATTGGGTTCCTTTGCAAATTGGGGGGGTGCTAAAGGTGCCCGCCGAGTCCCACGGTCACAGGCTTCATCCGCCTGTGATTTTTAAAAGGGTCCCCGCTTCGCCGTTGCAGAACAGACCCGATTTCCGTAGAGCTAGTCCCTCCGGATCAGAGGCCATTACCGATGGCGCCACCCCAGAAGTCTCAATTGTCCGTTCTACTCACGGGCAGTTATTTAAAATCCAATTGTCCACAGGAAAAAGTCAGCGCTCTCCAGCAACAACAATGCAGCTTCACTCCGTGGAAGAAGCAGTCGATTCAAAGCACTGCACCACTCACCCCCACGTCGCTCCGGATCCCCGAAACCGGGGTTCCCCGCGAGTAGGGGGGGCGCAAAGGTGCCAGCCGAATCCCACGTCCACAGGCTTCTCCCGCCTGTGGTTTTTGATGGGTCTCCCGCCTCGGCGTGGCGGTTCAGACCCTTTTTTCCACGGAGCGGATTCCTCCCGATCGGAGGAAATCCGCCATTGCCAGAGGCGCCAACCCGGAAGTGGCATGGATTGTTTCAGATATGGGCCCTCAGGTATGTTTCAGATCAGGGCCCTCAATCTGTGGCTCTTTCTTCAAAACAAAAGTGGTTAGTTTAAACACTTTTTATTGTTTTCAAAATTCTGTATAGTAAATATAAAGATAGTTTGAGGAACTGAGATATTAAGATACAGATACTGGTAACTAATTAAAAATTTCATATCTATCTGCCTATGCACACCTAGGTGGAATCTACACACACATAAAAAAAACTCTTTGAAAATGCTGTTATTAAAAAATGTTTTGAAAAATATATTGAATTTGCCATAGCTCACTGTCGCCATCTAGTGTCACATTTGTATATTGCACTTTACAACACACTTAAACTTTTTTATTTGCAGCTGTATAGCTGAGTCCCTAAAAACCTTTTAAGTTGGTGTTATCAAATACTCAAAAAATCAATCCAACCACACACATGTACATTACTATAGTATCCCCAGGGAAAGAATATGGATCTATGGAGTCCTACAAGACAGCAGACTCCATCTTCCAATGAACTTACTATCTTTTTGTCTGCATTAAAAACTATATGAACAGTATGACATGTAGTCTGGCCCTGAGAGAGATCTATCTGGATTATCTTTCCCCCATCAAGCTAAGACTTTCCTATTCAGAAAGGCCTTTACAGTGGATCCTCCGGATACGAATTAAATTCGTTCTGGGGGTCCATCCACAACCCGAACGTTCCGTAGGTAGAGGTGCCGCTTCTGGGCATGCACGTGGCGCGATCGAGCACTTCTGTGCATGCACAAAGTGCACAGAGCACTTCTGCACATGCGCACGGGGCGAAACCTGGAAGTATACACTTCCAAGGTTGCCGCGTTCGTAACCCAAAAGTTAAGTATCCAGAGGGTTATATAACTAGAGGGTCCACTGTATTTAAAAACTAGATGCAGATGATGTTGACAAATGGGCTGCTATCAAGGCAATTGGTATTTTAATGCTGGTCTTGAATGTGTTCATTGGAGTTTATCAATTGTTTTCAACTAGTTTCTTTTTATTTCAAACGATGTCTTTTGGGGGAAATTCTGAGCCACCTTGAAACCCAACTTGGGAAAAGCAGGGATAGAAATACATGAATAATCAGGACCTGAGAGCACAGAACATACACAGGCAGTCCACAGAGCTGGAAACCCTGGCTGACTGAAGTCCCTGACCTTGGGGGTTGCTGATGTACATATATTATGGACTTCCTGTTAGGCATATGGAAATTGGGGGTGAAGCCAGTGGAGTACAGCCAAACCATGGGCAGACTGAGCTGGCATGATTCCCATGCCCACTTGTTTAACCTATGCTATCTGTCCATTTCTAATTCTCTCATTTCCCCACTTTTCAAGTTCTAAGTTCACTTAGTTTCTCCACATTTCCTCATCAGTTTGTGATTTTTAATTTTTTAAAAAAAAGAGTCTGTGTGAAAATTCATATGCATTTTTAATGTGAATATATCCTAAAACGCAGAGGCTTGTGCGAAATTTTGCCCAACATGCACATTTCTGCAAGCAATTTTCTGCACCCAGAATGCATGTTCATGTGCTCATACAAATGCGCACTTTTCCCTAATCTATGTTTTTCCTCTCTCACAAAACTGCATTACAAAATTCATAGATGTGTGAATTTCAAAGGATAACGGATCTTCTCTTTTGCACGTTGCTCCTGGAAGCGCAGTTATGGAGATGGGAATTAAAATGTGGACCAACACCACTCCCCCCCCCATCCCGACATCTGTGTGGTGGGAGTGAATGAAAAGCTTATCTGCTCCCTCTGCCTTGCTACCACTTAAGTCTCGGTTTTGCGGCACGCTCCTGAGACGGGAGCGCAGTGGCAGTGTTCAGCTTGGATGCTCCTGACTCCCTCTTCTCCCTGCTCTTTGTTAGACATATTTACAATAACACGACGTGTCAGTTCAGCCCGTGCACTCGCAAAGGAACTTCTATGCATAATGGATTTTATTTCCCCTGGCTTGGAAAGAAAAAGGGACCGCGGGGGAGGAGAGAAGAGAGAGGTAGAATTGTCCAAGGAGTGGTTGCTGAATTTACATCACTGTCTTTTCTTGGAGAGAGAGAGAGAGAGAGAGAGAGAGAGAGAGAGAGAGAGACTAGAATGTGCTTTGTGTCTCTTTTTAAAGAACAGGTGAAAAGACAAAGTGAGCCAAAAGAACTGAAACTGAAAAATCAAATCACACAGCACAGAAATGTCTAGGAAGAGCAGAGAAGATCATAGGCAGCTGCCCATTACCAGACTATCCATCCATCTAAGCAAGTGTTGTCAATTCTGACTGACAGAAGCTCTTGAGAGAAATAAAGGTCTACCTGATCCTGTTAACTGGAGAAGATGGCAGAGACTGAACCTGGGTCATTTCATATGCAAAGCTACAGCCCCTCTCTGATCAGTGCTCCAAAAGTAGAAGAAAATACGGTGTCCCAGCCATTTAAGTGACCAGTGTTTAATGTCTTTGTACCGGCTTCTGTTATATTCTCAGACAGATGGAGCCATCAGCAAGTTCTTCCTAATGTTTAGCCAAAACTCTCTAAAGAGCATAGCCTCATATCAAGCCTGACCACTGTTCCATCTAGCTCAGCATTGTCTACAGTGACAGGCACTGATGCTAAGAGTATCTTTCAGCTCTATCTGGAGATGCCGAGGATTGTAGCTGAGAACTTGCACTTGCTCTGCCACTGAGTTATACCCCTTTTGATTAGAGGATGTTTGATTCCAAATCAATCTACAGGCTGTAAAGGAGCATATATCCTTCCTGGGAAATACGGGTGCATGCTGAATAGGTTTCAGTTCACAACAAGAAAAAACAGTATATCAGACACTAAATTATAATCATAGTGAGTTATTATGGGAGGCATTGTTGGAGGAGTTCCAAACCACATTTGAAAAAGAGAGAGAGAGAGCAGGAAGCAGCTACTCGTCTGGAAAAGCTCCTAGCTCAAAATAAATTCTAGAATTTTTCCAGTCCCCTCAAATTTGCAGGGGACAGTTTCCACTTCATCGCAGCTGCCATTTTGAATGAAAAACTTTCATTTCATCTCTGCTGTAAATACGTTGTTATGTTATGTTATGTTATGTTATGTTATGTTATGTTATGTTATGTTATGTTATGTTATTCTATTATAATACCACCCTTCATCCAAAGATCTCAGAGCAGTTCACAATATAAAAATACAGGATAAAAGCACAAATAAATAGTTAGAACAGAAACAAAACGAAACAATACCCCTCCCAAACACAATTCAAAGCGCAAAATATGAATCAACCAAAGGCCGATTAAAATATAACTCATTTTAATTATAGCCTGGATGAGACAACAACTGTGCATTTTCTGAAAGTATATCTGACCTTTATCTAGTTGCTTACTTAGAAAACTTTGCATTTTGAACTTACTTTTCAGTCTTTGAAAGGCAGGTCCTGATTCCACGTTCCCATTCAATGGCTTTGGAGCCTGAATGTGGCAGCTTGAACCTTATCAGGTGCAGGATAGAGAGGGGCTTGGCCTCCTCCATTTCCACTCCCCACCCATAACACCCCAGCAATGCACTTACATCAGTTAAGGCCGCGTTGATGTAGTTGTTGCTGTCTCCGTCCATGGAGATCAAGAAGGGGAGGCACCGGTCTGGAGGCAGCACGTCCATACTGCGATTCTTCTCCCGGTTGCGCGGCAGAAGGGCGATGCTGCACTCCTCCACATCCAGGTGGGGTGTTACAGAATTCAGAGTCTGCTGGACACAAGGAAACCAGGTCAGGCAGCATTTCATAATCTCAGAGTCAGGAGAAATTTAACAGGCACAATAAATAGGCACTGTCAGGGAACTGCCATCGGAGCTAGAGGCGGAGGGAAGGCTCCAGAGGGATGCCGGAGAGGGTCCCAGTAGGGAGAGAGGCAGCCCATCTGCTGGGGAAGGAAATCAGCGTAACACCAGTAGAGAAGGGGGGCAGATGGGGGAATCGGAGAGGAGGCTCCAAGACTCCTCGCCGGAGACCAGCGGAGAGAGTACGGGTACTCCACTGCCCACACCCTGTGTGTGCAGAAGACTTCCGCGCAGGGAGAGTAGGAGGAGACTTGGCGTCAAGGAACTTCTTTGCTGGAAGAAGTTCAAGAAATGCCCACTGACGGATTCTGCCAGCGACTGAGACAGCCATGAAGCTAGAGGCTGTCCAGTCAGAAAGGGTTCAACCAGGTAACCTAGCCAGGAGTGGCGGCAACGTACGCACGAGCAACCCCTAAACCCATTACAGACACCCTTCTTTTATATCAGGAGTGGGGAACATTGTTTAGCCCCAGGGCTGCATTCCCTTCTTGTCAACATTCTGGGGGGCTCACGTGACAATGGTGGGCAGGAATAGAGGCAAAAGTGGGTGGAGCAATGAATGCAAATTCTACCTTTGTACTTTTGGCTAATTTTAAACACACCCACACCCCTCTCCATCCTCCATCCAGCCTCCCAAAAACAGAATTGTCATTTTTCTCTTTTTCCTTCCTAAACTCCTACACCTTCAGGTAAAGGTAAAGGACCCCTGGACATTTAACTCCAGTCAAAGGCAACTATGGGGTTGCGGTGCTCATCTCGCTTTTCAGGCCGAGGGAGCCGGCATTTGTCCACAGACAGCTTTTCGGGTCATGTGGCCTGAATACATAACATGACTAAACTGCTTCTGGCATGACAGAACACCTTTATAGAAACCAGAGCATACGGAAAAGTTATTTACCTTCCCACCACAGCGGTACCTATTTATCTACTTGCACTAGCATGCTTTTGAACTGCTAGGCTGGCAGGAGCTACGCCCACGCCTTCAACAACTGCATGGCAAGCAGAAATTCAAGAAGTGAAAGCTTTTGTCCGATCCTGGCACCTCCACTCTGGGAAAAGCTTTGAACATTTGCTAGTAACATGGTTCTGTGTCCTTGCCTGGAAATAAGGTGACATCCTCAACTAAAGACTCTTACTCTCAGGGTGGTGGGTTCAAGGCCCAGTTTGAGCAAAGGATTCCTACACTTCAGGGGGTTGGACTAGAAGACCCCAACGGTCTCTTCCAGCTCTGTGTTCCTGGTTATCGCAAAAGATGCATGCCTAGGCTATACTGGGCTCTTGCTTTTGGCAATCCTGGGTCCAAAGGCTCATCATAAATGTGCACTTGAAGAAATTCTCTTTGGTTCAAAGAAGCCTTCAGCTTTCATGGACTCACCTGGAACTCCTCCCGCAGCTGTGACGAGTTGCTCTGAGGATCTATCCTGACCATCTCTTTGTATGTGGGCCTGAATTCACTGACAGGGATACTGGTCTCTCCACACAGGCAGGCTTCCAAGATGGCATCGTGGATGAAGACATATTGCTCCTTCAGGAGAAGGGAATGAAAGTTTAAATGGTTATTGATTTATGCAATTGAAATAATTCACCAGATTCTTCTGAGGTCCAAGGCCTCAGCCAAATCAGGAATATTAGGAGGGTGTTAAGCATCAGATGAGTCAAGTGCAGAAAGGCATGGACTGTGACTGGTTGGCTTGGATGGCCAGGAGCAATCTGTGGCTGTCAAGGCATTGGATAGAAATGAGAGGCAGGCATTGGGCAGGAAAACCCTGTGAATACCTTGACCACTGGCTGCATTTTCCCAGGAGAAGCTGGGAGTCCGCCACCTGGTCTCCTTCATGTCTGAGGCCCATCCCTGAAGCAGCACCATAGCATTGATGCTGCATGGTAAAGGAGCCTCCTTTTCAAGCAGCTTTACTACATTTTGCAAATGAGCACTATGTACAGATTTGGTGTGGTGCAGGATACCCAGCAGCTTCTTGGAGAAGCCTTGAAGAATTGACTATGGGAGGAAAATGCAACATCTCCTTCTCCTCCCAGGTGTGTGTTTAAGTCAAGCTTTAGGGGGGGGGGACATACCTAAACCTTAGCCCCTCCCCCTTGCACTAATTCAGACCCTGATCCAGGGTGGGGTAGGTGGTGTCCCTGATTGGGGAGCCATGGATCAGGGCCATAGAGTGGATGTAAGATGGACAGTGCACAGCCCTTATATTTATATGCTACTACACCACAATATTTTTTGAGGTGTCTTAAAGCATCCTTAAAGCTGGATTGAACTCCAACAAATAGGGCTGGGTCCCTTTCATTTGCTAAACTACAGTTTTGCCATTTTGCCTGAAGCGGCACACTGTAGGTAATGTTAGCTTTGGTTTGTTTGAAACAAGGGAACTTGAGGCCTAAGGATTTTCATGTCACACTAAACCAGTGGTAGCCGATGTGCTGCCCTCCCATCAGCCCCAGCATGACTAGTGGTCATGGATGATGGGAGTTGTAGTCCAACAACATCTGGAGGAAGCCATGTTGGCTATAACTAGGTTATAGTTGGTTAAACTACAACTTAGTGTGACGCCGGAACATGGACAGGATGTTATAGCATGTTATAGCAGTGAATTGTTGGGACGCAGGTTATGACAGGTCTTGAAGAGTGACAATAATTTGGGATCCCCAGTAGGAGAACATGGGAATTACACAGCAAAAGAAAGAAGAGGATCCAATCTTACTGGTGCCTTAGCAGAACAGGAAGTTGGTGCAAGGCAGATGAAAACCAGGAGATTGTCATTTTATGAATCCATGGGGTGCTGCTTTGCATTCTAAACATGCTGTTACAATAACCCATAGTCCATCCCTGTCTCCACTGGGACCATACCCCCATGTCCAAATCTCACCTCGGTCTGGATCATGTTGATTCTCCGTGAGCATAGTGTCTTCACGCAGTTGTAAATGTCTACAACACCCTCGCACTCAGCCATATCCAGCATCACGTCCAAGACGATGTAACAGCCTGTCCTCCCTGTGCCAGCACTGCAGAGGGTTGTGGATGTGGGAGGAGAGGATGGCAGACTCTTAAATGCCTAAGCATAACACAGCTTTCTCCAACCCGGTACCTTCTCTTCCTATTTTTCTGAACTCCCATCAACCCCACCCAGCCTGGCCAATGGCCAAGGATGATGGAGGTCACCATGTTGGTTGCAGAGTGTGGGCAATGTGACTTGGTGGTGTGATAGAATAGTAAGTTTGAGTATGTTGGTTTAGAGATGTGGTTCCTAAACTTTTTCAGGCTTCCCACCCTTGGTTCCATAAATTCTTCCCCAGTGCCCCCTACCATACCCTATAAAGAGCATTACTCACAAAAGAAAGATATTCAAAACAGGAAAGAAAGATATTCAAAACAACATTCAAAACAGGAACAATGGATTTCACATTTATTCAAAATCCAATTAAAACTATTTAGTTTAATTAATTCAACAAAATTGATAAACTTGATCCAGTGACACCAGCTTTTCACTATCTGGTAGTCATTTACACCTCCAGCACCCCACCCCACTCCTGACAATTCCACCAACCGTTTTGGGAACCATTGATTTATAGTGTTAATGTGTTTCATGTGTGTTGATCATGTTAAAGGTATACTTGAGTGAGACTGACTGGGATGTATTTTTTAGCTGCATTTAGAGTAAGTTTTGTTTATTGCTATATAAGGGATTGGGAATTCAGTTGGATTGGTCTGTTTGATTGTACAATTGATGTAGCATATTGAGGAGTGGGAAGAGTGAGCTGATTTTTATTTTACCTGATTGTCAATCATGTCATTTAAAAATGTGGAATTCATACATCTTAGCTGATTTTCATTTGTAATATTCTATTTCCTGATATTCTGAGGATATCTTGTTTAGCTGTCTGCTGTGTTTCACTATCTGGAATTTTCCTTGTAATTTTGCAGCTGATTTTTCTGTGTAATGTTTATTTTTATGCTAAAGAGGATGCTCCATTTAGTTGTTGACTGTGCCTTCCAGAATGTGGAAATTTGCTGGTCTTTTTTTGTACTTTTTATTTCTGATGTGTTAATCTATGCTGTAAACTTGCTGAAATGTAAGTGGCAAATAAATTGCCCAAGCAAATAACGGGGAAGGGGAGCAGCTCAGTGGTAGAGTATGCAGAAAGTCCCACACCCAGTTCCCAACATCTTCTGGTAGGGGTGGGAGAGATTTCCAATCTGAAACCCTGGAGACTTGCTGCCAGTCAATGTAGACTCAGGCTTCCTCAACCTCGGCCTTCCAGATGTTTTGAGACTACAATTCCCATCATCCCTGACCACTGGTCCTGCTAGATAGGGATCATGGGAGTTGTAGGCCAAAAACATCTGGAGGGCCGAGGTTGAGGAAGCCTGATGGACCAATGTGTTTGGCTCAGTATGAGGCATCTTCCTCTGTTCCTAATATACCATGTTGGGAAAGGCTGGCCTAACTTCTTCCATATGTTCCTTCACTTCTCCAATGAATTAGAATGCTAAAGGCAAAGATGCATTCTTGACGGCTGTCTCCCCGTGATAGAAGTCTTGGCCTTTAGAAACTCAACTAAGTCCAAGCCTGAGCACATCTTTTATTGAAAGACCCATTTGCTACAGCAGGCTTTGGGGAGTCAAGGCTAACCACCTGAAAAGTGGGTTTCTTAAAATGTATTTTAGTTCTTGGATGTGATTATATTTTAATGTTGTGGGTCTTGTTTTGTTTTTAATCAATACCTACTTTTCTTTAAACAACAGACAAATAGAATTTATCCAAGCTTTCCAACCCTTCTTTGTAGCTTTTTTATGGTTTTTGAGAGAGAGTAGTGCTGGGATCCAGTGTGGTGTGGTGGTTAGTGTGTTGAATAGTACAGGAAACAACTGGGTTTCAATCCTCACCCTATTTTAATTCATGGGTCAAAAGTTGGTTTTAATGCATGAGAGTGGGGTCTGTTATTAGTTGTGTTTTCATCTTGATCATTTGCTAACCACAATTCTATGTAGCCTGGGGTTTCTGAAATGCAGGGCAAAGGTCAGGTTCACATGAAGTGCTAAATTAGTTAAACCATGTTTTAATGGTACGCACAGCTAAACCAGGTTAGTGTTAGCTGCACAAGACTCCCCCATCCCACTCTCCTCCTCCAAAGGGAGACTGGGGGGCATTTGGTTCCATTTTCAACTAACCACAGTTTACCATTGTCTCTCAGCTAGGATCTATCGTTAACTATTGCTATTATTATCTAGATGTGATATGTCCATTAAGCACTAGCTGAAGGTGGTTGATTAAGACAAACTGTGTGCCTCCTCCTCCATTGAGAGGCTCAGAGGGTGGCAACACAAGAACGGGCCTTCTCTGCAGTGGCTCCCCATCTATGGAATGCTCTCCCCAGGGAAGTTCGCCTGGCACCTTCATTATACACCTTTAGGCACCAGGCAAAAATGTTCCTTTTTAACCAGGCCTTTAGTTTATCTTATTGACATCCTTTTAGAACGTGGCTATTTTTTTGCGGGGGTGGTGGTTATTGGGTTACTGCTTTTGGTTTGATTTTATATGTTGTGGTTTTGTTGTGAACCGCCCTGAGACCTCTGGGTATAAGGCGGTGTATAAGTTTAATAATAATAATAATAATAATAATAATAATAAACAATAAACCTAACCAAACCTTCTTCACAGCTGCACCAGAGGAAGAGAGAGGAAGGGAAAGCATGCAAGGACATAATGTTCAACTATGGTTTAGCACTATGCATGAACACAGCCAACATCTCATTCATCGATATATTCCTGCAACGGCAGCCAGAAGGTTTCTGCCAAGGTCCCTTCACAGACCTGCTTTAGACAAAACCAGCTCGCTCACACACATGCCGAGAGAAGCAGATTCATGACAGATTGTTGTTTCTTAGGGAAAGCTTGCCTGTAGCACAGAGCTGACCCCACAGATTTCCTCTTGAACAAAGATCCACCCATCCAAGCCCCAGCAAAATTCCAAATGCCGCAAAGGGAAGCCACTTCTCCTTTCCATTGGACCTTCTTAGTATATATACTAATTTCTGGGGCAGATGAATCACTTGCTGTGATTATCAATGATTACAGGCTGGGGAAACTAATTATACTGGTTGTCCCTGATGAATGAATACTTATGAAGCAATCGACGAGAGAGAGAGAGAGGGAGAAAAGTGGTGATGAGGAGAAATTCCCCAGCTTTCATTCATCAGTCCTTTCTTGTTTATCTAGCACAGAAAGAGCACAGAATGCAGAAGTTATAAAGAACGACAAGGAACAGCGTTGCTGCTGTGTTCTGTGCTAGCATGGGGCTGCTTTGCAAGCAAAAGAAGAAGAAGAGCAGGTGTAAGACCAGGAGTGCAACATTCATGGTCTTCCACCGTCTCAGCAGAACAGCCAATGTAGCCATGCAGGCCATGTAACTGTGAGGATGGCAGCGTGGTCTAGCAGTTAGAGTAGAGCCAGATTATGACCTGGAAGACTGGGGTTTGAATCCCCCACTTAGCCATGAAGTTCGTTGGGTGTGATTTTGGGCCAGTCACTGTGTGATTTGGGACCAGGTAGCATGCGATGGGAAAGACCTCAATTTGAGATACTGGGAAGCCGCTGCCAGTCCAAAACATGCAAAATTGAGCTAGTGGACAAATAGTGGACCAGCTTCCTAAATAATAATAATAATAATAATCCTATCTGGTTGGGTTTCCCCAGCCACTCTTGGCAGCTTACAGAATATATAAAATATAATAAAACATCAAACATTAAAAACTTCCCAATACAGAGCTTCAGATGTTTTCTATAAGTTGTATAGTTCTTTATCTCCTTGACACCTGAAGGGAGTGTATTCCACAGTGAGGGTGCCAGTATCAAGAAGGCCCTCTGCCTAGTTCCCTGTAACTTTGCTTCTTGCCATGAGGGAAGCAGCAGAAGACCATCAGAGGAGGACCTCAGTGTCTGGGCTAACCTTTGATAATGGTTACTGGGACATTAAGCTCCAAAGCCCAAGCCATAAAACACTGGTTTCTTTACCTGCCTCAGCTGTCTCCACCACCACTCCCAGCAATAAAGCCAATTTTGTATTTCACTGATCTTTAAAGTATGATACAGAAACTGGATGATGTGATCTAAGCAAAGGACTCTATATCAAAACTCCCACAATTATCCATAGAATCACACAGCTGGGCATTCTTTTAATTGTGATGACATTTCACTGCTTCCAAGACAAAAGTCATCATTTTCTGTGATATCTCCTTACTACTAATTTGCAGATAATGCCCCAATTCTTCACTGACTTTTTTCAACCATGAGCTGAGGACCCTATTCATCATGAGGATCATTATTCTCTCCTCGTGCTCTCATTATTGAACATAATGTATATTTTTACAAGTTATATTACAAAAGGCTCTATGTGCATTAGGCAAAAACTAATGGTTGCTCCTAATTGTCTTGATCAGGGACGTTGGGGAATTCCAACAAAAACAGCAATGGATGAGGAAAATGCTTATTCCTTCCACATCCAGAGCAAAAATCAATCCAGTGAATACGATCAGTACTTGCTATTGTTGCTTTCAGTCCACAAACAATACGGAATTGATTATGGCTTCCCATCCCATTGTGTTTCCTTTAAATTGAAATGAATTGGGTGGATTAACATAATGGCAATACAGTGGTACCTCTGGTTAAGAACTTAATTCGTTCTGGAGGTCCGTTCTTAACCTGAAACTGTTCTTAACCGAAAGCACCACTTTAGCTAATGGGGCCTTCCGCTGCTGCCACGCCGCTGCTGCGCAATTTATGTTCTCATCCTGAAACAAAGTTCTTAACCCGAGGTACTATTTCTGGGTTAACGGAGTCTGTAACCTGAAGCATCTGTAACCCGAGGTACCACTGTATATTTCATGCAATTTATGCGATTAAGTATGTATAATGACATAAGGCATGCAAATTTGCCACAGTGGACATCAATATGAACAATGTGGTTTAGGGCAGAAGATGAACCGCTAGAGGAAGAGAAACAGTCTTGCGTGTGACATGGAGAATGATGCCTTCTTGCGTCCCTAGTATTGAACTTACCTGCAATGAATAACGATGGGTCCTGCATCGGGAGGCGTGGAGGCCTTCACTCTGCGGATGAATGCCAGGAGCCCGGTTGCATGGTAAGGCACCCCATGTTCTGGCCATGATGTGAAGTGGAACTGCTTTACTTCATGCCTTGCTGAGTAGCCCCTCTGTAAGGAGGAGGTGAGGGCAGGGAGAGAGAAAGTAGGGTTAGCCCTACAGATGTTTCCAGGGCCGGATTTAGGTCTGATGAGGCCCTAAGCTACTGAAGGTCATGGGGCCCTTTATATGTCCAGCTGTCCTTTGTCAACAACAAATTGTCGCTGTTTTTTGTGTTGAATATATGGTAATTTATGCAAACAGTCCATGCAGAATGAGCAAACCAGTGATAGGGAGCAGGCCAGCAGACGGGGCCCATTACTTACATCATAGGAGCCTACACAAGACAAACACTGTTGCTGTATGTAGGTTTTATTTTATTTGTTTTTTTATCTTATATTTTGGAAATGTACATCCAGGTTTTTTTCCTTTGATTTTTTTGGGGGCCCCCAAGAGAGTGGGGCCCTAAGTTATAGCTTGTTTAGCTTATATGTAAATTGGGCACTGGACGTTTCCACAGGAAGGTGGAGGTTAACATTAAAGGTGCTTCCAAAATTCTCATCATCCCAATTCCTTTGCTGCATTCCGGAGTCCCCAACTGCCTGGCCTTGTGTTTAAAAGTGCTATCAATGCATTACATTATTCCTTAGAGAAATTTATAGCCTGCTCTTCATTTAAAAATAAATCTCAAAATGGGCCGCAATAAAAATATCCTGATCAATAAGACCAGCCAATATCACATAAAATCACAACAGCAATATGGGGTGAGCACATCTTTTGAGGGCAGGTCACCCAATTCCACCTCTAATTAACCATTAGGAATCACTATTTTTAACATTATTATGGGTTTTTGTTGAACTGCATTGTTCCTTGAGTTGTTTGTTCTTGCTTTGCTTATTTACCATGGTGTTTGTTTGTTTGTTTGTTTGTTTGTCTGTTTGATTGATTATATTGATTATTTTTTTTTGCCAAGGTTTATTATTATCATTATTAGCTTCTCTGAGCTCAACTTTGTTGTTAGAAAAGTGGCAGTGTGGTATAATGACTAGAGTGTTGGACTAGAACTAGGGTTCAAATCCCCACTCAGCCATGAATTTCACTGGGTGACCAGCGAAAATCACTTTCTCTCAACCTAACCTACCTCACAGGATTGTTGTGAGGACAAAATGAGGAGGGGCCAACCATGTAAACTGTCTTGAGCTCTTCCATATAAATGAAATAAATAAGTAGGTAAAATAAATATTAAAATCTAACCCTTTAAAACAAATTCTGAACATGACACACCATTTATATATGGTTTGCTGCAGAAGCATGACTTCATTACAGTTTATGAACACATAAGGAAAAAGGGTTCCTCAATTATAGAGGGATTTTTTTTTTGTTATTAAACAGAAGGTTATTGAACAGGATCCAGCAGCCTGGAATTTGCATTTTCTCAAAATTGGAGGAAATAATAAAGTTCACCATGAAAGATGTTAACCACTGCAACAAGCAGCTATCACACTCAAAATTAAGTTGACCTTGGATGCTCACCTAATATTAATTCATTCATTAATATACTGCTTACACACCTGAGTGGTTTCTAAGCTGCTTACAAGTTAATAATCAATGATGTGATTCATACATAACTAAAACAAAACAATCCCATCAACATGTTAAAAACATCCATAATTTTAAAAAGCACAACAAAACAATCCTGTTAAAAAGCGTAACAGTTAAACCAATTTGAAGAGCAATTTAAACAAACAAATCAGGAAAGTTCAAGTTCAGGGGAATACTTGTCTAAACAGGTGCATCTTCAACAGCCGGCAGAATGCCAACACCGATGGGGACCTCTTGTATTTACCAGAACTCTTGCTACGTACCCAGAACATCTAAGTATTGATGTAGGAGAAGCTGTTGGGAATTCTCTAGATTTCGATGTGGCATGATGCCAAGTGGAAAGCAATTACAGGTGCTAGATTTTGCTGATGATTACAGGCAGCATGAGATAAGAGCATAAACACAGTGGTTTCTGACATGAAGCAGCTCTAACGGCAGGATTGCTGCCTGATCAAAATTCCCACCCAGGTGCCACGACTTCACTTTGGCAGATTCATCTCAGAAAAGGTTTGTGCATTTCCCATGTTGCTGCCCTCCCAGTAGAACCAGGAAGCTTTGATTCCGTTCAAAATTTTCATGCAAACCCCCCTTAAGTCACACTTTCCTCTCCCACAAATACGCAGACTGAACTGCGTCTATCCTTCAGAATGGATACTTCTCTGAATTTTTGTGATGCCGTTAGAAACGTTGCATGTGTACACTGCATACAAAAATATCTATATCAGTGGAAATAACATGCAAAGATTGCTAGGGAGGAATTGCTTTCCAGAAATGTGTAGACTAGACAAAACGGAATGCAAAAGTAGGAACAACAAGTGCTAAAAGTCTGACGAAGTGAGATCGTTTTAACAAGCAAATAATAACTGCAGGCTGATGTGCAAACATTGCGAACTGAACTTATGCTTTGAGAAAATGACAAACGTAGAGAAACCAACATTGACACATTCATCTATCCCATATTCACAGGATTACCCCATGACTGGAGGTCATGCTGTCCTCTCTCCTTTTGAGGCTACATCTCCTTTCACACTAAATCACTCATCATAGTGTGATATTGCATCTTTGTTAAGCTTGGCTGAGCTGGTATCACGATTTAATACACTGGCTAGGAGGTTCCGTCCTCTTTTTTGGTGGAGAAATCCCAGGCCACTGATTAAGTGGTCCTTCTCCCTGAAACTGGAGCTGCGGCGAATGCCTTGGAACGATTACAAGGCAACCAGTTCCCGACAGAACTCGGGTACTTTACTTGTAACAAGGTTGTGATTTAACGTTCCTCTAGATTACAGGGCGAGGGGGGGTGAATTACAGTTGCGGATGTCTCGAGATACAGTAGAACTGCTCAATAATTGCCACGAAGCTTTCAGCTCCTGTCTAGAAGACAGAAATAATTGTCCATTCCCTGTGCAATTACATGGCGCTTAGCCTGAAATTAAACCATCAAGAATGACCACGTAAATAAAGGGCTGTTCTGCGGCACTATTTACTGAGAGAACATCCTTCAATGGAGTACCTAAAGAGTGCATATAAACAAGGAAGATTCAGATGGAGGAATTCTGAGCACTAAGCGTGGTTGGCGAAAGGGGGATGTCAAGGTGAGCAGAGGGTTTGGGTTCCAAAAGAGAAGACTGAAAAAAGACAAAAGTCTCCCAGGCTAGGAAATGGCTACACACAAATACTAGGTATGTGCACTGGTTCTGTGCGTACTCTGAATTACAAGGCAATTTCAGGACGGTTCCCACCTTCCGGGAAAGTACTTGCTTTGCCAAGTGTTTTTAAAGAATTATTTGATTCAGTATTGGCCATTTGTTCTGTTCTTTGTGGTTTTATAATGTTATGATTTTATAGCTCTAATATGTTTTCCTGACTTCATTGTGCACTACCTTGGCACTTTTTTTATCAGTTGCCACCTTATAAATATTCTTATGAATAAGAAAATCCTGAATTTGGATCACAGCATAACAAGATGTGCTGAGGTGAATCATGAACTCCCTCAGGTTCTTTGTGGCTCTGCGGCTTTAGATCTCAAAAAACTAACTAACCTACCTACCTACAAGACACTATTTTCACTGCCAGCAGAGGTAAAGGTAAAGTCCACCCTGAAACATTCTAGTAACTTTGCTCCCATCCCCCTGAAATCCAGTTCCAGATTTTAACACCTTGCATTCTAAAGTCAAAATTGTACACAACACAGAGTCTATAAAGGAAGATGCATCAAGTAGCAGCATCTCCAGGTCCAGGTTACAATTTTTTTCTTCAAAGAAAACATTTCCAGATAATGTCACCATGTTTCCATCTTCTTCATCAAAGGAAACCACCTATTTGTGTTTGTTTACATCACACATGCAGCACAATATGAAAGTGGACTTTCAAGGAGTCTTTAAGCCAACGTGATGTTGACCTGTGACAGTGCCTTCTTGCTGGTGGTTCCCTGTTTGTGGAATTCCCTTCCTGGCGAGGTGCATCTGCCTCCCTCATTATTGACTTTCAGAAGGAATGTTGAAATATTCCTGTTTACCTAGGCATTTGATGGCTCATAAGAAACTAATACATTAATAACTGTGAGGGTATGTGATTGTTTCTAAACACTGTACATTTAGAAAAAATTGTTTTGAAATGTCTTAAAGATGCTTTTCTTTTCTTTTAAATGGTCCTCTTTTGTGGTTTGCTGTGCCAGGCTCCAGGAGAGCTATAAAGGATACAAAGTCAATAAACAAACTACTCTTCCTTCTTGGTTCTTTCTACCCTCAGTGTCTAAGGATATGATGCACATCCCCGATTCTCATTTTGGGGAGTGAAAGTCACAGAGCTGCAGTTGCAAACAAGTGTCCCAAATATAGCAACATTGTGCCAAAGAGTTATGGCAGATGCAAAAGGGAGAGGCAGAGACAGAAAGCCATTTGGTGATGAACAAGTTCTTGCATGTTAAGCCTGGTCTGTTGAGCCGTTTAAAAAACTGGATTCTTTATGTCAGCATTTCCCAGACTGGTGCATCCAGATGTTTTGAACTATAAGTCCCATCAGTCTCAGCCAGCATGGCCAATGATCAGGGGTGGTGGGAGATGTAGACCAACAATCTCTGGAAGACACCAGGCTGGGGCACAGGAAGCTGATCAGCACTTTGATCTATGACCTGGGAAGAAGGTCAGCACTTCATAAGAATGTGTAATGATGGGGAACGATGTGTACCTAATGCCTTTCCCTGCTACTTTCGAAATAGCATTTAAAAAGAAGAAAAGAAAAGAAAACAGAGTGGGTAGAAAAGTTGTGTACACAAGTGTGCCTATAACTGATTGCTAGAGAAATTGATGTTGTATGTCAAATCAGTGAGGACAACAATGCACAATAATCTTAGGATCTGAACTAATACACCAGAAAAGCTCTACCTTTGGGACACTGACTTGCTTACCACATTGAGGGGGCTGGTCGTCACATGATGTGTCCAGCCCAGTGCGTGAGCACTCACCAGCAGCAGTGGGGGATGGCGGCCCCCTCAATATTGGGAGTGGGGCTCACCCCCCACAAATATTGAGGGGGCCGAAGCCGCTTCCACTCCCTATAGTTGGCACCCCTGCTTTTGGGGGGTAATACCATTTGCTTTTGTGGATTAACAGCCTAAACATGGTGCTTTCTGACTATGTAGAAATCTAAAGGTAAGCCAACGGAAGGAAGGAAGGAAGGAAGGAAGGAAGGAAGGAAGGAAGGAAGGAAGGAAGGAAATTTCTTTTTTCCAACTCCACTCAAATTGCTCCACCCATTTTGCTGCCTGTGAGTAGAGTAGAGGAATTTCAAGCTCAACTGTGAAGATGATAGATAGATGATAGATAGATGATAGATAGATAGATAGATAGATAGATAGATAGATATAGATGATAGAGATAGACAGATAGTTTAACATTTTGTAGGAAGCAGTGATTTTGCTCACTCTTCTTTTAACCCACTGCTCCCTTCATCAACCAGCACAAACTATCAATATCTTATATTTCAGTATTCATAGCCAAAATAAGAAGAAAATGTGTTGTGATTTTTAAAAACCCTCTCCAGACTGTTAGAAAATTCCTTCCCATCCCAGAATATTCAGTGAATGGGCATGGGCCATTCCAATTTTATGGTTTGCAAATAGGATGAAGCATTTCAGAAGGTCTGTTTCTGCTCAGCCCTAAACTATCCATCAAAATAATATGGTAGGCCAGAAATTGGGGGACCTGCAGCCCTGCATGGTATTGGGACACCATCAGCACTGATCATTGACAATCCTGGCTGAGGCTGATGGACATTCTAGTACCAAACACATGGAGGGCAACAGGTTGCGGGAGACTGCTTTAGACACAGATGTCATGCGGCTACAACTCCCATCATTCATGACTATTGGCAAGGCTGAAGGTGGGGGTTTAGCAGTTGGGGTCCACAGAATCTGAAGGGCCACAGGTTCCTCACCCTAACCATAGGCTTTGCACATGAGCATTGCACATTACTCCAGGAACCAGTATGGGTGGGCAGAATAGCAAGGTCTGAGGGTGTCTAAGTTGAGAAGAGAAAGATGACCCCCCCACACACACACATAGCCTCCCGGAAGGAGTCCTGATAGTGAAAATGGCTTCTCAATGCTCAGTGGTTGCTATTGTTTAGTTCTATAGGAGCCCACCTGCAGTCTTCCTAGCCTGCAGACCTTTTTGCCAGCGATGGAAGCCTCAGTGAAACACATCTCTGCCACCTGTTGCTGCTGGAAGATCATGGCCAATGTACCAGCTTTTGGGTTAAGAGCAATGCTTCCACAGACAGGACTGTGCTGAGCTTTGAAGCTTGAAGAGCTTACCCTCTCCAGAGTGAACGTCCTCACAACATATTCCGCCAATGTCTCCGACTTCACCTGGGTAATTTTGATGTCGCCATACATCTCTGAGTCATCTGGCCAGTATTTGGAGCACTTGACCTGCAATAGCAAAATAAAATCATCTGTGTGTCTAAGGGTAGGGTGAGGGGTCAGGGCTAATAAAGCACACCCCTCTGGAACCCACAGCGTGGGGAGAGGAGAACAGAAGGAGTCTCTTACCCTTCCCACTTCAACCAGCTTGGTTATCATCACTATGCTAGAACAGTGCTCCTGCCACACCATCCGCCAGAAATCATAGATCATCTCCTGTTTGGGGCCTGGAGCATTGAGATGGAAGAGAACTAAGCAACCACAGAGACTGCTAAAGGACGTCATGTGCAAAAATAAGGTGGCTATTGATTTGTTTCAGGTATTTCCTGGCCACCCTCTACCACAAAAATCTCAGAGGTGAGTTACAGCAGTACAATATTACAGTATTAAAAAGCAGTTGGAACAATGTACTGTACATGAAAAACTGCACCAGGGAGTAGCGGAACTTAAAAATAAGTCTCATGTGTCAAAAGCCAAGTAAAGAGGTGTGTCTTCAATGAATGGGGAGAATGATACAATGGTGGTCACAGATGCCTCTTTGAGGGGTGGGAATTCCACAGTGGAATGCCACAGAGGAAGCCCTCTCCCAAGACACCTCCATCCCAAACTTCTGAGGACTACCAAAAGTGTCCCCTTTCAGATATTTGGGGTCTAAATTGTTTAGTAAAATGAACATCTTGAATTGGCATAAATTAATGTGTTGGGCTGGCTGAATCCACACATTCCATCACCTTCAAGATGAAGGAGGATCTGCTAATCCCCACGAGTCCACCAATGATGGAGAGATTGGGGGGGGGCACATATACACAGCACCTGGGCTCCTTTGGGAGGAAAGACAGGATATCATTTTAATTAATCATCACAATAATTAAACCAAGGGTGGTCCAGGGATTGAATATGTCAACCCCCACTCAGTTTTGCACTGTTGCTTTTTTCTGGGTCCCTGCTGCCCACATGCTCAGGACCATTAAAAAAGATGTCATGGGAGAGCCATCATTTTTAATGATTTCCTGTGATTATTATTTTTTAATAATAGCAATCATGGATAAAGGAGCGATTCTGATTGTGCTTGGGACATTGTGCGTGTGCATGTGTGGGAGACAGGCTTAGGTCTTCTGCCCTGCAGTTTTCTCCCTGGAGAAAAACTTTACATGCTCAAATACTACTACCACTATTATTATTATTATTATTATTATTATTATTATTATTATTATTAGCATCACCATCATTATTCTCCAAAACAAGCCCAAGTGGTGCAGGAGGGCAAGAATTCTGCAATGTGAAAGAGGAAGAAGATGATAAGAATGATTTACCTTGAGTGGCTATGAAGTGGTTGGATCTGTGGTAACCCTGTGAAGGAATAAGACAGTGTGTTATGTTCCTATGGTAGGGAGGGAATTGTGGAAATACTTCCTGCATTTGCATGGAACGCCGCCAGCAACATTGGTCCCAAAATCTGCTCCTCTTAAAGCTGACTTAACCAGTCCCCTTTTGCTATCCCTTATACCACACATGCCAAAGCCCCAACAAACTTCCAAAGTTGGTTAGAGGATGTCCAACTGGATCCTCAGCCAGGGTCCCTCTGAAAGCAAAGCCACTCAACCAAAATATCCACTAAAGCCCTTCCACAGTGCCTACATCCCAGTTTCCTGCCTAGATCCTGCATGCTTTGGACCAAGACCACGTTCAAACCACACATTTAAAGTACTATGATGCCACTGAGGGCAAATACAGATCTCTCACTGTCCTCACTCCAAATGGGCAGTGAGATGCTGTTGCTAAGGCAACAAGGATGCATTTCTTCTTCAAGAAAAGGTCATGCCATTTGGGGCATGTAAGTTTAGAAACAAGGCTAGTAAGGCAGAGCAAGATACATGGCATGGTATTAGGGGTGATGTGGAGAAAGTGGACAGAGAGAGGTCTTTTTCTCCTTCTCTTGTAATACTGGAACCCAGGGCTATCAAAGAAAGCGGAGTGTTTGGAGGATTCAGGACAGACAAAATAAAGCACTTCTTCCCACAGTGTACAGTTAAACTCAGGAACTCACTACCATAACAGGTAGTGATGGTCACCAACTTGGATTGCTTTCACAGAGGATTATACAAATTTGTGAAGGGGAAATCTATCATTGACTATAAGCCATGATAGCTATGTTCTATCTCCAGTGTAGGAGTCAATCTGCCTCTGGGTGTCAGTGGCTGGGAAAGTGTGCTGTTGCGTTCATGCCCTGTTTGCAGGCTTCCCATGGTCATCTGGAAGGTCTGAAAAGGGAATTCTAAACACATTCAGCTGAACACATTTATAATTCTCCTTGCCACCTGGAACCCTGATAAGGCACAGTTCCTGATCAATGGAAGGCATGCACAAGACCACAGGAAGCCACCTTATTCTAAGCCAGACCACCGGTCCAGCTAGTTTAGTGCCATCTACACTGACTGGCAGAGGCTCTCCAGGGTGCCAACTAGGGTTCTCTCCCAGCCCTACCTGGAGATGCCAGGTATGGAACCTGGGACCTTTGGCATGCAAAGCAGACGTTCTACCTGAGCTACAGCTATTCTCTAACACACGGAGAGGATTATATGCATGTTAGCCTGAACATGCTTAGATCCTCATTCAGACCTTCCTGCTCAAAACAGGGTGGTTTCTGAAGTGGAGCTTGCATGTGTGAACCCAACTGCCCCTCACTTCAATCCAGTTGTCTGAACATAACTGGTGTTCCCCACCACCACCACCTACCCCTGGCACCATCATACAGTGCACACAAGGCCAAACACAGGAGACTGGGATTCAGCCTGAGCATGGGTCACCTTGAGGGTAACAGCAGCCTACAAGTGCTTCCCAGTACACGAAGGCAGCCTTGATTAATGTCCACAAGCAGCAAGGAACTGAGAGCAGCACAAGAGCCCTGTTTGCAGCCTTGCTGTTCACAGAAGTCATGTGGTCCTGAGTAATGATTGTGAACACCTTCATTCATCCAAGCCACTTACTGCACGCATTAGTAACTCCTAATGGGGGAGCAGTGGCCCAAAGAGCAGAGAAAGATGTAACAGCGCCAGTAACCAATAACACAGCAGGTTGGCTTGAAAGCTAAACACGAGGCTCCCTGTGGGGCCACCTACGCTCTCATTTTGCATTTTATATGTGAAGTCATCAGTTCTGCAAAGGACCTAATATATACCCATGTTCAATCATCTAACCAGAAGGGGATGTTCTCCAGCTTGGAAAAGCTCCCTCCCTGCTAATAGTCTCTGGATGCTTACAGTTCAAGCATGAGCCCTCAGCAAACATTGATTAAGTCCACATCATCTGTGCCACCATGCAAACCATTATAATACATGTGGCAGTCCTTCAGATATTTGAAGATGGTGTGAGTTAAAGTAGGTGCAGGGAAGCTTTGGTCCTGTAGATGTTGCTGAATGACAACTCCCATCAGTCCCAGCAAGTGTAATCAATAGCCAGGGATGATGGGAGTTGTTGTTAGGCACCATCTGGGGGGAGTGGCAAACACCTGAAGTAGAGGGAACCACCTTGTGTGCCCCCAACCACATTCTCCACCCCTGGATATATATTTAAGGACTTCTAAATGGAAGAAAGATGGAATAGAGGAGAGGGACTCGACATATACTTACTTCTCGGTTTATCCGAATCTTAGCAAGCCCAATCGGACACAGGTTCAAGAGAAAAAGAGATCAGAGACAGACAGATTAGTGAGACACAATCTGAGGAAGACCAGACTGTTTAGTAGAGGGAGTACATTAGACAGCAACATAGATGAGCAGAGAAGGAGCAGCAGCAAAGGACACTGGGATTGGATCTGGTTTCTTTTGCCTCACTTAAACAATCTAGACAGCCATGACGAGTCTAGAGCTGAAATAAAGATTCACAAATATTAGAAATTTGGCAGAAATTCTCCATTGGTTGGTTTGCCAAATTTTGAATCTGAAATTCAAATTTCAATTTTGAATGTGGCATTTGAGATTTGAGTGTTTTCAACATTCTGGCATCTTTTGATTTAGGCAGGTGTCCAAAAATTAGATAAGCCATCAATTGTCAAATGTGGTAGATGTCATTGCTTGTCAGCTATAAAATACCATCATATATTAACTACCAAAGTAAAATATCAAGTCCAATACTGAAAACAAATGTGACTCAATGTCAGCTATAGGTATCATAAACTACTGGCAAGTCTTCAACTATTCAGTGCATGTTTGATGTCAAAATTTGCAGAAGAAAACTTCTGAGACGCTTTGGAAGGAAATTAGTTTCAGCTCTAGGGCAGATAGTTTCAGAGGCTTTACACTTGTGGAGGGATTTAGAGATCACTTATAATATTATATTGTCCCTATTCTGTTTCTGAAAACATGTGTTAGTGGATGGCCATAATATGGACATAGACTGTATTTGTAACAGTTCAGGTGCGAGCCTCCAGCAAGCATTTGATGAAATTCATATTGCCACCATGCAGACCACTGTAATACATGCTAAATAAAAGTTTTAGTTGCTCATAGTTGCTCTGTATTATAGGGTATCTAGGTTGTGTGCCAGTGGAACAGAGGAGGGAGACCATTGCTGGCAATTCTTCCTCATCACGGGAGCCTGACTGGAGGGCTGGGAAACCTAGAGCAGATTTAGTAGGGAGTATGGAGGTAGCGGTAGGGTGAAATCATTAAAAATTACCTCCCTCCCTCATTCTGTTGATGGGCTCCTTCTATCAGTGGACAGACAGCATTATATTTCACATATTGTGTGTATCTTCACTTTATAGTTTTACAGTTATTGACTCAACACACACAATCTTGCATTTATTTCAATGTACATTTTTACATCATTTATTCACAGTTGGGGGGACAAATGGGTTTCTCTTGTTCTGTTCCTTTATTGTTCCATGAATTTGGTCTGTGCTGCATTCTAGTTTGTCTTAATTTTGGTTTAATTGGGGTAATTTCTAAAATCGATTCTGGTATTGGAGCATGTGCTGTTTATTATAGCTTACAGTTCACTTGGGTCACTGGCATCTATATTTGGACTGTCTCAGAAAAATTACTCCTCCTTTCTTTTCCTGGAAGAACTTGAATAATTTTTAGGAAACATGCCCATCTCTAGACATAACATGGATTGTTAAAGGATGGGAAATTTATGTTTGTCCTTATTTGGTATGTGTTGGTGGGAGGGAATACAACTCCCATCATCCCTGACCATTGGCCATAGTCACGGAGGCTAATGGGAGCTGTAGTGCAACAACATCTGGAGAGATACAGGCTCCCCATTCTTGAAGGAGAGTGCATATGGTCCTTCACATATATCTAACCCTATGCTGATCTACTGCTGTACCATCATGTTCCATTCTTGGAGCAACAGGGAAAGGGAAAGCTAGCATTTTCCTCAGGAACCGAAGAGCATTCTTAAAGGCAGATGTAACATCAGGCTGCATGAAGTGTGGAGCTCCCTAGGGTGCATGTGTGAGAGAGACACAGGGAAAACATGGAAGACAAAGAGAATTCTAGATCACACAGCCAAGAAAGTTTCTATGAGACAAAAAGCTCAAGACTGAGATTTTGCTGAAGAGAAGGTTGCTGGTAAGGCAATGGAAACAGGTCAGGGGTGCTGATGCACTTACATCAATGTAGTTGGCGTTGATATAGTCTGAGTTGGGGTCCCCAAGAAGTGGATGGAGCTTAACTCGATGCCGATCATCTGGAAACAAAATCAGATAGGACTATCAGTCCAGGACAGGCAGAATAGCCACTGGGTGACCTTAATCTCCTGACTCCCCATTTCATAAGTTCAAGGTGCTTTTCCTTTTAAATTTCCAGTCACTTACTGGACAGTGGCTACATCAGGCTCCAGCAGTGCAACTCAAACATGGGCTACAAGCCCTGGTGTCATTCTACCAGGACTCTGAAACCTGGGTGTACAGCACAGAGAGTTCCTGCATGATGTACATTACATCTGAGTTCCTGCAGTCTTGAACAATCACATGATTCTTCCTACAGTGACCCACAATTGCAATTTGCCTTGGTGCTAATTGAGCTCTGCTCATCAGGCACACAACTCCAGAAAAGATGTCCTTCTCTCCTAACCCGTAGCCATTATTGCGCTACTCCACATCTCAGCCTGCCTGTGGGGTTTGGCCAGAATCCTCAAGCTTCACATTCTTTTGCTCTTTTCTTTTTAAATCCAAGGCCTTTTGGCTCCCCAGCCACACAGAACAATGTCAAAAGCTTTACTAATTGAATTCTCCAGCCTCCATGCAAAAGCCACAATAGGTACCTGAGAGGTTCCTCAAGGTTTGCCACAATGTAGCCGAGATCAAGGCTTTGCTCTAAGGTAGATTTAAAGAACAGGCATACTAGGGCTGCAATGCTTAAACAATTGATCAAGCAATGAAAAATCTACTGAGCTTTTAAAAAGCCTTCTCCAATTAATCAGGCAGCAGTTTTTCTATTTAAAAAAAAAACCACACAAAAAACCTGCATTATTATTTTGAGGGATGTACTTGCAAATTTTGGGGCAGCAGATGCCCTTTCGAAGCAGCATTTCCTTTCTCCTATCTCTCGCAAAGGAGGGAATGCCTCTTCTGACAAAAAAATGGGATCTAAAACAAGATATTGCAGTAGCAGTCAGTGGAGTGCTGCAGGTGAGGTGGTGATGCTCACCTGCTTTCCAATCCCCAGAGTTGCTGTTAGTTACTGAGAAGAGGAGGCAGCAGGGAGTGCAGTGTAGGCACAGTGGCAGGAGTATTGGATTGGCTTCACTGCTGAGCTTGCGCCATGCCAAGCTCCTTACCCCTTTGCTCCTCTCCCTCTCGGCAACTCAAATGGATGCTTTGTGTTGGGAAGCCAGGTGAGCAATGCCACCCCACCCACCTCATGCCACCAACCAGGGCTGTCTTAAGCATATGCGGCACCATGATGTAGTTTTGAGTCCTGACCCACCAGGTGCAAAGATCCACCCGGCGCCCCCCACCCCAGGTTGCCCAGTCCCATGCATGCAGGAGGGCGGAGCCGGCTGGCCGCCTCAGTGTCTTGCTGGCTTGGTCACCCCCGAACTCACGCCCACAGCAGAAGAGCCCGCCGTGGCGCTCCGACCGATGGGTGGGCTCTTCCCCGGATTCAACTCTCGGGCCCCAGACTCTTGGCCTGGCACCCTTGAGAGCCCGGCGTCCAGGTGCCCTGCACCCCTAGCACCTATGGGTAAGACGGCCCTGCCACCAACTTTTGCTGGAGGTTGCAATGCATGGTCTCCTGTTCAGAAATCCAGCCACGCTATTCCATTGCCAGCCCCCTTCACTATACTTTTTCATCCTCTTCCTCAACCATTCCTTATACACTGAACCCATTAGAACTCTTTGTGCTGCTTTTGAGGCCCCGCTTTGGTTTCACCACCAGATTTCCAGACTTTTGCAAACCTTATGTGTTTTCCCAAGCCTGGTGATACCTTAGGGGTGGGAGGTGCCATTTTGACGCTACAAACAGCAGCACTCACAGTCTGGACATTGGGAATAGAGGAAATGTATCTACTCAAGACGCATGAATACTTCGTCTAAAAATGAAAAATGCCTTATATTTGTAAAATCAAATAAAAATGATTTAAAAAAGGGAAAAAAAGAAAAATGCATTTCCCCCTTCAAAATGGCTGTTCTATATTCATATCACCATTTATTCTGATTGAATTCATGCATTCATTTGTTAATCAATTCACTGATCAACTGGCGATGAGCCAGTGTGGTGTAGTGGTTAAGAGCGGTAGTCTCGTAATCTGGGGAACCGGGTTCGCATCTCCGCTCCTCCACATGTAGCTGCTGGGTGACCTTCGGCCAGTCACACTTCTTTGAAGTCTCTCAGCCCCACTCACCTCACAGAGTGTTTATTGTGGGGGAGGAAGGGAAAGGAGAATGTTAGCCGCTTTGAGACTCCTGAAGGGGAGTGAAAGGCGGGATATCAAAATCCAAACTCTTCTTCATCAGCCTCAGTTCTTACACTTCCAGCCAGCTACACTGATTCTGAATAAATCTCTCGTCTCTACATTAACAAACTCCACAAAATTAATGCATTTGACTGTAAAATCATGGTTACCTGAGATATGGTGGATCAGATGTTACCTAGAGTACTAGTCTCAGACCTGAGACTCACCTTAAACCCACATATGCATTCTGGGGACCCACTTATTAACTTTTACCTTCTATTTGTATGATGGTAGTGCTGCTGTTGTGACCCACCTTAGATCAGGCCATGATGTAGTTTTGGGTCCTGACCCACCAGTTGAAGACCAGTGACCCAGAACACATGTCACCACCCGAAGAAGACATCTGCTGCATACCAACTGGCACCATGATGGTAGCAGAGTTGAGGAAAGGGCAACATTAGGATGAGACGGACAGCTTTGCTCCATGTAGGGCAGAAAGATGGAACTGCCTCAGTGCAGAGTTCAGTCAATGGGCAGCTTACTTCCCAGAGCTTCTTAAGCAGAACCTGCCCAGTGATCAGGTCCAGCCCAAGACATTTGGGCACCTGAGGAAGACCACAAAATGGCGCCCTCCCTCTCTGCCAAGGAAGAAGGGGTCAGTGAAGATCTGCATCAGGAACCACGGGATAATAAAGATCTACATCAGGTCTGCTGCCCCTGTGGATTCTGCCACCTGAGGCAGTCACCTCACCTTGCTTCATAGGTGGGTTGGCCCTGCCTGCCACCTGATTGTGACGTTTGGTTGGGGAACGGGGTGGAATCTGAGTTTGGCTCCCACTATGCTGTTTTGAACAATTAGCTCTCGTTTTTGTCATCATGTTCACATGAAATTTCAATTTGCAAAACGCAGAGAACGGGAGGCTATAATTAGAAGCGGTAAAAATAGTTGGCTAGGATGGTGTTGCAGAGGCAAACCAGTCTTTAGCGGAGTTATTTTACAGCACAGATTCCAAGTGAATTGCAGCTTCCCCCTCTGTTCTATGGAGGGGGATGTCCCCGGTTACTCATTCAACTCTTTCCAAAACTCTCCCGACCACCAAACTCTACATTCTCCGACGAACAGACAGACACACCACGCAGCCATGTGTCGGACTTCTTGAACAGTTGACAAGTATTTGAAATGTTGCAGTGGAATGCTATCACACTCGGGTTTGAGGTTTAAGGGGGGGAGGGAAAGAGCCCTTTGATGTAGCCTCTTCTCCATTGATGGGCCCAGCTGACTCACTCAGTGGTGGCAGCAAACAACAATGGGCAGTTTCAGCGCATCCTGAACAACACTACACTAGGAACATTTTGCCAATGCTGACCCTTCATCACACCACAGAGCACACCAGGTGTAACTGTTAGAATATAAACCCTGGCACCAGTTTACCTGTGAGATCACCTAACCCTATATATGCGTTGTTGTTTAGTCGTTTAGTCGTGCCCGACTCTTCGTGACCCCATGGACCAGAGCACACCAGGCACTTCTGTCTTCCACTGCCTCGCGCAGTTTAGTCAAACTCATGCTGGTAGCTTCAAGAACACTATATATGCCTAGTTGACTGCTTTGATCTGCAGAACTGGCAAGTGTCACGGGTGCCACAAAATCCCTGCTCTGCCTTTGTAAGAAATACGGTAGATCTTTTAGCATGACAGCACATACACTTTGGAACCCCCTGGCTACATGGACCAGTGGCTCAGTATGAAGCAGCCTCCTTTGTTCCTCACAGCCTGTATTTGGTACAGAATCAAATGGGTGGCCCAGGCTACCATATTATTCCACACTAACTGAAACTTCATCACTAGGGTTACTTCCCCCTGCACAACAACCCTGTCGAGGTTAGGTTGCACTGAGAGAGACTAACTAGCCAAAGGTTCCTGGCTGAATGTGAACCTGAATCCTAGACTCATGGGTCCTAGTTTGGCACTCTACTCGCTATGCAACACTGCTCTCAGTTAATAAATGCTACCTGAGCACCGGTATTTATTCCCTTCAGAGTTTTGAGGTCACGTCACGCTCCCAGCCCTTTCCTCCTGCCAGGCAGAATTTTATCTGGCTGCAACTGACTTTCCAGCCCACAAAACCTGCGCTAGCAACTTGTGTGACATATTTAATTCCAGGCAAAGGAATGACACGTCTCAAACTAAATGGAATCCCCCCGAGGTGCAAAGATCTGAAGTCTGCAGGCTATAATGAAGTGGTTGCATTTGCAAAACTGAACCCAGATTGGAGCAAAATGCAACCTCTGCTGTGCATTTGACAGTCCTCGGATGCCTGCAAACCACAACCCAAATGCATACTTTCCAGACGCTGGAGAGTTTTGGGGCGTTCAAACATCCGAAATGAAAGAAAGAGATTGATTTTTCCCTTTCCCTTCTTTGTGGATTTTTTTTTTAAAGAACTTTTGTCTCTGACACTCACAGGTTGGCATGTGATCCTGTCTCCCTTTGGTCTTGTCTTTCTTCTTTGAAGCATCCCAGCCTTCAAAGAAACTCTAGGAAGAACAGAAGTCTATTATCTGCATAAAGAATACTTGGGGAACAAGCACACATAATTTCCTTTGACAGCACAGATACCGGATGCTCCCCTAGGGGTGGGCTCTACCATACAGCATCAAGACCCACTGCCTAGGTGAGGTGCTCACAGTGGCTTCCCCAATGAATGACCAGGGCAGAAGGAGGGGCACATATCTTTCGGGAATATTAAGATGATCTGCATTAAAATATTAGATGACCCACTTTTTTTATAAAAACAAACATGCACACAGAAAGCTGAATCCATATTGTGGCCAACCACAGAGCAGTCAAGTACAGTGGTACCTTGGGTTAAGTACTTAATTCATTCCAGAGGTTCGTACTTAACCTGAAACGGTTCTTAACCTGAAGCACCACTTTAGCTAATGGGGCCTCCTGCTGCTGCCGCCGCACCGCCGGAGCACAATTTCTGTTCTCATCCTGATGCAAAGTTCTTAACCTGAAGCACTATTTCTGGGTTAGTGGAGTCTGTAACCTGAAGCGTATGTAACCTGAGGTACCACTGTACAGCATCTGAAGCAGAGGTGAGTAATGTGTGGCAGCACTCAGTCTAATTTCACAGAATTATAAGAGTTGGGAGGGGACCTGAGGGTCATCTAGTCCAACCCCCTGCAATGCATGTGGCCCTAAAATTAATTTCTGCATAAATGGCAAGAGGGCTCTCTATCCCAACTCCAGTTACCTGCATGTTGGGGTAGGGAGGTAGAGAGAAATAAAGGGGTGGAGAGAGGCAGAGAAAGAAGTGGTCCCATCCACTCTTGGCTTTGGCCCCACCCACTGTTGGAATATGGACCTCAAAAGATTACCTTTGAAGAAATGTGGCCCTCAGCAGGGGGGGAATGCCTCTAGAAGGGCATCTGATCTCAGTTGGTTAGAGTGTGGCACTGATAATGCCAACGTTGCAGGTCCGAGCCCCATATGGGACAAGTGCATATTCCTGCATTGAAGGGGGTTGTACTAGATGACCACCAGGACCCCTTCCAACTCTACAATGCTATGATTCTATGACTAGCCACTGTGAGAACATGACAATGGATAGATGGTCCTTTGGCCCGATTCAGCAGGGCTCTTCTTGAGGAGGCTGGCAAGGCCTTCTCCTTGCAGTGTCTCTGCCCATTTGGGAAAGCTGTATGCAATCCTTAAAGGGCCCGTAACTGGTTCTGTAGCTGCATGCTCCAGGACGGTGGTAGAACAGAAGAAGCTACAGGGGAGTCACCCACAGATCTCAGAATCAAGGGTGAGCCACATCCTCAGAAACCACCCTCTTGACCATTGGGCCCACTTTTGGTCTTGTCTGCTCAATCTGCCAGAGCCTAACTCACCAAGGGTTTGAGGTGGAGAGAGAGAGAGAGAGAGAGAGAGAGAGAGATTTTTTTTTTAATACAGGTGCTACAAATGGCAAGTACCATCTTAGAAGAGGCATCAGATTGGCCATTGTGGAAGCATAAAGCAGGACTAGATAGGTCTTTGGGTCTGATCCTTACGTTCTTATAGGCATTTTCTCATGCCTAGAAAGGAGACTGCCTCTTGATAATGCCTGATAATGCATAGGAAGATCATCTTTAAAACAAAGTAAGTATCCTTTTCCCCTTGTGGTTTCCCGCTGACATGTGTTGGGTGGGTATGCATCCTTTTGGATTATAAGTTGGCATGAAAACAGCAAAAATAGGTGGTTAATCAATGACAGAAAAATGGGGATTTAATTAATCAATCAACTAAAACACATATGATTAATTGACTAAGGTTCCAGCCCTATGTCTACTTACTAGAAAGTAAGCTCCATGGAAATGACTTACTTTTGCGTACAAGTCTGTAGGATTTCACTGTTAGGTTTTGTTCTGTTTTTCCAGTACAATCTTTTCCTTGTATTTTCAGGAGCAAGTACTATTGAGTTAAATGGGACTCCAGACACACTATATATTTAAAGCACATCCCACCCAAAAGACTCCTGAGAACTGTAGTTTACCCTTCACAGAGCTGCAGTTCCCAGCCCCCTTAACAAACTACAGTTCCCAGGATTTGGGTTTGTGTGTGTATGCGTGCAGAAAAAGTGCAATGTGTGCACAGTCTGAGACTTACTGCCAGTTAAATTTGCATAGGATTTCACCCTTAATTGTGTAGCAGACATTTTTAGTGTGTTTTCTGCTCTAAAGTCAATTTAGGGAGGAAGATCTACATTTTCAAAAGCAAAGACCCTATGGACCGCACATTTCAGGACCAGAACTGCTAGCTTCCAAACTGCATCCCTCAGGTAGCAGCAGCCATTGTGTCGAGAGGATGCTACATTTACAAACCCTTGAACTGAAGTTTTTACTTTGCTGCCTTAACTGCAAGTTTAATGTCTGCACTGCGCTGATTATGTGGTGTGTTTATTACTTTTAATTGGCTTAGTGTATAGTTTATTGTTATTTTGCTTTAAATTACATTGTAAACCACCCTGGAATAAATATTTTGAAGGGGATATATATATATATATATATACACACACACACACACACACACACACACATATATAGAGATAGAGATAGATAGTTAGACAGACACACAGATATAGATATATCACTGGTAGGGTGGAAATATATTTTCATCAATGTCTATTTTCATTAAAGGGATTCCCCAAGGGGGCACTTTTAAAGTGGATTCATTCCACTACATCTGTATTCTCCCTCCCTGCAGAAATGACTCATTCCCTCCCACCCCCCACCCCCCAGATTATGGAATCTTCTGTTTCCCATGGTTCTTTATTTCCTGTTATTACACAGAGCTACTGTGTGTGTGTGTGTGTGTGCAAGCCTCTTGTGCGCATGTGAAATAACTGCAGCCCCGCTGCTATGAGCAAAAAAGAGAAAGTGGAAGAAAATGATATGTTGCCTTGCTTGTTCCTAATATCCAAGTGCCTTTCAAATGACTGGTTTGGAACATATACAACAGCTTTTCAAGGTGCCCTAATTATTGTGACTAGCTCAGGTTTGTCAAATTCATAATATTGGAGAGGAGCGAGTGTCTCAGACATCCGAAACAATTGAACACGAGACAGTAATATTTTTTGGCAGAGAGAATGGAGGGACCTTCAATAGGCATGTCCCACGGGAAACATAAACCATATTGTTCTGACAGTGTCGCAAAGCAGAGGGGCTGCACATGTTCCATTTTGATATGGCATAAGAGGTGATGTTGTGGTTTAGGGACACAGTGTCCTTTCAGAAAAGAAGAAGAAGAAAGGAGCCGGGAGACAGAAACTCCCCTTGAATTCCCCAGGCTAAGCCAGCATCTTGGTTACCGTGCCATAGCAACACAGGAATTCCAGAGATCTAGAGCTCAGTTTGGGTGTTCTAATCTCCCTGTCCATCACCCCCCACATTATGAGAATGGCATAAGGGAGATTGGGGACCAGTGTGCTAGTCCCCAACCTCCTCACTGCCCTCTGTGAACTGTAGGCAAATATCTGGATCAGATAGGAGGGGGTTATTCTACCCATGTGCAGAATTCTGGAGGATCAGGGTTCAAAACAGGGGTGTTTCTCTCACTTTCTCAATTTCAAGTTCAGTGGGCTTCACATATCACTATCAGGGATTATGAATTTGGTAGAGCCTGGGGCCAAATTCTCACCTCATACTCTTGTTTGAAGCCATAGCCTTCTGCAGTCTTCATCTGGTTGATGTGCTGGAGAAGATCAGCCACTCGGACGGCAGGATGGAGCTGCCCGGTGTGATAGGGGGAGCCTTTGCGCCCACACTGCCGTCGAGGGGAACCCCCTAACAAGCTGCTGGACTCATTGACAACACTGCTGCGCTGGTCACCTGGGAATAATAAGAGAAGGTGTGGCAGAGAGGCGGGAAAGGGAATCCAGAGAACAACAGGAACCAACACAAGTCCCTCTATAAAGCTATGCAGGTCTGCGTACAGTCAGTGCTGAATGACAACTCCCATCAGCTCTAGCCAGCAAGGCCAATGACCAGGGATGATGGGAGTTGTCATTCAGCAATGTCTGGAGGGCTGCAGGTTCCACACAGTTGACCTAAGGAGTCTAACACTCCTGCTGCATTCATATCTTTTACCACAGACTGCTATGACACCCCGGCCACCTACCCTGGGCAGTAGCTCAGACTCCACCTTAGACAAGGGCACAGCCAGATCTTAAAAGCCAGTGCCAAAGATCACAGAAGAGCTGGTCTCCACACTGGTTCTGAGCCAGAGCCTTTTCATGTTCCCGTGAACAGGTATCCCCATAGACTGAGGTTCCCAAACAAGCAACCATCTTCCCCACTGGAACTCCCTGCTCCTCACTGCTGGATTACCGATGCAAACAACAAGCTAGGAAATAAATTGGGGGAATGAGTTGGAGTGCTAGATAATAATTTAAGCTACTTGGTCTCCAGGGGAAAACATAAACAAAGGCGAGGCTTGAGTGTGATAGCACAGACTGAGAACACAAAGGTTTCATTGGGGACTGCAGAACTTGGAGCAAGTTGCTTGTGTGGGGCTGTCCAAGGTCCTGAAAATCTGACTGTACTTGCTCAATTGCACCACATTCAGATGACCTGAAGGTTCTTTTCTGGGTCTGCAAAATTCAGAAAAGTTCAAATTTTGAAGGACAACCAAGTTCACACATTGTTTCAGATAATGCGAACTGAATCGAATTTCTCCCCCATCCCTAGTTGGTGAATTCCACACACACACACAAGCTTATTTTCTTTTAACTTGAAACAATGCTGTTAAGGGAAGGACAGGGGGAGTTGTGCTTTATGATTTTCTACAAGGGCCAGCCAATCAGCACTCTGCACAGCCAAACATGGAGTTGGGATTGAAACAGATTCATGATTGTCACAAGAGACAGCTAATCAGAACTCTGCACAGCCAGCTTCTACTGGAAAGAGGAAGGAAGACCTGGTTGCTCGTGAGCATGGTTCAGCTTGGACATTGGTCCAACTATACTACAAACTGATGACTTTAAACCAGTGCTGTTCTGCTGGTGGTGCACATAGATAGGTTTTGAAAAGTACTACTTTAAAGCATGTGAGGACCAGACAACCCTGAATAAATGCTGCTTGCCCAAGGTTGGAAAGACGATAAAGTCCCTACCAAAGTGGACTGGCAGATTAAATTAATGAACTATGTAGAGATGGCAAGAGTGACTGGGAAAATCAGAAATCAGGAGGATCAAAACTTCAACAAATTATGAGAGAAATTTATACTATATTTGACAGACCACTATAAACACCTGAACTCTTTGGCAGGTCTTAAATAACTCTTGTAATGTTACAGAGACTTTGGATACAATGGAGGACTAGAAAATTAGGAGGATTTATTGTATGTAGTTGAAAAGGTTAATTAAGGAATCCATGGAGGGGAGGAGGGAAGTCTAGAGATTCAGAAGAATCTTGTGTAATTTTTATAATTTGCGATTTTGTGTGTGAATGAATTTGTAAAATCAAATAAAAATCATTAAAAAAAGAGAGACAACCCTGAATATGCTTCAGCCATTTTGTCTCTTTTCTCCAGTGATCGGTTCAAAACGACTTGTGCAAATGTTTGTGTTGGTAAAATATCATTTTTTAAAAGTGGGTTTTTTTTAAAAAAAATAGAAAATTAATGGAGATGTTCACAAATGCAATTTCATCTCTGGGATCAAGTACTGATTTCTCTGGTAATGGCAGTAATATGATGCTACTGACGTCAATGAAGTCCACTCATCTTGAGTGGAATTAACTCAACATCTCTCTCGACAAGGTAGACCAGGGCTTTTAAACCAATTATACAGCAAAGGGACCTCCCTAGGGATAAAGCTCTCCCTAGGCCACACAAAGACCCTTCCTGGTTCTGTATTCACATTCATTAACCCAAATTAGAATTAGAGAAGGGCAAACTGCCTTCAGCAGTATTCAGAAACAACACAGGAATTATGAGTAGAATTGGAAAACACTGAAAAAGGGGGGATATTTGTTGAGAGTTCTAAATGTGCAGTTACTGCACATGTGTAGGTGCTTTCCAATATGCAAGTATAGCTCAGTAGCAAGATAAGGCACTGTTGTAAACAATGCAGGGCTTCCCAACCCAAAAATGGTAAGGCTAAGGGTCTTTACACTTACATTGTGGATGCCCTCTTCTTGAAGTATATGTGATTATTTTATTTATTTAAACTATTTACATACTACTTAACAACCATTGTCTTTATGCAGTTTACAAAATATACATTACAAATAAAAATCTGTTAAAACTCTGAAATCAGACTTCAATCAAAATGTTGGTGGGAATAATAAAAAGGGGGCATTTAGTAGACACCAGAACCTCAGTAGGGAGATTCCAGTTGTCTGTCCTCAACTGGAAGAAAGTTCTGTATAATTGGGCCCACAGTACTAAATGCATAGCTCCTGGTGGATACAAATCTTTGGTCATTAGGCTTTATTTGAACATGAGCCATAGGCCATTCTGAGAGAGGCAGGCAATGTCGTCATAAAATATGGTATGTGTTGTGTACTTTTGTATTCAGAATCTCCCCAAAATCATAAATCCATATTTGGAGCCTGATATTTTTAATCTTCAGTGGCATCACTGCTTAGAATCTTTGTTTCCTCCATTTCCCCTGGAAATTCACTCTCATTTAAAGTTGGGCAGGGTAGTTAAGCAATGTTCAGGACAGCTAATGTGCACTAAGTAATTCTGGGAATGCATCTTTATGTTGCTAAATTCTCTTGATACTTGCACACCTCCTGTATCCTGAAGTTCTCTTCATCTCACTTAGTCTCTCTCTCTCTCTCTCTCTCTCTCTCTCTCTCTCTCTCTCTCTGCATTATCCTGTATGGTGAGCTCTGCTCAAGTCGCAACTCCCCTGCATGGCAGAGTTCTTGAAGTAGTTGCCCTAACAACATTTCATCATAATAATCCTTTTGGGCTCAATCCTACAGCTCCAGCATCTATTCATCTTCTGGGCAAATGTCACCACATAGCCTCCCTCCTTGCCCTTTTGCTTGCGGTTTCCAGAAGGCAACATGTGCATTTGGTAATTAAAAGCCCACAGAGATGTATCGGGCAAGCATGTAAAGGAAATTGTACGAGAGTGATGTGCACAAGGGGGCTCAGATAGCATGCAGAAACCATTACCGCAACAACAGAAGCCGTGGCAAATGTCTTATTCCCCGGGAAAATTAGCCTTTCCCGATCTCTGGGAAATGAGCCATTCAGAGCTTCCCTGGGGTAGGAACACAGCGTTATGCATGTATCTTAGCTTGCACGTGCTTTCCCAGGCAAACAAATAAATAAATCATGGGCTTTAAACAAACCTAGTTAGGAGTAGTTGTTCACTGCTGATTAAAATGCTACAAGCTCCATTTTGAGGGGGAGCAAGGCTGGACAGGGTGTTTTTGAGTTGAAATCCTATACAACATTTACCTGGGAAGGAGCCCCACTGAACTAAATGAGACTTGCTTCTGAGTGGACACATATAATAGAGGTGGAGAAGCTCTGGCCCCCAGAGAGTGCTGGAGTACCTCTCCCATCTTCTCTTACCATTGGTCATGCTGGTTGGGACTGGCAGGAATTGAACATCTGGAGGGCCACAGGTCCCCCACCACTGGCATATAGGCCTGTGCAACTGCTGGGCACCTTTTCTTGAGTGGCTTCATTTCTCCCCTGCTACTGCTGTCACTGCTGATTTTCTTGGCCTCCAGGGCAGTGGTGGGAAATACACAGCTCTCCTAATATTGTTGGACTCCAACTCCCATCAGTCCCACCCAAGATGGCCAATGGTCAGGAATGATGGGAGTTGTACTCCAGCAGAAATTGGAGGACACAGCCTCCCCATCCTTGCTCTAGGCCCAGTCTGAATGGCCACTCAGAGTAAGGACTTCTTCAGGCCAAATCATTGCTTGTTCTTTCAAATGGGAATGGATGCCAGTCTTCTACAAAGCCCCCAGGCAGTCTGTGGGCAAATGAACACCTTGATGTCACAGTATGCCAAATCTTTATTGCTGCCTTAAAGTCACATCACCAGATTTAAGAAGGTGCAGGTGATTCCCCTGCCAAACCTAGGGGGAATGGCTTCAACTGGTCAGCTAAACCAGGTGAGGGCAGCCAATGGGTCTCAAACCCTCGGCGAGTTTGGGACTTCCTCTGCAAGCAAAGACAGGCACTTGCAGATTGAGCGGATGAGACCAACAGTGGGTCCAACCGCCAAGAAGGCAGTTTCTGCACATGCTGAAGAGGGAAGTGGGGGGCAGGTGGGGTTCATCAACCTGGGAAGGGAGCCCATCTAGGAGAAGGAAAACTGTGGTCCTAAATCTCTGCTGCCTTGTGGGATATCTTCAGGCAGAAAAAAGGAGGAAAAACCCAGCAAAAATCCAGAGTGGAGTCCCTAAGATGGTTGGATGGTGCCTTGTACACTTCCTTCCGGCAACTCCAGCAGCCAAGCTGGTGCCAAACATATTGCTCTGCTTTCCCTTGGACCACATCAATTAGGCTATCTTGTCATCTGGGTAGCCCAGGACCTCCATATACATTGCCCAGGCTTGAGCCTGCTAATGCAGTGGTTTGACTTCACCCTGACATCCTTTTGTCTCTCAACACAGACAGGTGCTAACAGTCAACCTACTGAGAAAATCCATAAAAAGCAACTGTACCAGAATGAATTATTGTGAAAATACTTATTATTATTATTATTATTATTGGGGGGGGGCAAATTCCATCCTTTTTCAGGGCACCATATTACCAAAGTCCACCCCGATCAGCAGATGTCAGGCGCTTCTAAGTTTAATGCTGGTGTGGGAGTCAGGGCAGGGCTCTTGTTTTCTGTGGGTACATGTAGAAAGAGGCTGCAGTCCCTTGGCAATTGCTTTGGAAAACTCCCTTTTCCACAGGGCCTCCCAAGAACAAGGTTAAACCCACTGCCAGTCAAAGCAGGCGCCATTCCATTGCCTTCAAAAGATGTAAAGCAATAGCAGCAAATTTGGGCCGAAAGCTCTTTCAGATGCTCGCAGAAGACAAATTGTTCATACAAACTGGTCTTGTTAAGAGCAATCTAAGAAACTGAAATGGTGCAGTAACTAAAATAAAATAATAGTCCTGCGGAGATGTATAAAACAGGGAAACTCTTGCCCTCTGGGCTTCTATTGTCTGCGAGACAATGGTACAAACCATATTAATCTTGTAGTCTGCAGAGGAAAGATGTGAGCAAGGCAGCATCTTGAAGTTCCAATAGCAGGTGTTATTAGCATATGGCTGAAACTGGGGCACAGAAAGAATTACTTTACAACTAAATCAGCATAGAAATGCATTCACCGGTGTGAAATTATAAGTCTCGGCCTAACGTGGAGGCTCTGCCGCGTTAACTCTTGAATGTTCACAACAGCTCGGCCGCAATCAGAAATCAACAAAAAAACAGCCCCAGGAAAATACAAGGATATTCATTTTAGTTTGTTAGTTGCTACATTTATATACTGGTTTCTGGCCAGAGCACTTTGCTCTTGGGTTTATATATAGCTTGTGCCATGCTCACATATGGAGGACAGTGGTTGGTACAGGGACGAGCAGGCTAGCTCCATGCCCCTTGTGCCATTCCTGTCTGCCACAAGGCAAAGGGCAGCTACGGCGAGGGAGCTCCCTGTGCTCCTGAAAGTTTTTGCATAATATAGAACCTTGGAAAAACAGGGTAGACAAAGTGCAGCATGGGTGTGTCTGCAGGTATGTTGCAGCACTGCTAATAAAAGTCACTGCAAGAAGCAGGACATCCTCTCCACTAAGGACCATATTTGCACTGGCTCCCAAGAATCGCAGGGATTGTGACATCATGACCATCCCAATCCCAAAGCTGCAGCTTTGACTGGGGCGGGGGGGTTGCATTGCATTTAGAGAGCAGATGCTGCGAGGCTGGAGGAAATAGGGCAAACATTCTCAGTATGGTTCCTCAATATGCTTGGCCATGTTCAAGATGGGAACCACAATTCCAGTGCTCTGAATGTCTCTTGCTGACAAGTGGTTACTAGGTAGCCAGGTGAGGTTATAATTTTGGATGCAGACCACTAGCAAAATCCATTGATCAGTCTCAGTCTCAATGCAGAGCAGATTTTCGGGGGGAAAGATAATGGAGCCAAAGTGTAGGCTGAGGAACCCGTGGCTTTCTAGATTCTCATGGGTGTCTGGTTGGCCACTGTGAGAACAGAGTGCTGAACCAGATGGGATTTTGGATTGATTCAGCAGGGCTTTTCTTCTACCTTTATGTTATTTGATACTGCCAGACTACAGCTCCCATCATCCTTCACAGGGCTGATAGGAGTTGGGAAGGCCACAGGTTCACCATCCCTGGTTTAGGCAAATCGACAACCGTATGCAAGCTAGCAACGACTCAGAATCCTACTGCAATGGGAACGGAAGGGAACCATAAAGATCCTCTTCTCTGCACCATGCCAAAGCATTTCAAATAAGATTACTGCCTGTGATTTTTAAACATTCAGTCACGGTCAAATCAAACAAATGGAAATCAGGTGAGTCAGAGGCAAACCAGCACCAAGCACATTCAAAGGACAGAGAGCATGTAGCTCTATTTTTAGCAAAGATGTGCCCCATGAAAGTTGTATCAGAAAAAGAATAAAATTGCAGCAGTGGCTGTTCTTAATCCCATTAGGCCAATCCATTATTTGACCCCAAGACTGTAAAGCAAGACGTTGGAATACAGTTGTCCGGATAGAGCACTTTGAAACCAGCACTTTGAAACCAGTAGTTCTCGTTTTGAGAACTAAACACTGCCATTCAAGCCCAGTCTGAAACCTACAAACAATCCACACCGCAAACGCTTTAACATAACATTCCTTCAAACAAACAACGCTCATTTCCTTAGTGTTTATGCTTTGGCAGAAAATAACTACAGGGAAATAAATGTCCATTGTATGAGCATTCGTGTTTTCTTTCTTCCAGCCACACAGCATTTTGGGAATAGAATTCTGAAACTTCCACTGGTTCCAGACAGAAACCAAAATCCAGAGGTGGCTAGGAGGGCTTGCCTAGAATCTCAAAGCACTTACAGCCTGCCTTGGAGTACTTGACTGTGAAGGTTAAATCATGATAGCGTGGGACATTGTGTGTTTAGGATGATGTATCCTGTGGCAAAGTCCAGAGCATGAAGCCACAGAGCTCCAGGGTGATAGAATCTGCTATAACAAAATGAAACTCACTTGGTGCCTTCAGGCACACCTCGAAACCTTAATTTGGAAGACTGTGAATGACCCAGGGGCTTAAACACTTCCTCCTATTCTGGGAATATCCCAGAGGGGGACAAGTACCCACATGACTCATGTGGCTATAGCCCCTGTGTTGCAGATACTCTCTCTCCCGTCATCTCTCTTATTTTAAATAAACTCAGAATGGGTTTTCTACAGCCTTAAATAGGTCAGAGGGAGCCTGAATAAGAAGATGTCCCTGATGAGACAAAGGTCCTCCACTTCTTCCTACTCAACATCAGATTAATTACCTGCCCTTTACTTAAAAAGAAAAAAAAGACACAGGGCAGGTTTCAACATAGAAAACAGTTTGAAACAACCACACAAACATGTGCATGTGTAACCACCCAGTGATCTTTGGATGAAGAGCGGTACAACCCATAATTTCCAACCAGATACACCTGGCTGGGCAACAACGTGACAGTCCTTCAGTCACCCTGCACATATCAGTCATGAGATGCATGCAACATGACACTCTCTCTTCCTCTTCAGAGTTCGTTGAACAACAGTAGACTTTCCAAAATGGTGGGAAGGGACACTACACCCCCTTACTGGGATTCAGCCAAGGGGAATCAAGTGTCCCCTTTCCCCCCCATCCTGTATGATGTGACTGTCCCTGTGTGGCTGCACGGTCCAACATCCCACAGAAGCCAAACAAGATACCTCTCTATTACATCTGTGAACTGCTTGCAGCAAGGTACCATGGGCAGAAACGTTGGCTGTAATCTAAGCAAAACCAATGTTGTTATTGAGCACCAATGCCATTGGTCTATGTGGTTCAGCACAGAATGTAAAAGCCAAATCACTACCTGTAGCTGCTTGCCTGGAACTTACCTCTGTTACTGTAGTTGTGTGTGTCCATGAAGGACAGGCCCAGCCTCTCATCTTCCTGCAGGGTACTTTGGTCCGTAAAGCTTCGATCAATTGCACTCATCATGTGTGTCTTCTCATTGCGGTAGTTGATCGTCGCTTTGGCCATGTTCACTGGTTTCCTGGCGCAAAATCACAAAGGAGGAAAGCAGGCACACATCAGACAAAGGGGTCCACTCTGGGGCTTCCCTACAGCTACATTTTTCAAACTTCTACAGGTAGGAGGATGAAGAGAGGCTCATGAACATTGGTTGCGGGAAGCTTCTTACGTTGTCATGGGCAGACATCACACAGCAATCGAGGCATCAAGCTCCCTGGTTGCTCAGGTATTGCATCCATGTAATTAGAACCAAGCCCAAATCTCTCCTGATAAATCTTTTGAGATTTGTCTCCCCCACCGCCCGCAATCCCACTAGAAAAAGGCCACCTAGCAGAATTGCTGCAAGTATTCTCCACCGTGTGTGTGTGTGTGAGAGAGAGAGAGAGAGAGAGAGAGAGAGAGCGCTACCATGTTCACCACACACACACCCCATGCTAGTTTTGCGGTCAGTAGCAGTGGGCAGAGTGGGGGAGAGCCATAGCTGTCAACGTTTCCCTTTTTTTAAGGGAAATTCCCTTATTCTGAATAAGATTCCTCACAAGAAAAGGGAAAAGTTGACAGCTATGGGGAGAGCTGTGACATGAGCATGTTGCATGGCATATGCACAGTGCATATGCATGATCACCACGGAATTTTGAGGGGGAACCACCCACCCCATCCTTGAAAAAAATGGGTGAGTGGGTGGATTGTCGTCGTCCCCGATTGTGCCCCTGCCTGCAGCTGCACTGCCACCATGATGCAGTGGCAATGGTGCAACTGATGCAGCAGTGAGGGCAATGGCACTGCAGTGGTGGCACAGGCAAAGCCCCAGTGGGGCTGGCAGCAGTGCCACTGCAGCAGTGGGGGTTGGACCTGCTGCCTGATGCAAATGGCTTCACCTTATTGATGGGTTGCCCATGATGAGAGCCCATGATGCATTTGGGTTGGATTAGACAGAGACTTCATCTGATCTGGCAAGTCCTAGGGGCTGTATCCAACATTAGCGTCTAACTTACATTTGTTAATTTCAGTGGCTCTACTCTGAATAGAACTTAGTTGGCTATGACCCTAAGCCCTTCTTTAAAAATGTTAGAAAGCTAAGTTTTAAATTTTTATACACACACACACACACACACACACACACCCCTTTGCATGTTTTCACACCCCTCAAGTTCCACCACTACAAAATTTCTGGCTCCTGCCCTGCTTCTCATCCTAAGCAGCCAGTATGTGGGACCACTCAAAAATGTTTCTGTTCCACAGAAAATGAAGCTATTTTGAGTTTATTAGATAGTCAGGCTTACACTATCCATCCTCCAGCAGATCTATATGCCATTATTTTCCTTGGTGTAGATCGATTAAAAGTGAAAGCTCCCCCATGGAATATGCTGGCTGAGACCCTACCTGCCCGCAGACTCTCTTGCTAGAGTGGTGCATGCTCTGGTTATCTCCTGCTTGGACTACTGCAATGCACTCTACATGGGGCTACCTTTGAAGATGACTCAGAAACTACAACTAATCCAGACTGGTGACTGAGAGTGGCCACCGAGACCATATAACACCAGTCCTAAAGGATCCCAGTGTGTTTCGGAGCACAATTCAAAGTGTTGGTGCTGACCTTTAAAGAGATATTTGAAGGCAGCCCTGTATTGGGAAGTTTTTAATGTTTGATGTTTTATTATGTTTTTATATTCTACTGGAAGCCACCCAGAGTGGCTGGGGAAACAGCCAGATGGGTGAGGTGTAATAATAAATTTAGTAGTAGTAGTATATTGACAGTGGCCTTTCTTAAATAGATAACTTCTAATGAAGTGTCACCCCCCTCTCTGCTCTTAACTGGCATTTTAGCACAACTCCAATGAACAAGAATGTGGGTCTGAAGCTCCTTCCCCAATTTCTTTTCAGCATCTCTCCCAGGCAGTGCAGGAAAATTACTGCAATGCCCACTTATACTCCCATGGCCCTTTTAAATACACTTAGCCCACAGACACCTCCTTGCAAAACAAAGCAGAATCTGTGGTGCTGTCTATCCTTGTGATGCTCCACTTACGTCTGATCAATACTATTGATCAGTCCCCCGGTGTGATTTTAAGTGTAGGACTTTTAACATCAGGCAAGTTGCTCAGCTCTGTACCAACACAGAGACAATGCCTCATCATTTGCCTTTCATTGCTCCTAACAATAATAGCACACCCAATGAGGCATTTCAGACTGAAGACGCCAAGGTGAAAGTCAAAACACTGCGATACATCCTAAGAAAAGGCATCTGGAGATTCATGGCAAGGGTAGGAGAAATTTCCCAAGTCCTTTCCTGTTTTGGCTTCCTGGTTCTCTCTGTACTCTTCATTCTATAATTCATGAATTCTGGTTTAGCCTTGATAATTCCTCAAATTAAATTCTGCACCTTTCATTTTGTTTATTTGCATCTTCGCTACCCCTTCCTTGTTGCCAGTGTGAAACCCTGAAGAAGAAGAAGAAGAAGAAGAAGAAGAAGAAGAAGAAGAAGAAGAAGAAGAAGAAGAGCAGCAGCAATCATAGTATTCTCGTTTGTGAGAGAAGAAGAAAACTGGCAGAAACTCATGCAGAAGAAAAAGGGTCTTCCGCTTACACTAAAGCTATTTGGATACAAATGATGGACTTCTGTTCTTTGGTTTCATGATATTCAATTCTAGAATCACAGAACTGGGGGTGAGCTCAAAGGTCATCTAGATGTAAGAAATCTGAAGATATAGCATCCCTGATGGGTAGCCATCCAGCTTCTGCTTATAAATGGAGATATGAAAAATTGAAACGGACCTTTCAAGGTGATCTGCTACACTGCTGTGAACAACCTGTGCCACACGGTGTTCTTCTTAACACTTAACCAAATCCCTTTCCTTATAATCTGATTTTGTGGTCCACCATACTGAGCAGCTTTAAAAGGCAGTTTAGAAACACTGTAAGCAAATAAATGAGAGGAATGAATCTAGTTCTGTGCACCTTGCTTTTAACTTCTTATTTACAAAGCTTCTAGGCCATAGATTTCAAAAGCTCCTTCCTAAAACTGGGACACATTTCTATACCAGTTGAATCATTGTCTAGAGCAGGAATTCCCAAACGGCTTTGAAATGGTTCCACTGTATAAAAAAAGCATTGCTATTAATTTCCATTTATTAAACTTTATGCAATATATTAACCATCTATAGAAATAAGGATACAATTTTAAATAACCCATTTCTATTCAGAAGAAAATTGAAATAAAACCTAGTACAGTAGTCTTAATTCTTCTAGCACTGCATCATTATGTCCCTGGGACTGGTCTGGTGTGAAAAGCATCTGAACATGGTCTTAAATTAGGAATTAATAAGTAAACAGAAATCTATAAGCATGTGTGTTTACTAACAAGAGATTTGTTCATTTCTGTGTAAGCTAGAAAAGGCTTCACTATCAGAAGGAAATATTCAGCAGGAACAAAGCCTGCTGTTTCTTTGATTCCGTGAAAGGAGAGGCAAGTCCTTGGAAACTTATCTGGCTTGGAATAAAATCCAAGTTGGAAAAGAATAGCAGGCTTCTCACCACCATCGCCCGTCCTTGCCTGCCCTCACTGCCAGCACCTCAAAGGACCTTTGCCTTTCTTTTTCCTGGCAAAAAGCAGCACTGGGAGCAGCAGAAGTAACAGGGGTGTACAGTTGGGAGAGAGGAGGAATGGTGTCCATAATGGCTGGGGCTGGTTGGAGTTGGAGACCAACAGTATCTAGAGAGCCACAGGTTCCCCATCCCTTCAGTAATGGCCCAAGGGACCAGGGGAGACATTGTTCCCTTGGGAGCTTATGCGCTTGCTTTAGATTGGCTTGAAAAATAACTCCTTCTGCTTTTGGAAATAATTTCCAAGGCAACCTTGTGACAGTTCATCAATATCTACCTTAGGGGTTGGGGATGTCAGGTGTGGGGCCCCCGAATCCAGCCCTTTGGGCCTGTCTGTCTGGCCCTTGGGACTCTCGTCAAAGCACACCTCTTCCCTAGCCACACCCCCTCTTCCCAAGCCACACCCCTCATCTACCCTGCTTTGTTCCACTCTCCTTGGGTGTTTTTGTCTGGCTGCAATGTGCCCTTGAACTCTAGACTCTGAGAATGCCTTGCTTGCCTGGGTGGAGCAGGAAAAAAACAACCCTGATGTACGAAAGGAAAATCTATATTTGCTGCTCCATCCACTTTTGACTCTGGCCCCAGCTAACCCCAACATGTGACACTGCTCCCCCAAACGAGGTTGCCTATGGGGCTGAAGAACATTACCCACTCCTAATCTCCATGAAACAGGCTTTAGATGAATCCAACATAAGCAGTTGCAGAGGTTTAATTTCCAGATGGGCAAAAACCATTAAATGAAACATGGTGGAAGCTGGGTGAGTTGTATTCTCTTGAGGTGGATATAGCCTCTCTAAAAGGCATTCCAGGTCTTGATCCCCTCCAGCATCAAACCCCTTCCCCACCTCCCTTCGGAGTCTCTACATTTTATTTCAGCAGCCATTTCCCCCCACCCCTGAAGCCCCCAAAATGGTACTTTAACATTTATGTGACAAGGAAAGGGAACCAACTGGGAGCAGCGAGCAGCGGAGCGAGCGCGAGTGAATGAGAATTACTTACGGGTAATAGGAATAGGAATAGTAGTTCCTCCTGGCAAGCGTGCAAACAAAGAGAAACAGCAGAGATTGCATAAGCAGCTTTTCTCAGCAAATAATGAAGGAGAAGATGGGATATTTGGAGCCTAAAATGACAACAGACCAGAGACTGAGCCATTGTCCATGCAAAGGGAGGGGGAAGGGAGCCGGAGACAGAGAGAGGGGGGGAAGGAAGGAGGAAGGAAGTGCAGGGAAACAGAGAAAGCAATCAGCTGGAAATGGGAAGCAGTTTTCGGACATGCTTGCTGCTGCCCGGAGGGCAAGCAAGGTCACCTGCCAAAAAGGTTTAGAGAGGGCAAAGACGCCAAGTAACTCGCTTCCCCACACCTGCAAACACACGTACTTCGCAAACAGCACATCTAATTCCAGCTGCCCTTGAAATTGTATGCTGGTAACTGAGGAACAGATAATCTGGACTGCTACAAATCTAGTCTTGGGATTGTGATGTAGTTCCTTTGCTACAAATTTGTTCTCATCAGGTTGAAAACAGAGCACTTGTTTTGTTGAGCAGCTATGGCGCTACCCATAACAGAGGTATATCGCCACCCCATCCCACCATGTCCCACCTTTGATTTTCTAAAACACCACCTTGTGTCTCATTCTGAACTTAACAAGGCTTTGTGATTCTAATTCTGGCAAACTTCATGTGCTCCCTGGATGCTAATGCTGCAGATATAAAAACAAGAGACCTCTTTATTTCTTGAAGCAATGCAGAGGCTGGATCAGGGGTCCCCAAACTTTTGGGACTTGGGGAGGGGGCACTTTTGGATATCTAAGGAAGTGTCACAGGCACTACAAAATAATCATTTCTCTTAAGAAAAACTGGGGATGCTCAGAACCCCCTCCTCCCCCAAAGCAGAAACACCTATACCCCAATGAATAAAACACAGACAAAAAAGCAGGCAATAGCCACCCCCTCAAATAAGAAAACAAGAAAACTTAACCAACTCCCATCTTAATTTATTTTTAAAAAAATAAAATTTGGGAGTGCCAAGATGGTGTGTGACATTATTGTGGTGGTCATGGGTGCCAGATGGAGTATCCTAGGGCTACCTGAAGCTTTCAATTAAAGATATATTTGATTCTCTGTTGGGGGGTAGCTTTTGAAGGGCCACTGCAAACATAGTTTCAATTTGCTTCATTATAGTTTTAATGCTGTTATTAGCTTTCTTGGTGTTTTCTGAGGGTCAGATATATTAATGGTATATTTATCAGCCTTCAGAGCTCAGATGTTTTTGACTACATTTCCCTCAGCCCCAGCCATGCTGCCTGGGGCTGATGGGATTTGTAGTCCAAAAGATCTGAAATGCACACTGCTGGCGAAGGCCAATACATATCCTAGCCAGCAGACTCAATCTTCCACTTCTCACAGCCAATGTGTTTTCTAATATTCTTCCTAACAGCTCCATTCTTCCTGTCACAGCTAAACCTGCAGGGAGGCAACAGGTATTGCTCATCAGTCTGGGAAGAAGCATCCTTTTGCCCCAGCCAGAAATAGCTCCGCAAATCCTTCCCTATCATATCTGCTAATAAGCTGGAGGCCTGGCTGTTTCCCAGGCAATTTCTTTGCTTCCATTAGCTTCCCATGGTCAACTTCGCCACATGAGAGGTATAGCAAAGCACTGCACAATTGTCTTCCTGAGTCCAGCACAGCCTCCAGCAATGGGGCTCCTGGACTTTTGTATAGGGTTGTGTACAAGGGACAATATGCTTGCAACAAAAAAGTTGCAGGGTCCAGGGTGCCTCTTTAGTGTTCCAGCCAGCCAGCCAGTCATGCCCTCTCACGTGATACTCCATTCCATTTTCTCAACTCCCCTCAAAAACACAGCAATCTGTGGCTTGAGGTTTCTCTGAGGAATCCAGTATCTCCCCCATGTTTCTCATGGGGACCTGTTGTCACTCACCACCCAAGTTCACTGTTAGAGGGCATAATTTCTGCAGGTGCAGCTTATGGTCACCTCCTTGTGTTACGGAGGAAGGAAAAGCTGTACCAAGCTGAAATGCTCCACATTAAAGCCACTGTCTCTTGGCCTCAGTTCCCAGACTGAATTTTAAGGCAATGATATCATCTCACATATTTATGTTTCAAATGCCCTGTTTTAGACTATCTGCAGAAGCACTGAGAGGCCAAAGGGACTCTTAGCAGAGTGAGGTGCTGAGATCCCATAGCTGCAGAGTGAATTGTACCATTTCAGACTGCAGGTGGAACAATACTGTTTTTCGAATGCTCCCCCATGTATATAAAACCCTGCAAGCAAAAACTTAGCTCAGCAATGAATGAACTTAGCGAGAACTTGCAGGACCATCCAACAATGTGATCTCAACATGCAATCTACCTCTTTGAACTGCAGACTGAGATCACAGTGTTGACTCTATTCTAACACCTCAGGAATCTTAAGAATCTACTCTCACAGCCTTCATCAACCCTTCCATCATCCCTGGCCACTGGCCCATGTTGTCCAGAGCTGATGGGTGTTGTAGTCCAAAGCATCTGCCATGTTATTCCTTTGCATTGTGTAGACCAGGTAGGTCAGCATCCAACATCAGCACCCAGCAGCCCATTGACAGTTGTTAGGGCCCAACCACCTTGGCAGAGTTCGCCAGAGCTGAAACCTGCTTTGTCTCTCTCATTTTCTCATTCCCCCAGTCATGGTCTTATCTGGATGCAGCAGATGGGTCTGGGAAGCAGGCTTGGTGAATAAATATGATGCCAACGGAAACAGGAGCAACAATTGCCTATGTTCACTTATTTGTCCCATGTCTGGAACAGCAATCAATCCAGCAAATGCCATAAGTATTCACTGCAGTTGTTGCTTTCAGTCCACAAATAATTGTTAATTTCCCCCTCATTTTGCATTGTGGTTCCTTTGCACCGAAATGAATGGAGCAGAATAATGTAGGGATGGCATAAATTACAAAATGAATTACACTACTTAAGTGACATAATTTTACTACAATGGACAATGGTGGAAAATGTAGTTTGGGGCAGAATGCGAACTGTAGTGGAATGGAAACAGTTCTGTATGGAACGAAAGCAGGGCCAAATGGAAAATGATGCCCTCTTTGATCCCAAGCAGGAAGCCATGTACTATCTTGCATTTCCTGCAATGGCCTGCAGTGTCTGCCACACCATCGCTCCTGTGGGAAAGTGAAAGTAGCAAGCATCTTCCCGGACCCAGCCAGTGCTACCAAGCCCACAGTTTGGAGGTGAGAGGGGACCAAATAGGAAGATCACCAAGGTGCTCCTTGCTGAGGGGCCATCGCACCTGGTGCCAACCCTGAAACCAGCCCAATAACACACCAAATAAGGAATTGTCAGGAAGGAAAGAGACACCACTTTGGGTATCAAGCCATTCCTTTAGCACAAACAGCAGCCATCTGTTGTTTATTTACACTCTGAATCCAAGGAGCAGCTGACCATGGATTTGCAAGGAACTCCAACTGAAATGATTTAATCAACTGCGACATTTAAAATGGGATCAGCCAAACACCTTGATTCAAGCGAAGAGATGGATGCCTGAATGGATTCTTAACCTGTTGAGGAAAGGCTGTAACAGACAAAGTAACACTGACAGCAGATCTGCTCTGTGCAGAGACTAAGGAATGTGAATAAGGGCTCTACAGGAGTGTCTTTAATATTTTGAGGAAATCTACCCAATCTAAGAATCTCCCAGGAGTCTTTTTAAAGGCTTGATTCCCTCCCACCAACCACCTGCATTTTAATCCTTTATGAAGCTGATAATTGAAGAAATAAACCATTTCCAATTTCTCCAGAACACACAGTCAGAGTTCTCCTCTTCACAAGACTTTATAAGCTTATTCCTCTCCAGCAACCCACGTGACCATAGCTCAGTGGTAGAGCATCTGCTTTGCATACAGAAGGTCCCAAGTTCAATTCCCACTATCTCCAAGTAGGGTTGTGAATGTCCCCTGTCTGAAACCTGCTGCCGGTCGGTGTAGACCGTAAGCATCCAAAGTGGTAGGCTCCATAAGTTGTGGGGCTTCAACTCCCATCATCCCTGACCATTGGCCATGCTGGCAGGGTTGATGGGAACTTTAGTCCAACAACATTTGGAGGTCGCCCAGTTGACTGTCCCTGGGCTGAGCTAGATGGACAAACGTTCCGACTCAAATAACTCAATATAAGCCACAACCTTGCTAGCAAATCTGGTTTCCAAAATGAAAGCAACTATTAAAAACAGCACAGATAACATAATGAACTGGTAGCTAGCTTCTTAAATTATGCAGCATGATGGGGTGATTTGCTAGGAAGTGGAGGCAGCAGTGAAGACAGCTTGCCCCCTATCTCTGTAGTAGTCGGGGAAAACCCTAGCAATGTAACAATAAATAAATAAAAAGGGAGCCCTGTAATGCAGGGCTTATAACACTGCAAGTCAGTTCTGACTGCCTGAATCTGTGAGTTTTATACTGCTCAATGGGTTTCACTGAAAAACTGAAGTAGGAGTCCCTTAGATCCACAGATCCTGCCACTCTTTCTATTATTATCCACATATGTCTTTTCGATTGTTGTTGGGTTGTTGTTTTTTGAGGGGGGGAGTTGCATGCAGAATGAAAGATCAAGAGTGATGTGTTGCATCCCAAATTATGACTGCCATGGGGAAGGTCAGCAGTGCCCCCTGTTAGGTTCCCTCCTCCATTGGTGGATGATAGGTCCAACAATGGCAGCATTGGCCGACTTTTTTCATTTCCAACCATCATCCATGATGTCTGGTGAGTGCTGTTCATGAGCACTGTGGGAAATTTAAGTGGCTGCCCACCTCTGCTGCCATTAGATAGACCTATGACTGGCAGGTACCAGCACCAGTAAGCTCTGCTAAGTAACCGTGGTCCCAGTAGCTGCCTAAAGGCACTGAGCACTGATACCTAGCTTGTCCCTAATTGTGTTGTATTTGATCTGTGTCTTTCAACCTTGGTTCCTCAGGCATTGCTGGATGACAACTCCCATCATCCTCAGCCAGCTTAGCCAAAAGTAAGAGATGATGGGAGCTGTAGACCAAGAGCATTTGGGAAACCAAAGTTGGAGAACACTGTATTCAGCTGTGTACACACTACCATTTACTCTGGCCCCAGTGCATACCCACTGCTGCTGTTTGAATCCATGTGCATGGGAGGTTAGCCACAATCCATATCCTGTAGTTTGTTTGCTTTTTTTAGAAAGACTGCCATTTAATAAGTTTTCCCACACCCTCAAGCCAGCATCTACCTGAATTGAAAACGTAAGGCACATTCACTTCACCATTAAGCTGAGGTATGTACATTTGAGACGCGGGTGTACAAGGGGACGCAGGTGGCGCTGTGGGTTAAACCACAGAGCCTAGGACTTGCTGATCAGAAGGTCAGCGGTTCGAATCCCCACGACGGGGTGAGCTCCCGTTGCTCGGTCCCTGCTCCTGCCAACCTAGCAGTTTGGAAGCACATCAAAGTGCAAGTAGATAAATAGGTACCGCTCTGGCGGGAAGGTAAACGGCGTTTCCGTGTGCTGCTCTGGTTCGCCAGAAGTGGCTTAGTCATTCTGGCCACATGACCGGCTCCCTCGGCCAATAAAGCGAGATGAGCGCCACAACCCCAGAGTCGGTCACGACTGGACCAAATGGTCAGGGGTCCCTTTACCTTTACCTATGTACATTTGAGACAGCCATTGTGTATACACACAAACAACAACTTTATGAATGGTATTCGTGTGGGGAGTAACAGGTGCAGAGAGACCCAAGACATGACGCACATTGGGAGTGGCAGGCGAAAATGATGAACTATGCGGAATTAGCCAAGCTGACCGGTAAGATTCAGGACCAGGACGACCAGAGATTCATAGAAAGTTGGAGTAAATTTATGGTGTATTTAAAGGATAATTGTAAAACTTTAAAAACACCGGCAGGACTGAAATAACTCCTACAATGTAATAAATAAGAGATTTATTATTTAAAATAAATGATTTAAAGAAACAAGGGAGACCTGTTGAAAGGAAGGAGGGAAGTCATAAGCTCGGCAGAGCTAGAAGTATAGATGTGATTTGATGTATGGTATGAAACGGTGTTGAGAAAATAATAAAAATTTATTGGCAGGGGGGAATGACATGACGCACATTGGATGAAGACTCACTCTCTGGCATGTACTTCAATGTGCAAATGCAACTTGAATAGCAGCGGCAGGGAAACTGTGCTTTAAGCCGCTAATGTGTGCATAGCCTTACATAACTAATATTAAAAAGAAATCCTAAAATGAACTGAAGCTCTCCTTGGTTGATATGAGGGCCCCTCAATTGATATGAGGACCCCTACGGAGCTGGCATTTCATGTCTGCCAAGACGCTGCGTGAGCTGGCACGGCACAGAGCCCAGGTGAAAGAAGACAGACCTCCCTCCTCTTCCCCCTCCCTGTCGCACAAGGTTAAACAAATCCACTTCAGACACTGAATTCTTTAAGCTCAACGCTGCTTGGCATGTCATCCTTTGCAGAGCCATTTATGTTACAGTCAAATAGCGGCATGGTTCTGGAATCTGAAAGATGGGCACAAGAAAATGCTTAACAACAAGTTGGCAGAACATCCCAGCACATTAACAGGACTTGATTGTTCTTTGCCAGGATAAATTAAATGGCATCCAGGATTTGTGCCCTTCTGTAAGACTATAATCTGACTGCAGCATTAGTCACAAGCAACCTTCAACACCAACTACCAACACGTAACTCTGTTTCCCCCATTTTTCTCAAGATATTCCTATGCTACAGACCTAGGCTACATTCGCACCATACATTGAAAGCACTAGAATACCACTTAAAACAATCATGGCTTCTCCCAAAGCACCCTGGGAAGGGTAGTTTGTTAAGGATGCTGGGAGTTGTTAGGAGACCCCATTCCGCTCCCAGAGCTACAAATTCTAAAGTGGTTGAACATTCAATCCCTCTTCACTGGAAACTTTGAGAATTGTAGCTCTGTGCAGGGAATATGGGTCTTAGCACTCTAGAGTTCCCAGAATTCTTGGGTGGAAGCCATGACTTTCAATGTATGGTGTCTATAGGGCTTAGGCTGCATTCAAACATCCTTTTTTATGGTGCATTCATTATTATTTGTGTTCACCAGGTTGGTCACATGCAACCCCATTTTCAGTACTGTTTGTACCTGCAAAGGTTTCGGGGCAGTCACACTGCTCCATTTCCACTCAGTGCACATGCTGTTATATCTGATACCACAAATTTTCTGGTTTATTTATTTTGTGGCTGTTGCTGTTGGACAGCAATAATGTGGTATCACTGGGGAAGCATCACAGGGGAAAAAAACCAAATGAGGTGATTAAAAAAGAACAGTAAGATGTGTGTAATATTTTAACCTGAGGATTGTCACTTGTCCAGTTTTAACTTTAATTTTAATTTATTTGACTTAATTTTGGGATGCATTTTAATCGATTGATTGCTTGTTTTTATTCATATTGTATTATTTATATGATGTTAGCCACTCTGAGCCCGGCTATGGCTGGGGAGGGCGGGGTACAAAAAAAAAATATTATTATTATTATTAAATTTGGAAAATGCATATATTTTTTAAAAAACTAAAGCAGTATAGATCCAACACTATTCCACTATTGCACTAACAATCCACTATTATTGCATCAATAACATGTTGCAGAATATACCTATGACAAAACACCAGTCTGGAAGGGGAAAGTGTAACATAAAGAAGCAGCTATGGGTTAATTCAAGCCAGCATGTATGTTTACACAGAAGGATGAGGGTTGTGAGAATATCACAAATCCTGCCTCTGGGCATTCATATGATCTTTAGCTCAGGACTCCAATCCAGATTCTCATTCTCCCCCACCCCCCCACTTTTTCTTTCTCTCCCTGGAAGACGCCCAATTTTGTTTTGAAGGCAGAAAGTTTCACGGTGGCCCCCAATTCGATCCGCTTCCAAGCCACGGACTGTCAGGCAGTGAGCAGCATGCAGTGCAAAGGCAGAAGATGCGTGAGGTGGATAGCATGCAGCCAATCCACCAGAGACTCATGAGCGTGTGACTCCGTCCAACCTCTGCGATTCCTGCTGGCCTGACCTGTTGCGCCTTGCTGACTCTTGTCATTCCCTGGTGGGCTGCTTGGGGGAAAACCAACTCCTTTGTTGGGGACTTAATGTTCCTGAAAGGGCAGAGGGATCGTGCCTACCCAGGCAGAATGGGAACTCATGAAATATAGACGGAACACAAAGCAGGCATTGCTGACCTGCTGCCTTGCCCCCTGCCAGCCTTAGCTCTGAAGCTCAGAGGCCTCTGCGGGATCTGTGCTGAGGAGCTGTCCAGCCCATTAGCAACCTGGGTTGTAGCAATGACAGCAGAATGGTGTTGCCACTGGAAGCCAAGCTGAGGACCGCTCTGCTGGGTCCAGGCAAAAAAGCTCACACATGTCTCTCTCTCTGCTGCCCACAGTTCTAAACTTCTGGATAAAGTGATTGATTGACTGACTGGCATTTGTAGCCCAGCCTCCACCACGAGATCCCACACTGTGGCCTAGCCACCCTGTGCCAAACAAGGAGCCAACCACCCTGTCCAGTTCAGGAGCGGGGCTAAGAGTTTTCAAAAAGAGTTTTATAAGTGCATTTGGGGTGCAAGAACTCTGTGCGGGATCAGACCCTTATGCTTCACAGCTGTTAAGCAGGAGGATCTGATCTTGTGTGGCGCTGCTCCTTTGAGAACAGCTTCCCTGATATATAATGAATTAAAGAAAATGTTTAGAAAGACATTTGTTTAAAAACCAGAAGCTTTTCTGTTAAGTATAATAGGTGAGAAGATACCAAAAGAGGATAAAGGACTTTTTATGTATGCAATGACGGCAGCCAAGAGATGGAAGATAGGAGAAGTACCAATAAAAGAAGAATGGCAGACAAAACTGATGGAGTATGCAGAGATGGTGAAACTGATGGGGAAGATCCAGAACCAGGAAGATCAAGTATTTTAAAAAAGACTGGAGTAAACTTTTAATTTATTTAAAAGACCACTGTAAACAATTAAAATCATTGGCTGGGATGTAATGTGGAATTAACTATGATAATTATGGATATATAACAGATGGATAACAGGAAAAGATGCAGTAAATTCAATCTTGAATATGGAACCCATGGAGGGAGGGAAGGAGGTCTGAAGGTTCAAAAGAACCTTGCTGTTTTAAAGTTTGAGATGGTTAAGTCAAAATGTATAAAAATGTGAAAAAACCAATAAAAAACATTGAGAGAGAGAGAGAGAGAGAGAGAGAGAGCAGCTTCTCTGCATGCAAGGGAAGCCACTCAGGAAAGAACACAACCATGCAGGATCAGATACTTCAAGGATCAGGAAGGAACAGGAAAAAGCTGAGGCCTGGCAGTGGGGAGAATGAAAAGCCATGTGGGAAAGCCACCCCCATCTTCTCCCACAAAGATGCAGCCACCCAATAGATCTCTCTTTTTCACAGTTTCTCCGCAACTCCCTTGCACCAGCCTCTCCTCACTGCCCAAAGCCCCATCGCTTAACAACCTCAGATAGCTCTGGGCCCTCAACCCAACCTGTAGCGATCTGGGGCTGCCTGAACCCAGCTTGAACAAGACCTAGATTCTTCTGAATAGGCAAGTTGGGATTCAGACCTCAGCCTTGTTAACGTAATACGCCATGAACCACTCTGGACCAGGTTACCTGAAAGATTACCTGTCCCTCTACAGACCTCTCAGATCGCATAGAATACCCTATATGGGGAGATTCTACTAGTGTTCTTCTTTTCTGTTTATTCTTTTCCAAAATAAAATATGAGTAACAAAGAAGAATATAATGGTAACAATGAAGGTGAAAAATATCAGGTGTGTGACAAGGGGAAATTCTACTTGCACCTCTGCACCCTACAGAATATTAAGGCTGATGAGCCTTGCCACACCCATGTGTGGAATACCCTCCCCTCTGCCATACATGAAGCAGTAACTATCAGTTGCTTCAAACCTTGTCTTTTTGCACAGGTTTCCCCTGACCCATCAGACTGCATCCTGCTTCATGTTTTTGAATCCTCTGGTATTCTGTTTTATTCACTTTTAGGTGCTTTTATATTCCATACTGCTGCTTTACTGTTTTCAGCTTGTGTTTTTGTTTCAGCTCATTCGTAACAGTATTTCTATACTGCCATATCATATACCAAGGCGATGTACAACTTTAAATAAAATAGATTGTCTTAGTCTGTACACTGCAGAGACATTTTCGAAATATAAAGCAGTTTGAAATGTGTTTAATATAAATAGTTGCCCGTTGTTGTTGTTGTTGTTAAACATTAATTCCCAGTTTCTAGCCACTGGATGTTAAAGGTTTGTCTTTTGGTTATTGCATGCAGTCCATGCTGATAAATTCATCCTCAATCCCTGCTGAAACCAGTTTAGAAACATAGAATTGGAAGGAACCACAAGGGACATCAAGTCCCCTGCAATGCAGAAATCTTTTGCACAATGTGGGGCTCGAACCCACGACCTTGAGATCAAGAGTCTCATGCTCTACTGACTGAGTCCTGCCTAGCAAAATGAACATAGGACCCATGACACCCTAAAAGACTTATGGTGGGTGGGGGACCTCTTTTTTCTGTCCAGGGCTGCATTCCCTTAGCACACTTCCAATGGGTGCAGAATGCTGGCGGTGGGTGGGCTGTTGGGGAAAGACAAATTGCCCTTTTCAGAACTGATCGCTTGCAGGGGGCCTTTGAAATTAGGATGAGGTGTGACTGTCCACACCTGCTATTAGGCTTCTTGCATGTCTGTCCTGTCTGATCTGCCATGATCCCCTGATTGCTTTGTGCCCCTCACCCAAAGATCCCTGTTTATGGGGCCTAGAGGAAGGAGGAAGATTCTTCTAGGTTAGAACAATGTCTCACTAGGATAAGGGAGGGAGGGACACAGGTGAGTGGCCTGAGACTCTGGCTGGCTACTGCTGATGCCCTCCCTGCCGCTCCTTCCTCCAAGACTTTTCTCTTCATCTGCAAGGCTGCTGGGCTCCAAATGAGGTGAATTGAGCTTTGCGACCAGAGAAGCAGCGATGGCGAAGGCAGAAGGGGAAAACATTTCCTTACCCTTTCCGTATAACGACAATGATGGCCCCCAGGAGGATGATCAGCACCACCAGTCCTCCAGCGCAAATGCCCAGGATGAGGCCCATTTCCTCCGAGTGCTGGGACACTTCCAGGGGACGCTTGCTCTCTTTGCAGGCAGCTGCAGGGGATAAAAAGAAAATAGCTCTGGCCTGTTGTAGTGGTATATGTAGAACCATCTCCTTTCTCCTGCATATGAAATATGTGTGGAAGCTCCATTCTTTAGCTGTTGAGGTTTCTGCTCAACCCCTTCCCACAAAATCTTTTTAAAAGTGGCTGAACAAAATGGCATTGAATTCCAAAAGAGAATTCCAAACATGCTTCTCTTCCTAGAAAACAGGTATGGGGAACCTTTGGCTCTCATTCATTCATGATCACTGACCATACTTGCAAGGGCTGATGGGAGTTGTAGTTTAACATCACCTGGAAGGTCAAAGGTTCTCCACTCCTGCCACAGCACTAAAACCAGGAGCTCGTCACCCAAAGAAGCTGACTAGATTGGAGACTGACAAAAGGGAAATGTTCCATGCTACATGCAATTTATTTATAGAATTCATGGCACTAGTTCATACCCTCTAACATTTCTCCAATGAAAATAGGGAAATCCCATTCCGTAATGATAATTTTACTGTTTATACCTCACACATCTTACTGGGTTGCCCCAGACACTCTAGGTAGCTTCTAACACATAAAAAACAATAATAATAATAATAATAATAATAATAATAATAATAATAATAATTCATTATATATACCCCACCCATCTGGCTGGGTTTCCCCAGCCACTCTGGGCAGCTCCCAAAGAAATAATAATAATAATAAACCCCATACCATCCAATATTTCTCCAATGAAAATAGGGACATCCTAAGGAAAAGAGGGGCATTCTAGGATCAAATCGGAAACCGGGACGGCATATCTAAATCAGAGACATCCCTGTAAAATAGGGACACTTGGAGGGTCTGCTAGTGGATGGCCCAGGACAGCATCTGAGACGGGTTTATTTATTTATTCAAAATTCTTTTTCAGCATTTTATGCCCTCCCAAGAAAACTCACAAGGCAAAATACAATGCAGTCACAATCTCAAAATACACAATAAACTCCTGCAATAATTAAAACTCATGATGGATGGTGGTAACCCTACTGAAAGATATTTCTGCGTATCAGTTTCCACTGGATCTTTTGTTCTTTTTATTGAGATATATAAAAGGTCATATAAAACCAAGGAATCAAACTCAAGTTTTCTATATTATAAGAATCTCCAGGATAATGTACATGAGAGCTTGGGAAAAAAACCCAAAGGCCAAAGAGAATGGATTTTTAAGGAAATTATGAGAGCAACTCAATACTGTCAAAAGAACAGCTTTATTTAAGAAGAAAGAACGGGCCAGGGAAGAGATTGACAGACAGAGTTTGTGAAGAAGGAACAAAAAAGCTCAGGTCAAGGAATAGGCTGCATATATTTATAGAATTTGAAGATTTCAAATGGAAAGTGGTTATGTGTATGTTTCAGTATTTGGAAAGGGCTGCTAAATATTCTGTCCAGTCAGTTATTTAGTATTCTTATATAGGTAAAGGTACCCCTGCCCGTACGGGCCAGTCGTGTCCGACTCTAGGGTTGTGCGCCCATCTCATTTAAGAGGCCGGGGGCCAGCGCTGTCCGGAGACACTTCCGGGTCATGTGGCCAGCGTGACAAAGCTGCTCTGGCGAGCCAGCATCAGCGCAGCAAACAGAAACGCTGTTTACCTTCCCGCTATAAAGTGGTACCTATTTATCTACTTGCACTTAGGGGTGCTTTTGAACTGCTAGGTGGGCAGGAGCTGGGACTGAAAGACGGGAGCTCACCCCGCCGCGGGGATTCGAACCACCGACCATACGATCGACAAGTCCTAGGCACTGAGGTTTTACCCACAGCGCCACCCGCGTCCCGATTCTTATATACTGTAGTATAAATATTTGGTATTACATGGAACAGGGAATTATAAAGGCATGCAGTTTTAAAATGTCCCTCCAGTCCCAAGACTACAAAAAGCTGCAAATATTATGTCTTTGGTTTTGGCTGTTTGTCATCCTGTGCCCCTTTGGGCAGGAGAGAAAATTGGTGAATAAAATAAGTAAATAAGTATTGCCCTGATAAGAATCGGTAAATGCATTGATAAGCAATGATCTCCTTGAGAACACCTGAAAGCTGCTTTATAACAAAGAGGCTGAGATCACGGCTCAATAGCTGGGAACAGATCCTTGGCACCTTGAGCTGCCCTCGTGGAAAGCTGAGAGTCCCGTCTGTCTTTGTGGCCTCTACAATTAAAAGCGAGAACTATCCCGCCTCCCTGGGCACATGTGAGTCCAGCCACGCCCTGCAGTATGCTGGTTACCCAGCTGAGTGGAACATGACCGAGACCAAGCCACAAAGAGGCGTGGGTGTCCTTCCTATGGCTCTGTCCGGAAAAGGCTGGGCAGAGTTTCATGGCCGCTCAAGGCACATCTTCAGCGAAGCATGCACAATGCCTGTTTAATGTTCTAGCAAACAATCCAATCTAATCCCACATGATGTTTTGTTCCGTGTGTGTGTTTTAAAACAAACACCAAAATGATTTTGCTTAGTTACTTGATTTAAAGAAAAATAATCCAATCAAACATATACAAGACATGCCATGTACTCCCTTCCCCCATCAATCAATCAATCAATCAATCAATCAATCAATCAATCCCACCTACCCAAATAATGGACCAAGCTGTAGTTGGGACAAATTTTCCCTGTTAGCTCTGTTACACAATTTTTTTGAGATCCTTTCATGATCAATTGGAATCTAGCTGCCCCAAAGCATATTCACATGGGTGAGACATCAAATGAAGCAAACAAAAGTTGTTTTAAAACGGGGGAGGGGCTTTTTTCAGCCCGAGGGCCACATTCCTTTATGTGTAAACTTCTGGGGGCCACATGCCAGTAGAGGCTGGGGACAGAGGAATAAAGTGGGTGGGGTCACAGATGTGATTCTTAGTTTTGCACAAAAGTCTACATTTCAGCTATGCAGGAGCTTTCTACACACACACAAATCTCACCAACCAGGCAAGCCAGGTGGCCTATTCCAGCCAGGCAAAAGCACTTGAGGAAAGAGCAGAGTAGGGATGTCAGAGAATTCCATCAGACATGGAAATGGGAACAGAAATTGCTGCAATTTGCATGTTTGTCCAAAGTCCAGAATGCAAATCACACAAGCAAATATGAGCAGCATTCACGATTGTTGTTATTTTAATCCACAAACTTCACATAAAGAATTACGTTGTTTTCTGAATTGTCTTTTGACATTTCCTCCCCATTGAAATGCATTGTAACTAATTACATAATTAATTTGTGTTTGTTTCAACCATAGCAGGTAGCACAATGAGTTATGTAAGTTTCAGTGGAAAGAAACTGAACTGCAGCTGAATGGAAACAGCGTTGACAGAACAAAATTCGCTGCCTCCTGGCATTCCTTATGCAGAACAAGGCTGGTGAGAGGTGAAGTCTCCAGAGAAGAAGGCCCAACAGCTGGATAGACAGGCCCAGAGAGCTGTGTTAGGCCCCATGGCTTGAAGTTCCCCTGCATTTTTAAAAGTCGAGCAATAATGGCATGCAAAAAGCACTGCAGAACATGCTTTTGGTTCTGACAGTGCTCATTCCATTCCCTTGTGATCTGTCTGTGCTGTTGCATCTGTGGACCTTGGCAGTTTTCAGCTCTTCATTAAAACCCTGCCACTCCTGCTTACCCTCCTCCATTGCTAAGGCTTTAACTTCAGTGATGGGTGACCTTCCCCTAGTCAGGCTTGAGGGGAGAGGAGCACAAGAATATTCACCCTGAAATCAGAAAGTAGCTCATTCTCCCCGACAACCCGAAAGCCAATTCAAAGCTGTTTTAGATACTGGTGTTCCCCCAAAGATTTCCTTGAGAGCATGGTGTCGTCCAGTCCCTCCTGCAACCTGTCTTTGAAAGTTCCAACAGCCCTCACTTTCACCCACTCACCTGCCTCCTCCCAAAGAGCCACGCATGCCTCTCTTGCTACTTTTGTTCTGCTGGCACGCTGTGTCCAAGGAACACTAAGTGTTGTGGCTTTCTCATTGCTATTAACACACGACAGTAGCACTGGGAAGGTTACAGTTCCCAGGGCTCCGGGCAAGGGCGCTGACTTGCCCCTCACATTGTGGGGGCACATCACATGACACATCATGTTACATGTCATGTGACAAGTCGTCGTCCCCACCTAGCACTGGGCCAGGACACGCAGGTATGCCGCTGCCGCAATGCCAGCACTTGGCCTCCTCCCTGCACAACATTGGGCAGGGCCACATGATTTGTGGGGAACCCAGCCCCCTCCTTGAAAAATTAGGGGAGGCTGAAGACCCCTCGGTCCCCACCACATGGTGCACCTGGCTCCTGGCTAGGGCCATTGTTCAGGGATAGCCATGGGGGTTGGAGTGCAGTGTTTTGTCCCTTCCCCTTATGTTATTAGTAAGAAGGAGGAGCAGCAATAAGAAGAAGAAATATGTTCCCATTTCTGGAAACCACAGGACGTGAAGATCACCCTTGTGCTTGAATCCAGCCACTGTGAGAACAGCATGCTGGACTTGATGGGCCATTGGCACAGTGCTGGTGAAAAACTAACCACCCACCATCTTAAAGTGCCCAGAAGCACCTGTTTGAGTTTTAATATGCACATAACCAACAGTTCTTACCAATAGATTGTGGGTGGGGTGGAGTAAATCCTGGTAGCTGGAATTTGTCGTGCCCCCCCCCAAAGCAGCCTGAATTAGTATATTCAAATTTGTTTGAGTGCTCTATGCCTCCCCTACTTTATGTGCCTGGCAAGGCCCCGATCCTTGCACCCGACACGTACCCATGGCAGCATGCCAAGCATCAGAGATGAGAGTGAGGAGCGGATGAAAGAAACATTCCTCCGTTCTTTGGACTAGTGATACAAAGGGGCCTGAAGCTCAGGAGCAGGTGGTCCAGAGTCAGGATGAAAGGGAATTGCAATCTAAGGAAGGGGCAAACATTTGGAGGTCATGATACTGATTGTGCATTGCGGAGAGCATTATGAAGCACGCTTCATAATGTCCAAAGCACCCTTGAAGCAAGCTCAGCTGCATCAGTGTTGACCCTTGGTTCAAGTCCCTTCTTTGACTCTGTGGAATCAATGGAAACCAGTCTGGGTGATCCCATGGTGATATGTTGTCCAGGCCCAGAAACTTCCAAGAGGGATCTTTCATAGAGATTCAAGCCTTCAACAGACAGGCTGATAATGATCGGTCTCTGGATTTACTGTTGCTTTATATTGTATTTTGTATCCTGGTATTGTTTTTCCCATGCTTGTAGCTGAAGGAAGGAGTCAAGCTTTCTTGGTTGACCAATAAACTAAGCTGAAACTAATACTGTGTGTATGCTCGTGTGACTTCCACAGTACATTTGCTCCCAGCAAGTCTCTGCCAGTTTGATTCATGTGCATAACTCCAGATAGCTCTGGTTCTGCATTCCAGAAAATGCCATCCCGTGCTCCACACACATATCATTTACTCGGTTTAAAAAAGATGCTCTGCTATCCCAATTTAACAGATCAATGGACAGGACAGGACATGATTACAGACAAACACAGAAAGAGGCGTGGAAGGCCTCCTTCTCCTCCAGTCCCACAGCGGAACCTCCATCTGCCCAGTTGCTGTGTTGTGAACCATAAAGAGAAATTAACAAGAGGGCTGTAGCCTTGAAGTACCACCCTGTGCACATTTATAAGTCCCAATGTGGTCTGTCATTGACAACAGATTGATTTAAAATGCAGGATAAAAAGTTGCCAAACACAATAGAACACCTGCAACAGTTTTAAAAGGAGCAGGGGAAATGTCCCAAGACTAAGGGCCGTGGCCTGCCAAATTCTCCTCAGAGTAAACCCATTTAAATCAATGGACGTAAGATAGTCGTGTCTATTCATTTCAGTGGGTCTCTTCTGAGTAGGGCTAACACTGCATGCAACCCAAAGTTACAGTCCCCCCAAGAAAATGAGTCCCATTATCCTCACCCAGCAATCTTAACAATCCCAAATTGTACGCTGCTGGAAATTTATTCTGCATTTGGGGGTGGGGGTCGAGAAAGAGCTTCTTTTGAAATTTTCAAAGAAAGCTATATTGAATAAAACAAATTTTGTATTATTACAAATGACTATAAGGAAGATTTCCAGGACCACTTTTCATTAATCATAATAACAAAGGAGGCTTGGAGAAGCACTCTCAGCTAATCAAGGAGAAGCACTCAAACACTGGCCACATTCACACCATGTATATAAAGCAGCATTAGACCACTACAAACAGTCATGGCTTCCCCAAAAAAATCCTGGGAGCTGTAGTTTGTTTAGAGTGCTGGGAGTTGTTAAGAAGCCCCTGTTCCTTTTACAAAGTTACAATTCTCAGAGTGGTTTTGTTATGTACTGAGTTGAATAGGATTCAAAATGCAGCAGTCTGATTGGTCCTAGAACAATAGGATTCAGAATGCAGCAGACTGATTGGTCCTAGAACAATAGGATTCAGAATGCAACAGTCTGATTGGTCCACAGGAGCCCCCCAATCCAGCTCCAGGTGGAAGTGAATCCGCAACCTGATTGGCCTACAGGAGAATCCCAGAATTAGCCAATCACGTGGGGCCCATTGTGTAAATAATGTATATATAAAGCAGACATTCTGGGGGAACTCCCATTCCTCCTCATCACTATGAGCTGAATAAAGAGCAAGACTCCAAGTATATTTCAGGTTTAATAGTCAATACCTCTTTGCAGAACTATAGGCAGAGTCTACTCCTGTTCCTCCGCCATCACCACCACCAGCAACAGCAGCTATCTTCATCTCAGCATTATAATTTATAAGGGGGGAGCCTTTTGCTGTTGGGAACTGGCTCACAGATGGGAATGTGGCCCTTGATCCAAAACAGAGTCTCCACCCTTTCCCTAAACCAATGCTTCCCAAACTCCCACCCACAAGACCACTTCAGAATTTTTGGTGGTCTTAGCAGGCCACTTAACGATTTTTCTGCCTGTCGTAGCCATCACACCTTGCTGTGCTAGATGCTGTATGATTTTTAATTGTATTTTTATTGCTTCTTTTATTCCTCATACTGCATTGCATTGCATTGCATTACAACTCACATTCCATAGAACTCAACTTGCAACGCAGTAAAACACAAGAAATAAAATCGGCAATAAAATACAATTGAAAAAGATCAATATGGGTGCCTAATGTGGGCAGTGCTGCAAATCCACTTGAATAAAGCTTGCCTAGCCCTGGAGGTCGATGGACCACAGTTTGGGGATCCCGGTCCTACAGAATCATCATATGGTTCTTAATCCCTGCTGTCCTTCAATATTCTTCACCAGACAGTTGCACACGCATAGTTGTGGCCATTTTTCACTTCTCACTGAGACACAATTTTTAACTTGCTTTATTGTGGATTTATTCCTGCCTATGATTTTGGACCTTTGCAGTGGTGTTATCCATTTGGAAAACTGCAATCAGGGCCTTGAAATCCTTTTGAGGTGTTACCATCTGAAGAAGATTTGGCAATCCATGACCTTATCCGGAAGCCTATTGTGAGCTGCTTAGAGCACCCTTCAATACGATAATAATAATTTGCTTTTTGTAAGCCTTGCTGAAACGTACTCTTTGCAAGTGTAATGATACTTGTCAGTTGCTTAGAGCATTCTTTAATATGATTCTTGTGCTATGTGGATCTTTGTAAGCCTTGCAGAAATGCACATTTTGCAATTGTGATAATACGCTGCCTATTTTATTGTAACTTCTTTTCACCAATACATGGCTGTTACATTTGTGCACATATAGCTATGTCCGTTTTTCATTTCTTACTGTACTACAAATTTTAACTTGCTTTATTAAGGGCTTAGTCCTCCCATCCCCTCTCTGTCCCTGAATCCAAAAGGGAGCAAAATATATTAGCCAAGTGCAAGGAATTTTATTAAACACATGGGAGGCCCTGAAGTTCAATCTCAGTGAAAGGCTGAGCATTTGGCTATTTGCTGAAATTCCAGGATCCAGAGAGAGATAGAGAGAGAACAACCCAGAAATATCTCCTTGATCAATTTCAGAAGAGTCGCTCGTGGTGACCGCCAGCTACACAATTTTTTCCTGGATAATATTGCCAGCCACCATTATAAAATACCAAACATGTCCAGAACACATGGCAGACCAAATCAATTGTTCATGTTCTCAGCTTTGAAAATATGTCAGCAAGGTTGAAAGGGCCCCCAATCCAGGGCACAACAAATTTGCTCTCCTACAAGATCCGTTATTCTTTGCTCAGTCTTGTTGTTTTTAACCCAAAACAAATGTTTCAGTTGTGCAGCAGCTGAGGACAATGGATTATCCAGATGCCAGGGAGAAAATTCATTTCCTATTTAGACCCTGAACATGTTGCTATGGGGAAGAAAAACATCTACACAAATGACTCAATTTGCTGAGCATCTACATTTCTATTTGTTTTAGAAAAAATGTGATTTAGGCTTAGATGAGGGATGTGTGAGAAAATCCACAGAGTGATTCTATAGAATTCCTGCAGAGGAACTTTGCAGTGAAATCTGTTATCTGAATGTTTTGCCATGAACTTTGGCAGAGAATTCAAATTGATTCTCACTGTTTATGTTTCATGCTGCAGGTGTGCATGACCTACACTCACTGTGCATACAGCAGTTGAAAACTACAAATGCGATGGTGCAGTGAAACTTTCATTTATGCCACAATCCTATGGGCTGCCATATTTTGAAGATCAAAAAAGAGGGCACATCTGCTGACTTCTGCTTTTAACTATGGGTCGCTATGATGACTCTCATTTTACATACTCATGAAAAAGAGGATGTGTCCTGGAAAAAGAGGACATATGGCAACCAATGTCTACTCAGAAGTAAGTACTACTGAGTTCAATGAGACTTACTCCCAAGTATGTGTATTAAGGATCACAGCCTATAAACTATGCGTGCATGCTTACTAAAATTGCAGATACAAAGCATGATGGCACAAGCTCTGCCTCCACTCCATTTTGGAAAATTAAATCCCAAATTCTGCTTAAGGGAAAATTATTTCTGCTACAACCCATATCTTGAGAGGACAAGCCCACAGGTGGTCCTTTCTGCACAATATAGGAATTGTGCCTTTGGTGTTATGGAAAACTGATGTGGACAGTGCCGGATTTACGTATAAGCTAAACAAACTATAGCTTAGGGCCCCACCCTCTTGGGAGCCCCCCCCTCCCAAAAAAAAATGAAAGGAAAAAAAAACTGGATGTACATTTCCAAAATATAAGATAAAAAACAAATGAAATAAAATCTACATACAGCAACAGTGTTTTGTGTTGTGTAGACGCCTATGATACCTATTAGGTCCATAAATTACCATATAGCATATATTCAGCACAAAAAACAGCGACAATTTGTTGTTGACAAAGGACAGCTGGACATATAAAGGGCCCCATTACCTTCAGTAGCTTAGGGCCTCATCAACCCTCCCTTATCCCAGCGCCGTGTCCCGCTGCTGTCCCTTACTGATGATGTCCCTTAAATTTCCTGGGTGCCTCCCCTCTGCCAGTTGCCGCCGCCACTCCCGCTAGGCCGTACTGCGGCTGCGCCGCCGAAGGACCCAGATGAGATGGGCAGCCTGGCGCGGCCTATGAATTGCTGAGGAGCCTTGAGAGGAGAGCGAGGGCAACCATAGAGAAAGCAGTTCAGAGAGAGGAGGAGGAGGCGGAGGCACGGGCAGGTGTTCCAAGGGCTAACCATAGAGGGGGGAAGCGGAGGAAGGACCGCAAGTGCTTCTCCCATAGATTTGTAGTGGTAGACTAGCATAGATGGTCTTCTTTGCGGGTTTACTTTGGGTGCTATTTTTCCCCCCTCTCTTCCTCCCGCCCCGCCTGATGGAACTGAGAGCTGCAGATGGAGCACGAGAGAAAAGATACAGAACTGCAGCAGCATCTTCGTAGCTTGGACTTCGTTTTGCGCGAAAAGTGGTTGCTGCTTGTAGTTATTTAATTGCAGTGTTTCATCAGCTGGTGTCTTGAGCAGCAACCTCTGGAAACGAAGGGCTAAAAACTGGCGCTGCTCTCCCAAATTATCTGGTCCCTTTTAACTTCGTATTTCAGCTGGTTGACTAAAATCCCTTATTTTGGCTGCTGATCCCTTATTTTCGAGGCTGCTGGTCCCTTATTTTCAAATCTGTAAGTTGACAGCTATGCTCATCAAACCTAAATCCGGCCCTAGATGTGGAAATGTGACGAACTGAACTTATGATTGTAAAAATGAGAAACTGAGAGAAACCAACGTTTACAGATTTGCCCACCCCTACCTGAGCCATTCCCTAACAACACCCCTGGGTATTTCCTGGCTCAGATGACAACATAACTCCATCTGCCTCAAGGAAGGATGGGATGGACATTTCAGGCAGCAAAATATCATGGGCTGGCTCTGCAACTCTTGTCTGGCTCACCGGCAGCCACTTTGTTGCAAACCACTAACCTATGGAAGTAAAACTAGTGCATGTCACTCAACAAGAGGGCACAAATCAGAAAGGCCATTTGACAATAGACGGGGATAATATAGGCAAAACACACTAAGAAGAATGATTACCTTTCCGGGCTATTCGGATGCAATTCAGCCTCGTTTCCTAACAGGGAAGAAAAGAGAGAGTCAGGTTTTACTGGTCCGTGAAGCCTGGTTTTTCTTTCCTTTTCTTTTAACAACTCTGCTTCAAAAGTGGGAAGGGAAAACAACACTCTGTCGAAGCTTTATGCAAACTTACTCTGTATTTTTACAATGAATATTGTTCTGCCTGCTTGCATCCCATCACAGTTATTCCACCAGAATGCAATATATGCATTCTTTTAAATAAATAGCAATATGAACATGAAAAACCCCATTTTACAACCAACATACTCACACACACCACACAACATGGCGTGTGCAAGGTCGCCATGCCCCCCCAGCCCCCTCAGTGAAAATTTGGGGGGCCCTTGGGTCCCTGCCCACCCGTACCCCCAATGGCCCCCCGATGTTGGTTATGGCTTATGGGAGCTGAAGCCCTACAATATCTGTAGGAAAACAGGTTCCCCACACCCAATTTAAAAGCTGGTTCTTAAATCGTAATGAAGCCATTTGCAGTGACTCGCAAAGCTTGCACAGGAATTTGCTCCATAGCATTGAATTCCTTTAGATTTATGGCCTATGGATAGAAATGAATACACCATACTATTCCATGTACAGCATAAGATGACATTTTTTCCTTAAAAATTATGTTAAAAATTGGGGGTCACGAGCTGGAGGCAGTCAGTGGCTATTTGGTGTGTTATTTGTTGCTGTGGCCAGGGCTGGTGTTTTTTGGCTGTTGCTACTCTGGGCTACACCCCCCCCCATAAAAAGCTCTGTAACTATGGGCAATTCCCCCCCCCAAAAAAAACTCAACAACTCTGAGCAATCTCCCCCCATTTTCTTCATTTGGAGTCCCCCAAAATAGGGGGCATCTTATACACAGAGGCGTGTTATACACGAAGGAATATGGTAACCTCTCAGGTTGATAGAGAGCCATCTCACTTGCCCAGCTGAGAAACCATTTTGTTCCTCACTTTTCTTTCCTGCACTGCCTGTCTCCTCCCTCTCTATCTCGCCTGCCCAGTGGGATTCCTCAAGCACCCCCCTGCATTGCCTGCCCGCCTGCCAAAACGCCATGCTAATAACACAATCACTGCAGATGGAAGAATGAAAATGAAACAAATGGGCATCATTTTCCTTAATGTGCATAATCTATATCTACTCATTATGTTAGGATTCCTTGTTGTGCCATTTGGGATATTTGGATGCTGGGTGCATGAGAACCAGACCGCAGCAATAAGGAGGAGGCTGGAAAGAACCTCAGCTGGGGCATAAAGCTTTCCAAGACATCCTCCCCTGCCTGCTCACACAGGCAGCTATTCTATTCTCCCTGCAGCTGGACTGTGAAATTAACAGCTTCTGTCAATCATTACCAACCTGGGGTCATTACAGTTCTAAGAATTCGACCGGCGCTCCACATATACCAGTATCCTGCTTCCCACAGTGACTAAGTCAGATGTCTTTGGGATGGCCACAAGCAAGGCATGGATGCAACAATGCTATTACCAGCAATTAGTGCTCAATAGCACAAAGGAGACATGCAACAAAATGTTGCCTCCAAGCCACAGTGTTCCTGTTCAGAAGTCCAGGCAGCTAACCATGCCCTTCTCTAGGACTAAGGAGTTCATGGAGGCCATTCCAAGGTTTAGTGGCTACTGAGCACACTCAATCCATATTGTCTCCCTGCTCCCCATCTTTGTTTCTTTGTTCAGAGAGCATTTTTTAAAAAATATATCAAGACATTTTGGGGCATGTCAACATGTCCACCTAGTTTCTGGGTAAGGGTTATAGCTCAGTGCTGAAGCATCTGGCTTGCAAGCAGAAGGACTCAGGTTCAATTCCCAGCATCTCCAGGTAGAGTTCAGAAAAAACTCCTACCTGAAATCCTGGAGAGCTGCTGCCAGTCAGTGTAGACAATACTGAGCTAGATAGATCAATGGTCTGACTTGGTATAAGGCAGATTCCTATGTTCTTATGATTCTGAGTGGCCCCATTTGGCTCCATTCTTATTGGCACTCACTACCCAAGTTTGCAATTAGAGGAACTGCTTCTGAACCTGGAGGTTTCGTTTACCTAGCTAACAGCCTCCAATGGACTTAGGTTGCATACATTTAAAACACAGAGACACACCTTGAAAGAATCCTGGGAGCTGCAGTTACCCCTCACAGAGCTATAACTCCCAGCACCCTTAACAAACTACAATTCTCAGAATTTATTTATTTTTATTTATTTTTTAGGGGAGAGGTGTTTTAAATTTATGGTGTGTATACTGCTTCATTCTCCATGAATTTGTCTAACCCTGTTTTTAAACTAACATTACTACATCTGTAGCACTGATAATTGCGCATTGTTCATAGAAGCACTTTCTCTGGTCTGTTCTGAAAACTGCTCTCATCAATTTAATTGGGCAACCCTGAGTTCTTGTATTATGGATAAGGTGGAGGGAGGGGAGGGAGACTTTTTTTTCTCGTCCACTTTCTCTACATAGTGCATAATTTTAGAAACCCCTATCATGTATGCCCCCAGTGATCTCTCCCCTCCCAAAACTAAAAAAAAACAAAAAAAAAACCCCAAATGCTTTTAGTGGGTGTAGCCTGGAGGAGGCATAAAAGTCCTCAATCTTCTCCCAACATTGGTTGTAGCAAGTAGCTCTTTTGGAGCTGTCCGTGGTCCTGTAACATTTGAATTTCCTTGCTTCCAGAAAATAACACAGAACATGAACCCAGAATGTCCTGGGTTCAATCCACGGCATCTCTAATTGAAACAGTTAGCAAGCATGTAGTGGGAAACAGTCTGAGGCTGAGACCCTTGAGAGCTGCTGTTCATCAAAGCAGACAACCCTGGGCTCCATGGACAAAAAATCTGACCTGGTCAAAGGCAGCTTCCTGTATTTGAATTGATGGATTTACATTTAATGGCAACCCTTCCCACTTCTTTGCCAGCTCTCTCTGGCAGCACACACTCCTTCATGTGGCTCTACAGCCTTCGACTTCTATAGGTGCGGCAATACATTGCCTGCCCACTTCTGCACCCCCAGTGGCTCAGATGGAAGCTGCAGGAATGTGTCAAGTCAAGGCATCAAGGATCCTCTGGAGGATGCCCCCCGTTGTTCCAGCAGTCACCTTGAAAGAGATTTGCCCAGACGTGGAACAGAACCTCGGGTTAGTCAGATCAGATTTGTCTCTGCAATGAAAGCTGGGCTGTTGAAGCCAGGCCAAGCTTGATCGTCTTGCAGATTAGGACAAAACAGCCCACTGGGGCAGCTGCAGGGGACAGGCCTGGAGTCCTTGGAGGACATCTCCTAATGTTAGCAGATGCAAGGAGTCGCTGCAAGAAAGGGTGTCAAATGAATTGTCTCTTGCTGAGATGCCTGAGCAAGATCCCCACCCTTCTCCCTCTGTAGACAGCCTGAAGAAAATCCATGTATTCTCATTTCCAATGGTGCAGTCTGATGATTTTTAGACTTTTAGGTCTTACATACTCTCTACCCCATCACCACCACCATTCCAAAGATGGCAAAGGGGGAAGGACCACAGCTAAGCACCAGAAGGTCTCCTGCTGATTCTGCTGCCCCCAACTCCTGCCCTGATGGCACCACTGCTCACTTCCTTGCTAGAAAAGGCAAGGATGTCTCTCAGGTCCAGGCAGGAAGAAGCAGAAGCAGCTGAGATTGGACATTAATGACACACAGACACAGGAAAGGGGGTGTAGCTCAGTGGTGCAGTGCAGGCTAGTCTATTAGGCGAATGGGACACTATACCACCAGCCACCATTGCAGTGATGATGCACTAGTTTTGCCCTTGTGAAATGCAAGGTCCAATCCTCAGCATCATTGATTTCTAAAAAAAATCCCAGGGGGCTGAGCTGGCCCCAGACAATCAGGTTAAGATCAGTCAGTGTGAGCTCCCCACTTTAAGTTCCAGCTGATCTGGAAGCAGCAGTGCCTTCTTGGTGGTAGTCCCAGAGCTCCAAAATTTCCAGAGGTTATGGAAGTCTATCAGCTGATCACATTTTAATCCAACACATTGCTACTCACCCCTTTGAGATGGCTCATGGCCTGGAAGTAGATGAGATAGGCCTTCTTGGGCTCCAGCGGTGGATTCCAGTAGCCGCTGTAGGTTTGGTTGTCCCCTACCGTGAAGGGCTTGGCTTCTGTGAGACTGCTGGGGGGCAGCTCGGCTCCAAAGTAGTGAACTGAGCCACGGGACATGGCGTCATCAAAGGTTAGGGGCACCGGAAAGCATTCCTGGCCCCCCACCTCCCGCTTGACCTTCCTAGGCCTGTCTTCTTCCACAACGACTTGGTATGTGCTGGGAACACAGTCCGAGGAAGCGGGTTGGAGAGAGAAAGAGAACAGAAAGGGGTGAAATCAGATGGTTTCACAGAATCATAGAACTGTAGAGTTGGAAGGGACCCTGAGGATCATCTAGTCCAACCCCCTGCAATGCAGGAATAGGCAGCTGTCCCATACGGGGATCAAACTTGGAACCTTGGTATTATCAGCACAAAGGCTCTAACCAGCTGAGGCATCCAGGCTGAAATAAATCAGAATGCTTTGAGATTAAGGGGGTTGGCACCTGCACTTACAGCTGCCTTTTCAAACCCTTGGAGAATAATCCAACCAAAGAATTCCAGGAACTGTAGTCTTGTTGAGGGTGTTGGGAATCATAGCTCTGTGAGAGGTAAGCTACAATTCCCAGGATTCTTTGGGGGGAGCCATGTACAGTCAAATGTACAGTCATGGGAGTTTGTGGCTTGCCAATGCCCGTCTATGCTGGAGTCTACTGGTTATACCATCATCCTGCAGACACTGGATTACAAATGTTCAGCCTTACTGGCAGAAGATCTAGTGGGTTTCAAGTAACTCCTGGAAGCAGAGGTGCCGCCATCCCCTTTCCCCGCATGATGATCATTTATTTAACAACATTTTTATGCTGCCCGATTTTGTAAGAAACAGGAATAGCTAGCAAAGGGAGATGATGCATGGCTTGGCTAAGGAGTCTTAGAAGAGGCGGCTGCCAGACTTAAGGCACAGAGCTTTGAGGATGATGTACTCGCGTTTCCTTGCTGCCAAAGTCAAGGGAAGAGGATTCCATCCAGCAGGTGCACATGGGATGCAAAGACACTTGCTCAAGACATTCAAGCAAGAGCTGCAGGAAATCCACAGAAACTCTCTCTCTCTCCCTCCCTCCCTCTCCCTCTCCCTCTCCCTTTCTCCAGACTCCACGGCTGTGACCTGCAGGCCAAGCGCAGCTGATCTCACACACACACACATCAGGCCTGGGTGGCTGTAGGTTATATATAATTAAAGATGCCAAGTCAGAGGCACTATTTGTAACTTTCTCTACCCTTCAGCCAAGAGCAGAAAGGCAAATAACAGTGTGTCAGAAGGGACTGTTTAAATGCCCCAAAGCATTCACGGGCAGGTTTCGTACTGTGGCACAGACCATGTTAAAACCAGCGCTTTTCAAAAGGGATGCATTAAATCAACAGGCAAACCTTTGCCATCTTTGGAAAAGACAGGTGCTTAGGGTGGGGAGGCATGTGTGTTCAGTGGGTGAATCAAATCTCGCTTGCCAATTCTCAGCATTAAAGTCTAATTACAAAGATGGCAAAAAGGAACACTGCCAGCCATATCCCTCACATTTCCATTCTTGCTCTGGTTGTGGATGGCTCTCAATCAGATGTGTAGTAGTCTGGGGTTGCAGGGGGTCAAAGACTTGTTACTATTTCTGCAGCATGGTCCCTGGAAAGTGAAGAACCGTATGGTTTCAGTATTCCTAAATGGAGCATACAGAACAGTTCCTCCTTGGAGTTCCTCCCAGCTGCCTTCTTCAGAGTGACTCTACAAGCCAATCCTCAGTTACTGACTCACCTCCTTTCACTATGATTGGCTCCTATAAGCCAATAAGTGTGAGGAGATTCCTCCCTAGAGGCTAAAAAGCTCCTTTTTCTGTTACATACAATAGAACTTCAAGGAAAGCAGAAGTTGAGTTACCTTGGAAGAAGAAACGAGAGCACTCCAAACTGGGTAAATGACATGGGGGGATGGGAAGGATTAAGCCCTTTGCTAGTACCACAGTCATGACCCAAATCCAACCCACCTCTGGAACTGCAATTAATATTTATTTTAAAAGCAAGGAGGAGGGGAGAGAGAAAGCACCAGCAGGAAAAGGACAATCCCCCTTCCATTTCATAAATGAAGTTTTGTTGTCTCAAAACTGAAAGGTGGTATGCATGAGTCCCTTGAGTAGATGGGCTTTCCTGTACCTGATAGGGGCACCTCTGCCCTGCGCCGGCCTCAGAAGAATGGTGATGGTGCTCTCCGACTCTCCCAGAGGGGAGGGCATGTCCCCATAATCGAAGCTAGGAGCTAAAAAGGAAAACAAAAGACAGTGATCAGAAAGGATATAAGCTCAAGAAGGACAATCCTGGGGCTGTTGTGACTTCCAAGCATAGTGATGTTTCATTGGAAATAGCAAGCCATGTATTGAACCCAGAGAGGTTCTGCATTTACATTGGTTTAAACTGATTTAAGACAGTGCAAGTCCTCCTATAGATGCTCTGGTTGGGAGCAACAGCTATTTGGTTCCTTCTTTACCAAAATTGTCTACATCACCAGACATCATCATCATCATCATCATCATTTATTATTTATACCCCGTCCATCTGGTTGGGTTTCCCCAGCAACTTTGGGCGGCTCCCAACAGAATATTAAAAACACAATAAAAGATCAAACATTAAAAACTTCCCTAATCAGAGCTGCCTTCAGATGTCTTCTAAAAATCAGATAGTTGTTTATTTCCTTGACATCTGATGGGAGGGTGTTCCACAGGGTGGGTGCCACTACTGAGAAGGCCCTCTGCCTGGTTCCCTGTAACCTCACTTCTTGCAGGGAGAAGGCCCTTGGAGCTGAGCCTCAGTGTCTGGGCTGAATGATGGGGATGGAGACACTCCTTCAAGCCATCCAGATATATCAGAGAATGATATAAGACAGTGAGGTCTCCCCCGCCCCCATCAACCATGGCAAAGACCACATGTCATTTGGCTCTTCCCTTCTCAAAACTGCCTCCATTGGATGCCATTCCATCTGGTCCTCCCACCCCCAGTCCCTGGGTACATCAGTTAAGCCCTCTCCAGATGGTACTGCCATGAACAGGAAATACCAGTAGAATGGGGATGTGGGGGCACATCTTTATCTCCACCACCATCATTGCAAGGCAAGGTTTTTTTCTGCTCCCGGGTTCTTGAGCTGAGAACTGTCTCTTAACATTTGAGAAGTGTGAAAGCCCGCAGATAACTTGATCCCAATCTGCACACTAAACTGGAAGGTGCAGCACAGATTAGGCTGAACGGGAATTTGCCAAGATCATATTCCTCAAGAAGCCTAGGTGTAGCTGTTTCCCGCTGCCTAGAACAGCTTCTTGACAGAGCAGTTAGGCGGCCTCCTCTCCAGGTCATGAGCGCAATGAATCAGAAAGACAAATCCAATTGGTTCGTTTTAAATAACTGGCCTTCACCAAAACTCCCATGGCACTTTTTGGGGGGATGAATTATGAGCGCCAGCAACTGCCTCCTTCCCACGTGGTAAACTGAGCCAGTTAGCATTCTTTGATGTGCATCTGAATCAGCTCTTGGATTCCAGATGTGACAACATTTCAGAGGGAGGCAAAGTCATGACTGTTTGGGGGACTGGGGGTTGCTCTTTGGGAGGGGGAAAAATGTGTGCTGTGTGTAGGGCTGCCAAGTCAGGAGCATCCCAGACCCTGAGATGTCAGGGCCCAAATCTGAGATCTATGAGCAGCTTCTGGTGGTGTCAAGGAGGGGAGGCTTCTGGTGATGTCACAATGTTGTCCCTGGAACCATCAAAGTATGGGCCCTGGAGATGGGAGTTAATTGGGAGAGGTGAGGGGAGGAAAGTAGCCCTCCCTCAAGTGTCTATGTTATCATTTTCAGCCAGCTCCTGCCAGACTAAAGACTGCAAGCTGTATGCACAATTTTCTTAATAATTCTTATTATTATTAAAGGCACTCTTGCCCACCTGAAGATTCAAGCCCTCCACTTGCCACCTGGAGGCGACCAGGCAAGCCTGGGGACTTCAGATCATACCTAGATGTTTGGCAGCCCTAGCTGTATGGAACTGAGAACCCTCGGCTCTCTTTTCCTTGACTAGTTCTCTCCTTTTGAATAATGTCCCCGGCTTATGCCAACATAAAACGCTGCACCTCATTTCCATCCACGTTGCACACTGATTATTCTGAAAGCCATGGTTATCCCACAATTCTTTTTGCTCTGACAAGAGAAAGGGAAGAAAGGAAGGGGAAGGACATATTAATTGGCTCTGCTTCTGACAGAGCCGGATGAGTGAAAAACAAGGGGAGGGACAACATGCTGGCTGAAAGGAAAAAAACTGGAAGGAGAAGCAGGAAGATGAAGTTCTTTGCAGAAATATGAAAGAATGGTGAAGGGTTGAGCAGGTTCAATCGCCGGCATCTCCAGGTACAGCTGGGAATGTTCCCTGCCTGAAACTCTGGAGTGTCACCGGTAAAGGAGCTAATAGAATCATTAGTTTGCCGGAAAGTGAAAATGTACCTCCGCAGACCTTGCTTTGTCCAATGCCATCCCTTCAGCCAATGCAGCAAAACCTTTCCACGATTCCCTTGCAGATACCCCCTGCCCCTCACTCTCCCTTTGCTTACAGCCTGCAGGTCCTGATTAATCAGCAGTCACTCAGGTCCACCTCCTGCTGCCTCCTAATTCCTGTGTCCCTATTAAAAAACATCTCAGCCAATTCAGCACTGTTAATAGCTACACCACAGACATTAGCAAACAGCCCTAAGTACTGTATGGCTTGTTAATGAAGCCCAATTAATCCCTTGTTTGTGCCTCTGCAAGGCAGAGTATTTTGTTTCCTCTCTGTAATCTTCCCCTTGGCATATATTATGGGGTGGCGGCGGCAGGGGGTTCTGTTATCTCTGCAGTAGACAATCTTCTAAAGAATGCCAGCTTTGCCTCCTCCTGAGAGCCAGCCTGGCCTCCTCTCTGTCTCCCAGAATGCCTGGCTGTATGACTACAGACCCAAACTTCCCTCCCAGCTCTTCAGCCTTGGCACAACTAGGAGCTCATATGGCAGACTGTGGGCATTGATGTGACTAGCTTCACTGCCAAAACTTGAAACATAGAGAAAAAGAAAGGGCAATTGATGGGATCAGTAATAGTCTACTCATTTGGCAAAAAAGGACTCTGAAATCTGTCACTATTTCAAGTTCTGGGATCCCACTGCATCTTCTAATTGGAATGACATGCTTTGGGGTGCAATCTTTGCTATTTCCAATACAAATGAACTTGCTCTATACCTCCTGGACAAATGGATGGATTAGAATTTGTCCGTTCACTGATTTCCATGCTTCCTTAATGCTCTGATGTAGTACTCAGCATCAAAAAAGCATCAAAATAGGGCCCTAGGGTTGCCATACATTGTCTTTTTCCTGGACATCTCCTCTTTTTCAGGGGTAAAATTTCTGTCCCAGAAGATTTTAAAAATTGGACAAAATGTCTGGGGTTTTCACCAAATGATAACAGCACCCTGCCTTCTGTGCAGCGGTTGCCCCACACATAGCCATGGCTCAGTTGGGAACCACAGGTGTTGCAAGCAGCCTTGCTGCTCCAGCTTCTCTCTTGGGACTGTGTGACCTTGTCATCCATCTTAATCAACAGTAGGCAGCGCTGGCACATCTGAATGGAGTTTTGGAGGCGACGAAGGAGGACGGGCTGTTGGTTGATTGCCTGAGGACAGGTGAGTCATGGCAACATGGAATGCAGCCACCTCTGGACAGGTATCCCTCTCCCTGCATACCTGCTCAACTGTCTCTGAGAGGTCAGGATCCCACAGGGAAGGATGGGGAAGTGGAAGCAGAGGCAGAGGCTTCTTTTCCTTGCATATGTATCATATGCACTCCTCCTCAGGAGGAAAGGAAAACAAGCCTTACGTCACCCTTTGGAACTATTAGGAGAAACTCCAAGTTCCACTGGTGCAGGAGGCGGAGGGCGGGGGTGATGTTGCAAACACACAAGCGCTTCCTGTTTGTTCACTTCCTGTGTTGGTCCCTTCCAGTCAGTCCGCTTTTTGCGTTCTTCGCCCACCACCTCCCACAAAGCTCCTTTGCTCAGTCCCTCCCTCCTCCAATTCTTCCATTAGCGCCACCGCCTTCCCATGTAGGGAAGGAGTGGGGAGCTCAAATATGTTTCTCTCCTCCTTCCCCATCTCACTCCCATGTTTGCAGAAGATCGGGCTTGGAAATCACTGCCACAGGCAACCCCGTTCTCCGTGGGGTGAAGCGGACCAGCTGCTGTTACTGCTGAGGGTCCTATTCCCACCCCTACCTCCCCATGTTGGTAGGCGTGTGATGGGGTCTGGAAATGATTCTCCTTAGTGCAATATGGGGAAGAGCATGGGTGCCTTTGATGAATAGCATTTGTGTGTTGTATCCTTGGCCTTTTAAATGGTTGCTCTTTGTTGTGTGTCCTCTTTTTTACTCTTCAAAGTATTGCAGCCCTAAAATAGGCTGAAAGTTCATATTTTGAGGTTTGGGAAACATTTAGAAGTATATATTTTAGGAGAAAATACTTAAATATGTGTTCAAATGCAAGCTTTCATGTTGTTGCGGTTGTTGTTTTTCTCTTCAAAATCAGAGGTTAATGCAAAAAGAGGACAGAACAACAGATTGAAAATAAGAGTGATTTGCCCACCCTAATCCTGGCACCATCCAGAAAAAAACATTTGTCCTGTGCCTGGGATATAAGATTTATTTCTTTTCCTGAAACAAAGGTTCATTGTCGTAATGGCAAAAGCATGCATTTCATACCATGTGCACACTCATGTGTAACTCAGATCCCTAATACACAGAGAAATGGGAGACTTGGTGCTCTTCTGATACAAGAAATGCAAACATAAGTAGAGGCCTGATCGATCAGGCCAGAAGTCCATCTAGCCCAGAAGTCTGTTCTCACAGTGGCCAACCAGATGCCTCAATAGGAAATCCAGGACCTGAGCTCAACAGCTCTTGCAATTCCCAGCAACTGCCTCTGACAGTGGGGGAGAGAACATGGCCATCATAGCTAGCAGCCATTGATTACCTTATCCTCCATGAATTTGCCTAATCCTCTTTTAAAACCATCCAAGTTGGTGATCATCACTTTATGTTGTGCTGTAGTCACTCTGTACGTTGACTGGATCATTTTTCAACACTTTCAGGCTGCAATCCTAAACTCGGGAGTAACCTGTGTTGGATACCATGGAATAGGATTGTAATGCAAAATGTATCGCTGTAGAATTTCAGTGATTTCAACAACTTTACTGGTTCTATCAGTGCAAAGAGATCCAAGATTTTAAGAACTATGGTATTGCTGCTTCCTTTAAAAAAAAAAAAAAAAAAAGATGATCAAAACCGAAAGCTAATCTCTTCATCTTCAGGCAATGTTAATCCTATGTCCCAGAGATGGAACATCTATTTATTTGTGGGACAGGTGACTTTCCTCTGACAAGTTTGTGCCAGCAAAAACAATTGCTCTTCCACGGCTCAGTGACTAGAGAACATCTTTTGCATGCAGAAAGCCCCAAATTTAATCTCTGGCATTTCTACTTAAAAAAGATGTTGTGTAGCAGCTGATAGGAAAGGGCAGGAAGCCACAAATCCACTTGTCAGCTTGTCAGAGGTGAGTGCATCCAGTCCTACAGTGAGCAGGGCACCCAGCACTCCACAGATCCATTCCTGCGAAAGGTCATTTTCACTGCAGCTTTCGAGTAGGTAAGAAACAACAAGAAGAATTGACTCTCCAAACTTTGGGAAGGATGTGAGGGAAAGGGGACATAGCTTTGACGGGAATGTCCAGTGAACTGATGGCAACTGACCAGGAATAAGACCTTAGGAATAGGTCAGTATGTCTGGCTGTTAACTAGAAGGTTGGTGGTTTGAGTGCCCCCAGAGATGGCTTTGGGCAGAATTTCTGCATTGCAGAAAGTTGGACGAGAGGAACCTTGGGGTCCCTTACAACTCTAGAATTCTCTGTTCTGCCAGAGAACAGCTCAGTGGAGACATTGACCCCATGTACGACAGCTGTGAAAAAGGTGAACTCCATGTTAGACTAGAGATCATTAGGAAAGGAACTGGAAATACAACTGCCAATGTTCTGATGCTGTTGTACAAATCTATGGTACAACCACATTTGGAATACTGTGTACAGTTCTGGTTGCCTGACTTCAGAGAGGATACTGCAGAACTGGAAAGGGTTTGGCAAAGTGCAGCCTAAATGATGAGGATGGAATGACTGCTCTGTGAGCACTTAGGACTTTTTGTGGGTTGTGAAACACCAGAGCAGTCAAGTACAACATTCCTAGAATGAACATGTTTACACACGGAGAGGAATGTTTGTCCAGCCAGCAGGTAAACTTCCTGTTTCCTTGTGGGCTGGGACAGACTTCCTCTGCATGTGACTAGAGGTGGGTGTGGCCTCACCTGTGCAGGTAACGACAAAAGCACAGGGCAGGGCAGCCATCTCTCTCTCTTTGACTACATGCATTGAAGAAGCAACATCTGCTTTGCCAAAGATGCTCTCTTGGACTCCAGCCACACACACATGCTTATCACGTTAAAAGCAAACAAAATCAAGTCTTTGTGTCTGTGGCATCAGCATCCATCTGACCTACACAAGATCTATCTCCCTAAATCGTCAACTTCAGTGCAGAAAAAGCACACTCAAGGTCCTGTGCTGTTTAATGAAAAACACAAACTCTCCTCGCTCAGTGATGCCACCTTATCTATTCCACCTCAGACAACATTTCCCACTCATGCAGATAATATCATTTCTCTGAGACTGTTTCTAGCAAGACACAGGGCCGGCAGCATTCAATTTCTCCTTTCCCAGACCACCCCCACTAATAGATCCCATCAAAGCCGCTCCACTGAGTTAGGAAATGTGTTCCAGAGCAAAAGCCCCCGTAATGTAAACAAGGCAGCTTTTGGACTGCCATGCAAGTAAATTATCCAGCAGGGTTGTAAAATGTAATGCATACTGTTTTTTCCCCCCATTTGAATTCTGACTGCAGGGTAGCTGGGAAAGGAGGAGGAGGCCTCTGGAGCATGAAGAATCCATTTCAAGGGAAAGCATATTTAAAGGAATCAGAGCAGTGGGATGTGTGGTTACCCTGATGGTTCAGCTGCACTGAGTTGCCACTCATCCCGATTGCCAAAGAACGGCTGGAGCTGTGACATCTCTCTCTTGCAACACATCCTATACCAGACTATCCTGGCCTCACACATGTCATAGCTGTGAGGTACAAAGGAAACATCATCTGGAAAGAGAAAAAGTCTTTCTAGATGATTGGTGCATTTGTGCAACAATTGCTCAGTTGCTATTCATTGCTCCAGAGAAACCCAACGTCTTCCTTTCAGAAAGCACTTGTGCAGCAGATGCACTCTATTTTCCCCACTGCATTACCCATGACCTGATGAACTTGCCGTGTACAGAAGACTTGGATGAAGATAAGGTAGAGGCTACTTCCTCTGGTACTTCCACTAGTACTATATTCAGGATCCTTCTGGCTGAAAGACACAACCCTTCCACCATCCTCTAAGATGATGGGTCACAAGCTGTACGTGTGTCTCCCCAGCCTCACCGAAGATCGGCTTCTCCAGAGAGGCAGATCCAATTACACTCCAGACCTTGTCAGTCTACATGAGGTTTCAGTGGCTATGGCTTCCTGCAGAGGCAACATCTCTTGCAGTTGTCTTAGCAGGGGTACATGGAGCTGTCCAAGGTCCTGTATGCTCTCAGCTCGTGACTGAGCACTGTCCGCTTCCCAGGAGAGCCTCAAGCACCCACAGAATGAAGCAGCACCTCTCAAAATCACAATGATTTGTTGCTGGGGCAATGCAGTCCTCATCATGGACTGCATCCATTAAAGGTTATGACCCACCAACCAGAGCCTGGCCTGGCTGAGTCACAAGAGCCTGTGGACCCTGCCTTCTTAGCTGTTCAGGAGGCCCTCCACTATAGGCCCTAGCAGTTGTGAGGGATGCAGCTGTGTCAGGGCTGAGTTGTAGGCAGTTATCATAGTGGAGCTCCAGGAACCAGAAATCCCACGTTGTGCCAGAGGAAAAGTTTAGCAAAGAACCAAAGCTGAGAGACAAGAGTCAATGCCAATGAACAAAGCCAGGAGTCCAATCCAAAGAGCATACTGAAACACACCACACCTAGGAAAGCCGCTCTTATCTAGGCGAAGTCCCAGCCCAAACAGACCCTCCCCAGCCTAGAAGGATTCAACGGTCAATAGGTTTGAGTAGAGACAGTCTACAGCCTAAGAATATTTTTCTTCCCATAGAGATGCTCCAAACTACAGTTCAGGGGACTTACACATGGAGTCAAAGGTTCCTAGCAGGAACTCTGGGGTCCCAGCCCAGAAGCTCCCACTGCAGCAACTGGGACAAAACAGTAAACATGACTACAATAATCCAAAGGTTCAAAAGTTCACCACCTCCACCCCTGCACTGCAATGCAGGGGTGCATTTATTTGACTGCAGGTCCCTGGTCAGAGTAAGTGTGACCATCATACAAAGTAGGAAGGGGAAACTGGGTTTGCTTTCATTACTTGTGAATGTTTTAAGCCGCACTGTAACAAGAAGCCAGCTTTGGGTCTGGAAAACTTTCTGAGAGAACTACTTGGAGGCATTTCGCTGGTTTAAATTCAGCAGCAGTCAGTATTGGAGCACAAAATGTTAGCATTCAGTGGCTGTTGGAGAGCCAGTAATCACAGAATGGTGAAGCTGGGTGAGACCACAAGGGACCCCAATCCTCTGCAAAAGGAGGATTTCTAGGACTCGAATTGCAGGATGCTTTTGCATACCAAGTCTACGGCCTCTTGCTTCTTGCATACCAAGCAATATATGTGTGATACAGGCTATGGTGAGAAAATCCTGGCTTTCGGCACAGTTCTCAATAGGCTGCCAGGCATCAGACCAATGCCCCTCGGCCACTAACTAGCTGTACTTCTCTGAAGATTTCATGGATGGGCCAATAAGCAAAGAGGCTTTGAAGACTGAGCCATACTCTCTCTGTGTGTGTGCATTTCCAAGAAACAAAATATGTACAGCAACTTCACACGCCATTTCTTTGGCGTGATGAAAATGCTCTTTGGTTGCACAGTTGTGGCGTCAGTCCATCACTGATGCCAGAAGCTGAGTCAGCAACACCACCAAGGTGTCCACGTCCTACCAATGTCCGCATCTCCTTGGGACAAAATCAAATGACGAAAACCAAAGAAAATCCACATAGCATAATTTTGTACGCCCAGTTTGGTATCGACTGATTTTGTTTGAAAGCCTGCTTGGAACCATCGATGGGCGTTTCCCAGAAAATGTTGGATCAGAAAATTTTCCAGAAAATAGCCCTATGGAAAGTAACCTAATTTGCATTGAGAAATTTTCAGTTAGCACTGGGAAATTTTCTGATGCCCTGGAGGATGTGCTAATTTAGCATGTTTAATTTAGCATCGCTTGCAGTTAATAAATAAAGCTCAGAACTTAGAAACTGCTAAGCTGTCCTCAAACTGTATTTGCAATTCGCTTGCAATTGTGGTGCCTAATGAACTGAAGAAATGGGAGAATTTTCCGCAGAAAAATAAAGTGCTGGAAGCGTTTTACTCAGAAAGTTTTCCATGCCACATTGCTGCTCAAACCTCCACCTGTTTGCCCTGGAGACTGGAGTGAAGAGGATCTTCTGATCACATCATTAATGACTAAGGGCTTGGTTCTGCACGACTGATTTAGTGAGAAATAGAGAAATTCATAAAAACAATTTTTGCCTGAGGTGGAGGAGCAAATGGTATATATACACCACAATGCCATTCTTCCACCACACTGCTGTTGGCTCTCAGCTGGCCACGTGCCACAGCACCAAGGAGAAAAGGCTGAGGGGGCCACCACCCAGCCACACTGATGGCTGCATCTAGATCAGTGGTTCTCAACCTGTGGGTCCCCAGATGTTGTTGGACTACAACTCCCGTCATCCCTGAGCTCTGGCCTTGCTAGCCAGGGGTGATGGGAGTTGTAGTTCAACAACAGGTTGAGAAAGGCTGATGTAGATGGACAGAGTGGCCCCTGAAGCACCCAATTCCCACAATACTTTCCCCAAATCCCACGAGAATGCCAAGCCTGTTGTGACGTTTCGCAAGACTTGGCCACTTCTTACAAGACTCGAATAAGGACTATATGAGGTTTGCTTGGCCTGAATCAGTGGTAGGCTGTAGGAATACTGCTCACTTTTCTTATTCCATGAGCCCAATTCTAAATTTAGAATACACTGGACTTCTGATCCCATAATTGGGAGCAAGACAAAGAACGTACGCCTTCGCACTCATCCTGTAACCCTGCATATGCTCACCACAGGAAACTCTTCATATACCGGTATATCTGATAGTGGCAGCAAACAACCGCCGCCACCACCAATCTCACTCCAGACCTTTACATATGACTTTCCTCACTTCCACTTGTAACTCCAACAGCAGCATACCAGTTACCAGGGCACTTGGGAAATGTAATGTTCCCAGGGCGCCTTAGCCCACAAAGGAAGTTTCTGTTGCTAACTAAGTAATTACAAGCTTCAGCGGGATCACTATTTAGGACTGCAACGCCAAAGCTGTGAGATGGGAGTGAGGGCAGGGAATATCCTGCTGGAATTGCTGCAAAGGGAACAATTAAAATAAGGCCATGTCAACTAGAAAAGAAAAACGAATAGAAGTGTGCAGAAAAGATAGGTGAAATCTGGAGGAGAAGCAGGGGTAGGGTGGGGGAAGAGAGTGAACTGGAAAGCTGGAATTGTTAATACAATCCCTTTGCATTAGCAGCTGCCATGAAGCCTTACAACAGTGCCATGATCACATATGGGTGTGCTTGTCAGCAGAAAGCCAGCTCATCACACACATCATTTTTGCTAAGAAAAGAAAAGAAAAGAAAAGAGGGGGAAAAGAACGACTTCCACTGGCTTGCCAGATGTTGTCACTACATCCAAACCACATCCCATCCAATTTGCAATGGCAGACACCCAAAGAACTCCAGGACAAGTTGTAACTTTGAGCAAAGCCTAGATGAAAAAACAACAGCCGTTTTGCTCTTCTTGCCACCAACCTGAGATGTTGGTGGTGATCTCGGTCAGAGCCGTTTGGCCAAATCCCTTGCCAGTCCGTGCCCGCACTGAGAAGAGGTAGGTTGTCCCGGGATGCAGGTTGGAGAAAACATGGTAAGTTTCATTTCGGAGCTTGGAGACGGTACGTCGTGGGCCAGGGACATTGACTGCTGGGTCAGAGGATTCAATGCTCTGGTAGCTGATCTAGGAGAAATGGATATACTTTAAGAAAATGTCAGCATCAGAATACAGAAACAAATCTGGTGAAGAATAGTTGTTGTTGCAACTATTACCTGCCCTTCATCACAGGGTCCCAAGGCGGGTTACAACAATCAAACACACACACAGGCTCTATTTGCATGTAGTTTAGTGCTTCAGGTACCAGGGCTGTCGGCAGACCAACTCTGCATTTTAAAGATGTCTGCAAACATGACGTGAAGGCTGGCAACATTAACCCTGCCTTGTGGGAATCCCTTTCAGATGACCGCAGTGCCTGGAGACAGACACCCCAGCTTCAATGTCTCTCCCTTACTGGTCTCTACAGCCACAGCAGGCACTATAGCTCTCCAATGGTTTAACATTACCTCTGATGGCACACTCTTCTATTTCCTCTCAAGACAGACTGATGCCAGCTAGACACTTTGAAGGGGACAGCATGCCTACAAATGTCATCCACTTCTGCCAAAAGGGATTAAGTTATAGCTGTTGATCTGGGGATAACAAAGCCTCCTCCCCCTTTCTCTTTCTCTTTCTCTTTCTCTTTCTCTTTCTCTTTCTCTTTCTTTTGCACAGTAGACTTAGCCTTGGACCATGAGCTGAACTGTGTACCCTTCTAAAGCACAGCAGACAGAGGAAGTATGTTTTCCAAAGCTCTGGATCAAGGTCTGAACTTAATTCTTTGATGGGTGCACATCCTTAATACTAATTAGTTTGCCATTTCTGCTATCAGCCAGAGTAGGCAATATATTGGAATATCAAGGGAGATGACCCAATGGAATAAAATGGGATATTTCCAGTTTCCTATGTTCTAAAAACAGTACAATGGAAGCCCAGTGCATCAACCAACAGGAGGCCCTTTTGCTGGTGTTTTCCAGGGGCATTATTATTATTATTATTATTACTGCCTTTCTTTCTTTCTTTCAATGTGTTACAGCAAGCAGGGACTGAACTCACCTGGAAAGACATAACAAACCGTAGAGATTCAGTGAAATATTGTGCCCTAGTTCTCAGTAGGGTAGTTAGAGAGATACTGTCTGGACTATCACTTCAAATTCCAAGCAAGGGCTCACCACTCACATATACCAGTGGTAGGGAACCTTAGGCAACATTCCTGCATGAGCCACTTTCCAAGGGTCACATGCCAGCTGCCAGCAAGGACAGGGGCAAAAGTTTATTTGGCCAGAGACAGAAATTTGTGTGTCCAGAGGCCAAAGTGGGTGGCTGTGATGTTACTCTGACCTTTTCACCTGGTGTTAATCAGCACATCCAGTGAGGATGATCAGGAGTAGGGGAGGGCAGTCAGTCAGATTCCTTTTTCCTCTCCTGCCCTCTCCCCCCACCCCAACTCACGCTCTATATGCTTTTGGTATAGAGGAGGAGCCAATCAATTGTGATCCCCTGTCTGGAGTCTCAAGTGGTCCAGAAACAAAATTTATCACCACGGTGAGAATGGGGCCAGCCTGAAAACTTTTAGAAAGGGGAATGAAAAGCTGCTTGAATTCTGCATTCTAAACAATGGGGTTTGGAAGGAACTATAAAGTTGTCCTTAATCTCCGAGACTGTAAAACATGTCTCTGGAATTACAATGGAGCCTGTGTCAATTCTCCGGGAGGCAGCATTCAGCCCAAGGCAGGGCAGTCACAGCAGCACAGAGATAAGAATCAGCTTTCTTCACGCTGCTGTTTCTGCGCTCTAATAATTTTTGTTGATGCCAGAGAGGGCAGAAAAGCAGGAAAAAAAAGAGATAAGAGGGCTTTTTTTGCCTGGCTGCATTTGGGAGGGGATGTGGAAGAATCCCCCCCCCCCAAAAAAAAATAGCGCACCACACAGCTGGCTTCATTCAAGAAACTATCAAAAGACAATGTATCCCTTTTCTCTCTGCTTTGAATGGAGACGACAATGCCTTGCTGAGGAAAAAAGCAACCTCTATCCATTGCTTAAGCCTAGCCTGACATGCAAAGGGCCATCACCAGGTGTGCTGTTGCCCAACATGTCTGCCCTGGCATGACAGCTTGCAGAATTTCTAGAGCTCAGCATCCATGTCATGCTTTGCAGTTCAAGCTTATTGTCAACTGGCTCCACACCAACACCCAACCCTATACACCATCGAGGTGGTTGGGGAACCTGCTTCGCCCAAGGAATTCTGGGGACTGTAGTTTGTTAAGTGTGCCGAGAGCTGTTAGGGAAATCTTAACAAACTACAGCTCCCATAATTATTTTGGGAAGCCATGACAGTTAAGGAGCTATAAGAGTGATGACTATGATGATGTAATTAAATTTGTATACTGCCCTTCTCAAGGAGGTTCACAACATAAAATTACAATAAAAAACCACACAATGCATAATAAAACAAGAACAACAACAATCTAATAATGGATGTGGTAGATGTGACCTTGCTATACTCCACTGCACTGGTTTCCAGTCTATTTCCAGACTCAGTTCAAACTACTGGGAATAAACTAGACAGAGTTAAACAGTTTGGCATTGGGTTACCTGGCAGATTGCCTAATCTCACACAAATACCTGCATGGTGATCTTTTGAGACCACCACCCACCCACCCAATAACATCTGGCAGGTGGTAGGTGGATCCCAAAGAGAGGGCCTTTTCAGTGGTGGCACCCTGGCTATGGAATGCCTTCCCAGCTCTCCTACCATCCACTCTGGGATCTTTCTGGCACCAGGTAAAAACACTGAATTGTTTCCAACTAAGTTCTGTGCAGAGTAGAGCCATTAAAATTAAGTCATCCATGTTAGCAATGCCCATGAATTTCAAGGGGTCTACTCTGAGTAGGACTAACATTGGTTACTAATCCCACCCGTCTCCTTTCCCTGGTTTCTCAGGAAGTGTTTTAGAGTTCCAAAGATCTCTTAAGCTGCCGTGATCCCCATCTTGCTGGTTTTATCGTGGTTTTGGATTGTTCTGGTTTTCTTCTGCCCTAGATTTAAGGTCTTGTTCTATTTTATGTATTTTAAGCTTAATTGCAAACCACCCTGAGAATGTTGGTTTTGGGGTGCTGTGGAAATGTAACAAACAAACAGGCACTTCTTTAAAAACCTGCAGAAAAGCACCATCTTAAAAGAGGCAGCCTCCCTGCTGTCTTCTTCTTCCACAAGATGATGCCTGCTGCGACACACGAGTGCATAATCTAAAGTTTGCCTATTGCTTCAAAAAATATTGTTTTTCTTCATATGGACGTTTCATTGATAAGTTAATAGAGTAAATATCATGCAGTTAATAGTTAAAAGGTAAAGGTAAAGGTAAAAGACCCCTGGACAGTTAAGTCCAGTTGAATTTGACTATGGGATGTGGCCCACATCTCTGCTTTTCAGGCCCAGGGAGCCGATGTTTGTCCACAGACAGCTTTCTGGGTCATGTGACTTCTGGCGCAATGGGACGCCTTGCACTGGTATGCTTTTGAACTGCTAGGTTAGCAGAAGCTGGGACAGAGCAACGGGAGCTCACCCCGTCACACGGATTCAAACCACAGACCTTCTGATCAGCAAGCCCAAGAGGCTCAGTGGTGACCCGATCATAAATATCATGTAGTTAATACACTTGGCTTGACTACTGCAACATGAGCACTTGGGGCTGCCCTGGAAAACTGCCTGGAACTGTAAAATGATGCAAAATGTTGCCGCCAGTAATATGGCCAACTGATCATATTACTCCAGTGTTGTCTGATGTCCACAGGCTGCATATTGTTTCTATGCTCAAATCAAAGTCCTGCTTCCTACCCATAAAGCCATAAATGCTTGGGGAACTAGATACCCAAAGGCCATGAGATATATGAAAGATCACACTCCACCATGCATCGAACTTCTTGCATTCTGATTGACAGCTGAGGTCCTGTTTGGGAGCTCACTCTGGCTGAAGATTGGAGGATATCTATCAGGTGGAGGAATTTCTCAGTGCACAGACTAGCCCCCCCCCCCGAGGGACCACCTATCCATGATGCTGTGCACCTTCAGACACCAAATAAAGAGTTGACTCTGCAATAAGCATTCAAATTCTACTGAAATTCTTTTTTGCTGTTGAATTTTGCTTCAGCAAGCATATCTGTTTCCATTTGATTTTTTTTTAGCTGGTGCTTATCTCCAGCTGCTGTGGATTCGGTGGATCTGTTGCCAGCCCAGCCTTGGGTTTTTTCCGGTTTTTTAACTGTACTGTTTCTTGCATTTGACATGTTCCTGTTTCTGTGCTTTGTATAGCAGCCACTTTTGTGTTTATTCAGAAAGATAAAGCAGAATGTAATAGCAAATACATAAAATAAATAAGATCTCTTTAATGCTGGTAAAAAGACAAGGAATCCCCAAAAGGGCTTTACAACATACCTCGTACTGCGTGATGAGGCCATTGGGCTCCACTGGTTCCTCCCATTTCAGAAAAATCATGTCCTCCAAGGGGGTGAATGTGAGGGACTCCGAAGCAATGCCTCCGGGGACTGAAACAAGGAAGGGTTTCGGGAAGAAAAGTGGTTGGGTGGGTGTCAAAATACAGTCTTGTTAAGACAGCTTTCCTTACAGCTCCTTAACTACAACAAGGGAATATCATGAACACAAACATTTCCCCAAACTGGCAATGTTTAAAGTTGCTCCCCACAGATGTACTGTTTTCACAGCCTAACAATTACATCAAGAAATATCATGGGGCACAACTGCACCCCCAAATGGGCAATGTTCCATTCCGAGTTCCATCCCAGCGCTCTGTTAAGCTTTCCATATGTTGGTCATTATATATTAATGAGGCAGTATTTAAATACACAGCCCCCAGTCCACCCAAGCATACACACACACCATCTGTTTGCTGAGACGGTATGTTCCTGGGAGGAATATACCATGGATCTTCCCCAGCATTGGAATCCAGCAGTCAGAACACCAAAGGGAGCCATGGAATGATGGCAAGATTCCACATGCACAAAGTGTGCTTAAGGATATAAGAAGAGCCCTGCTGGAACAGGTCAAAGGCTCATCTAGTCCAACATCCTGTTCTCACAGTGGTCAACTAGTATTCAAGGGCATACTGCCTTTGACAGTGAAGGTAGAACATAACCATTGTGGCTACTGAGAAATGATAGGCGTATCCTCCAACAACTTGTCTTGCATGCAGAGTCTGACATTCTTTGAAATGGGAGTCATTTTGGACTCACAGCTGTCCATGGAGGTGCAGGTCAATTCTGTGTCCAGGGCAGCTGTTTATCTGCTCCATCTGGTATGCAGGCTGAGACCCTACCTGCCAGCAGACTGTCTTGCCAGAGTGGCGCATGCTCTAGTTATCTCTCGCTTGGACTACTGCAATGTGCTCTATGTGGGGCTACCTTTGAAGGTGACCCGGAAACTACAAACAATCCAGAATGCGGCAGCTAGACTGGTAACTGGGAGCGGCCGCTGAGACCATATAACACCGGTCTTGAAAGACCTACACTGGCTCCCAGTACGTTTCCGAGCACAATTCAAAGTATTGGTGCTGACATTTAAAGCACTAAACGGCCTTGGTCCAGTATACCTGAAGGAGCGTCTCCACCCCCATCGTTCTGCCCGGACACTGAGGTCCAGCGCCGAGGGCCTTCTGGTGGTTCCCTCACTGCGAGAAGCCAAGTTACAGGGAACCAGGCAGAGGGCCTTCTTGGTGGTGGCACCTGCCCTGTGGAACACCCTCCCACCAGATGTCAAAGATAAAAACAACTACCAGATTTTTAGAAGACATCTGAAGGCAGCCCTGTTTAGGGAAGCTTTTAATGTTTAATAGGTTATTGTATTTTAATATTCCATTGGAAGCCGCCCAGAGTGGGCGGGGTATAAAAAAAATGTTGTTGTTGTTGTTGTTGTTGTTGTTGCAACATCCTGTGGCAAAGATAGGACCCATGTTTCCACACACACACACCATCTTCCAAGTACAACAGACAGGATCTCCCTTTGCCCCTGGAATTTATTGACTCAATAACCTTGCCAAGTAGGTTAGGCTGAGAGATGGTCACCTCAAAGTCACTCAGTGAGCTGTGGAGTTGAGCAGGCATTTGAACCCAAGTCCCACCACTCCTAGTCAGACACTAACCCAGGATAGCCAACACTCCATACATTGTAGGACTACAAGCCCCATCAACCCCAGCTATCACACCCAGTGGCCAGGGATGATTAGAGTTGTAGTCCAATATGGGCTAGCACTGCTCTACCCATTACATCACACAGGCTGTGGGAAAGTCATCTTGATCCAAGGAATGAAACTTCCCTGTCAACTTAGGTTGCAAACATAAATTTCAGCAGCCAGAGGAGGGAGAAATCACACCATTACCGAACTGTGTTTGCATAATCCAGAGCACTCTGGGTTGATCACTGCAGACTGAGCCCTCAATCCTCCACAAATTAGCACTCAGGCAAATACATGCCTGGTGAATCGGCAGGCGACTCTCGCTCATGTTTATTTTATGGGGACGGCTTAATTGCCTTTTGCTGAGCCAAGGCAGTCAACCCGCTAACTAAAGGCAAGACAGGAGAGGATGAGGAGAGATGAGAAGGAGGAGGCTGCATATCTGAGCAGTGTCAGGAAGGGTCTGATGAACGCAACCCCCAGTTGGATCCCAGCGCTCAGTTTTGTCCTGCTACACCAATTAGGTCAGACAGTGAGCTGCACAGCTCTGTGAAAGAGCATCTATCTTGAATGTTCAATTCCTGGCATCTCTGGATAAGGCTGGGAGTGTCCCCTACCAGTCAGTGTAGACAATACTGAGCTAGATGGACCCATTTTCTGATTTGGCAGGAGGAAGCTTCCTAGTGTGATCTAGACTGGGAATAAGGGACCTGTGCTGCCATCCAGATGTTTCAGGACTCCAGTTTCCTTCAGTCCCTGGCATGCCTAAGAGAGGATGTCTAAGAGAGAATGCAGCCCTCAGGCTGAAAAAGTCTCCACAACCTAAAGGAAGAAGGCAATGGAACAGGCAGCAGTGCCAGCAACAAGGAAAAGCTGGGTGAGCTCTAGAAGGGTTCCTGCAGTGTGTCTCTTGCCCAAGGGCCCCCAGAACCTGTAGCCAGGGCCACCACCCAAACTCAGCACTCTTGGACAGCTTTGAAAGTCCATGTGCTCTGGGCAAGGCCAATTACATGGATATTGTCCCTCACCCATTTCTCTGGCCCTGGCAGAGCCAACTGACAGTGGCGACTGAGCCTCAGAAGACAAGCTGCCACTGTGAATTTCTGACAGTGGTCTGGAGGGACACAACACCAACATGCAAACAGAGAGGAAGCTGTCTTACACTGAGCTCATCAAGTTCAGTATTGTCTACATTGACCAACATGGCTCTCCAGGTTTTCAGGCAGGGAGATGATCCCAGCGCTACCTGGAGATGCCAGGAATTGAACCTGGGACCTTCTACATGCAAGATGGGTATTCTAGCACTGAGCTATGGCCTTTACTCCCAAATGCATTGTGGGAAATGTAAAATGGCAGGCAGATTGCTATCGCCCTCTGTAGTTTGTAGTGTTTCTCTCTGCAGCTGGCAATCCTTCAGGGGTCGGTGATGGTGAAGGATGTTGGGAAGGGGGCTTCACAAGTAGCTAGCCCTCACTGTACCTTCTCTCAGATATTTTTGACATGGGCGTCAATCCATAATAATCAATTTGTTATCCCCCCCTCCCTTGTGAACCCAGTCCTGATGGTTCACACTAGCACCTGGCATTAGGCTTCTGCAAACACACCATTTTCTGCCAGGAAGGATGGAGTGTCTGCCATTTACTCAGGCCTGGAGCTTTCGTAACCAGCTGCTCCAACACCCACTGACGGGGGCCTTGCGTAAATCTCTAATCTCCAGGCAATTTGGCTGGATTAGTGGAGCCCTGTCATTCCCTCTAATTATCAACAACCCACAATAATAACAATGACAAACAACAAGCAAAAGAGCCATAACTAGGATCAATATTCACTGATTTAGCACAGATTCCCCCAGCCCGCCTTTCATTCCCCTTTCTCAAGGATGTCATTAAGGAGGAACAGACCAGGCAATTGCTTTGCAAAGATCACTATTCACAAACAGTATCATCTGCCACACAAGCTTTACAGCAGCCTCTAATTTTAGGCAGAATCGAGTGATTATATTCTCTTTAGGAGAAGGAAAAGCAGAAGGGGGAGAGAAAGAAGCAAAGCCCTTCGACTCCACAGACAGGGGCAGGGGCAAGGTACAAACAGCAGGATGGGGAAGTCCAAAAGCATTATTCAAAACCACCTCGGCAGAAACAGGCTTTAGGGGTTATGTGAATAATACTGTTTGCATTAAAGCTATAATTCACTTTATTGTGATCATGGGGGCTTTGTCAGACTCTGCGGTTGGATTGCAAAGGCTGGAGGTCTGTAATCTGTCTGCCGGAGCCAAGCTGAACAGTCCCTGGAAATGAAATATTATTCTTAATTTTATCTTTTTTTAAAAAGAAGTTAGGGTTGTGTGTTCTTTGGTCCAGTCTTAAATATTCCAGTTAAAAACATAAGAGCATAACAAGAGCCCTGCTGGATCGGTTCAATTGCCTCTCTAGTCCAGCACCCTGTTCTCCCAGTAGCCAACCAGATGCCCAGCAGAGGAATGCAAGCTGGGCATTGAGTGTCAACTGGTCTCTGCCCTCCTGAGATGGATTCCCAGCAATAGGTATTCGGAGGCATAACGCCTCTGACATTGGAGGTAAAACATAGCCATTGTGGCTAGCAGCTGTTAAGAGCAATGTCCTCCACAAATTTGTATAATCGACTTTGAAAGCCATGCATAAGAACAAGTCAAAGGAATAGGATTTGCGCAGACAGGCTAGTGAAAGAGGCTGGCCAACCATCCTCATTTATTTATTTGTTATTTTGAATTCATTGTTACATTTCTAGCCCAAAGAACAGTACATTCCTTCTATCTGAGATGGTCATTCTCTTCCACCAAGCACGCAACTTTGGGAAGGACTCACATGAAGCAGTGTGGGAGCCAATCAGATCATCTGAATTAAATCTGGTGATCAATGGGATGGCAGATCCTGCTATCTCCCTGGGATCTGAAATCTTGTGAACAGGGAGTGGATGGATCTTGTCTGCAATGTGCAAACATCTAACATGGTTCACAGCCTGCCATTCCACATCACTATACAAGGTCCCTGCTTGTAGTAGGATCCCCAGAACTTGTATGTCTCAAATGAGTGAGTAATTCATTTTGCCTCTAGGGCACACACATCTGAACACAATGGATTACTGAAGCACCTAAATGCATGTGCCTGAATACTAAATATAGAATATTCCTAAATAGAGAAACATTAGGAAGTTGCTTTCTACCAAGTGGGAAATATATAGGCCATTGGACTATATACAGTAGCTCTGTATTGTCTACACTGACTGGCAGTTCTCCTAGGTGTCAAAGTAGAGGTCTGTCTTGGTCCTACCTGGAGATGCCAGGGATGGAACCTGGGACGATGCTCCACCAATGAGCCTTTCCCTAAAGCATCATGCAGTGCAGCAGCACACAATGCACCTGCTGAGATGCATTTTGAACTGTTGATACCTACAGTGCAATGACACATTCCTAGGCTATCTCTAATTAAATTGGTTTTTCATCAATGGATGTCAGCTGGTTGCAAAATTAATGAATGCAAATATGGAGAAGGTAGAATCACACCTTTAACAAGGCATAAACACAGGGTGGTTTTTGAAAGTGATATTTGAAATATCTCAAAGTGATATTGGATGTGAGAATTGGGGTGTTGTAAATGTTTCCCTACATTAAAAAAAAAAGAGTCAGAAACAATCCAATGGTTTGGAACAGTTCATTGAAACTGTTGAGACAGTAGCAAGCTGGGAGGAAGAACTCTGTGTAGAACCCAGGCATTTAGAAGGACTGTATTCTCTCGCATGGACTTCCTGGGCTCTGAGATCTTTTGGGGAGTCTCTTCTCTCAGTCCTGCCACTCTTACAGGCACATATGTTGGGGGTGCAGGATTGGACCTTCTCAGTGGCTGCTCCCAGGCTTTGTTACTCCCCTCCTAGAGAGGCTAGACCAGATCCCTCCTTGTTGTTCTTCCACTGGCAGGTTTTTGCAAACTGACTGCTTTTAAGGAAAGGGCTCTTAAGTGTGTGTTTTTGTGTGTGTGTGTGTGTGTGTGTGTGTGTGTGTTGGTGTTGTTTACTATCTGCATTCTAACTGATACGTTTTAATTCTATAGAAAGTTTAATGGATTTTAAACTATAACCTTTTATATGTTCTTTAGCTATGTTTCTTTAATCTGTCTTTGTCTTCTGAACAAACAACAGCAACAACCCAGTTCCCAAATCCTCATTAGTGTTGTGACCATTGGGACCTTTGCTCTGCCTTAGGTACTACAGATAGGCATCGCCTACTTTCCACTTGATAACGGCACTCTAAATATCAATTGCTAATTTCTGCAGTGCTCTCGTAGATTGTATTATTTGGCGAGGTAAGGAGGACAAGCTAATCCACTGCAAAACAAGTAGGGGGGAATAAAAAGCAAAAGCCCACCATGCAAATAAAGCATTTCCACCTGATTTACAAGCTAATTTAATCCGAGGTGAGGTGCCCTACACAAAGCACTTATTAAATTATGGAAACCTTTGGGGCAGATATATGTATTTGCGCATGTAAACAGATGTGCAGTCTTCATCTGTGCTCACCACTATGCAAATGCTCCATTTTATTACAAGTGTCTGGGATGCACCTGAGGAATCAAATCCGAGAAGGCACAAAGGAAACAATTTTCAGGATATTCCACCTTGTTTGCATTACATGTAGAGGTTGGCACGGTGCACTACAAATACTGCTGTGCTTTGGCATCTTTTAAGTAGAAATAGAAGACTCCCCCCCCCCTTTTTTTAAAAAGGAGTTCCTAATCACCTTGCATTCTAGGAAAGCAACGCCATGGTATGTGATAGGATGCTCGCTAATTGTTGAGTGGCATTTGTTACTGTGTGGCTGATGATTTAGGCACTTCATTGGGGTGGTTTTAGTATTGTACAGATAAACCATTGTTCGCTGCTCTTATGCTTAAAGCCTTTTGTATTGTTTGTAGGTCACCCTGAGACTGGCTTGTAAAAGGCATCTGAGAAATGTTAATAAAAATAATACTTGGCAACTATGTCTGGATTCTAGAGCTTGTGCAAAACAGTGATTCAACCAAAAAGTCATGCAATTGACCCAGATAAACACTTTCATGCAATCCTCACCCCACCAAAACAAAAAAAACCCGAGGCTTTATTTCACTAATTCAGTTTGTTGATTCATCGGTGCTTATTTTGGCGTCAATGAGATTTCCAAAAATTGCAAATATAACTGAAAAGTCTCCGTGAGAATTGCTTCCAATTATACAGACATAAGATTATGTTCACACCCACACCACACATTTTAAGCACATTGAAACTAATTCAAAGCGACATGGTCCATTGTCGTCCCCAAGAATCCTGGGAACTGTAGTTTGTTAAAATGCTGGGGACTGTCGCTCTGTGAGGGGTAAACTACATTACCTAGAATTCTTCAGGGAATGGAATGTGCTTCAAATGTATACTGTGGGTGTGACCTATAATCAGACCTGGCCTTAACTCATGCAGCAGATACGGGGCGGGGGGTGTTATGGCAGCATCCCCCTGGTTGTATCCTTCAGCTGGAGAACAGATTTGTGTGTGCAATGCAGCCTGCCGCCCACACCCCTAACTAGCCTGCTGCCCTCAGGAGCAGTGAAAGTCACTTTCCCAAGATTGAAATAAGATTCCATTGCCATTCTTCATTGGCTTCTGTACTTGACCCCTGTACTTAGGACCTGGAAGGTGCAAGGGAGGGAGAAGAAAACAGCTTTGGCATGTCCTCAGTTTGGACTAAATGAGTAATCTACATTGTACTCTGCTTGCAGCAGTGAAGTCTCTAATCAGGTGAGCTGCTGTGACGTCACAGACAATGGCAGAGCAAGCCGATCGGGCGCTAGGGGCAGGGCCAGCTGCCCACAGGGGTGGGGCTGTTGGAAAAATGCTCTGGGGAAAATTGAGACACCCCCCCCCCGGACCTCTGAGCGTCTCCCGGTAGGCACATCTCTGGAATGACATGTCCCTTCATCTCCAGAGTGCCTTTCTGTGACACTTTTCATCTGAAAACTGCACACAAGTCTTCTAGCATCACCCAGCAAGAAGAAAGAAACATCTGTAGATCTAAACTACATTTTATTTAGATTCTATACAGACAATCCGTAATCACGTCTGTGTTCTCTAAGCTCTGGCAGAACAACAAATCTTGCATACTGCAAAAGTGAAAGTACAGTTACAATAACACGCTCAGATGGAAGAGATAGGACAGTCTTCTGTTCCCACACTCTTCTCAGACATCTCATGTGATTTATACTAATCACACCAGCAGCATCAGGGCAAGATGGGGCAGGACGCTCCACGGGGCCTCCGCGGGGCCTCTGCCCTACAGCTGAGGGGGAGGCGGCAGGCGGACCATAGGGGCAGCGTGGAGCCTGCGGGTGCCCAAGCCACCGCGTCACTCCCACGCCCTGCAGTGAGTGCCACCTGGCATTTTGTCACACCCCTCAGTGGTGACACCTGGGGCTAACCGCCCCTACCACACACACCCTTCCTCCACCCCTGGTCACAGAATGCCAACAAAAAGCAATTCCACTTCTCACCACTGCCTGCAGATCTCTGTTGTCTTCCTTAAAGGTGCCTTGAAACCCCCCCCCCCCCCCGCAATCCGTCACCTTCCAGCTGTAAACACTAAGAAAGACACAGGGCCTACAAAGGGATGTAGGCTGGGACTGTCTGCTGTGTCAGAATGGTAAATTCAATGGAAGAAGAGCCACTCGCCCCTGGAAAGCTCCCATCTGCTTGGGAGGATCGGTCTGGGCAGCAGAGGTCTGCCTGCTAATGAACCGTTCCATCTCCTAATGGGAAATGCTTCCATTATTTAATGTTTTGGAACAACCTTTGAGGGCTCAAATGACAGCAGCGCTGCCTCTTTTTTTATCCGTATCATTGATCTCTGTAGGAAGCGAATAACTCAGAAAGGGGTTGGCCTGAGAGCAGCTCAAGCTTTTGAGCTGCCCTGCTGGCACGCACACAAAATTTTACAAAGTTTCCTGCAGCTGGCAGCCAGTTTGATGATGAAAGGGTCAATCTTACAGGGAAGGAAGCTCAGAGGAGCCTTACCCAGAAGGAAAGGGGTACTCGTTTCAGGCACCCCACAGACTCTCTGGGAAAAAAAGCTTGCTCTTTGTCTCTGGTTTTGCTTTGCAATTACTGGTGGAGCAGTGCTCCTTTGCCAATACATACATGGCCCCCAGAGAAGGAGGATACCCTACACAACTGACATCTTCCACTCCCCAACACCCCATTGGGGTTATATGGATCCCCTATGAAGAAAAGTTACAGCATTTGGGACTTTTTAATTGAGAGACAATTTTTAAAAAAATGTGAAACACACCCATGGATTTAAAATAATTAGAAGCTAAGGAATGAGCTGGTTTTCTTTCAATACATATCACTGCCAATAGGGTATAATCTACAAGAGAAGATTGTGTCACCAGCCTCGACACCACCACTGTCATCACTGGACCTATCATTCCATCTAAAAGTGTGCACGGGTGGTACCATAAGAATTTTTACCAAAATTTGGAATTAAGACGGAGGTTTCAATGTGTTTAGGAGAACCCACAATGTTTGAAGAGACAGAAAAATTATTTGTGAGATGGAAAAAAGGGGGCAAAAATTCAACTCCAACACAAAACCCCAGGGTAGCCCAATAACGACTAAGCTTCCTCACTGCCCATGGAATGCTAACAATGTTGGAGGTTGGGACGAAAAGCTGAGAGGGGAATGGAATATTCTGGGCAAGGACATGATTTATTGGCTAAATTCCTGAACAGGAGCACTTCACAGTGCAATATGTTTTTGCAGGTCACATTTCTGTGTATGCAATAAACACCAGCTCCACTGTTCCAGTTCATCCGATATAGTTGTTGATGTTTTTCTACAGAAGCTCATACCATATTGGCATACTCTGGGTAGATGGTGCTGCTTTTGAAACATTTGAAACCATTTGTGTGTCCAACCGCCTGCAGTAAGGACACCCCTGGGAGCTGCAAGTGGCTGAGGTTCCTGGGCACTTGATTGCCACGTATTCAGGCAAGCAAATGTCCTTCAAATGTTACAGAACAGATGAGGTCAACTTATGGCAGAACGATGCAAATGCATATTCTGCTGTAATGTGTCAAAGAGTCTTCTGTGCAGGCACAATTGTGTAGAAGTAAGAGAAATAGCAACCAGCCTAATTTGGTTGCTGGAGTCATAATCACAGAATTTGAAGACTGAAAAAATGACAACAGAGTACATCACTTTGCCTGCACTTTAGCAGTCCTAATTATATATATATATCAACAAAACAGGGGTGTTTTAATAGCCTCCTCCCCACCTTCAGATCAAAACTACTTTTCCATCTGATTGTTTTTAACATGAAAAAGATTTAACCAACCTACAAAAACATGAATTTCTAATGAACACTCCAGGACAAAAGCAATATATCAGAGAAAAAGCTTCATAAAGCAGTCCTGGGCAGATTCAGATAGCCACATTAGATAAATTGGATAGGCAAATAATTGAAACAGACATGTACAATTTTCAGTATCACCCTGCTCAGACAAAGATGTATCGATCCCCCGAGAAGCATAGACAGCACACTATATTAGACATCATATTCAACTCAAAGGATAAGAAGAAAGTCTTGTTAATCAGAAAAGCAGCTGGAGCGCTTACAGTACAGCAAAAAGCACAGCTGGAGTAACTGTATGCGGGCACAAGAAGAAAACAGCTGGAGCAATTATCGTGTGGTTAAAAGCAGCAGGGGAAATTGCAAGTTGAGAAAAATAGGTTAGGAATGCAGAGCTGGACACAAGGAAATTGGAGAGACTCAGCCTTTGCCTTTGAAGGAAGGGTTGCTCTCCTTCCTTTGGAAATGAAAAAGGCTAATCGTTAACACCTACTTTGATATTAGTTAGGACTATCAGGTGAACATTTGGTTATCCCGACAGTCATTCCTGGACAGGGATAGCCTAGCCACAGTTACCCACACATTGGTAACCTCACACACTGGTTACTGTAATGTACTCTAGATGGGGCTGCCATTATTCTTGGTCCAGGAGCTGCAGCCAGTGCAGAATGCTGCAACTAGGTTGCTGTTGAGTGGTACACCTAGCCCTGGACGTGCAACACCTTTGAAGAAGGACCTCCACTGGCTGCCAATTTGCCAGGATTGAGGTTTTTGTTGATGGATCTCAACCAAAACTCTCTGCTACCGGCTGCTTAGTCTGTGTTGTCCAGGATGACAACTCAGGAACATAACTTGAGATTCAAACTCTACAAACCAACCTCTGAACTCCAACACCAAACTACTGTGTCATGCTGCTTATAAGGGAAAACGTTTAGCCAATCACCACCTCTTGCTAGACTTCCCTATCTCCAAGCAAACTTTCTCACGCACTCTTGCTTCACTTGGCTTCTTGCCAACTCACTAATTGTCCACTTCAAAGCCGCAGTTTCTCACAAACCTCAACAGTTTTATCCTTAATTTGTAAGTGGTTTGGGAGAAGGCCACCTGAAAGACCATCTTCTTCCATATTGACCCATCCAGTCACTGTGCTCATCTTCAGAGGACATCTTGGTTGTACTACCACTTGGTGATGTCCGTCTGGCAACAACCAATGAGAGGGCCTTTTCTGTGATGGCAACCCACACTTTGGAATAGCCTCCTTCCAGACATAATGCACTGCATACACTAACATCCTCACAATTCTCAAGTATGCCAAAAACCTTTTCATTTACATTAACTTTTCTTTGTTTCTGAACAAAGCCCCATGGTAGCTTTTAAGCATATTTGGACTACCTGGTCATATTCTGATTTGAATTACAGTGAATCATCAACAGAAGTATCATGTCCCGACTAAGAGAAGTAATAGTACCACTCTATTCTGCCCTGGTCAGACCATACCTGGAATACAGTGTCCAATTCTGGGTGCCACAATTTTAAGAAGGATGTTGACAAGCTGGAATGTGTGCAGAGGAGGGCAACCAAGATGATCAAGGGTCTGGAAACCAAGCCTTACAAGGAATGCTTGAAGGAGCTGGGTATGTTTAGCCTGGAAAAGAGGAGACTGAGAGGATAAAGGTAAAGGGACCCCTGACCATTAGGTCCAGTCGTGGCCGACTCTGGGGTTGCGGTGCTCATCTCGTTTTATTGGCCGAGGGAGCTGGCATACAGCTTCTGGGTCATGTGGCCAGCATGACTAAGCCGCTTCTGGCGAACCAGAGCAGCGCACGGAAACGCCATTTACCTTCCCACTGGAGCGGTACCTGTTTATCTACTTGCACTTTGACGTGCTTTTGAACTGGTAGGTTGGCAGGAGCAGGGACCAAGCAACGGGAGCTTACCCCGTCACGGGGATTCGAACCGCCGACCTTTTGATCGGCAAGTCCTAGGCTCTGTGGTTTAACCCACAGCGCCACCCATGTCCATCTTCAAATATCTTAAGGGCTGCCACATGGAAGAGGGAGCATGCTTGTTTTCTCCCGCTCTTGAAGGGAGGACTCAAGACAATGGCTTCAAGTTACAAGAAAGGAGATTCCAACTAAACATTCAGAAAAAACTTTCTGACAGTAAGAGCTGTTCGGCAGTAGAACAGACTCCCACGAGAAGTGATGGACTCTCCTTCCTTGGAGGTTTTTAAGCAGAGGTTGGATGGCCATCAGTCATGGATGCTTTAGCTGAGATTCCTGCACTGCAGGGGGTTGGACTAGATGACCCTTGGCTCCCTTCCAACTATGATTCTATGAATATTTGGTGTTTGTTCATATATATATATATATATATATATATATATATATAAGCATTGTATTTCCCTTGGAGGTGCTCACATAACAGGAGATAAATATTTCAACAAACAAAAATAGAAAAAAAAACAATTTCAACTAATCAGAATATTATATCTAATATATAAACCAGGTTTTCCTTAATGATGTTGCAGTAGTTTTCTGTGCATCCATGAAGACTAAATCTCCATCCTAATTTTAGCTAATTAATTGTTTTTTTCCAGTCAATTAATTGTAAAAGTAATGGGTTAAATTTGTAAAGTTTGCCTGTAAGGAAAACAACTGTTCTTAAGTTGTCTGTTGAACCTTGCCTTCATTTATACAGCTATTAAAGTCTCCTATGCAACTTTTATTCCCTCCCCACCGTTGTTCTAGAACAATCTTCGACAATGTTCACGGCTAACTTTCAAGGCTGCCTGTACACTCTGCTGGTGCATGAGCTATCCACAGAGCCAGAGCAGTTACACAGGGATTTGGTGACACTGAAATTAAGCCCACTAATATCCTCCACCCAATTGAGTCTTCAACAGGAACAAGCTCCTTCAGGTTAATTGCAAATACTTGAAGCTTAAGAGAAGGAGAGGAAAAAAATGATGACAAAATTGGGGAGATTAATTACAATGTAACCCGGAGCTGTAAAGTCTTATGATAAAACTCTGGATGAGAAACTAAACAATTTCCCCTTGATTAATGTTGGTATTTACTCTGAACTTGTAAAGTGGAGTTAATTGCAAATTATGGGTGGAACACACAAGGTCTATGTACTTCCCTGCGGAAGCGTCTTTACATAGTGAGCATTTGGTCTTCCTATCCAGAGCAGTGCTTGAATATTCAGTGCTAGCAAAATGCACATTATTATGATGAGCAGTGGCAGAGAGAGAGAGAGAGGCCCTGTGCTTGGGTTCTCTATCAACAGCTACTGGGCATGAGGGCTATGTTCTACCAGTTGTTGGCTACTGGTTGTGGACACAGCAGGAGAGGGGAGTTCTCTTGTGGTCAGGTCCTATTTGCAGGTCCCCCATGGGCATTTGGGTGGCCACTGTGAGTCCAGGATGCTGGACAAGAAGGGTCATTGGTCTGGTGGACGTGCAAGATAACAAAAGCATTCTGGGAGATGATATATAATGAGTTGGGGGGGAAATGTTTGAAATAATATTTGTGGGGGAAAACAGAGGCTTTTTAATTAGGAATTTTAGGTGCAGGATGTCAGGGAACTGCCATCGGAGCTAGAGGCGGAGGGAAGGCTCCAGAGGGATGGCGGAGAGGGTCCCAGTAGGGAGAGAGGCAGCCCGTCCGCTGGGGAAGGAAATCAGCGTAACACCAGTAGAGAAGGGGGGCAGATGGGGGAATCGGAGAGGAGGCTCCAAGACTCCTCGCCGGAGACCAGCGGAGAGAGTACGGGTACTCCGCTGCCCACACCCTGTCTGCGCAGAAGACTTCGGCGCAGGGAGAGTAGGAGGAGACTTGGCGTCAAAGAACTTTTGTGCTGGAAGAAGTTCAAGAAACGCCCACTGACGGATTCTGCCAGTGACTGAGACAGTCACGATGCTGGAGGCTGTTCAGTCAGAAAGGGTTTAACCAGGAGTGGCGGCAACTTACGCACGAGCAACCCCTAAATCCATTACACAGAGATACCAAAGGAGCAGAAACGGTTATTTACGTATGCGATGACAGCAGCACAGATACTACTGGCCCAGAGATAAAGTCCCGACCAGAGACGAATGGCTGATGAAGATGATGGGCTACACCAAAATGGCAAAAAAGACCAGGAAAATCAGAAACCAGGAAGAGAGGAACTTTAAGAAGGAATGGGAAAAATTCACAATGTACTTAAGAGAACACTTTAAACAACTAAACACTTTGGCAGGATTTGAGTAACGCTTGTAATGTACTAAAAACTAAGGCAAAAAATGGATTATTTAATAGAGAAAATATGTGAAGCAGTTGAAAAAGATTGAAAATGGTAACTTTGGAAGGGTGGAGGGGAGTCTAAGGATTCAGGGAATCCTAAATGATGGTGTTTAATGTTGGAATTTAAATGTGCAATGTAAAACTCAATAAAAAAAGATTAGAAATAATGGGTCATTGGTCTGATCTGGCAGGGCTCTTCTTAAGTTGTTTTGGCTGTAAGCCAGACCATCCCACCCTCAGCAGTGGAAAGCAGGCCCCTCCCCTGTTGCAGCGATATCACCAAAGTACAGCATTGGAGGAGGGAACACAACACACTGGGGACAGAACACACACTCTGCATGCAGAGCTTTCCTGATTAAATCCCTTCAATATCCACTTTGTAAAGGATCAGGTTGCTGGTGTGGGAAAGATCGAGAAACATTACATAGGAATGTTCTGCCAAGGCCCCAGAAGAGCCATTGCTAATCTGAGTAGAAAATATTGGGCTAGTTATGTCAGTGATCTGGAGGAATCCTTTGTCCCTATGCACTTCTGCACAAAGGATTAGATGTGAGAAAAAGAAAGTGCCAGATTCAACCAATAAGTCCTACCAGAAGAAGCCCACACAAGGACTTCTGCTAGCAAAATGGGTTTTTTCCTCCTCTCCCCGCACCTTGAGCCCCACAAACTGGCTTGTGGGGTTTTGAGAACCCCTGGAACAGTACACAAGGGGAAGTGGGGGGACAGACGGTTGCATCAGTCAAGCAGAAATGTTTACATCATGGGTAGGCAAACTAAGGTCCGGGAGCTGGATCCAGCCCAATCGCCTTCTAAATTCAGCCTGCGGATGGTCCAGGAATCAGCGTGTTTTTATATGAGTAGAATGTGTGCTTTTATTTAAAATGCATCTCTGGATTATTTGTGGGACATAGGAATTCGTTCTTTTTTTTCCCAAAATACAGTCCGGCCCCCCCACAAGGTCTGAAAGACAGTGGACCGGCCCCCTGCTGAAAAAGTTTGCTGACCCCTGGCTTACACTAATGGAGCAATATGCTTAGTGTTATTCTGAATTCCTCTCCCACCCAAGCAGGATATTTTCCAGAGACACCATTGGCGTGGTGAAGGGGCGAACCTCTGGCCCTTCAAATCTTACTAGATTTCAATTCAATCAGCCGGCTTGGTCAAGCCGCGTTCAGTAGCAAGACTTCTAACCAGGTTTTTCTCCTCCTTTCCAGAGAATGAGACAAAATAGCAGCAAGAAATCTGCCTTCGTTCTGCTCGTTCTTCGGTTGCACTTCGTTTTCTCTACATTTCAATCCCCAATATATCCCAGGGAAAGCTTGCTTGTAGATCTTGTGCCTGACTTTTCTCTCTTCCATCTAGCCCACTCTATTTCCTCACTTTCCTCTTTCCAAGTAAACTGAACCTTTGTGTTCTGGCACTAAATTTGGGTAACCTCCAATTGACTCTTCCTGTCAGGCTTCTGTGCATCCATCTCCCATCTCCTGGCTTATTTGAAAGTGGAGAGGCATAATGTGGCCAGCTTTATCCAGAACACTGCTCATTTTATTGCTAGCATCTTTCTTGTTGATGTCACTGTCATCACCAGGTCTTTGTTGGTTGGTATGTTTCCTAGCTCTGTGGCCAGTTAGGGGCTTGATGCTAGGCAGATTTAATGCTTCTTTAATGTTGGTATTTCACATAACAATGGGGGGGGGACACAAATAATAGAAAGCAAATTTCATTTTCAACTATGTAATTATATGGGTGAAGATCATACATAAAGTTGTATGCCGTCTTGATGTTTTGTATTCCAGTAAGTCACAAATGGTTTATAAATGTGTTCATTCTTTTCAATGAATTTATCTGATGCATGTCCTTCTTCACATTGTTTTACTAATGCATATATCTTTTTTATGTGGTCAGGGATAAATCCCCTTTTTGTCACATACAGAGGGAGAGAACGAAAGAGAGCTGACAGGAGAGCATGAGTTAGAGATCAGTTAAATCCCCCATCATCTTGATTCAGAATATGCTTGTTCTTTTCCAGCTTTTTCAGATAATTCTCAGGGAAAACTCAAGGTGTTTCCAAAGAGTTCTCTAGTTTTGTGGAGATGTTCATCAGCTGTAGAACATCTGCCTTGAATTGCATTGCAGAGAAGGTCCCAGTTTCAATCCCTGGTATCTTCAGGTAGGGCTAGAAAAAGGACCTGCCTGAAATCCTAGACAGCCACTGACAGTCAGTGTAGATCCGTGTTTTCCAAACTTGGGCCTCCAGCTGTTTTTGAACTACAACTCCCATCATCCCTATCTATCAGGACCAGTGGTCATGGATGATGGGAAGTGTAGTCCTAAAACAGCTGGAGAAGCAAGTTTGGAAAACACTGGTGTAGACAATACTGAGCTGGATGGGCCAATGGGTCTGACTCAGTAGAAGTGCCCATTCCAAATGTTTCTCCACTTTCCACTGGCCTCCATTTTCCGCAGACTTTTCTAAGTATAGCTGGTTTCCTCTTCCTCTCCTTTTGCAAGTCATCTGCTTCTCTTTCCCCCAAAACCATGACAGAGGTGGGGAGAGGTGACAGGAAGAAGTTGCTTCTCCCACCCTCCTTAAGCCCTAAAGACTTGCCAACGTCAACAGTGAATTTCCAACACCAGAACTCCAGTAACCAGAGACCACACGTACACTATACATTTAAAGCACCAAGACACTGCTTGAAACAGTCATGGGCTTCCCCAAAGAATTCTGGAAGCTGCAGTTTGTTAAGGGTGCTGAAAGCTGTTAAGAGGTCTCTATTCCTCTCCTAGAGATACAATTCCCAGAGTTCCCTGTGAGAAGGAATTGATTGTTAAATTACCGTAGGAATAGGGCCGGTGGCCCCTTCTCTGCTGCCTTAAATATTACTTAGCTTGAGGGACAAATCATTCTGCACCAGATATAAGGCAGATTATATGAATTATGGTGCTGGAGGAGACTCTTGAGAGTCCCATGGACTGCAAGAAGATCAAACCTATCCATTCTGAAGGAAATCAGCCCTGGGTGCTCACTGGAAGGACAGATCGTGAAGCTGAGGCTCCAATACTTTGGCCACCTCATGAGAAGAGAAGACTCCCTGGAAAAGACCCTGATGTTGGGAAAGATGGAGGGCACAAGGAGAAGGGGACGACAGAGGACCAGATGGTTGGAGAGTGTTCTCAAGGCTACCAGCATGAGTTTGACCAAGCTGCAGGAGGCAGTGGAAGACAGAAGTGCCTGGCGTGCTCTGGTCCATGGGGTCATGAAGAGTCAGACACGACTAAACGACAACAAATTATGAAAAGGCAGAATGGCTAAATAGTGTTAAGGAAGAGCTTCATGCTCATGTGGTTATGGCCTTGACACAAGTATTTCACACACATCCTTCTTACACAAAAGACTTAAAGCAAGGATGAGGAAACTGTGAGCTTCCAGATGTTGTTGGACTCCAACTCCCATCAGTCACAGCAAGCGCAGCCAACAGACAGCAATGATGGATGTTGTACTTCGAACCATCTGGAGAGCCGCAGGTTCCACATCCCCGGCTTAGAGTTAAATGCTCCATAGAGACCAAATTCATTTTCACTTCAGTCATGTACTCAAATACAATGACAGGTTAGGACCGAGGAGACTTACATTTCAGGTTCTAGACATGATGCACTGTATAAAAAGGCCCATATTCTGCTTTTGGGTGATAAGATGTGGCATGAATGTGATGAAAAGCTTTGTTCTCCAGGCCTGATCTTTGATGGAAGTGGCTTTTTCAGTCCTCGTACAAAGAGTACAATGTTTAATAGCTAACATTTTTATAGAATGGGTTAACCTCGCATTCCTGTCCAGATCTCAGCTATCAGCATAGTAAGGTTTCTAGGGGTGCTCTCCCTATAATTCTCTCTGAATCACCCTTTACAAGTAATTCTTCCGGAAAACATTATAAGTTAAATGGACCTTTCACAGTGGCCTGGCGTAACGCCCAGGATTTTAATATTTTTAACAACAACAGCAGTGATGAAGAAACAACAGTTAAATTAATACCTTTCAAGAAGTCATTTATATTAGGATAAATTGACTGGTGAATTTACTTGGGGGAAAATAGCAAAATGATGCAGGAATGTGAAGGTGTGGGAAGCTGAAGAACTGAACCTCAGATTGGAAAATGAGAAGCTGAAATGGACAGGTTTTGGCTATCGCTACAGGTGGCCTAAACTCCTGGTAGACAAGTATTATCTAAATCTGATGCCTTGATGACCCTTGGCATGTATTGATTTGCATGTGTGCACATAAGTAACACATAAAAACTTCTTTTAAAAAAACAACAACCTGCCAATCAAGTGCCATGACCCAGTTAGCATCAGAAGAACTGGGAAATTATCTTTCCTGATACGAGACAGCACTTATCCAGGTCAGAGACGTACTGAGACATCTACAGAGAGCAGACATCAGAGGCAGACTGCCCCCTCGGCCCTTTGTCACCATTAATATCTACCTCACGGAGGTGTTGTGAGCCTTAATTAATTGGTGTTTGAGATCCACAGATGAAAGGTGCTGACTGAGAACAAGGTAATAATTAGAGTAATTGTTGTTATTGTTATTAAGCTTTGATATGCTTACACAAAAAAAGATGAAAGGAAAATGGTCTGTTCTGAAAGGAAGCCCCGGTAATGAAATTCTCCAAAAATAGAAAAGCTAAAGGAGGGAATTTAACACCCACTACTGCCTTACATTTATTCTCAAGCCTGATCTGCACACAGGAGCAAGAGGAAATGGTAGACTCTTGAAGAGTGGACTGCATTACTGCAGATGAAGAGTGCCCTTTCTTCAATACCACCCATGACAAAACTAATTGCTAAGTAGAATAAAAAAAACCTAGCTCCTATTGAGGAAATTAACTATACCCTACTATACTGGCTTTCTACTTGCAAAGAGGGTGGTTCTCCCATCCCTCCATCTGTCTATCTAAAATGCATGGCTCTTCTCCACCAGATTCATTATTTAACCCATAGCTGTCAACTTTTCCCTTTTCTTGCGAGGAATCCTATTCGGAATAAGGGAATTTCCGTTTAAAAAAGGGAAACGTTGCCAGCTATGATTTAACCTAAATCCCTTCCAGTGGAGGTCTCAGCTTGGCTCCTTCTTTGTTGAGCTTCCAGCACCTAATGAACACTTCTTTTAAAAATTCCAGCAGACATTTTAAGTGAGCTTCAATTTTAAAGTTTTAACAGATTTTTACCTTCTTCTTTTTCTGTATTTAATTTCTTGTACACCACTTAGAGATGATTGTAGTTAAGCAGTATATAAATGATTAAAATAAAGTAAATCAATAACACTGCAGTTCCACCTGTTCCATAACCCAACATGGTGGGGTTTGTTCTCCTTTGCTGGGATTCCAGCACCTCATTCCCTCCTCATTCTGCTGCATGTACGGATCAGGCCTCAGTGAGCTCTGGAAAAGCAGACAACCTGGGCCTATCTGCCGCTTTCCAGCATTTGCCACCTCTTCTAGTTTCTTCTATATGCCTGTTGTCTTTGTCCATGGAGTTTTCTTGGCAGGGATACTGGAGTGGCTTGCCGGTTCCTGCTCCAGGTGGATCACATTTGGTCAAAACTCTCCACTATGACCTGTCCATCTTGGGTGGCCCTGCATGGCATAGCTCATAGCTTCTCTGAGTTATTCAAGCCCCTTTGCCACGGCAAGGCAGTGATCTATGGACTGCAAGAAGATGAAACCTCTCCATTCTTAAGGAAATCAGCCCTGAGTGCTCACTGGAAGGACAGATCCTGAAGCTGAGGCTCCAATACTTTGGCCACCTCATGAGAAGAGAAGACTCCCTGGAAAAGACCCTGATGTTGGGAAAGATGGAGGGCACAAGGAGAAGGGGACGACAGAGGACGAGATGGTTGGACAGTGTTCTCGAAGCTACCAGCATGAGTTTGACCAAACTGCGGGAGGCAGTGGAAGACAGAAGTGCCTGGCGTGCTCTGGTCCATGGGGTCACGAAGAGTCGGACACGACTAAATGACTAAACAACAACTAGTTTCTTTATTTCCATGTCTGGGAGCAGAGGTCCACAACCCCCCCCCCCCCATGAGCAAGTGGGCCCCCAAATACAACACACCTGACTTACCACATTTTGAGCAAAGCAAAGTAATAGGCATAAGCCCAAAGTCTAAAAATACCAAGCCACACTACTGAATTTAAGTCAGGATGTGAATTATCAGAAGAAAACCAAGGGGATGCCATTTCCTCCAAGCTTTCCACACCATTCCTATCCCTTCCTTTCTCTCCTCTCACTCAGACCAGCTGTCACATTGAGACAGGCATTCAATCAGTTTAAGTGAACTGTCCCAGATGGTCATTACTGCAACTTTAAGTACTGGGCCTTGAACTTGCTTTTACCCTCTTCCCTCCACATCCCCTTTTCCTTGCACACCATGGCTTTTCAACAGTAAACATGGGAGCAGGAACTGTCTAGCTACTGATCTTGTAAGCTGCTCTGGGAGCCGTTTTGGCTAATGTGCAGGGTGAAAATGCTTTAAATTAATGAAATCCCCACAAGCATTCTTGTATCCCAGCCCCATTCCTACCTTTAGATGCTACAATAAACCTAAGATAAGAAAGAAAAGCAGGACAGGAAGGAGTAAAGAACACCGATCAGCTGGTCTCATGCATGTATAAATAAGTCCCATTGGTAACCATGGTAACAGTACAGAATTGCTGTCCTGCACCACAGCAGCATCCCATATTTCTACAGTTTCTTATCAATGAGCTCTCCTGGAATTTGCTAAATGCAGACACATGCAATATAGAACTGATGTTTTAAAACAGGGATGAAGGTTCTGTGGCTCTCCAGAGGTTGACTACAACTCCCATCATCCCACGTAATGCTAACTGGAGCTGATGGGAGTCGGGGTCCAGCAACATCTGGGAGGGCCTCAGGTTCTTCATCCTGAGTTTAAAGTCCACATACAAGTCTGACGTTTGGACAAAAACCACCCAACTCTGAAAACTGAACATACAAAAATTCCCATTTACTTTGCAGTACCTCTTGCATACCTTTTTCTTCCTTCCCTCCCTTCCTCTCTCCCAGCCTTCCATTCTATTGCATTTCCCCTTCCTTCAAAATATTTATACCATGTTCCATCTACTATGTTAGAGGTGGCTCACAACACCATTGTGTGTGTGTGTGTGTGTGTGTGTGTGTGTACACAAACACACATATGTGCCAGTTATCCATGAGAGGTTGTAGGACAATATTGCTAGGACAAAGGTTCTATCACACATGCCACAATCCTGCAAATGAATCATACATCTCACCATCATGTAAAGCCTATAAGCATGTCCAGGTGCTTGCCTAATCACACACACTTTATTATTTGTGGGTAGGTATGAAGGGTGGGCTTTACTCATGAGAAGAACCCTCTGCATAAATGAGGACTCAGCTAAAGTCCCCTACAGGCCATCCCAGCTCAAATGGAGGGCTGGGAAAGAGCTTGTGTGTGCTCCTCCATCTCCCATCCTTTGCAACAGCGTTCACATGTTCACACAAACGTCTCCACACATCTTAATGCCATCCATCAGTTAGGAGATTGGTGCTGAAACATTACTTTCCCAAAATGATGGAGAAGTTGCTCTTGAGAGGGATGAGCCTCCTTCTGCTTAGCAATAAACTCATGTTTATCCATCTGATGGCATTGAGGTTGCTTCAGGAGCTGTACACACCTCCAGGCATGCTTCCATCCAGCCCTCTCTTCCTTAAAGCTTTACTTGGCCATCATTCCTGAACAGGAAATCTCCTCCAGTGTAGGAAGCACAGGGCCACAGCTACTAGCCCTGCCCACAACATCCATGGCTGCACCCACTAAGTCCCCAACCTTCCCATGTTGAGCAGAGGAAATTTAAAGGGAAAATTCTGCTTGCATTCAAGGAAACTTGGGTAAAAGTCCCACCACACCCCGTAGGTCTTTTCTGCTCAACATGGGAAGGTCAAGAACTGAGTAGGCAAAGCTGATGTGCTTGGGGGTGTTAATGGGTGGGTCTTATGTTAATTCCCCTTCCCATGGTTTAACTAAAGGATGGAGGGGAACTGTAGTCATTCAGATATTCTAGGACTACAGCTCCCTTCACCCTTGATCACTGGCCATTCTGGGTGAGGCTGATGGGAATCGGAAATGACATCTGATAAGCTGTTCTCCTTTGTGTCCCTTACTGAAAACAGTTTCTGGATCCCGGAGGACAAATCTCTCTCCCCTGCCCACCCACGGAAGATACAAGACTCACCATCTTCATCTGTCTGAAATATCATCTCTTTCCCTTCTTTCCGCCCCTCGGGGTTGGAGAGGATAAGCTTGACGTGGATGTTTTTGTAGGGGAGGAGGTTCTTGATGGTGTAGCGGTTGGCATTGCGCTCCATCTTCACGCACTCCCGGAACGTCTGGTTGTGGCCAGTGCCCACGGCATAGCGATAGCAGAGCGTGACGGTATAAGTGTGACATCGTGTCAGGTTGTAGCCCAGAGGTTCCCACTGAAGGGTCAGCTGCCTGGACTGGATCTCAGCAAACGCGAGGCCCTTGGGAGCCCTCATGGGTTCTGCCAGAGAAAACAGAGGGAGAAGTGAATGAATCGATGGCACGAGAAAACACCACAGATCCTGGGAAGCCAGTCACTGGCAGACAACAGGGGCAGGGCCATAGCCCAGGAACAGAATGTCTGCTTTGCATGAATGGCGTCTCAGGCTCAATCCCTCACATTTCTAATTCCAAAACCTTCTCTTTTTAGTAGACATCTTTCCCCATCTCTATAGGCATTGTTTTCTGATTACCGTATTTTTTGCTCTATAAGACTCACTTTTTCCCTTCTAAAAAGTAAGGGGAAATGTGTGTGCATCTTATGGAGCGAATGCAGGCTGCGCAGCTATCCCAGAAGCCAGAACAGCAAGAGGGATTGCTGCTTTCACTGCGTAGCGATCCCTCTTGCTGTTCTGGCCTCTGAGATTCAGAATTTTTTTTTTCTTGTTTTCCTCCTCCAAAAACTAGGTGCGTCTTGTGGTCTGGTGCATCTTATAAAGTGAAAAATACGGTATTTTTAATTGTTGGCAAAGAGCCTCCTGACAAGATTTTCTGTGGCAAAGGCTGCTCCTGCAAAAGAAGCCAGAGTGCTTTAGAGAGACACTTCAATCTAGGGAGGTGTCTTATCCACAGAGTGGCAGCCAGTCCCTCTGCCTGTCCCACTGCTCTCATCACTAGCAGAGAATTAGCACCAGCATCAGTGCTAATTTTGGGTGAGGTGTCGCTAGCGCCAATTCTCTGCCAGTGGTGTAGGTAGCAGCACAGGCAACATGCCCACGTGGGCACTTCCTCAAGGGCCTGCTTCCTGAGGCAGCTGCTTCACCTTGCCTCGTGGTTGGGCCTGGCCTGTACGCACAGGATTCTGTGAAGGAGAAAACAAACGTGGCTGCAGTAAGAAAACAACCCACACCAACTGCGGAAGCACATATCGTTTTGATGCCTCTGACCATCTCTATTCCCAGTGGCCAACCTTGGGGCCTCCAATTTCAGCAGTGCCCTGTGTGATGGCAAAATTCAGCGCCGCCCCCGCCTCTCACCATTCCATTCTACATCATAGTTGTGGCGCCCCCAAGGCTTTGCACCCAGTGTCCCATAAATCCACCTCTGCTATTTTATAGCCATTTCAAGCTGTTGGTTTTCAGCAGTGTCTAAGGCAGAATGAAAGCAACACCGGACGAGCAAACTCTCGCAATATTTCAGGCAACGACAGCTCCCCTGTGTCTGCAGGGCACTTCCTTCTGGTTAAATATTTGGAATTTTTCATAAACATCATTGGAAGAGACAGCGCGAGGTGAAATACCAGACGAAGCAAGATGCAGCCATAGCATCCCTCTCAGGTCTTTGGCAGCTTACCCGGACCAATCAATCTAACCGCTCTGTCTCTTTTCTCTCCTATAATGATAAAAATCTATCAATTTTATGAGGGTTGTTTTTCTATAGCTGTTATTTTAAAGGTATTTTAGTTGTCCACATAGAGCCTGAATTTACACTGCGGTGGCAACATATAAGTGGGGATACATTTCAATAAAATTACCATTTCTATCATGATTTTGGGTTGTTGTTGCAGTTGTTAAAATGGAAATGGTGTCCCACTGGATTTTATCTCTGTATTCCGAAGTTGTTTTGTAGGAATCGGAATGTGTCTGAATGTGCTCTGAAAATCCAAGAGAACCTCTTGAGCTCTTTAGATGGTGATTTACAAGCCTCTCTTGTTGATTTAAATGCCATCTTTGCAATGCGTATGATGTTTTGTTGGTTGGTTTAAGGATTTGATAGCTGGTTTTTAGTTTTTGTTTAAAGCCATTCTAAAGAGCAGCTTCCAAGGCAGATTAAAAAAACAAAAACCCACACCTTTGAATTCACAAGGCTTATAAACCAAACACAACAACAATAACCTGGCCAGCTAAGATCCAAGCTAAGAACAGAAGTCTAAATGACCTGGGGGGAAGTAAAGGTTTTCGACAGGGACTTTAAATATAATGACTTGCTGCCCAGCAAGACTTTAAGGGGAGAGACTTCCAGAGTCAGGGCCCTGAATCTTGAAGAGACAGAGACACTGTGGGCGGGTAGCTCCTGGGTCTGTACATTTGGTAGATGGCCTGTTCTGAACATGGTAGTGCTCCCCTTGAAGAAACAGGTATGTACTCTGAAGTTACCTCTCAATCCCAAACTATCACTCGAGGCCTAAAAGACCTCAGTGGTGAGAACTGATTTGCCAGCTATAGATAGGCTGAGACAGCCTGACTTCAGTGATCTATTCTCTGATAACCTCCCAAATGGACTACTGCAATGTGCTCTGCATGGGGCTTCCCTTGGAGATGGTCCAGAAGCCACAGCTGCTGCAGAATGCTGCTGCCAGGTTCTTATGTGGAGCGATGAGATGCGCCACCAATCCATAAAGTACTGCACTGTTCGCCTGAAGGTTACTTCCATTTCAAGGTGATAGTACTCGTGTACAAAGCCCTGAATGGCTTGGGACCCAGGTACTAAAAGGAGTGCCTTCCCTAATATCTACTGGCTCAGGCTTTGAGATCAGCAAGTGAGGCCCTGTCCATGGTCCCCTCAAACAAGGACGGCCTACAAGGTGATGACACCAAGCAGGGTCTTCTCAGTGGCAGCAACCCAGTTGCAGAATTCCCAGTGGATATCTGGTGGTCCCCCAAGCTATTCTCTTTCAGGCTTTGGTATGTACCACATTTTTCCGTGTATAAGACACCCCCCATGTATAAGACAACCCCTATTTTTTGGGACCGCAACAGAAATTGCCCAAAGTTGTTGAGCTAAGGTATGCTGATTTTTAATTTTTAATGTGACTTTCTTTTAGCAAAAGAGAGAAAAGGGAATTCTCAAATGTTCTCTGTGAGGAGGGATTCACTATTAAACCACTCTGGAAATTGTAGCTCTCTGTGGGGGAATAAGGGTCTCCTAACAACTCTCAGCACCCTTAACTAAATTCCAAGGATTCTTTGGCGGCAGCCATGACTGTTTATAGTGCTACAGTGCTGCTGTAAATGTACTGACATGGCCCAAATGAGGATTTCAACCTGGCCTCCCCAAGTCCCTGCCTTTTTACATCAGGTTTGCTTTCGAGTGTTTTTTCAGTCACTGCACACAAGCGCACCAGAGCTTTGGTAAACAACAGTCTCAATGCAAGTATCAAGAGTGCATTTTATCAGTGGAGCCCGCATGCACATTGGCAAAATAGAAGAGTGTGGGGGCACTGAAAGCTCCAGCACTACACTACAGGGGGGCATCCCATGTCATCACCAGGGGCTGCCTCTAGGTCTCTGGCTTGGGCCCTGAAATCTAAGGGTCTGGGATACTCCTGACTTGGCAACCCTGCTGGCAAGCAGTGCAGGTGTTTAGCAACATATGCGATGTGAGTTCTAACTGGGATTCCAGCCAGTAGCCATTCCTCAGCAGTGCCTGATTTATGCACAAACTAAGTATGTTACAGCTTAGGGCCTCAAATTTTGTGGGGCCTCTAAATGCATGTTAAAGAAAAATAAATTGCAAGTTTTACATAATTGGTTAAAGAAAGGGGAAACAGGGAGACTCTGAGACAAGCATTCTCTGTTTTAGTTGGATTGTTAGTTTTTAATTGCATCATTGCCTATGTGCCAGTATATATGCAAATATGAAATACAATCATTTCTATTTTCGTTGTCCTTTCTGTTGGAATACTAAATGTTTTGGGGGGGGTTGGGGGGTGATGCTATGCAGCGTTTTAACATGACAGCTTAGGGCTTCGGTGTGCTTTAATCTGTCCCTGAACATCAAGGACCTTATGACAAAATATGGAATTAAAATATTTTGAATAAGGAAATCACATGCAGTACAAGTCTGCCATTATGTTAGAAAGAGTGGAGTCTGATTTACTAGGGCAGGTGGGACACTGCCCCAGCAACCTTACTCAGCCCTCAGCCAGCTCCCACCTGCCTATCTTCTTGCTTATTCAAGGGATGACACTGCCTGTTACATTTCAGCAGGTGTCGTGGGGCACCCCATGCCCCATGCCTGGTCCAAGGAGGAGGATGTTGGGAAGTCCCCAGCAGGAGCTGGGGGACTGTCGTGCGGCTCCCTGAGCAATCAACACAGAGGTGAGCAAGAGGAACAGGGAGGAGCACTCAGCACTGGAATCACAGTGTCTCACGATGATTGGAAAAGGCTAGTGGAGAAGGCTAGTGGAGTCTGGAGATCTAACACTGAGCAGAAGGAGTAGCCACCGGCAGAAGCTGATCAGATCAGAGGAGAGCCCCCAGTGCCTCCTTCCCCACCACCACTGTCACCTCAAGCACATCAGCAGGCAAGGAGAGAGGAGCAACACCAGTTGAGGGTCTGGCAGCATGTGGACAACAGCGCAACTCCGCTGACAGCTGAATGCAGGTGGGGAAACCCTGACTCCACTCTTTACAGCTGCTCGCAGGTGGGCAGACAAGCAACAGACAAGGGGCGCATTACCCCCACAACTGTAATCCATTAGGCACAATATGTACCCAATATTGGAATGGCAACTTAAGGTGTAGAAGAGCTAGGCACCCTTGTCAACCCAACTTCCCTGGGTGGGTGTTTGGCAGAGGGGTTGTGTAAGGACTGAGGAGCAACAGAAGGTGGTGGAGCCTTGTCAGAGGAGGAGGGCGGTGGAGCCATGTTGGAGGGATGATCGGCAGGTGTCAAAGTCAAGAGCAGGGAGGGGTCAGGAGTGGGAGTAGCAGCGAGTCAAGAAGAGAGGAGAGAAAGGCTGCAAGCAGCCAGGTCGAACCGGAGGCTGGGGGTTTTGAACTGTGAATGATATTGGAGGAGCATTTGGTCTGAGAACACTCCATCCCCCTGCCCAGACCTCAGTGCCAAATGCCGACCACAACAGAAGAGAGGAAGATGGGGACAAAACTAGGCTTTGTTGACTCTATCAGGCATTGGCTCTGGCTCCCCCTACTGTTGGGCTCCCTGTCTTCTGCCCTACAAGTCACAATGGACACCAGTCGCCACTGATTAGACAGATCATAGCAACAACACACTACAAGACCTGCCAATGCATGTAGGACTGCAGAGATTGAGGTCCAGAGGGAAATTTGCCCATTAGTTCTCCAGTAGAAATTGCTCGTTACCAATACATCACCACAACCGAAGCTCCCAGAAAAACCATAAGTTCAGGGGGAATATCATAGATTCCAGACATCGCTTAAGTTTTTATAAAAAAGGTCTGGGGATGTGCACAGGCATCAGGGGAAAGGCAAATGTCTTGCATGCAGCAAGGTCCCAGTTCACTCTCTGGCATCTCTATGTAGGACTGGGAAACATTCTTCCCTGAAACCTCGGGAAGCTGTTGCCAGTTATTGTAGATGAGGAATGGGGAACCCATGGCTCTCCAGACGCTGTTGAACTCCAACTCCCATCAGTCCCAGCCAGCACAGCCAATGGTCAGGAATAATGGCAGTTGCAGTCTGTCAAGATCTGGAGGGCCACAGGTTCCCCATTCATCAAGTAGACAATGCTCAGCTAGATGGACCAATGGCATAACTCAGTAAAAAGCAGCCGCTTGTGTTTCTAGGTTCCTAGAGCTAGGATAGATGACTAGGAACAACACTGATTGATTCAGAATTAGTAGAAGGGGCATGAATCATGTTCTCCCTGGGATCCATAAATCCTCTCAGCAGTCTTCTGTTTTTCTCATTCCTCATCAGACTTTTGCCTTTGATGTGGACTCATTAGGCAACGGCACGGAGGGAAAATTGATTAGCTCTGCTCTGCAAGGAGAAGGGGGCTTTCCAGCAAGCTCCAAATAACAAACGTAATAAGGACAGAAGCCCTTGCCTTTTCAACGAGTTCAGCATCAGGCTCTTGAAAGGGATGCACACTTGACAGAGTCATTGAGGAGAGGCTCAATTAGTTATCATAACTGACATCAATAGCAGTTGTCTGCTTTCATAAGGAGTCTGGCTTCATTGCCACTGTGAAATACAAAGGTTGTTTATCTCAATAACGAAGGATAAATTCAGATTCCTGGCATCAAAGCAGGGAGCCCAAGTGGAACCCAGAACAAATATTGTACTCAGAGACGGGTGAATCCGTCAACTTCAGTTTCTCTCAATTTTTAATTTTTCTATTCTTAAGTTCCATTCTCCAAATTTCCAAATCAGAAATTTAAGAATTTTTTTTGAATGTCCTCGTGAAAATAATCAAAATTATAGTGCAAATTTCCCCTGATATACATAGTTCTGTCTGCAATTCTGCCTAATGTACGCAGTTTTGTAAAGCAATGTTGCCAAACACAATGCATTTCTGTGTGCTATTTGCACTAAAATGGGCATTTATATGAACACATTACCCTAGCAGAAGCAGTTTTACACAAATTACTTGGCTGGGGAACTGCACTGCAAAATTCAGAGAACTGAATTTTGAAGGATGGCCGTGTTTCAGCTCATATAGTGTCTCTGAAAGTGCAAATTAGGAAAATTAGCCCCCCCAATGCAAATTAAATGTAATTTCTTTCCTAATGCTCCTGTTTAGCATTCCAGCCAGCCAGCCATTCCCTTTTTCAGGCTGCTCCATTCCATTTCCTTTGTCTCTTCCTCTTTCCTAAGGAAGTCCTGTGTCTCACTGAGCATGCCTAGTTCTGACCAAGCTGTTTTTTGGCAGAATTGTGCACAAATGGCAGTGAAGATTAACACCTCAACAGTTTTTTAGAGGTTGGGGCTCACCTTTAGCCATGGCAGGTGCACAGCTTCTTTCTTTCTTTTTCTAATGCCGCCCCCCTCCCCTCCCCATCATTGCAAAGAGTATCAGCAGCAGCAACTGTACTGGCAAACGAAGCTCAATTGAGTTGGAATCACTAAATTACATAGTTTACATGTATAGTTTACATAGTTTACATACATACAACTAAAGCTGATTCTTCTCCATCCAAATATCTGAAGTACTGTCACATGGAAGATGGAGTAAGCTTGCCTTCTGCTACATCAAAAGATAGGACCCAAACAGGTGGCGTCAAATGGCAAGAAAGGAAATTCCAACTAAGCTTTAGAATAAAAAAAAATTGACTGCAAGAGCTGTTCAGTGGTGGAATGGACTGCCTCGGAAGATGGTGGACTCTCCTTCACAGAAGGCTTTTCAACAGAGATTGAACGGCCGTCTCACAGAGATTCCTTATACAAATTTAGATAGATAGATAGATAGATAGATAGATAGATAGATAGATAGATAGATAGATGATAGATAGATAGATAGATAGATAGATAGAGATAACATAGCTGTTATTCCTGTGTTGCAGGGGTTGTGCTAGATGACTCTTAAGGTCCCTTCCAACTCTGTTATGTTACGATTGCTATTTGTTGTCCTCCAATGAGGTTTGGGGAGGCTCAACTGGAATGTAAGATGAGGTTCAGACTGAACACAACACCAGGCTGGATACAAGCTGTGCTCTGAAAAACACTAAGATCTGAAGTTGTTCCAGGAACAAGTAAGCTGCAATAAAGCCCTTTTATAGTAGCATTACCAGGTGCAGCCTAATTCTTAACACCACCCATGCTGCAAAATGCTGCTCTACTTGAAGGGGCTCAGCAGTCTGTAGCAATCTCCTACTGCAACAGAGCAGTGCAGCCTAAGATCTTCCAGGATCTTGAACAGGCGAGTCCTTGAAGCCAGGGGATGGCGGTATCACATCCTTGAGCTGTGGGGATGGGGGGCACTGACCACACAAGTTCATCTTGTAGCCGTGCTTTTGCATACCCGTCCATTCAGATTTGCAGATTTGCAGTCGTTGCCTCCATCACCTGCGGAAGAGGAATCTGACTCCTAGTGCCTGTCACTCATGGGATTTTTACTCCTAGGAGGAGACTCTTGTGGGGTTTTCCCCCTCAGGTGCTAAAATAACTTGCTTAGTCTTATGTATTATGCACTTCGACTTGGAATGTGTCTGTGGGTGGGAACACTGTTTGATGTCCTGCCTCAGGCAGCAGAATGTATTGCACCAGCTGCGATGCTTGTGAACAATTCACTGCTTTATGCTCCCGCCTCTCACTTCCCGGTCTTGCCGTTTAGAGTGTAAGCCTGGCGGGCAGGGCCTGTTGTCTCGTTTTCGTTTGTGTACCGCACCTAGTTAATGTAGGTGCTCTGGAAAGGCATAAATTAACAAATAAAGTAAGATTTAGAGGGGCACGTTGCTATACCTGCTAGTGCGCAACAGACCAAGGAAGCCTGGAGCTGAATAATGTTCCTAGGAATCAAAGGCGCCATCCAAGTTCCAAGAAGCTAACATCCTGACATATAAAGAGAAGCACTTGTAGGCAGGCGGGTGAATACAGGGAAGCAGATAAAGACACTGTGAGACAGTGATGCTCTACATCCAAGCCCTTCAGTAGATCAACTGCCCTTGATGCTAGTGCAGAAAGTGACTACTAGGCTGGTAAGCAAGAAAGCCCAATGGGACCATGAGCCACCAGTCCTGAAAGCACCACCTTGGCTGGCAGAGAGTTACTAGATCCAGTCCAAGATCTTAGCATATAAAGCCATAAATGGCTTGGAACCTGAGTATCTAAAAGAGCACCTTCCACAGATCTTTTCTTCCTCCCTCTGGGAAGTACGCCTTCTTTATGCAGTGATGCAGGGGAAAAACTGGACCTGCTTGTTTTTGTTGCAGGTACCTATTCCAATGGAGCAGCAGCATGAAGCAAAAGCAAGAAGACCCCCTGTTTTTCTGCAGTTTACTTTTTTCTGTGCATCTCTGTTCCAAAGAGGGAACAGGCATGCTCAGCTAAACAGATCAAGATTTAACCACCCACTGCCAGCTATTATGCAGGGGTTAAATCCTACTGGGAACCCACAATATTAGGGAATTGACTCCCACCACATTCTAAGTGGTGTCTGCTGACTGACAGCTGGGCGTGGTTTGAGGAAAATGGCTTTGAAAGGCAAAGTGGACCCCCTGTGGGGTGAGGATTGGCCTTTGGACCAGAGGTTTCCCACCCCTGGACCAGAGTTTATTTTGAACCATAACTCCTGTTTTACACTTAATGACAAACCAGGAATTGGTGGAAGCAAATCCAGGAGCTGCATGCAACACTGTTGTTCCACTAGCACAACAGATTTCCTGTTTTAATTGTTGTAACCTGTCCCAGGACCTTAAGCTGCAGGGCAGGTAAGTTGTTGTGGTTGTTGTGGCTGTTGTGGTGGTGGTGGTGGTGGTTGTTATAAAAGACACTTTAGTTGTGGGGAGGAGGGGTTAGCCAAGAACTGTAGTGGGATCCTCAAGAAGTGTGAAAGCCAGTGGATAACTAAATTCTAAACCACTCTCTAGCCCAGAAGGTTAGCCTGCATCACAAAGACTGACTTCCTCAATAATTCTGCTTTAATTGGGAATGGGGGGAAGAAATAGGGGAAAACATGGGGAATGAGGGAAAGAAAGATAATCAAAAATATGCATACAAAAACCTGCTTGGTGGCGGGGGGAATATGAGCTTGCTGAGTCAACTCCCTGTTATTATTCACAAGAATCATTAATGAGAATATTAATGGGAATAATGAATACTATCACTTTGAAAGATGTTATCAACATGATCACTTTCAATTGTTGTGAATCACAGATACTTTGGAAGCACGCCTCCGCAAACACTTGCACAAACGCTGAAGTGTGGGAAATGGAGACACAGCCTAACAAGCGTTAACTAATCAGAGTGGCACATGGGGAAACCGAGACCTGAACTTCGTTCGAACTCTCAAGATGTATCTGAAGGCATTCCGACTATCACATTTCAGAAGGGAGCCCATATTGATTTGCGGGTGGTGATCAGAGAGCTGTGCTAAGGCCCTTTGGGCAGGATCCAGCATGAGCAGGGCAACAAGACCCTAAACTGTTCTCAGAACTGAATAGTGAGATGAATATCAAGCATGGGGTTTTTATTCCAGGGCGCCTGGTCAAGAAAGCTGCTGACAGCCAGCTGAGGTCATGGTTGCTGGAGCAGAGGTGAGTAGTTGCCCAAAGCGGGTGAGACAGCAGGACAGGATCAATGCCTGTTCTGCTCTGGGATAAGCTAAAGGTATTATAGCAAATGTTTTAAAAATACCGAAGGTCAAAAGCAAGGTCAAAGCACCACACAGGAACAAGGCTGAGGTATGGAAGTGCTGCAGGACATGAGCACAGAGGACCTGAGGCTATGACCTCATCAATACAAGTTATTGAGTGTTCTCTGCATCTCTGGCAGACTATAAACATCAGTGGTAATAATATACTTGTCCTTCCATCTTGCTTGCTCAATTCCAACCATGACCCACTACCACCACCTCTAACCATCTGTTTAACTGCCCTATATGTATCGGAACCGGGGCTTTTCTTGTGATAGGACGACTTTGGGGGGGGGTGCAGAAGCTCCCAAGATGGCCATCGTCCCTCAGTTATTGAAGCAGCCGTGACTACGAAGTAGAGACAGTAACTGGATTCTGCCTGAGATTAAGAACATAGGAAGACCCTGCTGGTTCAGGCCAAGGGTCCAGCATTTTGTTCTCAACATGGCCAACCAGATGCCTGTGGAAAACCCACAAGCAGGAGGTGAGCACAAAAGCTCCCTCCTCTACTGCGGTTCTCATCAACTCATATTCGAAAGCACTGCTCCCTCTAGCTATGGAGGCAGAACACAGCCTTCACAGCTAGTAGCCTTTGGTAACCCTCTCCTCCATGAGTTTGTCAAATTCTTTTTTAAAGCCATCTAGGGTGTTGGCCCTCACTGTGAAGGAAGTTCCATAGTTTAACTATGCACTGAATGCAGAAGTACTTTCCTTTCATTTGTTCTGATTCTCCGAGCATTCAACTTCAGTGGATGTCCACAAGTTCTAATGTTATGCGAGGGGGAGGGTTTGTTGTAGTTTTTTTTCAGTTTTCTGCTTCTGAAATGTTGTCCAGATCAGTTGGGGTCCAACCGCTTCTAGCACCACGCTAGCTTCCCCTGCACCAAACCACAGTTTAGTGTTTATGTGCATGATCAGATCTTGGTGAGGTGGGATACAGTTGGGATTCTGTTGTTGTTTAGTCGTTTAGTCGTGTCTGGCTCTTCATGACCCCATGGACCAGAGCACGCCAGGCACGTCTGTCTTCCACTGCCTCCCACAGTTTGGTCAAACTCATGTTAATAGCTTCGAGAACACTGTCCAACCATCTCGTCCTCTGTCGTCCCCTTCTCCTTGTGCCCTCCATCTTTCCCAACATCAGGGTCATTTCCAGGGAGTCTTCTCTTCTCATGAGGTGGCCAAAGTATTGGAGCCTCAGCTTCAGGATCTGTCCTTCCAGTGAGCACTCAGGGCTGATTTCCTTCAGAATGGATACGTTTGATCTTCTTGCAGTCCATGGGATTCTAGAGAAGCATTATTCTGGAGGAAAAGTGAACAGCTAAATTTTGAAAGAAGGGGTGTATTTTTGGTCTGTGTTTTAAACCTAGCATTTCATTCTTGCCACAAGTAATTTCCACATCTGTTTCTTGTTGTTTTAATTTGCAAAGGAGCGCAATGGTGACAGCGGGGATTTTCAAATTAAAATTGAAGTAATAGAAGATGTTGTTCTTTCAAAACTTTTATTTATTTACGATTTCATGGAAAGCTATGCCCCTCCATGCAAAGCTTTCACCACCCCCACCAAACTAAAACTATGATGAAAGCCGAAGTGGTAGAGGGACATGACTGCACAATTGCATTTTTTAACTGAAATTAAAAACTTACTAACACTTAAATGGCACATATGAAGAATTCTGCTAGCTACATTCTAGAAATGGAATTACTGACCAGATTAAGACTGGGATAGAATTAACCATGATGATCACCCACATGGATAGTTTAAAGGGAGGATTAGAAAAATTCATTGGAGGATCAGACTACCAATGGCTACCATCAACACTGGCTATGTCCCACTCCCACTGTTAGCCAGAGGCAGTATGCCTATCACAAGTGGGAAGGTCACTGTTGCACTCAGGACCAACTTCTCGTGAGCATCCAATTAGCCACCATGGGAACAGGATGCTGGACTGCATGGATCTTTGGCCTGATCCAGCAGCTTTTCTTGCATCCAAATTGCAAGAATCCCAGAACAATCATGGAAGCAAATTAATCCACCCTGCTCATCCCAGCTATAATTGCATATTGTTGATTTTAATTACAGTGCATTATATTTTTAATACCGTCTTGTTTGTAAGCCACTCAGGGAGTATTTATCAATGGATTGTCCTATAAACTAATAAAACACATACATATCAATCCCAGGGCACTTTTCAGCTCAAAGCCACATAGGAAGAAGTTTGCTCTGTAATTTGCAGGCCTACGTGAGATGATACAACTGCTGGCTCCACAATTTCCATACCAATCTAACGAGGGACACATTTCAGCTGCGGTGCTGACAATTACATGGGTGTCCTGCTCATACTGCATGATGCTCAGTGTGGTATATATGGGGCACACAGTCTCCTAACCAAGTAGTGGCTACATCCAGAGCCAGTTAGATTAAGAGGTGGGACTATTAGAGCAATCCAAACCCCTGACTAGAAGATGCAAGGATTAATGGAAAGATGCAGCTGTTGCAGCAGCCTCAGCCTTGTTGCTTGTGTTGTCCAGGGCTCACATTTTCACTATCCTAGCTCTGCAGCAACTAAGATTGGGCCTATTGCCATCATGTGATGGCAGCAGGTGTCTCAGGATCCAGGATAATTTCCATGGCTGCTGGGAGAGACCAAGATGCTGGACTACCTGTAGATGGGTGTTGGGCCTGATCCAGCATGCCTTTTCTTAGGATCTTATACTGGGCACAAAGAAGGGTCAGCCCAGCTATGGATTTCCCTGCCTCTGGATGCTGTGGGAAGAGATTATGGGCCTAAATTAAATTGATGGAAGGAGATCAATACCACATAAGAGGAATTGTTGGTCCACATCTGACATGTGTAGAAGAGCCCCACCCCAAATCCTCAACTCGTGGCCAATGCACTTGGATGGTTTCTCAGGAACAGCACAAGTCGGAGCTGAGAGAGTGCCAGTCTTTAAGCTTCAATCTCCTTTCTAAAGTTCAGTGTTATTTAAATGATCAGTGGCAAACAGACAGCCTGGCACCCCTGGGCCAATGCAAGCAGCCTCGCAAGTGCTTCAGTCAAAGATCAGCTAACAAGGATGTCTGAAAGCATTAATATTGCTGAATATATCCATACAATTAGCGCCACTACAAAAGTTGCCTGTGCTTATAGCTGCCGATACAGCTGTAGTACACCCTGGTGCAGCAACTCAATCCGTGTCAATCACTGCCGGCAACATGGTACAGCGCAGGGGGAATCTCCCTGTGCTCAAGGGCTGCTTCCAGTAAAGACTGGCAATTGTTCGCATCTGAAAAAGGCTGGCACAGGCAATGGTGCTATTACTGTACAGAAGGAATTTCTGCCACTATGGAAAGTTTTTTGCTCTCCACTAGAAGAGAAGAAAGGAGGGTTTTTGATTACAAGTGCTGCAAAAGTTGCACTCTGAATTTGTTTGTCTGAATATGTTCAGCTCCTGAAAACCAGCAGTTATTAATGGCTACCAGTAGAGGTGACCAAACTCTTCCCTAGTCCTCAAATTAAAACCCATCTGCACTATACATTTAAAGCAGCATCATGCCACTTTAACCAGTCACGGCTTCTGCCAAAAATCCAGGAAATTGTATTTATTGAAGGGTGCTGACTGAGTTGTTGTTAGGAGTCCCCCAATTTAAGAACTATAATTAACATAATAAGAAACTGCTTTGCACCAAGTTAGACCATTGGTCCAGTAGTGTCAACACTGGCCACCAGAAGCACTCCAGAGTTTCAGACAGGTGGCATTCCCAACCATACCTGGAGATGCTCTACCACTGAGCTACAGTCCTTCCCTGAAATCCCAGAGTTCCCCAGGAAGAGGAATTGATTGTTAAACTATTCTGGAAATTATAGCTCTGAGAGGGGAATAGGGTCACCTAACAACCATCAGTGACCTGGCGTGCTCTGGTCCATGGGGTCACGCAGAGTCGGACATGACTAAACAACAACAACAACTCTCAGCACCCAAATGGCAGTTCCCACAATTCTTTGTGGGGAGCCATGACTGTTTGATACTGCTTGAAATGTACAGGCGCCTAACTTGAAAATGACTCAAACTGGGAGATTTTAGATTTCCCTCTCAGTGCAATGCAATGCAATGCAATCCATTCTGTTTCCTACTATGGACAACCAGATGTTTTCATGAATCCCACAAGAGAGCACATGAGGCTGCTATGTAGTGTCAACAAATCATATGATGGAGGAACTTTTCATATCATGCACCACTTCTCAATGCCCAATGATTCTTCCAGCAGCTGTACTACTTTTCTGAAACATAGAGAGGTTGGTAACCAGAGACACAAGAGCCATACTGCTGTAATGCTCAGCTTCCCCATGCTCTTTGTAAGGCTGGGGAGCTGTCCAGCAGGGCAGGAGCTGCTCTAGCATGGGAGCTATCTAACCAAAGACCCAGAACTAACATATGGGACTAGGAGATGAGTTGAATGAAGCACTGCACCACCAACAGCTTGGCAGCAGCTGACCTTGCTGCCTCCACCTCTTTCTGGTGCATCAGTGGGAGACACCTGGTGTTCCTTACCATCTCACTTCATCCCATGGAGGGCTCAGAGAAGGAAGGTCTTGTGTTGGCAGGTATGCACTGCACCTTCTGATGCTAGCCTTGGACCTGACTCATTTCCAGTGGAACACAGAAAAATGCTTCATGCAGTCAAATGATTTGTTTCCCAGGATCAGTGTTGCCTACTCATGACTCTCAGCAGCTCTCAAAGACCTCTGACTTTGCAGTCACTTGCTAACCTGGTCCACCTTTTAGCTGGAGATGCCAAGAACTGAAGAAGGGAACTTCTGCATGCACAGCATGTGCTCTTCTCTTGAACTATAACCCACCTCATCCCACAGGCATGTGTGAAGCTCAGCAACTGGTAGGCATAAGAACTCAAGAGGACATCTAGCCCCCTAAGTCTGCAAACACTCCAGGTAATGTCATGACAGTAACATCACAGGTGGGACATCTTCCAGGGCAGTGTGCTGTACCCTTAGGGGGGTGTATTACCCAAGAGAGCACTAAGAGGCAAGGTGTAAATAGCTATCAGACTTTGAAAAGCTGGTGTCACTGGATCAAGGTCATTGGTTTTGATAAATTAATTAAACTAAATAATTGTAATTGGATTTTGAATAAACATGGAATTAATTCTTACTGTTTTGAATTTTATTGTATTCTAATCTTCCTTAGTAGAGTTTGCAAACTGCTGTTCTGAATGCTTTTTATAGGGTAGGGGGCAGTGGAGATGAAATTATGGAACAAATGAGTGGTGCCCTGAAAAGGTTTGGGAACTACTGTACCAGGGTGTTGATTTGGGGGTGGGTGTTCTGTCAGAGTCCACTGCCTTGTCATGAACCTGGAATGCACTGGGTCCAGCGGTGGGATCTCCCCTCTCCAGGATCTCAGACAATTCTGACTGCAGGGTGGTCCCGACAGGGCGTGAGTGGGACACAACACACCCTGTGACTTTGCAGATGGATGAGATAGCATTCTTAACCACCTCAGACCACCCCACTCCTAGCTCAAGAAAATAAATAGATAAAAAGGCAGCATCCTTGACCTCCAAAGAGCCAATTAGGGCGACCTTGGGATGTTGGATGCTGTCAGTGTAGAGCTTGCTCCCTTTATGCAGCACCGGAGCTGCAAGGCAACATGTCATGTCAAGTGATGCCCTGCACTGTCCACAAGGTCATGGCAGTTCAGTCAGGAACCTCAGAGAGATTTTCCCAGCCTCCTCCTCTCTCGCACACACAGTGCCCCAAGAGAAGAAGAGCAAAGTGACAGGAACAGGGCAAGCCAACTGTGCTCCCAGCATCCTCTCACATGCCTTTGCATCGTCAGCCTCCCTTTGGGATACCCAAAGAGAACAAGATGTCCCTGCAAGGCAAGGGGACAATGCCAGGCACCCTCGCTAGAATGATTCAATTCCTGGGTGCCTCTCGTTCTGTCCCTGCAGCAGCAGCAGCAGCCGCCCAGCAGTTGTCATGAGGGGAGTGCAGAAAATAATCCCACAGCAATCATCTCTTCCTTTGCTGATCAAATGCAAATCTGCACTTCCACCACTGAAGGTGGGAGTGGGGGGGGGGAGAGAGAGAGAGAGAGACAGCAAGGTGCCAGCACGCTGTGAACTATGTTGGGATCAGTGAACATGTGACAGGGGACTGACCAGAAATAAAATGAAAGAGACAGACAGGGAGAGCAAAGGGGAGATGAAGAAAGGAGGTGCGGAGAGACAGGCAATGGTGGGAAGGGACTTCCATGAGCACAGACAAAGGCCCAGACAAGAATACAGAAAACAGAAAGACAGGTGTGTGGCTAGATCCTTAAAAGTGGAAGGGGCATAGCTCAGAGGTAGAGCAACTTCTTTGCAAGCAGATTCAGTCCCCTGGAAGCTTCAGGTAGGACTGAGAAGGTCACTTGTCTGAAAGTCTGCCAGTCAGTGCAGACAGTACTGTGCTAGATGGATGTGTGGTCTGATTCAGAATAAGGCAGCATTTTATGTTCCCATTCGGGGGGGAATGGGGTATCTCAGTTGCAGAACAGCTACTTTCCATGCAGAAGGTCCCTGCTGCAATCCCTTGGCATCTCCCGATAGGGCTGAAAGTGCCACCTGTCTTAAAGCCTGGAGAGCTGCTGCCAGTCAGTGTAGGCAATACTGCGCAAGGTGGACCAATACTCTGACTCAGTAAAGAGCTAAGTTCCTATACAGTTACTTCACACTGGGGGGTAGCCCTTTCATCTGAATTTTTTTTGGGGGGCTGGCCCCCCACCCCCTCTACTTGATGCCCCTGTTGTTAAACTACTCTGGAAATAAAGCCATCTCTACCCAGCCCCTCTCCTCCTATAGAAGAGAGCAGGGAATCCTGAGCCATGACAATTGGCCATCATTCTCATCAATTGGCCTTCTTGGCAGTGGCACCCTCCCATCAGTTATCAAGGAGATAAAGCACTAAACAACTTGTAGAAGACATCTGAAGGCAGCCCTGTGAGGTTTTTAATGTTTGATATTTTATTATGTTTTTATGTGCTGGAAGCCGCCCAGAGTGGCTGGAGAAACCCAGCCAGATGGGTGGGGTATAAATAATAAAATTATTTTCATTATTGACTGCTCCAAATATGACTCAATAGTCCAAACTAAGCAGGCAGGCACAACATTTGTTCTCTCAATGCAGACTTCCTGAAGCTGGTGCCTTCCAGATGTTGTGGATTCCAAATTCCCACCATCCCTGACTATTGGCCATGCTGAAGTGGCTGATGGGAGTTGTAGTCCAAAACATTGGGTAGGGAGACCAGGCTGAAGAACCTTAGGAACCTGCCTAATACTAAGTCAGACCACTGGTTCATCTAGTTCAGTCCTGTCTACACTGGCTGGCAGCAGATCTACAGGGTTTCAGGCAAGCCCTGTCCTACATGGAGATGCAAGAGACTGAATGTGGGACTTTGTGCGTGCAACACAGATGTTCTACGCTTGAGCTACAACTCCAGCTATCAGGGCACAAGCTTTGCTAGAAAAACTTTGCTAGGTCTGGGTCATGTTTGCTAACTAGGGAGCATTGAGGGAAGGCAGTGGCCTGGATCTGAATTTGGAACAAAGGGACAGAGATCAAGAGCAGAAAGCACTTGCTAATGAAGCCTGAATCACTAACAAGCTTGACTTGGGAATTCCCAGCTGAGACACCTGGAACAATTCGGGTCATGCCTCCACTATGGCAATCCAGTTAGTGGTGCCTCGAGTCATCTCTAGAGAGAGAAAGAGAGAGAGACGGGATTTGCATCAACAGAGCCAGCAGCCTGCTTGAAAGGCTTAGGGAACAATACAGCAGAGCAAATGCTGCAGGAGGTCGTTGCCGAAAAAGAAAAGGGAAAAGTCAATCAGAGGCAGAGCCATGCACTTCAACTGGCACTGTTTGCGGCAGTTAATGTTCCAGAGCCCCCTCTGCCCATTTTTTCCCCATCGCGTGCAGCAAACAGTTTCCCCAAGTTCCCGCTGACATGGCTTCCCCTACTGAGGGCACTTTTCTCTTAAAAGGAATCATAATGCACAGCCCAGGGAGACAAGAGAGCGTGCCTATCATAATCAACTCAAGAGACACTATTATTAACCACCAGAGCACACACTTCCTGTAGCTGCAGAGACTCAGACATCCGCGAGTTGCAAATTCAGTGTCTAGGTTAGAAGGGCTCGAAGGTTTCCTTTCCTTTCTTTTTTTCAATGGTGGAAATTAGTTCCATTTCCCATCTTTGTCACTGACAAGTTTCTCACCCAAGGCTGAAGATTGATGTAGCATTTTAAGAGAGGTAAAGGGGGTCAGACACCTTGCGCTGTTGCTGCCTTCCAAGCACAGACTTTCTTCGTCTTCTTTTCTGTTCCAGTGAGAACTCAGGGAAGAGGGAAACAGTTCTGCAGGTTTTCAGCATGGCAGATGTGGGGATCCTTTGTTCCACCACGCTGGCCATGCTTGCTGGGGCTGACGGCAGTTGTAGTTCAGCAAAATGCCAAGGACCAAAGGTTTCCCACACCTGCTGCATGGCAAGAAGCAGACATCGCTGGACTGGGATCAGAGGGAGAAGATGATGTCAGAGGTGGACCATAGGCACCTGGGTGAAGTGCCATGAGCTCTGAGGCAAAACCAGTAGTCAGGATTGAGGAATAAGTCAGAACCATAGAGAAAACCAGGAGGCAGGGAAGGAAATCAGAAGTCAGGCTCATGGAATATCACACACATACACATACACACACACACACACACACACACACGGAAACACCAGAGTTTAAGAAGACACTGTTGTGCAAGTAAAGAAGTAAGGAAGCCCATCTTTACCCCTTCCTGTCCAGAAGGATACAATGGACAGCCTAGTGGATGGAGTCAGACCAGGGGCTGAGAACACTGAAAAGCTGCAACCTACAGTTTGGAGGTTACCCAGATGGAGGAGCTACACAAAAATCCAGCAGTTCCTGAATAATGGAGAGAGCAGGTAAGGGAACAAGTAGCAGTGGCACAGAGGAGGAGGAGGAGGAGCAATTGATACCATCCAGCAGCAATTTCAGGAAGGGTCATAACTCAGTAGCAGAGAACCTGCTTTGAATGCAAAACAGCCCAGATCTAATCCTGGGTATCTCCTGTTGGGATAATTAGATGGCAGATGATGGATAAAGCCCCCGGGGAATTGCTACCAGCAAGAATAGACAATTCTGGGTTAAATGGGGAAGTATGATCCAGCATAAAGCAGCTTTCTGTGTTTGTATGACCTTCATTGGTGTCAGGGCTGGGCAGTGGGCAACAGTCTGAGTTGAGCCAGAAACCAGAAGCCATGGGACAACGAAGTAGTCAGGGGCAAAGAGCAAGTCCAAAGCAAAAGAGCCAGGCTTAAGGAACAAGCTCAAACAAAGGTCAGGACCAATGGACAAACAAAGGGTGAAGGGAAAGTAGTAGTGCAGTGGTAGGGCATCTGCTTTGCATATAGAAGGTCCCAGCTTCAACCCCTGGCCTCTCCAGGTTGTCTGAAACTCTGAAGAGCTGTAGCCAAGCGCTGTAGACAATACTGAGCTGGATGGATCAATGATCTGTTTTGGTATAAGGTAGCTTCCTCAGGGCAGCCCCACAAGCTCCTACAATCCTGGAGTATTACTAGTAGTTTATAAAAGAGCCTTTTAAACATCCCTACATGCCACCTTTTCCCCCGAAAGACAGATAATTAAATAAGGAATAATAAGGGAAGAGGGTAGAGAAAGAGAGGGGAAAATAAAGATGAAGAAAGCACAGGAGAGGGAGAGGGAAGGACAAAGAAAACATACCAGATGGTCTGTAATAATGCTTTCTTTTAATGCTGCATATATTTGCACAAAATGTGCCCATATTTCTTTACACCTCTCTTCCATACCTAGATTTTTATATGCTACTCTCTCCTTGTCTTCCAGGTCCACTAAATCTAAGATCCAGGTAATCTAATGTCTGGTTGAGTTTTGTCTTGTAATGCCTGTGTTTAAGCAACCAATGCTGCTCATTTGATTCAAGCCTATTAGAAGATTCTTCACGTCCTTGTACTCTCAGCATACAGAACAAAGTACTATCCTATTATGTTGTGGCCCTGGGACTCATGGGGCGGTGGTAGTAATAAACAGGCCAAATCAGTGCAGATAAGCAGGTCAGAGCAAAAGGCAGGGAAAAATTAGGTCAGGCAAAGATCAACAAGTCTAGGCAGGTATCTCTAAACAGATCAGGACCCTGGATAGCTCTCGGCATGCCTTACTGGATGAGTTTTAGGAGATGATGTCTCAGCCAAAAGCTGGAAGCATCTGAAGCCTAATGCAGCCTGGCAAAGCCTAAACTGCACTTGGCTCCATCTACTTGAGGAGGTGGAAGTGCCAGTATAAAAGGCATGTGTACAGTTCTGTAGGCACTGACTTATATTCTGTGAAAGAGATGGGAATATTATCAGAGGTTCATCCTTCTACTCAGAAGAAATTGGGGGAGCTATGTCCTTAGAGCAAGAGAGGGATGATGAGGGTCTCCCCACTAAATGGAGCAACCCTTTAGGAGGTACTAGTTCTTGGGAGGAAAGTATATTATTTCTGAAGCTCCCTCCCTTGCCCTTTCTGCCTGGGGCACCGGGGCAGCCTTACCCATCTTCCCAAAACCCATTCAGATTTAAACATGAATACTCTTAGCCAGAAATTATAGACCATGGGCACCAGTGGCTGATAAACCACTTCATCCCCAGCCTTTTATTAATCCAACCTGCTGCCAACAAGCTGTGACTGTTCCTTTACTCGGTTTCTGAAGCAATGATCATTTATCAGTTTAACGTGGCCCCTGTTGGTGAACACAACTGTAAATCTGGATCACAAGAGCCGGCTTCTGTCGGAAAGATTCTCTCTCTTTCCCTGTGCTGTCTCAGGTTAGTCATTAACACTTGCCTAATTGCAGGCATCAGTGACAGTAAACACATCCAGCTTGGAGACAGCCAAGGACTTAAGGAACTTCATAATACCTTCCCAGGTAGACAGACGGACAGGTACTTAAATAGCTTCCTTGAGCCTCAAACAAAGAACATCCCTACTGTCAGCTTCCAGACTAAGCCACTTTTGTGAACCACAACTCTTGTAAAATGCAAAGTGACTCAGCTATTGATTCTCAAAGTGCGAAGGAGGAAGAACACACAAGCTGCTGTCTGAGCCTTCTCTTGACTAGGCCAGCAGACTGAATAGCAACTAGCCACAGCCATGCCTATTCGGTGCAACATAGGGGACTGCAGCAATTTAAAAAAACCTGCTAGCACATTTGCAAAGCTAAGCAGTGTCCGGTAAGGTTTCAAATTGGATGGGGGACCATGTATTGAGATTCCTGCATTGCAGGAGGTTGGGCTAGACGCCCATCAGGATCCCTTCCAACTCTACAATTCTATGATTTTATCTGTGAATGAGCCATAAGATATGATGGACTTTCTCATCCTGACCCTTTTACTCTTCCAGTCTTCTCTCTGCCTGCCCCACCTCTCTTGATGCCATACTCTGGTAGACCTTGGCAAGAAGCATTTCTTTGGCCATTATTTGGAACAATCCAAATGCAGGTAGCTATGCTGAGTTTAAAGATCTTAGAATTCCAATTTAGTTACAAAGGCAGTTGCCTCATAACAGGTGAAACTATTTGCTCATCTAGCATATTACTGTCTACTCTGACTGGCAGCAGCCTGCCCAGAGCAGAGCAGAGCAGAGCAAGTATCTTTACCTATTACCTGACCCTTTTAACTGGAGATGTGGGGGATCAAACTCGGGTGCACTACCACTGAATTACTGTCCCCACTCCCTCAGTCTGAAGGTCCATTGACCATCTTCATTAAATTAAACTATGCAGGTGTTGGCAACATGCCTTGGGCTTTCCAGTGATCACTTGTTAAGTCCACATCACCAAAGCCATTTTGGAAATTTCCCATGGACACGGGCTTTTGGATGGATAACGCTTGACGCTTATGCATAGCATTGCTAGATCAATGTACAAACTGCTATTGCCTCGAGCCTTTTGCTTTTGCTATGGTCTCAGCCACAAACACCTAAAACAAAGCTGCAGTCCTGCCCCTCCTTTTCTTCAGGCTGCATCTGGCTGGCAGCTTTGCAAGTTGCTGATTTTAGCAGCTAAGAGCGCAGGAAGCAGAGCCGCACAGAAAAAAGAAATCAACTAGCAGGCATGAGGTTTGGAATTACAATATTGTGTGCAGGTGAAGGACTGTAGCTCAGCAGTAGAGCATCTACCTTGTATTCAGGAAGTCTCAGGTTCAACCCACAGCATCTTCAGGTAGGATGGAGAACATCCTCTATCTGAAACCCTGGAGAGATGCTGCCAGTCAGATTGGCACTAATCAGGTAGATAAGATGAACCAGTTGTCTGACTCAGTATAAGGCAGCTTCTAATGTGTCTGTGTTTTGAGGGAAGGGCCATAGTTCAGTGACAGGGCATCTGATTTGCATGAGGAAGGTCCAGATTTCAAGCCACAGCATTTCCAGGTAGATCTGGGGAAGGCTCCTGGTCTGTGTAGATTACGCTGCCAGTTGCGGTAGACTATAGCAAGTGACACAGAACAATAGCCCAACTCTGTATGTAGTAGCTTCCTATGTTCTAATCCCATGGGCAAGAATGCATACTACCCTGTAGGGAACTCATCACTGCTCTGTTGTAGAAGATGCATTTGGGGTGGTATGGCAACTGGTTTTCATGGTACAAGGAAGCTCAATGAAAATAATGAAAGCTCCTACCTGCACACTTTGTCCTGCTGATGAGGGGAGGCCCAGGTTTGCCAGTCCCTCCATCCCCTGGCCGGGTAAGCAGGACATTGATCTCATATTCCGTGTCTGGATCCAAGTGCCACAACTTGTAGGTCTGCATGTTCACAGCATGAACCTCCGACCACGGCCCAGAGGTCATTCGGTACTCAATTTCCTTCCTTACAATGGGGCCATCTCCGATGATGGAATTGGTGTTGAGCTGGATGATCAGGTACGTCGAGCCTGCTCTCAGCAGCTGCGGGGGTGCAATGGGCGTAGGGGGCTCTGTCCAAAAGGAGAGAGAAGTTGTTACTAGAAGAGACCATCACACCAGCTTCAGACGGTTATCAATAAGAAAGTGGCTTACTAGGACCGCCTGTCCCCATATGAACTGACCCAGACACTACAATCATTATCTGAGACACTTCTTTGTGTGCCTCCTCCATGAAGGGCTTGGAGGGTGGCAAAAGGAGAACAGGGCCTTTTCTGCAGTGGGTCCTCACTTGTGGAATGCTGTCCCCAGGGAGACTCGCCTGGCGCTTTTGTTACATATATTTAGGCACCAGACAAAAGCATTCCTCCTCTCCCAGGTCTTTGGATAATTAAACAATCTACGGCCTTTTGAACCAGGGAGATGGGGTATTCTTTCTGTTTGCTACTATGGAATGTGTGTTTGTGTTTTGATATTCTAAACTGCCTCGTGATCCACATGTAAAGGGCAGTATAAAAATTTAATTAATAAATAACAATAAAGACAAGGGACCACAACTTTGCATGTGGTAAGAAACAGCAGGAATCGCCTCTGGTGGTTGGAAAGAGGTTCCCAGTGTTCCTTATCTTCTCAAAAGCAGCAATGGAGGTGAAACCTCAAGGTTTGTGTGGTTCTACACTTGAGCCATTGATCCCTGGCCTTCTATGATTCTGTATCAATAATGTACCAGTGGTTGGACAAGATGGCTTTCAAGGTCTATTACAATCGAAGATTCTATGCTCCCCATAATGGCTCAGTCTAAGCAGAATCAAGGTGGCATGGAACTCATTGTATACCTCTTCTGTTGCCCTCTACGCGTGCCCCCCCCAACCCTCCAAAAAAAGTTCAGTAATGTCAAAGCAAATGGGTACACTTAAGGTGCCGCAGTGTTCCATCTAAAATAATTGACACTCAGCTGCACCTGTCAAAATAAATGAACAAAGGACATGCGGCAAAGGCAGATTATTTGCTTTCCCTCCCCCTCCTCTAATAGTTTGTGTTCACTGGCTTGCAAAATCCACCCATCACCGAGAGTTTGGGAGGGTTTCTTTGCTACGTGTGCACAGCAGCCAAGACTCTGCAGTGTCACGCCTGTCTGTTCCCAGCTTCAAAGCACTTTTCTCAGAGCTTTGGTTCAGTGACACAAGACATGAGTTGCAGGGCTTGGCAAAACCAGCATCCGCTGCTGAATTGGAGTCAAATCCTCCCCTAGTTCTTTGCTTTCCAGGTCTGTCTTCTACTGGTATAGCCCTAAGCCAAAGTCAACCCTCCTGACACTCACTGCTGCATACCTTTCACAATCAGTTCTGCAAAGTTGGAGACGCCAGAGCCCCTGCCAGACTGGGTAACACAACGGTAAAAGTCCTGGTCTCCGTTGGAAACTTTATCCAGTTGAAAGGAAGCCAGGAATCTCCGGTGGCTGATGTGTTTCACGGAAGCTGCCGGGACAATTGCTCCATTCTGCCTCTGCCATCCAAAAAACAAGAATAAATGGCTTCATCAGGAAGAAGTCATTGGATTCTCTTACGTTTCTTGCGGAGCTAAGATCTCATTGGCTCTCGCACACAGTTCCTTTTACTCCATGTGCCTCCCATGCCTTCCTATTATGTGCCCAATGCTGTGGTTTCTCTTACTTGCCTACAAGGTCACACATGAGAAGTACATCTTAATTTAGGATGCAACAACATTTTCATGGGTGATCACTTTCAGCATGAAAAGGGGAGTTTTGGAGGGTGGTATCAAAGTCTTCTCCAATCTCCCCCGCAAGGTTTTTCATTTTCCCCGTTTGTGCAATTTCTCTCATTTCCCCACCCTTTAAAAGAGAGCTATTCTTGGTGGATGCATGTTAACCAGTTGGGGATCATGCAGGGAATATACAGATCTCAACATTGCCAATCAAATTTGTCACAAAGCCAAACCAGAATGGGGGCAATACTTTCTCCTCTCACTCTAAATAGGCTCTTCATTCTCAAACTCCACCAAACTATCACCCAAACAGAGAGATATATTTGCATGTCAAGACCCCAAGGCTACCCACCCCCCTTGATGAATAAGCCACAAGGACACAGTATATTAGGTTAATGGTTATTGGGCAAATTTAGGCCACAACCTTATTGGTTACAGAATGTGAGCTGTATTGGCTTAGGCACTGGAATTGACCCGACTATATCTGACTCCTGCCTGCCATGCAGGGAGTCCTGTAAGGCTCAACCACCAATAGGGGGAGCACCGTCGATGCAAACCAACTCGAGCTCCCCCAGGGTTTCCAATGGGGTCATGGCATGGCCCTAGCCCCTCCCCGGGCTTTGGACAAGATCCACACCCTGGATTCCTTTAATGGAATACCCTTAAGATTAGAGACAGGTGATGGCCACACCTCCCCTCCCCCAAACCAAGTTCTACCAATGCCTAACTGCCACTTGAGCCAAAGGCTCGCCGCCAATACCCTCACATACATGCAACCAATCTTTTACGCCCTCTGTAATATCAGCCAACCAAACATTGTTTCCCCAGTCAGAAAGATGTATGCCATCAACTCCTCCCCACCCGGAAGTGGAGCAGATTTCACACACTCCTTTCACTTCAGTCCTATCGCAATCCTAGTCTTTCACAGACCCTCACTTTATGACATATTGTTCATTGCACTAGAATGCTTATTTCTTTGTGGAATGGTACAAGCTAAACATGGAGGCAAAGGGTGTCTGGGCGAGGTAAAAAGAAGCATCTCTCTTCCTCTCAAGCAAATAACATTTCCTGCATGCCTAAAACTGGTTGTTTGGGCTTCGAGAAATTGTTTACCTAACAGCCATCCTTCTGTCCAAGCTGAAAGATGGTCAGCTCACAGATGATAGGAAGAAGTTTGCCATTGAAGTACAACTGGATGGCAAGCCAAATTCTTACCTAATTCTCTCCCAGGATTAATGGGCACATGCTATAGGTAAAGGGACCCCTGACCATTAGGTCCAGTCGTGACCGACTCTGGGGTTGCGGCGCTCATCTCGCTTTATTGGCCGAGGGAGCCGGTATACAGCTTCCAGGTCATGTGGCCAGCATGACTAAGCCGCTTCTGGCGAACCAGAGCAGCACACGGAAATGCCGTTTACCTTCCCGCCGGAGCGGTACCTATTTATCTACTTGCACTTTGACGTGCTTTCGAACTGCTAGGTTGGCAGGAGCTGGAACCAAGCAACGGGAGCTCACCCCGCCGCGGGGATTCGAACCGCCGACCTTCTGATCGGCAAGTCCTAGGCTCTGTGGTTTCATCAACCATACGGCACCAGGAACTAACAGGACAGAGAAATCCCAGGTTGTTCTTGGGCAGTAATCTTGATAACCTCCAACCCCACTTACCTGCATAAGGAACCTCTCTGCTTCAGAAGCCTTGCCGGAAGCAACACACTGGAAGGTGGCATTCTGACCGGCATTCACCTCCACATCACCCAGGCGGGAAAAATGAGGTGCTTTAGCTGCCAAAATATGCAATGAGAAATAAACCCATAGAAATCCCTGGAACTGAATGTCCTTCTCCCTTCCTCCCCTCTCCTCCTCTCATACACACATTATATAGCTGCATGCTATGCAGAAGGTCCCAAGTTGAACCCACAGAATTACAAAGCAGCACTGGGGGGAGACTCCTGCCTGAAATCTGGGGAGTTGCTGCCAGTCGGTGTGGACAGTGCTGAGCTAAATGGACCAATAATGTGACTCAGTATAAGCCGCCTTCCTATGTTCCTTAGATCCAGCTGCAGTCCAGTCAGCTACAGTGCATGGAATTTGGAGAGGATCCTATCTTGCCCTTCAGCTCAGGCAGCAAAATGTCTTGAGGTGGGCCTTCTCAGTCTTCCTCTGTAATATGGGCATAGCTATCCTGGCCAAATTTACAGGGCTGTGGTGAGGAATGTGGAGAGCACTGGTAGAGCTGAGATAAAATTGCCTCACCAAATGATATATCATGATGTCGGAAATAAGGATGGGGCTCTGTTAGAGGCATTGGCTGGTTTCACAGTTTTCCCCATGCTGCGATTTCTGCATAACACGCACACACACACACACACACACACACACACACACAATATATTGCCAGGTCAGAAATTATGAAACCAACATCACAATATGGACTTCAAACCAGTTTTGGATGATATATCAACTAGCCCTAACGCACATCATGATTTGTGGTATATTGCCAGGTCAAAAATTATGAAACTAATATCACTATATGGACTTCAAACCAGTTTTGGGCAACATATTGATATATCACCCAGACCTAGCCCCAATTTTGAGCCAAAGTTCACATGTTTATCCCTAAGACAGAAAATATAAAGCACTTACAAAAAAGCATGATGGAATTATCCAAGGTTGTATCCAGCTTTAGTCCTACTCAGCATAGACCGCTGAAATGGATGGACATGACTAACTGAATGTCAGTGGGTCTATTCTGAGAAGCACTTAGCCAGAGAAAACCGTGAGTGTTATAATTTTGTTCCAACTGTTTAGCCCCGAGATAATATAATATAAAGCGCTTCAAGCACTTATGAAAGGCATTACCGAAGAAACAGCGAGCATTACTATCACATGGAATTCTATTTGGTTTCGAAACAGAAATTCAGTCAAGAGGAGAGGAAAAAGGAAGAACAACACATAAGAATACAAAAGGACTCAATGTGAGAAAGAAAAGAAAGAAAGGAGTAGCTCACAAACTAACCAGAGAGTTTGGATGTATAAATTAAGCAGACGAATCCTATCTCCAGGCCTAGGCTATAGCAATACTTACAGCAGGGATAGTTCAAGAGCAGGATGTCATCCAATCCTAGGTATCCTCTGTGTTCACTGGAGACCACTGCCTCAAACAGGACCTGAGAAGGAATCAGGCACATATAGATAAACCCTGTCAGGAATACTGGAAGCTGCTTTATTCTGAGCCAGACCATTAGTCCATCAGTACTGTCTACACTGACTGGCAATGGTTCTCCAGTGTCTAAGACAAGGTTCTCTTCCAGACCTACCTGAAAATGCCAGGAATTGAACCTGCAAAGTAGGTACTCTACTTCTGAGCCACAGTCCCTCCCAGAGAATTCTAATGGAGTAGGACTGGGAAACCTAGGGCCCTCTGGGGAGTGTTGTACTCCAATTTCCATCAGCTCCAGTTCAGCATGACCAACGATCAGGAATGGTGGGAGATGGAATCTGGAAACAACGGGTGGACCATACATTCTGCACTCTTCATGGAAATGCTATAGCCCTGGGACAGCAAAATCCAATATATGTCCGCTTCCACTGAATTCAACATGGCTTACTTCCATGGAGGTGGAAATAGGGTTGATTGTAATTTTATTTTTAAGTTAAAACAGAACATTTCAACCAATGGAGGCAAAGGCATTGAAAAAAACCAATATGGAGACAAACTGGCCAAAATATTGTGAAATTTTAGAACAAGTTGGAGATAAATTAAAATTGCAGAATTTTGACAAATTAAAAACCAAAGTCAGAGATTGGTTGCACTATTATCAAATAAGGGAGGTTTTTAACTTAGATAAAAAGATTGGCTTCCAGGAGGAAAAATCTAAACTGGAAACGGAATTGTTAGAACCTAAAACTAAAAATTTGTCAAAAATGTATAATTTGCTGCTGAAATGGAATACACAGGATGAAATGGTTAAATCTGTTATGATTAAATGGGCGCAGGATGTTGGGCATAACATTATGTTTGCTGACTGGGAACGGTTATGGACCACAGGTATGAAATTTACGGCTTGTAATGCTTTAAGAGAAAACATAATGAAAATGATTTACAGGTGGTACTTAACCCCAGTCAAGCTAGCAAAAATTTATCACTTGCCTGATAATAAGTGTTGGAAATGTAAAGAAAACGAAGGTACTTTCTTTCACCTTTGGTGGACGTGCCCAAAGATCAAGGCATTCTGGGAAATGATATACAATGAATTAAAAAAGGTATTGAAATATACTTTCTTAAAGAAACCAGAGGCCTTCCTCTTGGGCATGGTCGGCCAATTGGTGCGAAGGGAAGATAGAACTTTTTTTATGTATGCGACAGCAGCAGCAAGAATACTCATCGGGAAATATTGGAAGACACAAGAATTGCCTACCCGAGAAGAATGGCAGAGAAAAGTGATAGACTATATGGAACTGGCTGAGATGACTGGAAGAATTCGAGATCAAGAAGAAGGGTTGATGGAACAAGATTGGAAAAAGTTTAAAATATATTTACAGAATCACTGTAACATAAAAGAATGTTAGGAAAGGTTGGAGAAGAAATATTAGACCGTATTGGCAGACAGAGTATAATGGAATTAAGTAAATATAAAGTGTAAACTAAAGGATAGAGGAGAATTAAATATTTTTGAATGTTAAAATGTTAAAATAAGTGAATGAAAAGAAGGTTAGAAGGATTTGCTGGAGATACAATTTGAATTAGAATACAAAGCAGAGAAGTGAGAGGAAGTCACGGAAATAAGTAAATGGGAAAACGGTTTGTTAAATTTGAATTCTTTTTTTCTTGTTATTTTTTATTGTGATTTTTGATTTTGTGCATTTTTTCCTTTTTCCTTTTTTTTTTCTTGTATGGTGTGTATCTTTTGTAAGATGTATGTGACTGGTTTTCTTGTTTTGTTTTTTCTTTTTTTTTTGTAATTTTAAAACTTGAATAAATATTCTTAAAAAAAAAACAGAACATTTCAAAACTCCACAAGCATCATCTATGGGTTTGTATCAAGCAATCTATTTTACTTCTACTAATAATAATAATAATAATAATACAGCGTTATCTCGGGTTACAAACACTTTGGGTTACAGACTTCGCTAACCCGGAAGTAGTACCTCGGATTAAGAATTTTACCTCAGGATGAGAACAGAAATCACATGGCGGCGGCGCGGCGGCAGCGGGAGGCCCCATTAGCTAAAGTGGTACCTCAGGTTAAGAACGGTTCAGGTTAAGAACGGACCTCCGGAATGAATTAAGTTCATAACCTGAAGTACCACTGTAATAATACCATTTTATCCCATGCTTCCTCCAAGGAACTTGAGCTATCATCCATTATTTAATTGATTGATTGATTTGCCTATCTATAACCTACTTAGTCCATATCTAAAGTCCACAGGTTAAAATCAATTGAAGGTCACCATAGAATTAATACACACCAGTAAAAAGAAAAAAGTAAAAAAAACAAAAAAAAAACCAGGAATAACAATCGGAATAGAACAATTGGAATAGAAAATTCCTTATCATAGCAGCAAAAACCTGCAGCAGATTACCATATCCAGCAGCAAAATATCAGGTTAAAAATCTAAAAGCAGAACAAAAGCCAACCAAAGGCTTTCTGAAAGAAGGTCTGTGGCCAATTGCCTGAAGGAGGGACAGGAAACCTGTGACCCTCCAGATATTGCTGAACTCCAATGCTCATCATCCCTGACCAATGACTATACTGATGGGATGATGGGAGGTGGTATTCTGCAACATCTGAAGGACCACTGTCTCCCTATTCCCGGTCTAAAGGAATAAAATGTTGGGGGCCTATGAGGATATTCTACACAGTCCACAAAGAAAAGCAGAAAGCTGTTTTACATATGTTAAAACACTGTAAATCATTTCAGGGTGTCTCACTGGAAGAGATTCATACATTCAATAAATAAATGATGGCGGTGGCGATCAAGTACAATTTTTAAAAGATTAATTACAGAGTGCATGATTTGTTTTGTTCTTAGCCTCCTCCTGCCTGCGTAGCAGAGAAATCCGAACCCAAGCTTTCTCCTGAAAAGTATTTCTCCACTCACCTGGTACTCATTGGGCCAAAACATGCTGACGGATAGTTCCACTTGGTGCCACTGCCGCCCATGGGAGCCAGAGACATTCCACACCACACTGCCCAGTGGACCTCCATTCACCTTCACGTAGACGTTCAGGGTCCCTGGGCTGTGGCCGTCCCGGCTGTACATGAAGTAGCTGAACTGGAGGCAGTGGGTGTCATTCTCACTGAGCGTCTGGAAGAGGATGTGAGCTTTCTGACCCTGCACATGTTGAGAGGAGTTGACCATCAGGTAGGACCCTGCAACAAAAAGAGAGAAGGAGAAAATTGAGTGTTCCTTCAGCAGCACATGCATCAGAGACCAGGTTTGTGATAACAAGTGGTTCATGCGGGTTCCCCATCACTTTGCCTGCTCGCCCCACTTCAAACACCACCCAGTACATTGCCCGTCTGATAAACACCTTTGCCTTGTCTCATGAGTCAAGGTTAGTTTTTTACAGGAATAGGGTTGGAGGAGAAATTTGAATCTGTTTAAGTTTCAGTGAGAAACTACTTAATTCTCACTTCTCGAACCGATTCACAAACCAAAACGTTATCCTAAGAAATGCGTGTTCCTCCAAATTTTGGGATGCAGCCAAAAAATATGTACAAAAATGCATATATTAAGTGGGAAGTGTGCATCGAAATGCATTATATTTGTGAAAATAACATACAAAAATGCATTATATTAGGGGGAATTGCTTGCAGAAATGTCTACATTTGTCAAAACAACATCTGGAGGGCCAGAGATTCCCCACCCCTCATTTATAGAACATAGAAGATATTGGTCCATTTTTTTACTTGAGGAACACCAAGATGACAGCAAAAATGTCTAGCCTGAGATCAGTTAGTGAAGCCAGGGCACAGAATACTTAAGCAGAAATAACAATCACAAAGACAGCACCTTGGAGCATATGCAGAGGATTTTTCTCCAACCACTAAGCTACCACAGAGTTCACACACACACAGAGAGAGAGAGAGAGAGAGAGAGAGAGAGAGAGCGTAGACAGAGCCTCAACAGCTCTTCTCTCTTTTTGGAAATGATGCACTAGTCCCACTTCTGTTGCAAGTAAATTACAACCAGAGAACAACTCCCAGAGTTCCCTGTAAAAAGGGCTTTTTAAACCACTCTGCAAGTTGCAGCTGTGCAAGGGGAATAAGGGTCTCCAAAAAACTCTCAGCACTCTTATTAAACTATAGTTCCCAGGATTCTGTGTGGGAAACCAATACTGTTTGAAGTACAGTCATACCTCGGGTTGAAGTAGCTTCGGGATGAATATTTTCAGGTTGCGCTCCGCAGCAACCCAGAAGTAGTGGAGCGCGTTACTTCCGGGTTTCGCTGCTCACGCATGCGCAGAAGCTCAAAATGACATCACGCGCATGCGCGGAAGCGGTGAATCGCGACCTGCGGACGCGGGTTGCATTCACTTCAGGATGCAAATGGGGCTCTGGAATGGATCCCGTTCACATCCAGAGGTACCACTGTAGTATAATAGTGGTTTAAATGTACAGTGCGAATGTGACTTCAGTCTATTGAGTCCTTAGAAATCTGCAACTGCACAGCAGTTGAAGCATGGCTGACAGGAAGGGGTGGCTTACAGGAAGATGAAGGCAATGGAAGAAGGTAATTTTGGAATCCAGAACAGATGGCTCCCCCCCCCACCCCCTTTGTGGCAAAGCCATTATTAACAACACCATTATCCTAAGTCTGTATTATCAATCACAATGGGGCCAGAAATTGTCATGCAAAATCACCATAGAAGGAAAAAAACCTAGAATAAAAACAACCAATAAAACAGATGTAAAGCAAAGCAAGATGGTGATAGATGCTATCATATGAACAAATCGGGTCTCCTTTTTATGTTCTGAAAATGATTTTGAGTATAATCACTTATAAATGCATCCTATTAATATCAGTCTCTCCCTTACAGCCCAAAATTGGAAGATTAGGTGTTTATGAAATTATAGCAATGTCTTTTATGGCAGCTATAATTTAATTTGTAGCTTTTGCAGAAAGGGCTCAAACATCCAGCCCATCTGGATTTTTGGAGGCCTCCATGTAGATCTCTCTCTCTCTCTCTCTCTCTCTCTCTCTCTCTCTCTCTCTCTCTCTCTCTCTCTCTCTCTCTCTCACTCACACACACACACACACACACACATACACACACAGAGAGAGTCCCACCTTATCAATATTATTGCCACTTGAATCGTAGCCAAATAGACCATGATAACTATTTACAACTTGCCTGGAAACTCGCTAGCTGCTTCCCTTCAGCTTTTATTGCCTTGACACTCCTATCTCCACCTGGATTTAAGCCATTTAATTTCGAGTTCCGCCTCTTCGAATCATTTAACACATAGCTGCTTCTGACTTTAAGCAGTGCTCAGCAGGCTGTTAGGCAGTTCAGAGGCCATTAGCATAACAAATGCCATCTCATCTCTGAAGCTCAGCTTGGGGGAGAGCCGGGGACAGGGATTCAGCTTCTCCCATCACACCATTCAAGTATCTGCAGAGGGTTTTCCCCCATCCCACTCTTCCTTGTACTTTGGGACCTCCATGGCATACCCTCCAACGTTTTTGTCACCAAAACTGGGACATCAGAAGGGTTGCGCCAAAGCACCTTCCAGTCTGTCGCTCTGGCATGAGTCAAAAGGGGTCGGAAGGTGCTCTGGTGCAACCCTCTTGACTTGCACCAGAGTGAGCATCTTTTGGTCTGGCTCTCTGGTGCAAGGACTCACGCCAGAGTGCCAGGCCAAAAAAGGGACATTCCATGATGCAAACTGAAGCCAGGATGAGCTTCTGTGTTTCAAGGATGTCCCACTTAAAATAGGACAGTTGTCAAGATGGAAGGAAGAAACAACCTCGACCAGAGAAGAATGGTAAATCAAGTTGATGGACTATGCTGAAATGGCAAAACTAACTGGGAAGCTCAGGAATCAATAAGACAATATTTTTTTAAAAAAAAAAGAATGGGAAATGTTTATAATGCATATACAAAATCATTGTAAGCAGGTCAAAACATTAGCAGGATTTTAAACACACTTGTAATGTAAAAAAATGTATAGATAATCTGGGAAGATGAAAAATTGGAGAAGTATTGATATGCAGTTGAAAATAGAATCAATAGGACCCATAGAAGGGGTGGCGAGGGGAGGTCAGGAGATTCAGAGTAATCTTGAGAATTAGATTTGGAATTGTTTTTGTTGTATGTTTATATTTTGGAAAATCAAAAATGTATTTCAAAATAAATAAATAAATATATAAATGAAAGACAGTTGTGGGGTAGGCCTTGCCTACCAGAGGGTCTGTGGCACATACCCCTCAACAGTCCAGGACATTCCCAACAGGGGGCGGGGGCTGTGCTTTCATGCAGGTCACATGACTCACACAAGAGCATAGCCTGGAAGACGTGCATCCCGTTTTTGCGCTGGGACACGCAGGAGGGTTTGGTGGCACCATTCACATAATGAAAATGACTGCAGAGATATCTACCTTTTCAAAAGTAGGGAGGTCCACAGTACTTAGCTGATGGGGAACCACTGCTCTAAATTATCCCCCCATCACTGGATAGGGAATAAATTGCCAAAAAAAAAAGGTATATGTATGCAATTACATGTATATGTAATTGTAACCTGAATAGAACACACCAAATGTGTCCTGTGGATTAAAAAATCACATGTGACTATCTCAGAAATGGAAGCCATCTTAGGTCCCATCTGCACTACACGGTATCATATCAGTCATGGCTTCCCCCAAAGAAGTCTGGGATGTTTGTTTGTTAAGGGTGCAGGGAGATTTTAGGAGACACCTAAACAGTCAAACTCCTGGGAATTGTAGCTCTGTGAGGAGGCCAGAGGTCTCCTCTCAGAACTCTTAACAAACTACGCTTCCCAGCACAGGGGAAGCCATGACTGTTTAAAGAAGTATGATACTGCTTTGAATGTTTAGTGCAGATGGGGCCTTTAAAGGCACCTTACTCAGACACACATGGTCGGAATAACCTGAAAATGCAACAGATAACCAACCAACCGATCAACCAACCAGTGTTAGCCCTGGCTTCTGTAAGTAAGTAAAATGGTCCCATTTATATAAATCTAGGAATGCTTTCTTGACGGTACCCTTTTAAATTTTAATCGCATTTACTCAATTGATTCATTTAATTTCCATGAAGCCACATGGATGCAGGTTTTTGTTTTGTTTTTTTAAAGAATCATTCACTGGACAAATTCCAGTTTTGGCCGAATGAAAACAGAGCAATTAAACCAGCATTATCAAATGCAGGCCAACGAAGATGTGCTCCGTCCCTGCCTTCTACTGGATGAGGGAAGAATTGCTGGCTATTGTGGCACAAATTCTGCCAGCCAGGCCCCCGTCCTTCCAAGACGTTCCCGTTCTAAGCTGGTGGCACAAGAAGCGACATGTCTTGAAGTCTGTTCAGAGGCTCCACATTCAGAGTCCAAACGTAGTCCTAAGATAGAATCACAGCTGGGAGGAAAACCTTGCATCATTCCTGAACCAGCATCTGCTTTCATACTTATTTGCTGTTGAGCCGGGTTCATGCTGTGCCACTCATCCTGGCAATTTCATCAGCTCTTCTCTCTTCCGAGGGCTGATGGGGGTGGGGAGGGTAGCAGAAGCCAGCACAGGAAAGCCCAAAAGGCAAGGGAAATAGCGGGAACGGAGATGAGAGGAAGAGGGTGGATTTTTTTGTTTTGCCCATTTCCCAACTCAGTGCATTGAATCCAAAGCCCAAGGGAAGATGTTCTTTAATTCATGGCAGAGAGAGAGAGAGAAGCAGATGAGGGGGAAACAGTCAAGGAACTTCCTGCTGGATTTTGGTAAAAACATAGGGATGTAGGAAGCTGCATTATACTGAGTCATATCATTAGTCTATCTAGCTCAGTAGTGTCTTAATTGAGAGGCAGAAATTCTCCAGGGTTTTGTGCACAGGACATTCCGAGTCCTAGCTGGAGCTGCTGCAGCCCTGCTCCCATCTTTCTTCTTGCATTTCTTTAATTGGGGGCTAAAAGCAGCAGCAGTCACAAAATTAAAAGACGCCTGCTCCTTGGGAGAAAGGCGATGGCAAACCTAGACAGCATCTTAAAAAGCAGAGACATCACCTTACCAACAAAGGTCCGTATAGTTAAAGCCATGGTTTTCCCAGTAGTGATGTATGGAAGTGAGAGCTGGACCATAAAGAAGGCTGATCGCCGAAGAATTGATGCTTTTGAATTATGGTGCTGGAGGAGACTCTTGAAAGTCCCATGGACTGCAAGAAGATCAAACCTCTCCATTCTGAAGGAAATCAGCCCTGAGTGCTCACTGGAAGGACAGATCCTGAAGCTGAGGCTCCAATACTTTGGCCACCTCATGAGAAGAGAAGACTCCCTGGAAAAGACCCTGATGTTGGGAAAGATGGAGGGCACAAGGAGAAAGGGACGACAGAGGACAAGATGGTTGGACAGTGTTCTCGAAGCTACAAACATGAGTCTGACCAAACTGTGGGAGGCAGTGGAAGACAGGAGTGCCTGGCGTGCTCTGGTCCATGGGGTCATGAAGAGTCGGACACGAATAAACGACTAAACAACAACAAAAGCAGCAGCAACATTAGCAGAGACTTGTCAGAATCAGAGACTATTCAAAGCATGTGTGGAAACAACTGTCCTTTTCCGAAGGCTGGGAGAGAAGAGGCAAAAGGAGTTTCTCAAGAGAGGGAGTTTCCAGATCCTATGCACCACCACCAAGCAGGCCCTGTCCCATGTACACACCAGGTGAACTTCAGGTGGTGGTGAAACGGGCAACCAGCAGAATGTACAAGCAAACAATGCACAAGTAACAATCAATAGGTATGCATCTGCCAATACTTGGTGATCCCCACTCCAGTGGCAAAAACAGGAATATAATCAACAGAACTCTTGATTTCCCTTGATCTCTCTCCCTGGACCTCCTATTTTAATTGCTGCTGCTTCACTTTTACATTTAATTGTTAATTATTTCATTGTATTTTGAATGCCGTTAGCCCCCTTGAGCACTACTTTGGTAAGTGGAAAGGTGGTATATAAAATAAGTAAGAGGAGGAGGAAGAGTTAGTCACAATGGTTATATGCTTCCTCCAGGATGAGAGACAGCAAACCAGTGAATTCCGGTTGCTGGAGAACAACTGCAAAATAGGGTGGTTGCCAGGGGTGGCCCACCCCATTTTGCCACCTAAGGAGAAATGAGAAGGGGCTGCCACTCACCTGACCCTGCTGCAAGCCTTGGTTACTGAGGTTGTGCAGCAGCACAACTCTGGTGGCAGCAGGGCTAGGCTGCAATATTCCACCATCCAAGGTGGCTGCTTCAGCCCATGGATTGGGCAGCCCTGATTATTGCCGTCACGTCCTGCTTTGGGGCTCCCCACTGGCATCTGGTGGCTGCTGTGAATAATAGGATGCTGGACTAGATAGGCCTCTGGTCTTACACATTTATGGGAGTCTGATACTGGATGGTCCAGCTCCAACTTCAACCCTCTATTCATTGGATGGTTCCCACTGCTGAGGAAAAGCTCTTGTCTATTTATTCATCGCCATCTTCCACATTCCCACTCCCCACCAAGCATCGCTGCCTCAGAGCCAACATCCCTCTAATATTTTAAAGAGAAAAAGCATTTATTCAGTGGAACTCAGCCACATGCTGACTGATATGTCGATTCCCTTTTCGCCTCCAATTCTTCTCCCCTTGTGTGAAATTATTAATGTGCTAATGAGGTTGGGCCCACTTGGCCCAGGAAACGCTGTTCCCACTTTGAGTTTGCTCCTTCATCTGAACTGCAGCCAAGAGCTGTCTTTAGAAAGCCATCCTTTGCACAGTCCAATCTCCTAGGGCCTCATTTATTAATGACGAATATTTCCTCCTCGCAATGCCAGCCAAGGATGAGACAAAAATTAAACTGCTGCAGGGGACCTCAGAGTGATGATATCCTGCCTCAGCCAGTGGAGCGGGGAGAATGAAATTCTCTGGATGGCAGGTACCTTTCAGTTCTCTCAAATCCATAGGGCTTTTTAAAGGAAATACCTTAAGGGGGGGGGAATCTTTGACCCCCTCAGATGTTGCTAAACTACAATTTCCATCCGCCCCAACAAGCATGGCCAATGGCCAGGGATGATGGGAGTTCAGTAGATCTGCATCTCTGTTTGAATAGTTTTTAAGGTGTCTTCATTGTTTTAATTGCTTAACCACTTGTTGTTTGCCTCCCTGGGCTCCTCTGGGAGGAAGGTTAGGATATAAATTTAATTCATCATCATCTTGTGGAACTTCATCCCCACAGAGGTGTGTCTCGCTCCTTCATTATACAGCTTTTCACTGAAGGCGTAACCCTTGCTCTTAATGCTTGAGGTGCGCATTCTTAGAACCCACCTTATTTCTGCCATTTTAAATGGTTTTAAACTGTTTCCATATTGTGTAATATTGTGTTGCAACCCGCCCTGAGACCTGAGGGTTAAGGGTAAGTAATAAATTGTTGTTGCTGTTAAATATAGGCATCTCCCCACATATGCATCTTAGACTCAGGCACAACAAGGGGCTGGGAAATAAAGAAATAGATTTAAATTGCAAACAGGAGTGAAAAGGATAAAAACAGCCAGAAAAGAGCGGGAAAGCTGCAGTCAGTGGCACAAGCTACAGCTTTAAGTGTTTCAAAGCACTCCAGATTTTGCCAAGCGAGTGCTCCTTTCCCCATCATGGAGGTGTAATGATTAAGCCGCATGCGGTGTAGCCTAATTATCTTGTAGCTGGAATTTCAGTTGATACAGTTTTTTCCCTCACTTGACCTCTTTCGGCTTCTACAAGCAATTTCAGCTAGTGCGCACCTATTAAGGGTACAGAACCCCTATCCTTCTTCGGTTATCCTAATGGGGAATGTGGCACCCGTTGGGTTTTCTACTTGTCAGGAATCTAATTAAAGGCATAAAGTCTTCATCAGGATATTTCTCAAAGGGGTGGCCTGGCAAAAGGAAAAAAATGACCTCGGGGCCTTAATTATCAAATTCCTCCTTCCCAACTGGGTTGTTAAGAGATCACGGCAAAGTGGTTTCACACTCAATTATTCACCCCACGCAGAGGTCATCTGACGTTTCCACTGGGCTTATTGTGTGACATAATCCGCCAATATAGGATAGGGTTGGTCAGCCTTTTTTGTCCGCCGAGGGTCATATTTAGCAAGGAGTGGGCAGTCAGGGGCTACATGCCAGTAGGCTATCTCAAAAGCATAGCTAACAGCAGAACTATTGACATCACCGTGCTCTCTTTGGCCCCTGCTTAAAACATTTTCATTAGACAAGCCTGCCCAGACCCATCGACGCAGGCATGTTTGCATCACTTTGACTGTCAGTCTCAATTGTTTTAAAGTGTTTTTAGCTGTTTTCATTAACAGCTTTA